AGGATCACCTCATTGTAAGTAATAAAGAGATGGACATGAGAAAATTTAATTTGAACGTGTATGATAAAGTGGACATCCTCTAACAAAGTTTCATTGTGTAGGAACATGGCATCAAGTAAATTAAGTGGTAGAATTCCTCCACCACTTGCTAACCTCACTGCTCTCTTAATTTTATGAGTGTATCTTTAAAAATTTTAATTTTATTCTTTTATGTTACTCTCATGTAGCATGTTAATTAACTATGTCAATTACCCATGCCATAGATTCTTGCTACCTTGTGTTCCTGCTATCTTGTGTCTTATTTTTATTTCATTTCTTTACCTTCAAACACTTGAGAGTCAGATACCTCAATTTTATGTCTACTTTTGATAGAACTCGTAGTAAAATCATATGTAATAAGATAATTATTAATCATTTGTTTAAACTTTGTAGGTATTTGTCAAACAATGACTTCACAGGGATCATTCCTGATTTTTTGGTAGAATTAGCATCACTTAAGCTAGTGTAAGTGTAACTATTTAGAATGAGCATAATTATTCCATAAAAATACATAATTTATGATCAAATATATTCCTTTCAGGAACTTAATTGGAAACATTCAACCATTTTCAATTCCAGAAAAACTATACAGAAAGCCATTAAGGTCAGCAATTTTGATGACTAAAGTAAAATTGTAATTATTATTGATGCATACTCTAATTTGAGGCTTAATTTTACAGTATATAATTGTAGATACTTGTAAGAATGTTTTCTCAAATAACAATGCATTTTATTTTTTTAGTTCTATTAAAATCTGATATGCCTACTAGTATCATACATTGTAAAATCATTACGTATAATTGGCATTATTTGTCTTGATTGAAATTAAAATATCTTAAAATGGTCTTAGTCACTAATAAATAACTCAAGAATGGTAGGGTGTGATTTTATTAAAAAATATTTTTCAAAGAATATCAATGACATTCTCCGGAATTAAAAATAATTCAAATCTAATTGTTACTTGATTTATTATTAACCTTTCAAACTTTGATTTGACTATGTGAAAAGTTTAAGATACTAGATTATTACTAAAGTTGTTCTATGGTTATAAATACTAGTTAAATTATTGGCTCTTACTCATTTCCTAAAAAATTGTTTGTTGATAATCTAATGAATGGATAGAAATATATACCATGGAGCCAATTTTTAAAAACGTACTTGAGTTTGTTCACTACTAATCTTAATTAGTGACTTTTTCTTGATAATTTTATATAAGTTATAGTCAAAGGAGAACAGGTTATGAATTTTTATTTTCATAAAACCTTCATCTCATTTCAATAATTAATATTTTTTTCATACTTGTCTTTATTCTGAAACATAGAATTAAAGGCAATGCAGAATGCAAAAGTTCAAAAGAGAATATCAAAAGGAAGATCATTATTATTGTGCTAGTAATGTTGTCCATCATTAGAGTGTTCATAATGATACCTCTATTAGTAAGTTGTGAAAAATAATCAATATTATTTAATTCAACTTTTCACTATAAAATTAATTTTAATTTTTTTATTTTCAAATATATGTATCATTGTGTTAGATTCCAATAACAAGAGAAAGATTGAAGATTTTGACACCACCCAAGCAAACTGGCAATGACATGCAGCAGCAGTGCCTTCAATTAACACCTTTAGAAATCAGAAATAAGATAAGAAATTTTGTGATTCCAATTGGTAAGGGAGGATATGGTATTGTTTACCTTGGTTACGTATTTGATGAAATTTAAGTCTCAGTGAAATTTCTCTCTTTATCATCATTTCAAGGAGTCAAGGAATTTCAAGTAGAGGTATATTAGAATTTGTATGACAAAAATAGTTTTAATGTTATCTAAATTTTTTCATGTCATTCTATACATTATAAGATTCTAAAACTGTGAATTAAGATGTTTTTTGGGCTCTATTATTGTCAAGAGTTCATCACATAAACTTAGTATCTTTGATTGGATATTGTGATGACAAGAAAAATTTAGCACTTGTCTATGAGTACATGAATGAACTAGCTCTTGTTTTGAGCTGGGCACCTATATATGATCTTCTCTCAGGTATGATTACTGAAATTCACTCATTTGTTAATTTTTGTTCAATAGAAAATGATTTGATTTTTTCATTGACATAAATGTATTGATTCTAGGTGAAAGTAATGATGCCATTGTTTTGAGCTTAGAACACAGAAAGTAATGGTGACAAAAATGTATTGATTCAAGCTCCTGATGATGCACCAGGTCTACACAAAATTTATTTTAATTTATTTTATTATTATGTTCATATGCTTACTACAAATTATTGATGAATTCATAGGATTCGATTCTTTGCACAATGGTTGTAGATCATCCATCATTCACCAAGATGTGAAGAGCACAAACATTCTTCTAAATAGAAATTTTGCTGCAAAATTAGGAGACTTTGGACTATCGAAGATTTTCAATGTTGATAGTGTTACTCACAATAATTGTGGCAGGCTCTCTAGGATATCTTGATCTTGAGTATCTCTAATTGATAAGAACCACAAAGATACTTAATAATATAGTGTTATATTTAATAACTAAGTTCATAGAATACATTCATTAAAGTATGTTTAAATGAAACTGCTTTAGGAAAGTTTTATTTAAGTATCTAATCCTTTTTATTTTTTAATAATATGTTTTGTATTTCATTAAGCATTGCCAATGTAATGTTAGAAATTGGCTATGTATTAGTGAAATAAAGGGATAAAGCTAATCAACTATAGTTTATTTCAAATGAAAAGCTTAAAAGTATGCACATATTACTGGTATTTTATTTATTAATACTTTATATCTTAAAAACGTAATGTCTATTTAAGGCATAAATAGATCAAAGTTGGCATTTGGATATTATTTTAGGATATAACTTACTTCATTGATTTTCCAAGTACCATCGAACATGTAAATTGACTGAGAAGAGTGATGTCTATAATTTTGGGGTTGTTTTTCTAGAGCTCATTACAGAACAACAACCCTTCATTATTTCTTGAAAAAACATACACATAATTCAATGGGTACATCATAGACTTGAAAATGACCACATAGAAGATATTGTTTATTCTAGAATACATGGCAGCTATAATGATGATTCTATATGGTAAGCAATAGAAATTGCAACATAATACATGTTGGCTTCTTCTACCAAAAGATTAAACATGAGTGATGCGGTAATGAGACTAAAGCAATGTCTACAATCATAATGAGTGATGTATCAAGACTCTTTGGAGATACTTTCCTTCAACTTGGGAACAATAAATATGCTTATACCAAGATAACTTGCATCTTGAAATGGCCTTCCAAGTGATGAATGGTTCTTTCTCAAGGATGATGAGAAATGAGTGGAGTGCTTCTTTGGTTCATAAAATCCCAAACCATACATAAGAAGTTGTTGGATACACGTACTATGTGAGATCACTAATGGAATTTGGCTTTTTATAGTTGAAATGTTAGTATTGATTTCATCTCACCTTCAATACATGAAATGTGCGTTGGATATGTTATATAAACAAGAGCAACTGAGAGGGATGGAATAAATTAAACTTTTCATGATCTCAAAGATTTTCTTAACCTTCTTCGGTCTACTTAGATAAAATATTTATAGTGGTTCAATCTACTTGACATACTCCACCCTCTAGGGAGTACGTCTTTATAGTTCCACTATTTTCTTAGTGATATTATATTGAAATAACTTTCACTATATTTAATACCTACATTCAACTTAGCCATTTCATTTAGAAACACGTTTAAATTCACACATCTCTGGGGCCAACAAGCTTATCTCAAGTTAATCCCTTTTAGATTAACAATCATAGGTCAGCCAAAGACCCCAAATGAGTGTCTAAACCCCAAATGAGTTATTATTCTAGGTTCAATAGATAGATACTTCTAGAGGCTTGAATTTCTTTGTTAACAATGTGAAAGTCTCTTATCAAAGAAGTGTATTTTCCCCTTGTTTGATTGTTGATTTTGTGCCTTCGTCATTTTTCTTTTTCTTGGAGAGAGTATTTCTTCTACACTTTCTTATTTTTCTCATTTTTTACAATTTTTCAGTGGTCACTTAATGGTAAAAAAGTGGTATTCCCATTGTCATGGCATGATCCAACAACTGTCTCTTTTTGTCACGTTCCCTCTTTCTACACATTTCCCTAAGCTTTTACTTCTTTAAACAAGGATTTGAAACCTCATAGATAAAATTACTCTAAAAATAGAATACATTTTATAAATCATGTTAGAACAATTTTTACCTATTTGGGCATGTTCAAGAGTCATGCTGATATTTAACTTAGCTTCCAATATATAATAATTATTTTATCCTTGAGTTATTTTACATAGTTTAAAAGACCCTTCTCAATTGATATGATTTGGATTATTTTGTAACATAGTTTTATTTTAGTTTTTTATTAATTTACCCTCATATCCATATTTTATCATTAAAATTAATGTGGCTTGCAAGCCAACAGTGTGGATAGGTAGTTCCACTTAATTTAATTATTTTTATATTTTTATTTTAAATTAAAAATTACAAGAAAATCATCACCATTGAAACTTTTCTGCAGTAAAAGAATGCCATTGTTGCTAGCGTTGGAACTCAGAAAGGCCCAAAACCTTAGGCCCATTTCACAAATGTTAACGGCCCGGCCCATAAATTAAACCACCAACCCCCCAGGACTCGACGGCCCGATAAAATCATTCGTTCACGTGGCAGACCATGGACGAATGATTGCAGCCCATGTTTACAGCCGGCCCAAACGCCTACAGTCGAGCCCCGCGTGGCCGATTACGTCCGACGTGGTAGGATTTAGCACATCCATGTGTCGATCAAGGAGAGGCAAATGTCACGGCCTCCTCTTGGCCCCCGTCAGAAAGGAGAAACGGAGACGCATCTCCCCGGCATTCTCACGGCGCCTCGTTGGAAACGGGGGAGAAGAGAGGCGGAAGAGGGAGGAGAAGGTGAAAAGGCGGCGCTATGGGGGAGGAGAGGGTGAAGGAGGAGGCCCTACAGATCCTGGGCGTCTTCCAGGCCCTCCCTCGCCTGGTCGTGTTCGACCTCGACTACACCCTCTGGCCTTTCTACTGGTAAGAAATACCCGAGTTACGCCTGTTTCTGCTTTGCATATGAGAAAACCAGTCGATGCGTATATAGATGGCGTAGGATGAACGGCTTCTGAAGCAATAATCGGATTTAGGATTCATGAATCATGATGATAGTGATGATGCCCCCGGCGTAACATGGTGAGCATCTGTTCCTTTCAGCGCATGATATCGAAAGCAGGAGGGATTAGGGTTTGTGTTTGGAATCCTTTCTTCACCGAGTGATGGTTGGTTGGATTCTGATGCTCACGCACATCATGAGTTTGTTGTTTGCTTTTCTCGAGACGAGGAATAATTTTCTTTTCCAGGGAAATTTAGTTAAATCTCTCCATCGATCCCGTTTGTCTGCGTAGCTCTGGCGAAACACGGCATCGAGTTCGACCTCAGAGGCTGTCCAACTACTCCCCTCCCATATTCCTCTGGTTGGAGCTTCATTTTTGCCTGAATTTTGCGTCTGACTAGAACAACATTTTTTTGCTTGTACACTCCCCTCCCCCTTTTTCAATCCTCTATTTTTTTCGTCTGCAGACTCCATCAATATCCTCTGCCCACGGAACTTGCGTCCTTCTCTTCATGACGGCTTTACTCGCCCTCTTTTTCTTGAGTTGATGAGGCTTTACCTTCTCCTTTGACTTTGGCTTTCACTCCTTTAAGCTTGGGCCACCCTGTTCAGATTTTGATAAGTTTATATTAATCAAATAAAAACATACTATCCACCCTTCAGTAGCTTCCCTAACATTCTCCAAGAGTTCCATCTGGTTAAAGATGAAGGGACGGTGGACTGCCAACTAATCAGGGGATACACGAGGAAGAATGCAAATGTTTGCTTACAGACCGCGGTGCTTTGCCCACTCCCACTCCTCGATCCAACAGCAACCAGTTGAAGAACTAGATGACCAACTGCGAAAGCTTAGTTGATAGGGGGATGGCATGCCGAATTTTATGAAGATGGAGGCTTGGGCCTTCCGAGTATATTATCTGGATTCCTTCTTTAGGCTTCCCAGTTCGTCTAAGAACCAGCCAATCTTATGCTTGAGCGTTATGATTGCTTCTCGAGTCTTGTGAATGATTAACTTTCTCTAATCCCCATGTTCATGCGCTGTGGTTTATCTTACCATATCAGGTAATCTTTTTGAATGAGCTTCCTAATCGGTCTGCATGCTCTCAGTTGATCGAATTATCAACTTACTGGAAATGTTCATTCCAAAAGTCTGGAAATTTTCCTTAATGTTAACGATTAGCCGTCAATAAATCTCTCAGCCCCAATCTGGCTTGACTATTTATCAGCATTTAGCAGGGAAAAGATATAATCTTCCATTCCTGCGCATTCTGACTGTTGGATTTATTTTCTTCCTAGTGAATGCCGCTCCAAGAGAGAGATGCCGCGCTTGTACCCACAGGCAAAGGGTATTCTGCATGCGCTGAAGGATAAAGGCATAGATGTTGCCATTGCTTCCCGTTCGCCGACGCCTGACATCGCCAAGACGTTCCTGGACAAACTAGGCATCCAATCCAGCTTCGTGGCCCAGGTCAATCTGCTGCTTCTATCCTTGTATCCATGGAGAGATCCCTTGCCGTTCACCCATATGCCGGATGTTCTTAAAATGATTTATTATATGTGATTAGAGATGATGGTGGGTTCCATTTTTTTTGTTCTGTTTGACAAAGTATGTATTATTCATGCCCATCGTTGACATGGTGAGTTGTTGTTCTTCGTCGTCCTGCAACTCAGGAGATCTTCTCCAGCTGGACGCACAAGACGGAGCACTTCCAGAGGATCCACCGGAGGACCGGAGTGCCCTTCAAGTCGATGCTCTTCTTTGATGACGAGGACAGGAACATCGAAGCGGTGAGCACTGAATGGACTCTCTCTCTCTCTCTCTCTCTCTCTCTCTCTCTCTCTCTCTCTCTCTCTCTCCCATTGACCCAGCATCTATTCATCCGTTTCCCTCTCCCTCTCTCTCCTCAGGTGTCTAGCATGGGGGTGACGAGCATATACGTCGGCAATGGAGTGAACCTTGAAGCTTTCAGGCTGGGGCTGAGGACATTCGCCCAGAAGTCGGTCACGCCCACTAGAAGCTCCAGCAACTAGCCGGTCCCTCTCTCTCTCTCTCTCTCTCTCTCCCCCTCATACCAGCCTGCTGCGTCCAGCAGGATCAGTATCCCTGCATTTTCTCTGTTTTTTACTGTAATCCGAGAATGGAGGGCTCCGAGAGAAACAGCCGATGAACAAAAAAATATATGCCCAAACGCATGATAAATGCGAATCCACCGCAACTTATTCATTGATCAAGACAGAGGGCCCCGAGCTTCAAAGCCAGAACCAGGCGCAGAGAGAGAGACACATATGCCTCAGTTGAAGGAAGACCCAGCGGCGGCAGGCGCTGCTGCAGCGGGCGGGCGAGCTTGGTCCACTCGGTGTGGAAGGAATCAGGGTGGTTGAGGTGCTCGCAGGTGTGTGCCCCTACTGAAAAATCATAAGAGAGAGGGTTCGAACCAAGTTACCAACTAATTATGAGGAAGCATGGTACTAGTTTAATTATGACGGAGAACTGAAAAATCGTCGTTAATAATGAAATCAGGTCCCAAGACAACCCATTATGCTGCATCAGTTATTATTTCTGACAGTATGTTATTCCAGAAATATGGGTAAATCAACGGGGCTATAATGGTCATTACACGAGTCTTAGCTAACACTCTTCCCCTCCGGTTCCTCAGCGGCTAAATCCAAAGATTAATGTTAGGTCTTCCCATTGTCGGAAGATTAAAATATCAGCATTTACAGTAGACTCACGCATAAAAATTTGCAAGGCCTGGCGTCGCTGGCTCATCTGTCAACCTCCAAAAACACCACCCACAGCTGAAGTTCAATACTTCTGCGCGAGATTATACGAAAATACCCTCTGTTCATTGTTGCCTGTGCTATTCTCGACCTATTGGTTCATTTCGAATTTCTTGGATGTTGATGGGCAAAATATTTATCGTTATGAGACATAAAAGTCCTGATTGAAAATTTCATAGAAAGTCGAGTTTTCAAAGACAATGGCGTGGCCATAGACTTTTTCACGCACTGCTCAACTCCACAAGTCTCTTACTAGGCCTAAACCTCCCAGAGGCCGAGCGATTTGACCCAGCCCTTCACCTGCAACGGGGGAAATATCCCCCAACGTTCCCAAGTCGAAACCTTTGGTTAACTGTCAACCGTGGCCATACGTTGGTACGTCCATTCGAGAACAAAGGTCTCAATAACTAATCTCCCGTGTGAACTGTTATGTTACAACGCCCCATGAAGATGGGGTTGGCATTGGCCTGAGAAGGCACCGAAAGTCTTTGCCATCACAGTATATGCTCACCTCGCTCGCCAGGAAACCAGGCCACCAGTGATGGAAGGAGGAACGAGCTCTGCTACCTTGAAGGGGACACTGTGGTTCCCCCCATCCTTACGGTTTCTCCTAGTCTTTTTCTTTCTATTGTTCTTCTTCTCCACCTTCGCAACCCAACCGGTACATAGCCAGTCCCAGGAAGGTACGTCTGCTCTATGACTCACAGCTATGGAATTATGCCTCAGTTTTTTCTCCAAGGCATGGCTATTTACTCCTACCAAAACACTGCTTGTTATTTCCCCTTGCTCCCGATCCTTGGCTGCTTCTATCTGATTCCCCTTCCGCACTGGGGGGATGGATCAGTTCTGGCTTTGGGTGCAGAGATATCTATCATACAAGACTTAGGACAAGCATTGATGAATATCATGCAGGTTTCATAAGCATAGATTGTGGCAACCCTGACGGCGCAGACTATGAAGACCCCAGCACTAAAATAACCTTTTCCCCAGACTCGAGGTACATCAATAGGGGGGAGAACAAGATCGTCTCAAATAACCCATTTTCTCGGCAATATGAAACTCTCCGAAGCTTCCCCAATGGGGATCGCAACTGCTACAAGCTGTGGCCGGTGCAGACCGGCAAGAAGTACCTGATTCGAGCTGGGTTCTGGTATGGGAACTAGGACAAAAGGAGGAACGTTCCCACGTTCGACCTCCATATCGGGGTCAACTTCTGGACCACCGTCCGACTGTCATTCGACGGCGCCGGCATATTCGAGATCATCACGGTAGCCTCGGGGGATTTCCTCTGGGTGTGCCTGATCAACACGGGCAAGGGGACGCCCTTCATATCGACTCTCGAGCTGAGGCCACTCCCCGACTTCATGTATCCCATCGCGAGCCTGTCCCAGCATTTGGTCTATGAATCGCGAAAGAACTTCGGAGCGACATACCAGTTGAGGTAGTCGACAATTATTCCAATAGACGAATTTCGCAACCAACGGTTCAAATCCTAGCATTTGTTTACCCGGTTATATTGCCTGCTGGTTCAGATGGGAAGGGTACGGACTGACCGGGCCTAGACCTTGGAAAGCCCAGAGTTACCCTTTTCAATCTGTCACACGCAAACAATTAGCATAACTAATAAGCATTTATTTCTGATGTAGGTACTCAGATGATCCATATGACCGCATCCGGTTCAACGCCTCCACCCGCTTCCACAAGTTCACTGGCTCGAGTGAAGTGGCCCCAAAAGTAGGAGACAGGTTTCAAGTCCCTTCAAAAGTCATGGCCACAGCAGTCATAAGTTCAGTCTTCTTGGGAATAGATGGTGATCCTTGGGATAGAGTCTACGTCATCATGCATTTCACAGAACTCAAAGCATTGAACTCAACGAACAACACAAAGTTGATAAGTGTCTACAAAAGGTTACCCGAAGGTTGGTTGTATGATAAATATAGCCCACCTTTTGGAGTAGACCATAAGGAGGTCATCAATGATCCTATTCAGAGTAGCAGAAGCTTTTCATTGTTTATCTACATATTAATCTCATTCACCCATCCTCCCTTACTGAAGGTTAGTTGGAAAATTAAAAATGTAGAGAACTTAGGTGAGGTGAAAGGAGGGAGAAGCTGAGGTGGCACCATAACCTTTGACCAGATAAGTCTGACCATTGGCAATGGTGATAGGGGAATCGGTTGAAGTAGGCTGACAGAATGAGAGAATAGTGAGGATACCAGTCATGTGGGTGGAGGCCTCTGAATCAATAATCCATGACGTTGAAGAGGAAGCAAAGAGAATGTGTGTACTTGGTATGGAGAAGGCTGAAAACGAGGTGAGACTAACAAAGGTGAAAGCGTCGATACTATTGATATAGCGAAGGGCATCATATTCTACAAGCATCAAGGTCACGTGGAAGGTAAGAGCTGAAAGATGGGATGAAGTAGGGGACGTCAAAGTCTGAGAAGTTATCGCCAATTGTGTGGAAGCGGGCTTGCCAAATTACTTCCAACACTTAGTAGCCAAATGATTCTACTTCCGGTAGAAAGGACATGGAGGAAAAATGTTGTGCCCACATTTGCGAAGAGTACAATTACGATTAGTGCGAGAAGGGGGGGTATCATATCGAGCTCACAGAGCAGCACCAGCAAGAGCTGAAGGAGTAGAAGTGGTGCCTCGAGAGGAAGAAGACAAGTGGATGAGTGTACATGTGGTGACTTGAAGGGCTATCGAGAAGATGAAGATGAGATCAAGCACATGATTCATAGAGAGAATAGCCCCCTAGATCTGAGATGTGATGGATGGATGAAGTTCACTAAGATAAACCCTAATTGAGACTACAAGTAGGTCAGAAGTGTAGTCGGGTGAAGCTACAAGTTAGGACTCAAGTAGCTATGGACCGATGTGGACATGTGTGCATCACTCTCTTTTCACACCACTAGTGGCAAGTCGGGCATGAGGTAAAGAGTGGTCATACACACGTGAAAAAGGGACTCATTGATTCCCAAATCTCATATTACTATATATTCATCCCAAACTTCTGCATGTAATTGATGTGGGACTAAACCCTCATCACATTTTCTCCGAAATGTTTTCAATAATTTTAATATTGAAAATGTCCCTCATTTATAACAACAAGATATCATGATGATGTCACTGTATAAAGACATTTGAGAACTTATTTCCCTCTCTCTCATATAGATGGGCAACCGGTTATGAGTTCAAATCTTATTAGAGTCAAAACTCGTATTTTTATCTAATTAAATTATGACTTTTCTACAAATCACCGGTGAAGGATTAAGCCACCAGAATTGCTCAATCATCGATAAAAATCTCGTCAATATGATTTGCAGAGCATTGTTACTAAAATTTTTGAACAATTCACGATAAAAGGATCGTGAATCTATTAAGTCATCTTCAATTGATTGACAAATAAGTCATCGTCGGGAAGAGGATGATCTACTAAGATATGAATCGTCACCTCCTAAGAACATACTAGATATAATGAAGAGCCTCTTCTTACTACACAAACTTGAGTATGAAGCTCCCTAACACGTGCCCCACCTTTATTTAACTCTTCTCCATCGAGTGACTACCGCTGAAGAGTTACAAAGTTATCATTTTTTCACTTCAGCTGATGATCGCTGATGTGACTTAGTAGTTTTTTACTGCACTAGATATAGTTCACATAAATTTAAAATTTATAAAACTAAGAAATACTAATTTTTAGATATTTAGAAGTATTTTTAAATAAATATATCAATTATACTTTAATAAAAGTTTTAAAAATAATAAAAAAATTTCAAGACAATCATAGAGATGTAATATAATGTAAGATAATTTTTCAAAATTTTTCTCAAATAATATATTTTTTTATAAATTTGATATTAATAAATAAAAATAAAATATATCTTATTATAAAGTCTAAAGATCAATAAAATGAGTTGTCGAATCATCTTTAGCAGTTGTCACTCAGTGGAATAAAAAAATGACAACTTTGTGGCTCTCCAACAACTATCACTTGATAGAGAAAAGCTAGATAGAGATAGGGCACGTGTCAAGGAGCTTCATCTTTAAGTCCACATAGTAAAAGGAGCCTCTTCATTGCATCTGATATGCTCTCAAAAGGTGGCAACTCATCTCTCAACAAATTGCTCTCTTCTTAACGATGACTTGTTCGTCAATCAATCAAGGATGATTTACTTAATAGATTTGTCATCTTTTTATCTTGAATCATTCAGTAATTTAGTAACAATATTTTATGAATCACGTTGATGAGATTTTCGTCGATGATCAAACAATTCTGATGACTTAATCCTTCATCGATGATCTGTAGGAAAGTCGCAATTTTTAATCAAATAAAAATACAAGTTTTGACTCTAGTAGGATTCAAACTTGTGTCAGTCGTCTACTTGCATGAGAGAGAGGGAATAAGTTCTCAAAAATCCTTATATAGTGATGTCATTATGATATCTCGCTATTATAAATAAAGAGTATTTTAGGTATTAAAATCTTTAAAATATTCTGAGGAAGGTGTGACCATCGATCTAGTCCCACATCAATTATATGCAGAGTGTTGAGACACATATATATAATATGAGATTTAGTCATTTTGAAACAACATTGGACTTAGCTATTTAGTCAATGATAGATCTAGGAATTAATGAGTCCCTTTCTCACATGTGTATGACCACTCCTTGCCCCACAATCAACTAGCCACTAATAACATAGAAGGAGAGTGACGCACATGTGCCCCCATCAGTCCATAGCCCCTCAAGCCCATGCTCACAACTCCACCGCGACTACACTTCCAACCCGTTTGTGGGCCTAGCTGGCTGGTAGGTCCCCTCCCCCCCCCCCTATTTTTTATATTTTTTTATTTTTTTTATTTTTCTTCAATTATTTCAAAAGTAGGATTATAAAATTAAATAAATTCACATAAAATCACATAATTAGCCAAAAAATCACACTAGTTAATTTAAAATCACTTTTCATAATTTTACATAAATATAAATATATTTATCATGAGTTAAGGCTAAAACTATATTATTTATTATTTTTTAATTGATGATAATGAAGATTTATCAATAGCCACTAGAGACAATTCGATGACCCATTTTATTGATCTCTAAACTTCACAAGAAGATCAAGAGATTACCCACATTGCCGAGTGTCTTTGTCCATAAATATTTTTAAACATCTAAAAATTGATATTTTCTACCTTTATAAATTTTAAATTTACATGATTTACTATACAACAACTAAGTCACATCAAGAACCTTCTCTATTTAAATCTTCTTTTTTTACCTTTTTCTCAATCTACTTGAGGGATCTCCATATCTCTCCTAGATCCAAAAGAATCACTCTAGATGTAGGAAACTCACTCCAAGTTTTCATGATTTGTTCACATATTTTCACATGCCACACACACCCACCTGCCACATGTGCTATATGCACATGCCACACATGGCTCAACTGTGCACCTCCTTTTGTACGTGTCTCATAGGCTCACTAGGCCTCATACCAATTGTGAGGTTCTAGGAATGTCACACCTACCTTCCCAGTCAATTGATAGCCTTTTTGTGTATGGTACTTCATATGGTGGTTGTAAGAGAGAGAGAGAGAGAGAGAGAGAGAGAGAGAGAGAGAGAGAGTTGAATAAAAGTGGTGTAAATGGAAAGAGGGCTAGAATAGGTTGGACATGGTCCAAACTATACCCATTCCAAGACCCAACCCTGACAGTGAACAAACCAGCTTCAGATCATGTACAAGGAAATATTCAAAGGTCAAGCCTAGAAGAGAATAGCCCAAGCTCTAGACTTACAATTTCCAGTCAATGACTCAAATGTTGACCTTGACTTTGGCACAACTTCTCTAGTAGTTATTTGCAAGCCAATGAAATGTTGATCCTTCCTCATGAAAGTGCTTCATTAGATGGCTAGGATACGAAGTCAATGTTAACATGTCTGAAGGTGACATAAACATTTCCCTATTTGTGTGGCCAATTTGGTCATCCTCAAAATTGTATTGAAAAGTGATTTTTAAGCTATTTTATATATATCATATCTTTTTTGTCGCATCTGAAGTTTACAAGCTCTAGGCCTAGTACATCCAAACATCAAGTTGTGCTGCCCCAACCCATTCCTTACTCTGATATGTTTTATTCTTGAAATTTCAGTGAATCAAGTGGCAAGGATGGTTATTACATGAGACATAACCCCACACTCTTCCCCTTGAGGTCTTGGGCAGCTTAAATTAATTGCTTTACTTCTTATTTCTACACAACTTAGAATTCTCAAAGTGTGATATTTGGAGCAACCTTACGAGTAATGCCCTTTCTCCAAATCTGCCAAAGTACAATTGTGAATATTCGAGAGAAAGAATGTCATGCCCTTCATAATGAGAAAATAACCTGCAATGTTTTTGATGATTTTAATATTAAAAATAACCTTCATAACCCTTTCTCTGGAATGTTTTTGATGATTTTAATATTGAAAATACCCCTTATTTATAACAACGAGATATCATGATGACATCACTATATAAGGACATTCAAGAACTTACTTCCCTTTCTCTCATGTAGATGGGCGACCGGTTAGGAGTCCAAATTCTATCAGAGTCAAAACTCATATCTTTATCTAATTAGATTATGACTTTTCTATAAATGACCGGTGAAGGATTAAGCCACTAGAATTGCTTGATCATTGATAAAAATCTCATCAATATGATTCGCAGAGCATTGTTACTAAAATTTCTGAATAATTTATGATAAAAAGATTGTGAATCTGTCAAGTAAGTCATCTTCAATTGATTGACAAATAAGTCATTGTCGAGAAGAGGACGATCTACTGAGATATGAATCATCACCTCCTAAGAATGTATCAAATGTAATGAAGAGTCTCTTCTTACTACACAGACTTGAGGATGAAGCTCCCTAACATGTGCCCTACCTCTATTCAACTCTTTTCCGTCGGGTGACTACCACAAAAGAATCACAAAGTTATCATTTTTTCACTTCACTTGATGATAGTTGATGTGACTTAGTAGTTTTTTACTCCACTAGATATAGTTCACGTAAATTTAAATTTTATAAAACTAAAAAATACTAATTTTTAGATATTTAGAAGTATTTATAAATAAACATATCAATTATACCTTAACAAAAGTTTTTAAAATAGTAAAAAATTTTCAAGACAATCAGAGGGATGTAATATAATGTAAGATAATTTTTCAAATTTTTCTCAAAGAATATAATTTTTTATAAATTTGAGATTAAAAAATAAAAATAAAATATATTTAAAATTCACAAAAAAAGAAAATAAGGGTGTGGACATCAAGATGACATCAGTACTCGACGAATGTGAATCGAATAGAAATAAAGTTCCACTCAGTGATTCTTACATAAGTGATTATAGATGATTTGATTGATCAAATTAAGATCTATAAAAGTTAAAATAATCTTAATTGAATAAAGAATTATTTGGTATTTAAATCACATAAATTATCATTAAATAAAATAAAAATTAAGTTGAAAGTAAGAAAACAAAATTACTACATCGCGACGGCGATGCATTGGTGATGCATCGAAATCATGAGCATTTAAAAAGATTGTCGTGTAGTGTCCACGACTTCAAAGGCTCTCCTTAGACAAAGACGACGTGGGCAATCTCTAGATCTTGTTATAAAGTTTAGAGATCAATAAAATGAGTCGTTGAATCATCTTTAGCAGTTGTCACCCAGTGGAGCGAAAAAATGACAACTTTGTGGCTCTCCAACAACTATCACTTGACGGAGAAGAGCTGGATGGAGGTAGGACATGTGTCAAGGAGCTTCATCTTTAGGTCCACATAGTAAGAGGAGGTTTTTCATCGCATCTGATACACTCTCAAGAGGTGACAACTCATCTCTTGGTAAATCATTCTTTTTCTAACAATAATTTATTCGTCAATCAATCGGAGATGATTTACTCAATAGATTTGTAATCTTTTTATCTTGAATCATTCAATAATTTAGTAACAATATTTTGTGAATCCTGTTGACAAGATTTTCCTCGATGATCAAGTAATTCTAATGACTTAATCCTTCACTGACGATCTACAAGAAAGTCGTGATTTAATCAAATAAAAATACAAGTTTTGCCCCAAAACCAACTGGCCACTAATGACATGGAAGGAGAGTAATGCACATGTGCCTCCATCGGTCTATAGCCCCTCAAGCCCTTACTCGTGGCTCAGCCGCAACTACACTTCCAACCCACTTGTGGGCCTAGCTGGTCGGCAGGTCCCTTCCCCCCCCCCCCCCCCCTTTTTTCTATTTTTTTATTTTCTTTTATTTTTCTTTATTAATCTCAAAAATAGGATTATAAAATTATATAAATTCACATAAAATCACATAATTAGCCAAAAAATCACATTAATCAATTTAAAATAACTTTTCATAATTTTACATAAATATAAATATATTTATCATAAGTTAAAACTAAAACTATATTATTTATTATTTTTTAACTAATGATAATGAAGATTTACCAATAGCCACTAGAGACGATTCGATGACCCATTTCATTGATCTCTAGACTTCACAAGAAGATCTAGAAATTACCCACATCGTCTTTATCTAAGGAGAGATTTTGAGGCCATGGACACAACATGACAATCTTTCCAAACACTCAAAAATTGCAATGCATTATCAACGCATCGTCGTTGTGATGCCGGAACTTTGTTTTTCCTACTTTCAACTTAATTTTTACTTCATCTAGACATAATTTGTGTGATTTAAAATTTTCAAACTACTCTTCATTTAATTATAATTCTTCCAAATTTTACATATCTTAATTTGACCAATTAAATTATTTGTAATCACTTACATAAGAATTGTCAGGTGAAACTTTATTTTCACTCGATTTACGTTCATAAGGTGATGACATCATCTTGACATCTACACTCTTATTTTTCTTTTTGTGAATTTAAATATATTTTATTTTTATTTATTAGTATAAAATTTCTAAAAAAATTATATTATTTGTAATAAATTCTGAAATATTATCATATATTATATTACATCCCTATGATTGACCTAGAAAATTATTGTTATTTTTTAAAATTTTATTAAATTAGAATTGATATATTAATTCAGAAATATTTTTAAACATCTAAAAATTAATATTTTCTACTTTGATAAATTTTAAATTTACATGATTTACTATACAACAACTAAGTCACGTCAAGAACCTTCTCTATTTAAATCCTCTTTTATTACCTTTTTCTCAATCTACTTGAGGGATCTCTAGATCTCTCCTAGATCCAAAAGAATCACTCTAGATATAGGAAACTTACATATTTTCACATGCCACACACACCCACCTGCCACATGTGCTATGCAAATGCCACACATGGCTTAGTTGTGCACCTCCTTTTGTATGTGTCTCACAAGCTCACTAGACCTCATACCAATTGTGAGGTTCTAGGAATGTCACACCTACCTTCCCAATCAATTGATAGCCTTTTTGTGTATGGTACTTCATATGGTGGTTGTAAGAGAGAGAAAGAGAGAGAGAGAGTTGAATAAAGTGGTGTAAATGGAAAGAGGGCTAGAATAGGTTGGACATGGTCCAAACTATACCCATTCCAAGACCCAGCCCTGATAGTGAACAAACCAGCTTCAGATCATGTACAAGGAAATATTCAAAGGTCAAGCCTAGAAGAGAATAGCCCAAGCTCTAGACTTACAATTTCCAATCAATGACTCAAATGTTGACTTTGATTTTGGCACGGCTTCTCTAGTAGTTATTTGCAAGCCAATGAAATGTTGATCCTTCCTCATGAAAGTGCTTCATTAGATGGCTAGGATACGAAGTCAATGTTAACATGTCTGAAGGTGACATAAACATTTCCCTATTTGTGTGGCCAATTTGGTCATCCTCAAAATTGTATTGAAAAGTGATTTTTAAGCTATTTTATATATATCATATCTTTTTTGTCACATTTGAAGTTTACAAGCTCTAGGCCTAGTACATCCAGACATCAAGTTGTGCTGCTCCAACCCATTCCTTATTCTGATATGTTTTATTCTTGAAATTTCAGTGAATCAAGTGGCCAAGATGGTCATTACACGAGACATAACCCCACACTCTTCCCCTTGAGGTCTTGGGCAGCTTAAATTAATTGCTTTACTTCTTATTTCTACAAAACTTAGAATTCTCAAAGTGTGATATTTGGAGCAACCTTACGAGTAATGCCCTTTCTCCAGATCTGCCAAAGTACATCCATGAATATTCGAGAGACAGAATGTAATGTCCTGCATAAGGAGAAAATAACCTGCTTGTCTACAATTGTTTTGCCTTTGTTTGGGGGAGCTACAATGAACTGGTTATTTACACACAAAATAACATAAAAAGAGTTATCCGATGTCTATTGGCAACTTTTCTAAGAGACCAGCTTTGTTACAAACTTGAGACATTGACCTGAATTCATCCTTTTCAGCCAAGATGTTGATTGTAAGTATGATTTCCAATAATGAATAGAACTTACCCAGATTAAAGGGGTATTAAAATCCAACAGCATGATTGGATTTCAGAAAATATTAGTGCAACCATAGGCATCAAAAGTTTTAAACTGGGTGGAATCCCGTACCACAAAGTCGCATATCGTGACCACAAAGTCACATACGACTTGTCTTTCGCGCGATCATTAGAAATCTGGGCCTCCAAGGAGACGAGCTATATTTCCATGAAATATTACCATCCTCATCAGTTGCTTTTAAATCGTCCATCCGTCTGAAAAAAAAGCTCTCCAAGCCATTGATGATGTCGAGCGTGCGAGGCATGTCGACCTGTGGGCAGAGAATTTGTCTCTCTAGGGTTCCCACCAAGAGAGTAGAGAGGTGATACTATGCATGAACTGCCTCCATGAATGGAGGCCTCTAATCCTCGTCTAGAAACTCGAGATTTCCCTTCTTGTAGAGGTCGATTATCTCTGTCTCGTCATCATTGAACCTCTCTCGATGTCTACAAACTGCATGATGATGTAGGCTTCCTCGCTTAGCATCCTAGGAATCATGTAACCTTGGGCCTCATAGAATCCTATGCTCAGTGTCGCTTGACCAACCATGAAGGCCCCCCTCTCTTCCTTTTTCACCTCTCCCATGGCGTTAAGCGTTTATCCGGAGTAACGTATCCCTACTTAATGCAGCCATATTCATGGCTTTGACATCTCTAATGGGAAAATGTTTCATATATGTACCGACAAAGGACAGGAGAGATTTAAGCCAAGAGGATAAAGTCTCGATTAAGACATAGGCATGTCTATCTTACCGAGTTGAGCTAACTGTGCCACAAATCTCTGTTTTGTACACTAACATAGAGACTTAATATGACTTGCAGCACAATCAAATTTTAAATTTTCAATTCTATATACGAAGGTTTGGCTAGACTGTTGCAAGAGTTCTCATGAACTCATAGATCTAGACAAGATCTCAATGCATGCATGTATGTCATATAAATTTTTCTAATGCACTTCCTGTTTACAAAAATCGACATCACTAGTTGACCTTATAAAATAATTTCCATATAATCTTTTTTGAAGATTCCTTTCAACAACACTACTATATTGGAAATAAGGAACCTTCAAGCACTTTTAATCTTTGATGCAACACTGAGGAGCAATAATATGCACTTATTAAAAAAAGTGTAAAAGATCATTACATGTAAGGAGAAATGACACTAACAATGAGTGTAATTATGAAAAATTAAATAAATTCCAAAGATGGAAGTATCCAATAGACCATTATTATTTCATATTTTCATAGAGAACCAACATTGATGAAAGTTAATATGCACTTAAAACATTCATTTCCTCAAATACTCAAATCATTGAGCTCTACAAACATAGGTTTTGAACAAACAATTCTTTTGATGTCTATAACCAAACTAAAGTTAAGATTAAAGTCTAAGACAATCTTCAAACAATTAGTTTGACAATTTCAATCTTGGTATAGTCTCATGAATCTAAATCAGCACTCACTCATCACCTATAAGAAACTATCTAGCTAATAAAGCTAGTGGAGTACTTGATATAGAATATAATGTGTCATTCATACTTTGCATTGAGGAATTGACACCTCCAAGCACATTGTGTGATTCATTCACCTCCACGCATTCCTTCAATTGTGTAACAACATTACTCATTGTTATCCTTTCTTCTAGTGTTGTTGATGTACATGACATTGCTATTTCTACTATTTTCCATGTCATATTGATGTTGAAATCTCCTTGCAACCTAGGGTCGATAATACTCATAATATCACCTCTGTCAACTTTTGAATGAACCCATTTAACAATATGTGTCTTCTCAATGGACTTTTGATATGGTGGTTGACCAGTTATAATCTCCAAAAGAACAATTCCAAAACTATATACATCACTTTTCTCATTTAGTCTATAGTCTTGGTAATACCTGCAAAAATAAAGAGAAGATCATTCTCGATAAGTACTTTTTACTATTTTACCAATTAGTTTACAAAAAAGTGTAAACTTAATAGAAAAAATTATAGGAACAACAATAAAGAAGTAAACATACCGAGGATCAAGATACCCTGGAGTACCAACTAACCCAGTCGTTATGTGTGTAGCACTATCATTATTGAATGCTCTTGATAGTCCAAAGTCAGCTATCTTTGCAACAAGCCCGCAATTTAAGAGAATGTTACTACTCTTTATATCTCTATGAATAATAGGTGGTCTACATCCATTATGTAGATAATCTAGCCCTGCAATTTTTTTGAACTTTTGGTCATGTAAAATTTTATTTTATGACAAATGAAAAGTTTAGTCAAGTTTGTACAAACAAAGGTACCTTGTGCAGCTTGAAGTGCTATATTCACTCTTTGGCTCCAATTTAAAAGACTAGCATTGTGAATTTCACCTAAAAGAACAATGGTAGTTATTTTAGTGGTATCCTATATTGTTGATGCTCATGTTATAAAAGGTCATCTATTTATGCCATTAAATTGAGAATTAGGTAATTTGAATAGCAAGACCTGATAGATGATCTCGGAGGGTTCTATTATCCATATATTCATAAACAAGTGATAAATGTTGTGCATCATCACAATACCCCAATAAGCACACTAAGTTTTTGTGGTGCACTCTTGCCAACAATAGAACCTGAAACATGAGTAGCTCATTACTTCATATGTATGTTGTATATAATGATGGGTCCTACATTATTTTTAACTAGATAATAATGTATTATGTAATAAAGATATGTTAAATACTTGATTGTACCTCTGCTTCAAATTCTTTAGATCCTTGTGAAGATGATGAAGAAAGAACCTTTACTGCAACCATAGTTCCATCTCTCAAGTGACCAAGATAAACAATCCCAAATCCCCCCTTACCAATTTGATGTTGAAAGTTTTTTGTAATTTGTCTAATTTCTGCATATGTATATTGCACAATTTCTCTTCTCCGGCCATTGTCATCTGTTTCAGCACTTCTAGTGTAGTTTTTTTTATTCAAGACACCTGAAAAGATTTGAATATCATAAAAAATGAGAAAGTTTCTTAACTCTTTGGACTGGTTTAGTTTTAAGAGCTTTTATATCAAAGAGGAGGGTATACTAAAATTTACCTCTAGAAGAATGAGATTTTCTCTTCCTTCTGATTATCCAAAATGATACAACCAACAAAATTGTAACAACTATTGATGTTGTTATCGTCACAGGAATGACAACCTTCTTATTGTTGGTGTCAGAATTCTTGCATTGCTTCAGCTTTCCACTCATACTATCAACAAGAAAGGATTATCACTAAATGAATATTTCTCAAAGAAATTATATTAGTAATAATTTTAATCACAAAGTTTACTTGTGTGAAACTGAAAAGGACACCATCTATTATAGTTTTTTGACTAGATGTCATAACTTACTATACAATTTTCACTTTCGTGTCATTATGATCTCCCATCATCTTTTTCATTTTACATCACCTATTTGATCATTGTATTCATACACTAAAAAAAAATAGACACTATAATTAAACCTCATTGTTGAGTTGTTCCGTATATTATATTTGTGAAATTTAATCATAATAAACATCATTGTTATTGTCTAGTGGTTTCACTAACCTTAAAGAAAGAGTGCCTTTGGACACCTTCTCACAAAGATTTTGAGGAATGACCCCAATGGCTTCATTTCCAGACAAGTTTCTACATGATCAAATAAACCTTCTCTTAGGAGAATTTCAAGCATCAGAGTGGTTAACAATTATTGGATAAGGTTGAACAGGAAACTTACATGAATCTAAGAGACAATAACTCTCCCAAAATATCTGGTACTGGTCCTGTCAAATTGTTATTTGACAAATCTCTGAAAGTTGGTAGGTTTCATTAATTGTCACGATTTACCTTATATGACTAATGACCGAAGAATAGAAACTAGACAAGACTGTTTATATCTTCTTTATTATGATTTATATGCCAATTATGATGGATAAATATGAAGAAAGAATTTTATTATATGTTCTCAAGCACTAATGCTTACAGTGTTGTAAGAGCAGTCAGGTTACCAATCGAAGTAGGAATTTGGCCATCTAGACCGCTTGATGATAAGTTCCTGCACAATTCAAATTTTTCACCATCTGAGCAATCATGAATCTATGAATTTCTAACATTTCCCTTCTAATTTTTTTCCTCCACAAGTTTTTTTTTATCAACTGCACTCACAGAGAAGTGATCCTCATGGATCTAGAGTCTTCATAGTACGTGCAATTGACTCCCTCCCAAATATATTCTCTTGGAGAACATGGGTCGGCCTCCCAATTTCTCACAAGCCTTAATACTCTTCTGATGTCGTCAATGGCAGAAACTGATACACCAAGTACAATGTTTTGATATAAGTGAGCAACACACTCAGAACGAAACATAATAATGGGCAACGAGACAGCACTTGGCAAATTTTCAGCGCATGGACCCCTAATGTTAATGAATTCTAGGTCGGTGTACAACGATATAGTAGAAGTTGATAAAATGATAGTGACCATGGACACAACTATGAGGTGAATGTGTAATAGGAGAGGGCAAAGGGAAATCAGACGACGTCTTACCATCACGAACGTCAGTTTGTGATTCGTTCATTTGCCTCACTACAAAACTCTCAAGCGCATTGATGATGTAAGAGAGAGTGGACGAGCTTGTGGCGTAGATAGAGATGTTGTAAAGTCCGGATGCGGAACGTCGAGTATCGACGATCTCTTTATGATCTACCCTTAAGTAAGGGGGCCTGTAATCCGTGAACAACAAAACCGTACCATCTACCACATAGATATTCAATCTTCTTGACTCGTTGGCTGGGTTGAGCTTCTGGAGCTCTGCGAAGTGCATGACAATGTATATCTTGTCGCCCAAGGTTCCAATGTCTTGCCAGCTATCTAGATGAAAGTTGGTGCGTGATTCAGAGATGGCCGATCTTAAAACCGGAGAGGGCACCTGAAAGGCATCTCCTTCTGTTGCCACAACTTCGATGGAGGTGTTCAATGTAAAGAAATTTTCGGCGACACCGTCCCAGACGCGGTCGTAAGGGTCATCCGGATACCTTCAAGAGAAAAAAATACGCCGTCATTTCTATTTGTTATCGCCTGTGTGTGCACTAGAACGTTGCGCAAGAAAGGTGTCCCATTTATTAAAGGTATCCATGGTTTATGCTCAGCAAAGATACAAGCCCACTATCCGGTATTCACGGCAGCAGCGTAAAACCCTGCTATATAGCCCTTCTCTCGTCGTTAGTGCTCCGTTGACCTGTTCTGAGTTTCCAGCCTTTTGGGCAGAAAAAACTGATGACTTGACATGGTTTCATAATATTTGGTGATTCAATAATCAAAACAATGTCAGGCAAAGAAGCGGAGATGGCAAAATAAATGGTCAGCAAATATTGGAGACGGATTGTTTCAAAGTATAGCCACCTTAGTTTGTTCGCCATTCCATAGTTCCAGCGCAGATGGTTGGCCAAAGATTGAGACGCGTTTGCGAGAGGATACATGAAGTCAAGGAGAGGCCTCAACTCGAGCGTGGATATGAACGGAGTGCCCTTACCCGTGTTGACAAGGCACACCCGTATAAGATCCGCGGGCGCCACCGTGATTATCTCCGAAGCACCTGGGCTGTCAGATTCCATTTTGACGTTGGTCCAGAAATTGACCCCGATGTGGAGATCGAAGATGGGGGGGAAGCCCCGGCCATCGTAGTTGCCATAGAGGAATCCGGCTCGAATCAGGTACTTGTCGCCGGATTTCACCGGGGACAGCGTAAAACAGTTCCGAGTCCCGTTGGGGAAGCTGCGTAGGGTTCGATATGGACGCGAAGATGAGTTGACTGGGATGATATGGTTCTCCCCCGTGTCGATGAATTGCGAGTCACCAATGTATGTTACTCCTGTTTCGTCGTCTCGATATTCCGAGCCACCCGCGAAGCCGCAATCAACGCTTATGAAGCCTGCAACGCCTTCCACTTATCAACTCTCGAGAGTGCCCTTGTTTCATAAAAGTGAGGGTCCATCTTTCGTCTGAGGAACCACAAGGGAGGGAAGCAGGATGAAGCAGAAGAGTAGGGAGCTATGTTACCTTTCTGAGTCTGGGCTTGAACCACCCGGGTCGCAAATGACGAGAAGACGCAGAAGAAGAAAAAAAGGAAGAAGAATGGCCAAGGAGTCAGTAAGCAACCCTTCCAGGGATTGAACGGAGGGAAGTTCATTCTTCCTTCCATTCCCTACGACGGCGAAACTTGACAGGCTCTACACGCAGAGACAAGGGAGAGGGGGGCGGGGGGATGGAAGGTGCTGCGTTCTCCACCATCTCTATTTCACAGTTACAGACAGGGAAGATAGCGGACGTCCAGCTCAGTAAACGTCAAGTGACGTTCTTGCATACGGCACAACTCCTCATATAATAACAGCCACGTTCCTCAGTTTCCGGGACGGAAGTATAGATTTTTATAAAAATTAAGGTTGGTTTTGACGTCGGCTTCATGTCCGGGAGATCATTCGTGGAGAGGCTGTTCCCTCACAATCTCCATTTATTTAACCAGGTCAACGTCAATCGGGGGCTTTTGACATGGTCGGCATATCTGGAGTCTTCTCCCACTCTACTGGATCATTGTCACTCTCGTACAGGCCTGGATTACGCCGTTAGGTCTGAGCCGGAGCTTCGGAGTGGCCCGACCCAGAGCTTCGGCCCCGTCGAGACCTTGTGGGGGAATCCTACATCGCCGGCCGATCGGCTATGGTACTTCAAACGGTGGCTGTAAGAGAAAAAGTCAAACAGGAGTGGTGTAACGGAAAGAGGGTAAGAGCAGATCGAGCATAGGCGTTAGTCGGAAGGTTGAGCTTCAGATGAACTCTCAGTGAAAATTCGAAGGAGACGAGTTGAACAGAACAGCCCAACCTTCAGACTTACCTTTCCAATCAACGACTCCAAAGTCGAGCCTGTTTTTGTCAGGTGCCGCGTTCTCCGCCGCCTGTATTTCACAGTTGCAGACAGGGAAGATCGCCGACGTCCAGCTCAGTGGCCGTCAAGTTACGTCTAGGCATATGGCACAACTCCTCATACAATCCTAGTCTCCTCCCTCACTTTCCGGGACGGAAGCATAGATTCCAATAAGAAAAAAACGAAGGTTGGTGAGTGCGGAACCTCATGTTCCCTCTCTATCTATCTCCATTTATTGAACCAGGTCAACGCCAATGGGGGGACTTTGACAGAGTCAGTATATCTGGCGGCCTCTCCCACTCTATTGGATCTTTGTCACTTTCCTACATGCCTGGATTACGCCATTAGATCTGAGCCGGAGCTTCGGAGCGACCCGAACCAAAGCCTCGGCCGGGTTGGGCCCTCGTGGGTGAGTCCTACCTCGCCGGCCGATTGATAGCCCTTCAGCGTACGATACTCCAAATGGTGGCTGTAAGAGAGAGAGAGTCAAACAGAAATGTTGTAAAAGGAAATAGGGTTAGACAAGATCGGGCACACGGGTAAGTCGGAAGCTTGGGCTTCAGATCAGGTCTCAGTGAAAATTCGAAGGTGAAGCTTAGAACAGAACATCCCGAGCCTCAGAGTTACCTTTCCTATCTACCGGCCCAAAGTTGACCCCGACTTTGGCACGGCATCTGTGGCAGTTACTTGCACGCCCATAGAAGGTTGATCGTTCCTCGTGAATGAAAGCCTTTCAGCGCATGGATGGGACATCAGGTAACGTTAACGTGTTTGATGACGAGGGCAAATGTTGCCCTATTGGTCCGACTAACGTAGTCCTTTGGAAATGATACTAAAAAATTCATAGTTTTTTAATATATCTCATAGTTTTCTTCCTGTATCATCTGAAGTTTGAAAGCTGAAGTTTGGCTAATCTAGCTGCCTCGTTGGGCTACTTCAGCCAATCCTCTTTGGGAACCATGTTCTCTTTGAAATTCGGATAAGAGCTAGGATGGTTATTACAAAGCACTATGCCGCAACCTTCCCCTTGAGGTCCCTTTCAGTATAAATTCATTGATATGTGTTAGGTCTTCCTATTCTTAAAGAATAAAATATCTACAATTATAATAGATAGATGTAAAATAAATAAATAAATATGAGTCTTGGCGTATGATCGCAAATGGGTCTATCTCTTATCCTCGATTGAAACCTTCTTGAACACCACCCACAGCTGAAGCACATTCTTTTACATGAGATAATACAAAACTTCTTGCGATATGACTAGTAAGTCTTTATTATCATGAGTTAATAATTAATAAATAATATAATTTTAGCCTTAACTCATGATAAACAGACTTATATTTGTTTAAAATTATAAAAAAGTAGTTTTTTAGTTAGTTAATGTGATTTTTTAACTAAGTATGTGATTTTATGTAAATTTATATAATTTTTATAATCTTTTTTTGAGATAAATAAAGAAAAATAAAATAAAATGATAGAAAAAAGGTGGAACATGTCAACCAATCGTGCTCGCAAGTAAATCAGAAGGATAGTCAAGTAGAGTTGTGAGTAGGGGCTCAAACGACTAAGGATGGACTAATGGGGACATGTGTGGGTCACTCTCCTTACACGTCACTAGTGGCTAACCAGGCATGGGGCAAGGAATGGTCATACACATGTGAGAAAGGGACTCATTAAATCCCAAATCTTGTATTACTATATATTCGTCTCAAAATTTGATGTATAACTAATATAAGACTAAATTGCGGTCACACCTTCCTCAAAATGTTTTAATCATTTATACGTCAAATACCTCTTGTTTATCACAAGGTACCCTAATGATGTCACTTTATAAAGGTATTTATATACTTATTTCACTCCCTCTTATGCAAGCGAGCGATCGGCGAGGGTTCAAATCCTACTAAAGTCAAAACTCATATTTTTATTTGATTAAACCACGATTTTTCCATAGATCGCCGGTGAAAGATTAAGCTACCAGAATCACTCAATCATCTATGAAAATCTTGTCAATGTGATTCATGGAGCATCATTATTAAAATTGTTAAATGACTTGCGATAAAAGGATCGCAAATCTATTGAGTAAATCATCAATGAAGAAGATAATCCACTAAGAGGTGAGTTCTCACCTCATGAGAGCATATCAAATGTAATGAAGAGTCTCCTCTTGTTGTGTAGACCTAAGGATGAAGTTTCCTAAGATGTGCCTTACCTCCATCTAGCTCATATTCGTCAGGTGACAAACACCGAAGAGCTGCAAAGTCATTATTTTTCTACTCTGTTGGGTGACAGTTGCTGGAGATGATTTGATGACCCAATTTATTAATCTCTAGACTTCATAAGAAGATCTAAAGATTGTCCACATCGTCCTTGTCTAATGAGAGCCTTTGAGACCATTGATAATACAAAAATCCTCCTAAATACTCAGAATTCTAACACATTATTGCCATGATGCCGAAACTCTATTTTATTATTTTTTAACTAATTTAACTTCCACTATCATTTTCTAGACTTTGAAAAGAGATCTAGTGAATGTCTAAGTCATCCATGTCTAAGGAGAGCTTTTGAGGTCATAGACATTATTCGATGATCCTCTCAAACATACGAAATTCTAGCGATCACTATCGTAAGGTCAAAATTATCTTTTTTACTTTCAACTTAATTTTTATTTTATTTAATAATAATTTATGTGATTTCAAGTTTCTAAATTATTCTTCGTTCAATTATGATTCTTCCAACTTGTACAAATCTTAATTTAACCAATTAAAACATTTGTAATCGCTTACATAAGAATCACCAGGTAGAACTCTATTTCTATCTTCTTTACATTTGTCGAGCATTGGCGTCATCTTGACGTCTGTACCTTTTTTTTCACAAACTTTAACTATATTTTATTTTTATTTCTTAGTCTAAAATTTATAAAAAAATCATGTTCTTTGTAGAAAATTTTGAAATATTATCTGATCTTATATTATATCTATGTGATTGGCTTAAAAAAAATACTATTTTTGAAACTTTTATTGAATTATGATTGGTATTTTTTTTGAATATTTTTAAATATCTGAAAAATAGTATTTTCTAGTTTTATAAATTTTTAATTTGTATGATTTATTATACAATGACTAAGTCATGTCAATGATTCATATCTCAACTAGGCTTAACAAAGTAGCCTATCCATAACCTATGTTATACACTAGTTCCAAAAAAAAGAGACATGCACTCTAAATTTAATATGTCTACCAGTATATCATTATGATTCTCTTATAGAGAAAGGGAGACATAAAACCATTGTTTTCAATCCAGGTTTAAGAGGTTTCTAAATAGACTTGATTTCTTGCTTTTCCTTTTTCCATCTACCCATCATTCGCTCTCGTGAGAACACAATATCTGGTTTGCTCTTCTTGTATAAAAGATGAAATAGACCATCTGGAGTCAGGTTGTTCTTGGAGCTACTTGAAATATACGATTGACTTTTCTCATAACAAAAGCAAATAGAGGGCTGAAAGGAGATTAATGATTGGTTGCATCATTGAAGTCAAATTAGAGAAGCAAAGAAGCTCGATCTTGGAAACTACACTAGATAGATCGCAAGAGCTATTAATATCAAAGTTGACTCGATAGAAACACTTTGATATCAAAGTGCCATAGAAGGATAATCACTTTGATATTAATAGCTCTCAGTTTGCTAGAACATTAGTTCTCTGCTAAATATGCAAATGAGTTATCATTCTAGGTGCAATAACTCAATGCTTATGGAAGCTTGAATTATTTTGGTGATGGTCCACAATGGTTCCAATTAAATAAGTGCCTTCTGCCCTTGTTTCATCCTCAATTTGTGCACTTAGTATTTTTTTCCCTTCTAGAGAGAGTATTCCTTTTATAGTCACTAATTTTTCATACTTTTTGTGTTATTTAGTAGTAATATGATGATCAAAATTGGTGTTAGCACAATAATGGCATGCTGTCATTTTTCTCATCTTCCTCTTTTGTCATTTTACATAGTCGTTTTACTCTTTGACCTGCTTAAAAGAGGATAAAATTACTCCAAAAAATAATATACATTATAAATCATGTTAGAAAATGGGCACTCTTTTCAAGAGTTGTATTGATACTTAATATTGAACATAAAGCAATTATGTAACTAAGTTTAAAGGCTTTTCTCAGTTGCTATGATTTAGATTTTATATAATATAATTCAAATATTATAATATTACTAATTAACCTTGTAATGAATCAGTTTGGCTTCCAAACCCCACGATGTGAAGAGGTGATCACACGTAATTTAATATTTTATTGGTATTTTTATTTTAAATTAAAAAATATAAAAAAAACCATCCTCATGCGGCTATTTTTCTCAATGAAAGAATGCTCTTATTGACCACTATGGTCTCATGAATGCCAAAAACGATATGGCATCATATTCAGCAGGGTGCTGTCATATGTCCATGTGGCAAAACCCAACCGTCACAGGAACCAAAGGTGAGAATCACGGCCCATGTTAACAGCCGGCCCACGTTCCTACCGAGGAGCCCCGCGTGGCCCATTGGCCGGAAATTCCAAGGCGCCTTGGCAAACATACACGGGGTAGAATGTCATTCATCCACGTGTCAATCCAGGAGAGACTCGCCTTTCAGGAATGGCATGGCCTCTTGGCCCATCTCAGAAAGAAGAAATGGAGGCGCATTGCCACCTGCTTTCTAACGTCGCCTGGTCGGAAGCGAAAAGAGGAGCGGCGGAAGAGGTGGAAGGAGGAAGAGCAGCGCAATGAGGGAGTAGAGGTTGAAGGAGGAGGCCCTGCAGATCCTGGTCGTGTTCGACCTCGACTAAACCATCTGGCCTTCTATTGGTAAAAATTCCCGAGTTACTCCCGTTTCTGCTTGCACGTGAAAGGAAACCAGTAGATACATTGATAGACGGCGTAGGATGAATGGTTTCCGAAGCATTAATTGGATTTAGGATCCATCAGATCATATGATGATAATGATGGTGCCCTCGGCGTGACTTGTTGAGTATCAGTTTCCCTTTCAACGCGTGATGTAGAGAGTGGGAGGGATTAGAGTTTGTGTTTGGGATTCTTTCTTCACCGAGTGATGTTTGGTTGGTTGGTTGGTTGGTTGGTTGGTTGGATTCTGATGCTAACATACTCTGTTTTTGTTGTTTGATTTTCTCGATACGAGGAATAACTTTATTTTCTAGGGAAATTTATTTAAATTTATCCATCCAGTTTCTCTCCGTAGCATCGTGTTCAACCTCCGGAGCCCTCCAACTACTTGCCGCCCATATTCATCTTGACGGAGTTACATTTTTACCTGAATTTAACGTTCATCTGATAAACAGACAGGCTCTCATTGCGTAGAAATGGTACCTTGGTTGTACCCTCCGCCCCCCGCGTTTTTCCTTCCCCTCTTTTTCTTGTCTGCAGACTTTGTCCATCTCATCTGCGCGACTTCACCTGCGTCCTTCTCTTCTTGACGGCTGACCTTATCTTCCTCATACCGCTCTTTTTCTTGGGTGGAAGAGGCTTTGCCGTCTTCATTGATATTTGCTTTCAGTCCTCTAAGCACGGACCATGTTGTTCAGATTTTGAAAAACCCCTAAATTATGTTCTAGTTCTAACCTATTGATTCGTCTTTGGACTAACCTCAATATTGTAAGTACTTATATAGATAAACTTTTGTAAGGGAATGTGGGAGAATCCCTCTTAATTAATACTTCAAAATCAAGTATCCGACCTAAGATTGATTTCTCTAAACCTCTTGTTTTATATATACATCAATATCTTATTTTCTATGCGGTATTTTTCCTACCTAAAGTTTTGAAGAATTAGGCCCCCCAGAAAATTTATTTTCTAGGTGATAGCTTTGGGATCCGTGATAGATTTCATGTTGATAGATGTGTTGAAGTGTAAAATGACAATTTTACACTATGAAAATTGCGTTCAGATATTGAAAAAACAATATCATAATATTTTTCTTGCTAGGTTTCGTCTGACAGTGCGTCACCAATAAGGGAGGGGGTGAATTGGTGTTTCTTATTTTTTCTTTTCTCCCTATTTCCTGCTCTTTTTTGGCACCTAGAGTCTAAGCTACTGTAAAAGTATCTCGCGCCTTATTTTATAGTTGTTTGGTTGTGACACCTACACCTCTTCTCAGGAAAATGTGTTCTACGCTGCTTTCATTGTTTCCACCAATTATGTATCAATCAAATAAGAACACAATATTGGCATTTCAAATGTACGTTAATTTTAAGTGTTCATGTCCTCTATGTAGCCTTCAATGGCTTCCTAACATTCTCTACTTGAACCATTGTTCGAAGATAACAGAACATTGGATTGCCAACTGAAAGGTATTAAATAGGGAATACACAAGGAAAATTCGAGTGTTTCCTTCGGACAGTGATGCTTAGCCCACTCCCACTCCTCGCCGCAACAGCAATCAACTATGACCAACTGTGAAAGCTTAGAGGATAAAGGGATGACATGCTGAATATTATGATGGTGGAGACTCGGGCCTTCAACTATATTACTCAGATTCATTCTTTTGGCTTCCCGATTCTTCTACCTCCATGTAATATGGTCACCGGTACTTGAAAACCAGCCAATTTTATCGTTGAGCATTATGACGAGTGTTTCTCGAGTCTTGTGAATTATGATTCCTTTTCTGTAATTCCCATGTTCCTACCAATCACGCTCCTCAATTTTCTAAACGGAGCTTTAGATTTCTGTAACAAAATGAAAGTTGGTTTCGATGTCGGCTTCATGTCCAGGGAGTTGATCAATGCGAAGCGCAACCCTCATGTTTCCTCTCCATCTCCATTTAGTGAAACCAGGTCAACGTCAATCGGAGCCGTTTCCCAGTCTACTGGATCATCATCACCTTCATATAGCCTGGATGACGCGATTAGATCTGAGCCGGAACTTCGGAGTGCTCCGAACCAGTGTCTCGGTCGGGTCTGGCCCTTGTAGGAGAGTCTTGCCACCCCTGACCTCTGCGGCCAATTGATCGCCTTGCGACGTATGGTACTCCGCATGGCTGGTGCAAGAGAGAGTAAAACGGAAGTGATGTAGATAGTAAGAGGACAAGAACAGGTCCGGCATACCGGCCATACCGTACCATATCCAAGATGCAGCCGGAACAGTGATCCAGCCGGGCCTCAGATCATGTATCGGTGATAATTCGACGGTCAACCCGAGAACAGAACGGCACAAGTTACAGACTAACTCATTCCTGTCGACGACCCTAGCTTTGACCCTGGCTTTGGCACGGGTTCTCTGGCACACCAATAAACCGTTGAGCATATCTGGTGAATAAAAGCCAATTAGCGCGTGGTTAGGATATGAGGTCAACGAAGATATGTCTGAAGTCGACGGCGATGTTACCCCTATTTCTTCGTGCGACCAACGTACTTATCCCGAAATAATATTAAAAACCTAGTTAGTCTTTTTTTACGTATTTTACATTTTTCCTGAAATATCTGATGTTTGAAATGTGCAGCTTTGAAAATCTAGACGCCGAGTTGAGCTGATCTTGCCCATTCCTTGCTGGGGGCCATGTTATTCTGGAAATTTGGGTAAATCAACGGGGCCATAATGGTCACTACACGAGTCGTAGCCAACACTCTTCCCCTCCGGGTCTCCAGCAGCTTAAGTCCATAAATTAATGTTAGGTCTTCCCACCGCCGGAAGATTAAAATATCAGTGTTTAGAGAAACGGGCAAAAAAATTCTCAAGGCCTGGCGTCGGTGGCTCATCTGTCAACCTCCAAAAACACCACCCACAGCTGAAGTTCAATACTTTTTGCGTGAGATTATACAAAAATACCCTCCGTTCATTGTTGCCTGTGCTATTCTCGACCTATTGGTTCATTTCGAATTTCTTGGATGTTGATGGGCAAAATATTTATCGTTATGAGACATAAAAGTCCTGATTGAAAATTTCATAGAAAGTCGAGTTTTCAAAGACAATGGCGTGGCCATAGACTTTTTCACGCACTGCTCAACTCCACAAGTCTCTTACTAGGCCTAAACCTCCCAGAGGCCGAGCGATTTGACCCAGCCCTTCACCTGCAACGGGGGAAATATCCCCCAACGTTCCCAAGTCGAAACCTTTGGTTAGCTGTCAACCGTGGCCATACGTTGGTACGTCCATTCGAGAACAAAGGTCTCAATAACTAATCTCCCGTGTGAACTGTTATGTTACAACGCCACATGAAGATGGGGTTGGCATTGGCCTGAGAAGGCACCGAAAGTCTTTGCCATCACAGTATATGCTCACCTCGCTCGCCAGGAAACCAGGCCACCAGGGATGGAAGGAGGAACGAGCTCTGCTACCTTGAAGGAGACACTGTGGTTCCCCCTATCCTTACGGTTTCTCCTCGTCTTCTTCTTTCTATTGTTCTTCTTCTCCACCTTCGCAACCCAACCGGTACATAGCCAGTCCCAGGAAGGTACGTCTGCTCTATGACTCACAACTATGGAATTATGCCTCAGTTTTTTCTCCAAGGCATGGCTATTTACTCCTACCAAAACACTGCTTGTTATTTCCCCTTGCTCCCGATCCTTGGCTGCTTCTATCTGATTCCCCTTCCGCACTGGGGGGATGGATCAGTTCTGGCTTTGGGTGCAGAGATATCCATCATACAAGACTTAGGACAAGCATTGATGAATATCATGCAGGTTTCATAAGCATAGATTGTGGCAACCCTGACGGCGCAGACTATGAAGACCCCAGCACTAAAATAACCTTTTCCCCAGACTCGAGGTACATCAATAGGGGGGAGAACAAGATCGTCTCAAATAACCCATTTTCTCGGAAATATGAAACTCTCCGAAGCTTCCCCAATGGGGATCGCAACTGCTACAAGCTGTGGCCGGTGCAGACCGGCAAGAAGTACCTGATTCGAGCTGGGTTCTGGTATGGGAACTACGACAAAAGGAGGAACGTTCCCACGTTCGACCTCCACATCGGGGTCAACTTCTGGACCACCGTCCGACTGTCATTCGACGGCGCCGGCATATCCGAGATCATCACGGTAGCCTCGGGGGATTTCCTCTGGGTGTGCCTGATCAACACGGGCAAGGGGACGCCCTTCATATCGACTCTCGAGCTGAGGCCACTCCCCGACTTCATGTATCCCATCGCGAGCCTGTCCCAGCATTTGGTCTATGAATCGCGAAAGAACTTCGGAGCGACATACCAGTTGAGGTAGTCGATAATTATTCTAATAGACGAATTTCGCAACCAACGGTTCAAATCCTAGCATTTGTTTACCCGGTTATATTGCCTGCTGGTTCAGATGGGAAGGGTACGGACTGACCGGGCCTAGACCTTGGAAAGCCCAGAGTTACCCTTTTCAATCTGTCACACGCAAACAATTAGCATAACTAATAAGAATTTATTTCTGATGTAGGTACCCAGATGATCCATATGACCGCATCTGGTTCAACGCCTCCACCAACTTCCGCACGTTCACTGGCTCGATTGAATTGGCCCCAAAAGTAGGAGACAGGTTTCAAGTCCCTTCAAAAGTCATGGCCACAGCAGTCATAGGTTCAGTCCTCTTGAGAATAGACGGTGATCCTGGGGATAGAGTCTACGTCGTCATGCATTTCACGGAACTCGAAACATTGAACTCAACGAACGACACGAGGTTGATCAGTGTCTACGGAGGGTTACCCGAAGGTTGGTTGTATGATAAATACAGCCCACCTTTCGGAGACGTAGACCATAAGGAGGTCATCAATGTTTCTACTGGGAGTAGTGGAAGGTCCTCATTGTTTATCTACAGTTCAATCTCATCCACCCGTCCTCCCTTGGTGAATGCCATTGAGACTTATTTTTTGCGGCGAATTAAGGGGTTGCCCACACAACAGGGCGATGGTGAGACTCGTTTGATGTATTCTTCTATATTTTTATTCATAGCCTTTATGTTGTCTTCTCCTACCTTGTTAATATGGGAAGAGCTTTTTTCAGAATCCTTTAGTAGAATGAAATTTTTATTTTATTTATAATTTTATTACATAAAAATGTTTTAGCGATTCAATAATTCAGATTTATAAGATATTATCTTGGAAAAGTATTCCTCAGTCAGCACAATGTGACTATTGGATTATGTTGTATGCCTACCTCACCAAGATCTTATCGTTGGTCACTCCTAATGCTATAGTTGAGGCCATCCAAGAAATCAAACAATTATATAATGTGACGAGAAATTGGCAAGGAGATCCATGCTCTCCGAAAGAGTATGTTTGGGATGGAGTAGGTTGCAACTACTATGAGAACTCATCACCACCAAGGATCACCTCATTGTAAGTGATAAAAATATCGACATAGGAGAAACTTAATTTGAATTTATATGATAATGTGGGCATGCTCTACTAAAGTTGCATTGTGCAGGAACATGGCATCAAGTAAATTAAGTGGTATAATCCCTCCATCAATTGCTAACCTCACTGCTCTCGTAATTTTGTGAGTATATCTCTTAACAATTCAATTTATAATTTTATGTTACTCTCGTGTAGGATGTTAATTAACTGTGTCAGTTACCCATGCCATAGGTTCATGCCACTTCATATTTCTGCTACCTAGTGTCTTATTTTTATTTCATTTCTCTACCTACAAACACTAGAGGATCAGATAACTCAATTTTATATGGCCAGTTTTGATAGAAAATTATCAACCATTTGTTTCAACTTTGTAGGGATTTATCAAACAATGACTTCACAGGGATCATTCCTGATTTTCTGGCTGAATTATCATCACTTAAGCTGGTGTAAGTGTAACTATTTACAATCACCATACTTATTCTTTAAACATGCATAATTTATGATCAATATTTTTCATTCAGGAACTTAAGTGGGAACATTCAACCAATTTCAATTCCAAAAAACCTATGTGGAAAGCTGTCAAGGTCAGCAATTTTAATGACATGTAAAACTGTAATTATTATTCATCCAAACTCAGTTGAGGATTACCTTTAAAATATAAAAGTTGTTAATAATTTTTAGAATTTTTTCTCAAATAACAATGCATTCTAGTTCTGCGAAAATCTGATATACCTAATATTATTATGCACAATAAGATCATTACTTATTATTGGCATTATTTTCTTGATTGAAATTAAAATATCATAAAATTGTCTTAGTCACTAATAAAGAATTCAGACACGATGAAGTCTGATTTTATTATTAAATATTTTTCAAAGAATATCAAAGACATTGTCCAGCATTAAAAATAATTAAAATATAATTTTTACTCGATGATTATTAACCTTTCAAACATTGATTGACTATGTGAATTGTTTAAGATACTAGATTGTTACTAAGGCTGTCCTTGGTTTACAAATACTCCTACGAAAAAGTTTGCTGCTAATGTAATGAATCGAGAGAAATATATACCATGGAGTCATTTTTTCAAAATTGTGGTTGAGGTTGTTCTCTATTGTAATTTATTTGTTTTCAAAATTAAGGATGCCACACACTTTAATCTTAATCAATATTTTTTTCTTGATAATTTTATATAATTTATGGTCAAAGGAGAATAATTTACGAATTTTTATTTTCAAAAAACATTTTCTCTTATTTCATTAATTAATACTATTTCATATTTGTCTTTATTCTGAGACATAGAATTGAAGGCAATGTAGAATGCAAAAATTTGCAAGGAAATATCAAAAGGAAGATTATTATTATTGTGCCAACAATATTGTTCATCATTATAGTCTTCATTATAATATCCATCATCATACGGAGAACTAGAAGGAGAAAATTGAATCCCTCAATTAGTAAGTTGTGACAAATTTACTCAACCTTTTCATTATAAAACTGTTTTTTAGTTTTTTCTATTTTAACATATACATATCATTGTGTTAGATTCTAATAACAAGACAAAGATTGAAGATTCAACACCACCCAAGCAAAATGACAATGACATGCAGCAGCGGTGCCTTCAATTTACATCTTTAGAAATCAGAAATATGACAAGAAATTTTTCAATTCCAATTGGTAAGGGAGGATTTGGTATTGTTTACCTTGGTTACTTACATGATGAAACTCAAGTGGCAGTGAAAGTTCTATCTTTATCATCATTTCAAGGAATCAAGGAATTTCAAGCAGAGGTACATTAAAAAAATTTATAACTGAATATGTTATGATAGAAATGGTTTGAATGTTGTTGAAGATTTTGATGCAGGTTTTTTGTGTAATTAAAAATATCAAGTTGTATATATTACTAAGGATCCCCATATCTCATCTTTTACAAATACTTACTCTTTAATATAATATAATATATATTTGAACATGCTCATTTTCTATTGCATGTCATTCTAAGTAGTATTTCTAAAATTGTCAACTATGATGTTTTTTAGGCTCTATTATTGTCAAGAGTTCATCACATAAACTTAGTTTCTTTGATTGGATATTGCGATGATAAGCAACATTTAGCACTTGTCTATGAGTACATGGATGGAGGAACTATATGTGATCTTCTCTCAGGTTTGGTTACTAAACTCCATTCATTTTTTAAATCATTGGACAACACTTTCTCATACTTTAAATTTTTTTTCTAGAGATAGTGATTTATTTTTTCATTGTTGTATATGTGTTGATTCTAGGTGAAAGTAATGGTACCATTGTTTTGAGCTGGGAACAAAGATTAAAGATAGCTCTTGATGCTGCACAAGGTCCACACATAAAATTGTTATAATTTTATTTTATTATTATATTTATATACTTATTATCATTGTTCATGAATTCACAGGATTAGATTATTTGCACAATGGTTGTAGGCCGTCCATCATTCATAGAGATGTGAAGAGTACTAACATTCTTCTAAATAGAAATCTTGTTGCAAAACTAGGAGACTTTGGACTATCAAAGGCTTTCAATGTTGATAGTTTTATTGACATTTCAACAATTGTAGCTGGCTCTCCAGGATATCTTGATCCTGAGTAAGTATCTCTAATTCACATGAATCATAGACATAGTTAATGCTATAATGTTATATTTGATAACGAAGTTCATAGAACAATCTTATTAACATGAAATGAAACACGAGTTTTATTTAATTGTCTAATATTTTTTATTTTCAATAATATGTTTTCTATTACATTATGAGTTTGTTAGAAAAAGACAATGTATTAGTGAAATAAAGGGATAAAGCTAATCAATTATAGCTCATTAAAGATGAAAATTTTAAATGTATGGAAAAATATTCCTAGTATTTTATTGATTAATACTTTATATCATACACTTAAAAACGTAATGTTCATTTTAAGTAGTGAATTGATCAAAGTTGTTATTTGAATATCATAAAAGCTATCAATAAAATTTTAAGATATAATTTACTTCTTTCATTTTTCAGGTACCATAGAACTTCTAAATTGACTAAGAAGAGTGATGTCTATAGTTTTGGGATTGTTCTTCTAGAGCTGATCACAGGACAACGACCCTTTGTTATTTCTTCAAACAACATGCACATAATTCAATGGGTCCATCAAAGACTTGAAAATGGTCACACAGATGATATTGTTGATTCTAGAATACATGACAGCTACAACATCAATTCTATATGGAAAGCAATAGAAATTGCAATGGATTGCACGTTGGCTTCTTCTACCAAAAGATTAAACATGAGTGATGTGGTAATGAGACTAAAGCAATGTCTACAATCAGAAGCTTATCATGAAGTGCTCCGAAACACCAAGGGGCCATATCAAGACTCTTTGGAGATACTTCCCTTCAACATGGACACAACAAATGTGCCTATAGCAAGATAACTTGGATCTTGAAATGGTCTTCCAAATGATGAATGGTACTTTCTCAAGGATGATAAATAATGAGTAGAGTGCTTGTTTGGTTCATAAATCCAAAACCATACATAAGAAGTTATGGATATAAATATTATGTGATCTCAATAACAGAACTTGTATTTTCATAATTGAGATGTTACAAGTGATTTGATTCTACCTTCTATACAAGAAATGTGTGTTCGATATGTTATTGAAACAAGAGCAATTAAGAGGAATGGGGTGAATTAAACTTTTCATGATCTCTAGATTTTCTTAATCTTCTTGGGTCTACTTAGATAAAAGATCTATAGTTGTTTGATCCCTAACCTACTCTACCCTCTAGGGAGCATATCTTTATAGTTTCACTATTTTCTTAGTGATATTATATTGAAATAGCTTTCACTATATTTAATACCTCCATTGAACTTAGGCATTTCATCTCTTGAAACACTTTTAAATTCACACATCTATAGGGCCAACAAGATTATCTCAAGTTAATCCCTTTTAGATTAACAACCATAGGTCAGTCAAAGCATTAGAAGTGTTGTAATATGAACCCCAAATGAGTTATTATTGTATGTTTGATAGATAGATACTTATAGAGGCTTGAATTTCTTTGTTAACAATGAGATAGTGTCTCTTATCAAAGAAGTACCTTTTTTCATTGGTTGGTAATTGATTTTGTGCCTTTAGTCATTATCCTTTTTTGGTGAGAGTATTTCTTCTACACTTTCTTATAGTTCTCATTTTTTAGAAGTTTTTAGTGGTCACTTAATAGTAAAAAAATTATTCCTATTGTTGCTCCAATAATTGTCTCGTTTTTGTATTTTCTTCCTCTTTCTACACATGTGCTTAATCTTTTACCATGAGGATGTGAAACCTTGTAGATAAACTAGTCTAAATAAAATATTTTTTATGAATAAGTTTAGAAAATTTGTAATTTATTTGGACATGTTCGCAAGTCATGTTCATATTTAATTTTGATTCCAATTTATAATAATTATTCTATCCTTGAGTTAGTTTTACTTAGTTTAAAGGCCCTTTTCAATTGATATGATTTAGATTATTTTATAACACAGTTTTATTTTATTTTATTATTAATTTACCCTAATATTTATATTTCATCATTAATAAGTTTTTATTATCATAAGTTAATAATTAGTTAATAATATATTTAAAGTCTTAACTCATGATAAATAGACTTATATTTGTGTTAAATTATGAAAATAATTTTTAGTTAGTTAATATAATTTTTGATTAATTATGTGAATTTTTCTAATCTTATTTTTGAGATATCTGAAGAGAAATAAAACAAAATAAAAAAAGAGAGAACCTGTATGGAGCCACAAGTAAAGGGCTCGAGTAGCTAAGGACGGATAGATAAAGGACATGAGTGCATCACTCTCTTTCCACATCATTGATGGCCAGCCAAGTGTGGGGCAAAGAGTGGTCGTAAAATCTTCTATTACTATATATACATCTCAAAACTCGTAAATAATTAATGTGGGACTAAACTGGCTTTCTAAAGCCTTTCAATCATTTTAATACTTAAAATACCTTTCATTTATAAAAACAATATACCCTTATGATGTCACTTTACAAAGATATTAAAGTACTTATTTTTCTCTCTCTCATGTAGGTAGGTGACCGACGAGGGTTCACATTCTAAAAAAGTCAAAACTTACTTTTATCTAATTAAATTATGATTTTCTTATTGATTATTAGTGAATGATTAAGTTATCATAATCACTCAATAATCGACAAAAATCTCATCAATGCGATTCACAAAGTATCATTACTAAAATTATTAAATGATTTTAGATGAAAAAAATCATAAGTCTATTGAGTAAATAATCTTTGATTGATCGACGAATAAGTTGTCATGAAGAAGACGATCTACTAAGAGATGAGTTGTCACCTCTTAAAATTGTATCAGATGTTATGAAGAGTCTCTTCTTGCTATATGGACTTGAGGATAAAGCTTCTTAAGATGCACCACATCTCCATTTAACTCATCTCTATCGAATGACAACTGTTAGAAAGCTACAAAAGTATCATTTTTCTACTCCACTAGGTGACAGCCATTAAAGACAATTTGATGACCCACTTCATTGATTTATAGACTTCACAAGAAAATCTAGAGATTTTCTACATTGTCTTTATCCAAAGAGAACCTTTGAGGTCATAGGCATTGCACGATAATCTTTCCAAACGTTTAGGATTCTGACACATCATAAATGAGATATCAAAACTTTGTTTTGCTATTTTTAACTAGTTTTAACTTCTATCATCATTTTCTAAACTTCAAAAAGAGATCTAATGAATGTCCAAGTCGTCCATGTTTAAAGAGAACCTTTGAGGTTATGTACATCATTTGATGATCCTTTTAAATATACATATTTTTTATTTTTACTATCACAAGACTAGAACTCTGTCTTTCATGTTTTTAACGTAGCTTTTACTTTATTTAGTGATATTTTGTGTGATTTTAAATTGTAAAATTATTCTTCATTTAATTATAATTGTTTTTACATATCTTAATTTGACTATTTAGTAGAACTTTGTTTCTATCTTAATTGAGTTTGTTGACATGCTGATGTACGCACCCTTATTTTTCTTTTCATGAATTGTTTACTATATTTTATATTTATCATTTAGTCTAAAAATCATAAAAAATTATATTCTTTTCAAAAAAGTTCAAAATATTACCTGATATTATATTACATCTCTATGATCAATCTGAAATCTTTACTATTTTTGAAACTTTTGATGAATTATAATTGATATATTTATTTTAAAATATTTTTAAATATCTAAAATTTAGTAAATTCTAGTTTTATAAGTATTTAAATTTGTGGAATTTATTATACAATGACTATGTCACATGAATTATCAAAATTAATGTGGCTTCTAAGCCAACAATGTGAATAGGTAGTTCCACAATTTAATTATTTTTTTGTGATATTATTATATTTTAAATTAAAAATTACAAGAAATCATCGTATAAGTCTACTTTTCCACAATAAAAGATTGCACTTGTTGCTAGCGTTGGGTCACGCAAAAATGTGCCTGATTTCTACCGTTGAGACCCGGGCTTAAAAGCCCCAAAACCTTAGGCCCACTTCACAAATCTTAAAGGCCCGGCCCATAAATTCACCCACGAACCCCCCCGGACTCGACCGCCCCATAAAATCATTCGTCCACGTGGCAAACCGTGGACGAATGGTTGCAGCCCATGTTTACAATCGGCCCAAACGCCTACAATCGAGACCTACGTGGCCCATTACGTCCGACGACTCGTCCACGTGTCGATCAAGGAGAGACTTATGTCACGGCCTCCTCTTGGCCCGCGTCAGAAAGGAGAAAAGGAGGCGCATATCCCCGACAGTCTCACGACGCCTCTCCCCGGCGTTCTCACGGCGCCTCGTCGGAAAGGGGGGAGAGGAGAGGCGGAAGAGGGAGGAGTAGGGAAAAGGGCGGCGCTATGGGGGACGAGAGGGTGAAGGAGGAGGCCCTACAGATCCTGGGCGTCTTCCAGGCCCTCCCTCGCCTGGTCGTGTTCGACCTCGACTACACCCTCTGGCCTTTCTACTGGTAAGAAATACCCGAGTTACGTCTGTTTCTGCTTTGCATAGGAACAAACCAGTAGATGCGTATATAGATGGCGTAGGATGAACGGCTTCTGAAGCACGAATCGGATTTAGGATTCATCTGATCATAATGATAGTGATGATGCCCTCGGCGTAACATGGTGAGCATCTGTTTCCCTTTCAGCGCGTGATGTAGAGAGCGGGAGGGATTAGGGTTTGTGTTTGGAAATCTTTCTTCACCGAGTGATGGTTGGCTGATTGATTGGTTGAATTCCGATGCTAACGTGCATCATGAGTCTGCTGTTTGCTTTTCCCGATACGATGAATAATTTTCTTTTCTAGGGAAATTTGCTTAAATCTCTCCAACTCTAGCGAAACACGGCATCAGAAGCCGTCCAACCACTCCCCTCCCATATTCCTCTCCATGGAGCAACATTTTTGCCGGAATTTTACGTCCATCTGATAAACAGACAGGCTCATGGACTAGAACGCCACCTTGCTTTTACCCCCTTTTTCCCTTCCTCTGTTTTTCTCGTCTGCAGACTCCGTCAATCTCCTCCGCCCGACGGCACCTGCGTCCTTCTCTTCTTGACGGCTGACCCAGTCTTCCTCCTCTGAGGCTTTACCTTCTCCATTTACTTGGTCCACGCTGTGCAGATTTTGATAATTTTACATTAATCAGACGGAAATAGATTTTCAAATGTTCAGGTCCTCTCTGTATCCACCCTTCAGTAGCTTCCCTAACATTCTCCAGGAGTTCCATCTGGTTGAAGATAAGGGAACGGTGGATCCTCCCCAAGAAAAAGGTATTAAACAGGGGATACACGAGAAAGAATTCAACTGTTTACTCCCACTCCTCGCCCCAACAGCAACCAGTTGAAGAACTACATGACCGACTGTGAAAGCATATTATCTAGATTCCTTCTTTCGGCTTCCCAGTTCGTCTTACCTGCGTGAAACATAGTGACTGATCCTTCAAGAACCCACCCACCAATCTTATGCTTGACCGTTGTCTTGTCAGTGATTAACTTTCTGTAATCCCCATGTTCATGGACTGTGGTTTGTCTTAGCATATCAGGTAATTTTTTTGAATGAGCTTCCTGATCGGTTGGCATGCTCTCAGTTGATCGAATTATCAAATTTACTGGAAATTTTCAATCCAAAAGTCCGTTCAATTAGGGGGGGGAAGATATAATCTTCCATTCCTGCACATTCTGACTGCTGGATTTATTTTCTTCGTAGTGACTTCCTCTCCGAGGGAGAAATGCCTCGTTTGTACCCACAGACAATGGGCATTCTGTATGCGCTGAAGGATAAAGGCATAGATGTGGCCATTGCTTCACGTTCGCCGACGCCTGACATCGCTAAGACGTTCCTGGACAACTTGGGCATCCAATCCAGCTTCGTGGCCCAGGTGAGCCTGCTGTATCTGTCCTCGTATCCATGGGATGACCCCTTGCCGTTGACCCATATGCCGTTGACCCTTATTTTTCTTGTTCTGTTTGAAAAAGTGTGTATTATTCGTGCCCATCGTTGACATGGTGAGTTGTTGTTCTTCGTCGTCCTGCAACTCAGGAGATCTTCTCCAGCTGGACGCACAAGACGGAGCACTTCCAGAGAATCCACCGGAGGACCGGAGTGCCCTTCAAGTCGATGCTCTTCTTTGATGACGAGGACAGGAACATTCAAGCGGTGAGCACTGAATTGGGATCTCTCTCTCTCTCTCTCTCTCTCTCTCTCTCTCTCTACCCATTGACCCAGCTTCCATTCATCCGTCTCCCTCTCCCTCTCCCTCTCCCTCAGGTGTCTAGCATGGGGGTGACGAGCATATACGTCCACAATGGAGTGAACCTGGAAGCTTTCAGGCTGGGGTTGAGCACCTTCGCCCAGAAGTCGGTCACGCCCACCACAAGCTCCAGGAACTAGCCGCTCTCTCTCTCTCTCTCTCTCTCTCTCTCTCTCTCTCTCTCTCCCCCCGAGAAAAACAGCCGATGAACAAAAAAATCTACCCCCAAAAACATTATAAATGCGAATCCACAGCAACTTATTCATCGATCGAGACATAGGGCCCCGAACTTCAAAACCAGGCGCAGAGAGAGAGAGAGAGAGACATACGTCTCAGTTGAAGGAAGACCCGGCGGCGGCGGCGGCGGCGCTGCTGCGGCGGGCGAGCTTGGTCCACTCGGTGTGGAATGAACCAGGGCGGTCGAGGCGCTCGTAGGTGTGCGCGCCGAAGAGGTCCCTCTGCGCCTGCACGAGGTTCGCCGGCAGCCTCGCCCGCCGGTACGTGTCGAAGTAGGCCAAGCTCGCACACATCCCCGGCGTGGTGATCCCCGCCTCCACGGCGAGCCCCACCACCCGCCGCCACGCCCCCTGCCGCTGCGCCATCTCTCCGGCGAATTCCGAGTCCACGACGAGGTTGGCCAGCCCCCTGTTCCTCTCGTAGGCCTTCTTGATCCTGTCCAGGAACCTCGCCCGGATGATGCAGCCGCCCTTCCAGATCCTCGCCAGCTCCCCGAGGTCCAGGTTCCACCCCCGCTCCTCGCTCTTCGCCCGCAGGAGGTTCATCCCCTGCGCGTAGCTGCAGATCTTCGAGGCGTACAGCGCCTGCCGCACGTCGTCAATCAGCTGCTTCTTGTCCACTGCCCGCCGGCCGCCGGTGTTGAGCTCGAGGCCGGCGTGGGCGAGGACGGCGGCGGCGGACTCGCGCTCCTCCTTGAGGCCGCTGAGGAACCGGCAGTCGAGGGACGCGGCGATGGTGGGAGCGGCGACGGAGAGCTCCGCTGCCTGCTGGACGGTCCACTTGCCGGTGCCCTTCATCCCCGTCTTGTCCAGGATCTTGTCCACCAGCTCGGCGTCGCTGTAGTCGTCCTGGACGAGGAAGATGTCGGAGGTGATCTCGATCAGGAAGCTCTCCAGCTCGCCGCGATTCCACTCCGCGAAGATCTCGGCGAGCTCCCGGTTGGAGAGCCCCCCCACCGTCTTCAGCACGTCGTAGGCCTCGGAGATGAGCTGCATGTCCCCGTACTCGATCCCGTTGTGGACCATCTTCACGAAGTTGCCGGCGCCGCCGGGGCCGACGAAGGTCACGCAGGGGCCGTCCTCCACCTGCGCTGCGACCTTCTTCAAGATTTCCTCGATGTGGAGGTACGCCTGGTGTGAGCCCCCCGGCATCAGGGAAGGTCCCCGCCGGGCGCCTTCCTCGCCACCGGAGACGCCCATCCCGAGGTACAGGAGCCCCCGCTCAGCCGCCTCCCGCTGGCGACGCTCGGTGTTCTCGTACCACTCGTTGCCACCGTCGACGATGGCGTCCCCAGGCTCGAGGAACTCCGACAAAGCGGCGATGGTCTGGTCCACGGGGGCGCCGGCCTTGACGAGGATGACGACGGAGCGGGGCCTGGCGATGGAGAGGACGAACTCCCTAGGGTTGTAGTGCCCGTGCAGCGGCAGATTTCCCTCCTCGGCGGCGCGGGCCACCGTCTCGTCGACCTTCGAGGCCGTCCGATTGTAGACGGAGATGGGGAAGCCCTTGTCGGCCACGTTCAGCGCCAGGTTCTGCCCCATCACCGCCAGCCCCGCCAGGCCGATCCGAGACAGCGCCGCCGCTTCCATCGCCATCGCCGGCGCGAGAGAGCTGGAGAGAGAGAGAGAGGTCCTACAGAGGATTAGGGTTTCACTCTCGATTGGGGGGGATCCTCGACCAGAGGAGAGGGGGGAATCTGTTCGACTTCGTCTTATATTTTTTAAATTTATTATTATATTACAAATATCTCAGGGTCCAGATATCGACGGACGGATCTGCCGATGTGATTCCAAGATGAGTTTCTCCGCGAAGTCGCTTACCTCTGAGGTATTTCCAACGTCGAGCATTGGGCATGCACTCTTACGTGTTAGGCGGTAACTCGACCGGTAGTCAACCAGGCGGCGGCGTACTCCTGGTACATCAGAGACCTTAGTGAAAGCGACGTGATCGGCACACGTGTCACGGGGCTTTTACCCAAATGGGCCTTTATTGGGCTAACATTTAGTGGGCGGCCCGGTTGAAATCATAATGCCCATGGTCTATTGGGCTGTTGTCTGGGTTCTGGGCCCACCACGGTCTAGGGAATATATGATTAACACTGGTATTTATTTATTCGAGATGTTACATGAAACAGATTTTTCAAAAATATGAAAAATAAGCCCTTAATTTTTTTTCCTAACTAAAATAACGTTGATTAAAAAATGTTATTTTAAATCTTAGGAAGACTCTCTCTCTCTCTCTCTCTCATGCGGCAGCTTGTGTTGAGCTGGAGAGAGAGAGAGAGAGAAGTTTGGGTTTTTTTTTTTTTTTTTTTTTTTGGGGGTTAGAGTCAGAGCGAAGAGAAGGTGGGGGGTGAGTTGTGGGGGAGGGAGCGGCCGCGGGAAGGGAAGTGGGGAGGGGAGGATGGTGTCGGACTCGGAGCTCGTGCGGCGGCTGCAGGAGTTCTTGAGGGGGTCTGACCTCACGACGACGACCACAGCGGCCGTGCGGCGGCAGCTGGAGGCGGACTTCGGCGTGGACCTGTCGGGGAAGAAAGCGTTCATCCGGGAGCAGGTCGATCTCTTTCTCCAGACCCAGTTCGAGGAGGACGGCAAGGGGGACGAGGACGGGGAGAATGCTGGCCCGAAGGAGGTAGACGAGGAGGAAGGAGGAGAGGAGGGCGGAGAAGGCGACGGGGAGCGGGAGGAAGATGACCAGGAAGAAGAAGAGGACGACGACGAGGGGGCCAGCAATGGCAGCAGCAAGGGAAAGAAAACGTGAGTCGCGCTTTCCTCTCTCTCGCTTCCTTCCCTTCGTCTTGCTTCTATTTCGAGATTCCCCGTCCTTCTATGACGAATTTTGTCTCTGATTCTGTGAAAAAAATGACTTGGTCTGTCCGTTGACCCCCCTAGGAGAGGGCAGAACGAAATCTAGACTCAGATTCCTACCATTTTTCGTGGTGGGCTGTGCAGAACCAATTTCTTTCTGTCCACGAAGATTAGTGGTGGGGATTCATTATGGCGTATTGAAATTTTTCACGGGATTTCCCTGGGTCTCTTGCATCGGATTGGATTGGCGGCGGTTTCTTCTAGCAAACTGAAACTCTTAGTTTATGTCGTCGTAATCACGTATCTACACTGTACACGAGTGGGGGATGGTAGCCCTGGCAACATGTAGGTACAGAAATCAAGAGTTTTTTCTCAAGTTATCTTTAGCGATAAATTAATTTATATCGGAAAATATCCACGAACCATTTTTTTTCCCGCTGCCCAGTTACTTAAAATAACGATTCGACGATTTTGGATCATGCCCTTGTTCATGAATTAAAATCAGGGATGGATTGCATCAGCACTACAGTTGAATCCTCAACATGGTCTGCCTGACGCTGGCCGATCCTTTCTGGTTCACCGGTGCTGGCTGATTCATGTGAGAGAGTTGGATTTGATTCGGGATTAAGGAATGAGAATCAGGGCCAGCACAAGGTTTTCTCAGGTTGTGTGGTTGGTTCTGGCTGGTTTCAGAGGAAGGGAACGAGGAAGAAGGAGAGAAATTCATATGGTGCTCACCATCAGTGAGCAGATCACCATCATAGCCAATTCTATTTGTCTATTTTATTTTATTTTTTGATGAATAAAATGCAATACATGGTCATCTCCTGTAACTGCAATATATAGTCCTTCTAAAACTTCGGTCCCAGAATTTGCAAAGTCATCTCTGCCTTAATAGACCTGGAAGTAATAAATTACGAGATGGCATTTGAGGTTCGTTCCTCTTCTTCTTTGCGCCCAAAAAAAAACACCAGAATGAGATCAATCTTAGTTAATTCCTGTTAGTTTCTGATCCAAATAGCCGTTACATTCTTTCGTTTTTCATTCCAATTTTGACTTTGTTTAGATGCATGAAAAATAATCCGAGAACCCCATGAACAGCTTAATCAGTTTTTGTTATATTTTAAATCTTCCCCACAAGTGTAGAATCCAAAGATTCATTCTTTGCTAAGAATTACTCTGAGGTTTAACCATGAGAATCTCTGGTTGGCTTGTGGACCGAGAATTCCAGTTATCTGTGACTAGTTTCACATCGAGTGGTCAGCAAACATACACGAACACACAAGGATGTCAAAATAGAAAGATTTGTGCCTGGGGTTTTGCTTCCACTTTCAAAGATTGTATGCGTGCATACTTCTAATCTATTGAAATCTAGTTCCATAGATATTTGGATAAATGAAAAAGAATTATGAGGAACATGTCCCACGTTGCAAACTCCTTTAGAGACCTAGTAAGCCTTTGTGAGTTGGAAATCATATGAGTGACGGGAGGATGGGCATTCATCGTTGTATTTTCTTTTTCTAGTAGCATTCTCATTTGCTCTGTCATCATGTTCCCGCTTGGGATTCGCCCATGTGACGATGTTACTTTGTGATGTAGATCCACAAAAGGCACCAAGGAGGTTAAAAGAAGGGGTGGCGGATTCACAAAGTTGTGTAGTCTCTCTCCACAACTTCAGACGTTTGTTGGTGCATCCGAATTAGCCAGAACCGAGGTGTGCATGTTCTCATCGTTGATCTTAAGTCCAACCATGCATGAGAAAGGTTTCGAAAAATTGGGATTGGATATCTCAAACTTCAAGCCAAGTTGATAAAGTTTGCTCGATTGATCAGTCTAATTTTCCTTTGAAAATTGTCTATATTTGCTTATTTTGGAGTATAAATTGGAGTTGATGGTAGCAGCCTGATTCACATATCCCTAGACCCATGTACATGAGGACTACTGTTTCCCAAATTATTTTACTACTATTGATTGTACTTCATCAGGTTGTGAAGCAGCTATGGGCTTATATCCGCAAGCACGATCTACAAGAGCCAACAAATAAGAGAAAGATAGTATGTGATGCGAGACTGCAGGAACTATTTAATGTCAAAATCATCGACATGTTTCAGATGAACAAGGCTTTGTCAAAGCATATATGGCCCTTGGCTTCGGACGGTGGTATTTCTTTTCAACTATCTAGCTCGTTAATTTCTCTTATTCTTTTTATCTGCAAGAAACCCACGTGTTGGAAATCTTTGGTTCTCAAACACACAGATTTTTCGACTGTATCATGTAAATCTCACACCATCAGATTGAATGTCAAAACTTCTCCTTGGTATTCGTCGCATCTGTACACCATTTACTATGGAGGTTAAGCTTCTATGGGTCGTTGGATGCTCTGGTGAGCATCTTGTCACTGATCAAAGTTGCAGTGTGAGCTTCTACGTGGGCCATGTCCTGTATTGCTTGATGGATAACATCAGAATTAGTGTGAACGATTGCATTTCAATGTCCTCAAGGTCATTCTAACTTTATTCCTTTGCATTTCTCCACTGTGGTTCTTCCGGGATCACTTGAGTTTCCTGATTTTCATCCAATTTCAATTTTGCTGTTTTGAGAGTAGAGAGGCTAGCTGAATTTAGCTGAATGGCGAAGGGGAGTAAGAATACTACCTTGCTCTTGAACCAGCTCAACTCTCCTTATTTCTCAGCTTCTTCTCATTTCTTGTGAAAACCACAGCCATCTCTCTCTCTATGGGGCCTGTGCAATAAAACGTTATTTTTTTGACATCTGACTATACCCACCTGTACACTGTAGCCTACAGCCTTTATCCTTCGTCATTTGCCTTCCAGGGATTTTTATTTTTTTTTCTGAATTTATTGTCACTCCTTAAAAGGAGTGTATTATTGGGGATATTCTCAAGATTTGAGTCTTCTATGTATGATCACTGATGGTGTGGGCCTGGTATTTCATGCATGAATTGATGTATCTTCATCTTTAGATCTTCTGGCATGTCACTTGAAGAATTACTATGTGCCCTCCTGTTGTTGAAAAAGACTAGGAGGAAGATTAATTACCATCTATCTTATGTTCCATAATTGGGGATATAAATGATGGAACTTTTTTATTAAAAATAAAGAAGAAGAAATGTATGAGTTATGATCATTATGATCATCTTCTGGGCATCCAGCTGCTGATTGGAAACAATGTTAACAGGAGAATAACTTGAACCGTGCTCTCTGAGCAGTGTGAAGAATAGGAAATGCATGTTCTTCTGATTTATTCCTTTAATTCATCATCTTTCTGTGTCGATCAGAAGAGGGAATTTGGGTATTTTTTCTACCTTGTCATTGTATTAGTAATGCTCCTCTTCTAGTTTATTCAAAAAAAAAAAAAAAAATGTGCTGTTGTAACATGAAATTTGGTAAGATAAACAATCTTTAAAAAAAATGATCGATAATAATCGATAAAAAAAAATTATGTACTTTGCCAGATTCCATGTTTCGAGCATTTATCTGGTTCTTTTAGTCATTTCTATGGCTCCATTTACATACTCTAAATTAGTCCATTTCACAACACAGCAGCTCCAAGGGAGCCAAGTGAAAAGGAGAAGCGTCTAAGAAAGGAGAAAGAAGGTGAGAAGGATGCAATCATTATTATTATTATTATTATTATTATTATTATTATTATTATTATTATTATTATTATTATTATTATTATTATTATTATTATTATTATTATTATTATTATTAATTTTTCTGATGTTCAGATGAGGTACGCCCAAAGGACAAGCGGCGTAAGTCGGGAAATTCAGGATTCCTTGCTCCTCTGCCGCTGTCAGAGGCTCTCATGAGCTTCTTTGGGACCGGAGAGAGCGCCATGTCCCGGGCTGATGTGGTCAAAAGGATGTGGCAGTACATAAAGAAGAACGACCTGCAGGTACCTGGACTCACCATCGTTGACTTTTGCATGCATCCGTACAGTTGTCGGACCAATGAATCTCTCATGTTTATGCGACCGTTGGGCTGGGCTTATAGCTGTACTTCTCTTATCAAGCACTTTGCATCCGCCTTAGCTCCTCCGTGAGATCGTTGACCTGGATGTTATGCTAAGCATGGTGATTGGAGTAATTAGGCTGCAGCTAAGGCCAGGAGTTTTTTAAAAAATATATATATAATATTTATATGTATGAAGAAAGCATACTTTAGTGAACGATTTTCGTGAGCCTTGTTCTAATTTCATTTATATTTTTTTCATTCAGATATTATGCTTGCTAGAGTAGTATTTTATGCTTGTTTGATCCATCGGATTCAGAAAGTCGGGCAGAAAAGTCAATCTGCCCGCTCAAGTAAGAACAGGCCGAAGAACAGCTGAGAAAAACGCAGCCGATCCACTGAATCACTGCTGATGATTGCCGCTGTCCATCTCTGGGTTCATGAAATTGACCAGGGAAATCTGTCTGACCCAGCTGAAACCAGCTTGACCCGCGGTCGTTGGGAGCTCATCAGAGAATCTGAGGTTTTTGTTCTTGTGTTTTCTTGAAGGATCCGACCGACAAGAGGCGGATCATCTGCGACGAGAAGCTCAAGAAGCTCTTCGAGGTGGACTCCTTCAACGGATTCACCGTCCCGAAGTTGCTGACCCCTCACTTCATCAAGGCGGAGCAGTAGAGACGGATGGCGGTCCTTGTCAACGCCACCACCCAACGAAAGGAAAGGTCAAATTTTGTCTGCCAAGTGTATGTTTGACTCTTTCTTCTGGACCATGCGTCACGATGTGGATCTTTTTTCCGTCAAAGAAGTCCCTATTCGTCAACACTGATGGCTGCTCTCTTTCTCTCTCTACCGGACTCTTTTCTGTGAGCTCCTCGTTTAGCCAATCAGGGTATAACATCTCGGCTGGATTTGTGGGCCCCAGGGTCCCTAGTTGCGGTAAACGGACGGAGTTGACCCACTCCCTGAAAGGAGGCGGAGAGGCGCACTAGGCTGCTCGTCGGGCCGACAGCGGCGGCAAGTTGAAGGCCACGTGTCGACATTTCAAATTCTGACAAGGTCTGACTGATACATTCAAAAAAGTCTTCTTTTACTATATTTGTATCCGGTCCTCGCCAAATTTTCGGAATGATTTCCCCGATCTGAGATTCTCCGCATAGGACGCCTCCGCTGAAATCGCTTCCAAACGAGAAAGAGATTCTCCGTACAGCTAGGCGCGCTCCTCGGGAGGCGCCGCCGCCGATCCGGCGACCGAAATACCGCCGGGATTCCAGGGGGAGTCACGGGATTCGAAGATGATTCATTCCGACAGTCCAAACGGGGGACGGAAAACCTGACCCGGGATCTCAGATTCATGGGAAAGGACGGGAATTGGTCAAGAAATTATGTCGATTGTGATTGGAGGTGGACGCGGGGGGAATAAAGATCAGTCCTTTACGTGAAGAACGCCGTCCTTTGGGCTTCCCAAAAGCCGAGGTGCCAAACAGGTGAAAATTCCGGAAAACCCGGCTCGCCAAATCCTCTAAAATCCTCCTCCCCAACGCCGGCGCCAGTCGTATCTTCTGCTGTAATCCTCCGTCCCCACATGTTTGGAGATCTCTGTCAATCCTCGGTAAATCTCTCTCTGCCCAGAGGCGGAGTGGGGTGGTTCACTTGGTCTTCTAGGCGCTAGATTTCTGCGTGTGGGCCTCTCCGGATGTAGCTCTCCGATCTGCCGTCTTCCTCCTCCATCTCCTCGTAGCTGTGGGCGTCTACCACAGACATCCCCGTCTTAACTGCCGACTGGTTCGCCTGGACGGAGATCGCCGGCGTCCGCCGGGCGTGCAGGCGGTACTTCTGCAACATAAAAGGAAGAGAGAGAGAGAGAGAGAATGAGAAATGAGATCCTTCTGCACTCGAGAGAGATAATCAGAGAAGGCTTGGTGAACTAGCGAGAGGAGAGAGAGAGAGAGAGAGAGAGAGAGAGAGGGACTCACTTGCAGATGGCTCTTCACCTCGTCGTTAGTGAGCCCATCGACCTTCATCAGCTCTCTGATCTGCTTCGGAGTCGCCACTGCCAGGGGAAGAACCCGAATCAGCGATGGATTTCACGGGAGATACCATAAGCTATGATTATTGAACAATCTACCGACCTTTGAGGCCGCCGAGCCGGTGGAGGGCGTCGACGAAGCGCCGGTGGAGCTCCGGCGACCAGCACCGCCGGGCCTTCCTCGGTGGCTGCTGCGGCGACGGCGGCAGCAGCGCCGCCGGCGGCAAGAAAGAGAGGACCGAGAGCCGCGGCACCGCCGCCGCCATCCCGTTCATGCAACTCGCCGCTGGCAGACACTTTAACCTATCATCTTCTTCCTCCGGGGATCTCTGCGGATGGGATAGCCACGAAAACCCGTCTCAGAATCAGATCGAGGTCTCGAGAAGGAAGATGGAAGTTCTCAAAAAACGTACCTCTCTGGATCTGTTCTTGTTGTCGCCGCTGTTAGAGGTGGAGGAGGTGTCGCTCCACAGTTGGGCGGAGCTCATCCAGCTGGCCTTCTCCCGACGGTCCTCCTCGTCCTTGCTCCTCCCCGCTTCCTCGAATTTTCTGTTGGGGATGAATTGCTCCATCTTCGGATGGGCGGCGCAGTTGCCGCCGCCGCATCTCGCCAGCTCCTCCTCCAAATCTTCGATCGCTGAGAAAACCGTTTCCCGAAATAGACAATCAAAACCAGGACGACGGCGGAGGGGGAACGATGGAGGAAATCTAATATAATCTAATCCAGAGATCGGAACCGAGGAAGAAGACGACCCACCATCGCAGACGATGACCGTGCAAAGAGGAAGCTCCCTCGGGAAGCATTGGATCTTCCGCCGCTCCTCCTCCAGGCCATGGAGGAGCTCCTCCAGCTTGGCCACCCTCCCTTCTCCGGCCGCCGCCGCCGCCTCGAGAAGGACCCGGACGACGGTCCTCCTCGCGGGCGAGCGCGGCGGCGGCGGAAGCGGAAGCTTCAAACCCAGGCCAAGCTCCGGCGACGCCGCCAGCCCCATGGCTCCTCCTCCTCCTCCTCCTCCTGCTGCGCTGTTTCTTCCCCTCCCCTCCCGTCCCCTATTCCCTCCCCTGCGCCAGATCTCCCGGGTAACTATCCGGGCTCCTGAACGGCCGGATGTCGATTTATATGTGTAGAGATAGAGAGAGAGAGAGAGAGAGAGAGAAGAAGAGAGAGAGATGTGGGGAGGAGGTGGGGAATCCGGGATCCTGAGAAGAGGGCGGTTTCGACGAGGGGGAGTAAAGGATGAATTAATATATTAGAGAAGTCGCGGAAGATTCGTTTCCCGTGGGAGCCCGGAGTTGGTGGTCACCAAGAGAGAGAGACACAGATAAGGTTAGAAAGAGAATACGCGACGAATCGACCCAGCCTCCAACCCTCCCGTTCATGACACCGCGTCCGACCCTCTCTCTCTCTCTCTCTCTCCCTTTTTCTCTCTCTAGAAAATACGCCCTGATCTTTTCAGCCCGTGTTTCACGAGGAATCAAAGATGATATGTTGAAATCTGATGACAAAAAATTTATTCCATAAATTATTTTCATTAATTAATCATTTCAAAGAGCGACCTTCCATTAATTTTTTTAATGATAAATATCGTGAACGAAAAATTATAAGAAATAAATTTATTAATCCCCAATTTTACCTGCCGCATGCGGAGGTTGACCTCCAGGCACGTTGACTTTTCATAAGTATTATCAAGGAGAGATCTCCATTAAGATTACGGAAATATCCGGTCTCTTTATCTCTCTCTCTCTCTCTATTCCTCACCGTTGACCAGGGAAAGATTCGGACCCTGCTCTTGTAGCTATGACGTCATCTCGTACTGGAATAGTGTCTGAGAAAATATAAATATTGCTGATTTATTAAGATAAATCTGTAATTAACTGTGAAAATAAGAGCCAGATATTCTCTAGAAAACGCCATGTGATTAGGTATGGTTGACGTTACATTAATCTGCAAGGCGCTTACCTGTAAAAGGCGACATCTCCGAATTAGGTCTGACCGGACGTCGTCTATCTCTCCTTTTTCGGCAAAAAAATAAAAACCAAGATTATCATTTTAATTAATTAATCAATCTCCTGATTATTGGACGGCCGTGATCACTCGCGAATCATAATCCTCTCTCCCTCTCTCTCTCTCTCTCGCTACTGCCGAGTCTCATCCAAAAAGGGGGCGGCCGCACGGGCAACGGAAGACAGCGGAGGTGACGTGGCGATGAGTCGGCGGCGGCTCTGCGGCGTTAGCTTTTGGTGATTCCCGGGCGGATCGGCGGCGTGAGGAGCTTCGAGAAAGTCTCGCTTGTCGGAAGAGGGGTGGGAAGAATAATAGGAAAACATATTGGGTCTTCCTGCAAGGAATCCGTGTCAACGCGCTCCTGCTCTCAGGGCCGTCGGATCCGAGCCGTACCGTAAGCTAAATTCGGTCAAAACATTCGGATATTTCAAAGACGGCGTCTCTCCCTCTCCCTCGTTCTCTCTCTCTCTCTCTCTCTCTCCCCCTAACCTCCGAGCCCTCTCCGTTCTCTCTCCACAGTCCCCTCCTCTATAGATGCTCTCCTCGGATCTACGATAACCCACTCCCACCCTCTCGCTCCCGTCTACATCTCTCTACAAACATCCCCACCTCTCTCTCTCTCTCTCTCTCTCTCTCTCTCTCCTTCCCTTCCTCCCTCCCTCCCAGGATATCAGAGGAACTGTTCCCATCGACTATCTACCCACCCAAAGAGAGAGTGACGACGATGTGGTGGAGGCGATGAATTGGGAGGTATTGACTTTCTGTCTCTACCACTCCTTTTATCAGCACCGACTATTGAGGACGGGTTTTTCAAGTCAGACCTCATCTGTAGCTCGTGCCCGAATTCGGGCGATCCTGATGGCGCCTTCGACGTCAATGCATGGAAAGAGAGAGGAAGAGATAGACAGAGAGTGTTTGCATATGGGCCTCTGGAGATTGTTGAGATTCACGTGCCAGATTGAGTTGCAATGGAGCTCTTAGGGAGGGGCAAGTTCGTTCAGGGAGTTGACTTTAAAAAATCCGTGGTTATCTAAAACAAATATCTGGGTCGGAACTTTAAGATAGACGGGAGTCGTAGAGAGAGAGAGAGAGAATGGATATCATCAGTTTATTACTAAATAAATAAATAAAATCGAAAGAGTCGTCCGCTCTAATGACCCCAATATCATTTATTTCGATTTTTATATTTATTTTATGGTTAGGAAACAGTTTATCAGCAGTTTTGTCTAACTCTGGCCCGACCCGGCGCCATCGAACTGATGCGATATGGATGGATAAGATACGCATCGCCGTCGTCGGATTCTTCCCAAAAGATCCACGTGGCCTGTCGGCGCAGAAAACGACGTGACGACACCCGCCGTCTTCCGTGTCGCCGCGGCCCCCAGTGGGCCCGCCGGATGTGCCTTGGATTTCCTTCAATATCCCCTCGAGTTACCCTCATCTTCAACTTTATTTACGGAAGAGCCCTTCCACGGGCTTCGTCGACAACTGTCCTCGGCCCACCTCATTTAGTCACTAGTCACTGGAGCCTCCACCTTTGAAGAAAATAATGGCGCCAGGTTTAGAGAGAGAGATAGAAAGAGAGAGGGAGGGAGGGAGGGGGAGAGAGAGAGAAACAGGGTGGATTGAACCGTAGAGCCTACACATTTGAAGAAAATAATGGCGGGTTTGGAGAGAGAGAGAGAGAAACAGGGTGGCATTGAACCCTAGAACCTAGAGATCATGTATCGGCCACTAATTTATTCACCAAAGCCGGAGCCTCCACCTTTTGAAGAAATAATGGTGGCACGTGGAGATAGAGAGAGAAAGAGAGAGATTCTTTCGGTGGAAAGGAAAGAGGCCAAACCTCGCGAGAAACAGGGTAGTTGACCCCAGGAGCCCATCAAGTGTTGCTGGCTCCCGACAGACCAAGAATTTCAAGAAGTTGACCCTGCCACAGGAAGGAAGAGGGCCCGAGAGAGAGAAACTTCAGTCAGCAGGACCCCCACCCGATCCATAAATGCGATCGGCATCTCCATCGTCGTTGCCCGAACGAACAAGTTCCTCCGGAAGTCGAGGAAATTTTCGACTGAGAGAGTTCAAGAACATCCATCAGGCAACCCATTTCACAGGAATCAAAGCACAGAGAGATAGAGAGAGAGTGAACTGTTGCAGATCAGTGTTCGCAGAAAGCATCAAAGTGTCGATCTGGACCAAATTTGAGCATCCGCGAAGCTCCTCGACCCTCCGATTCGCAGTCTATGTAATAATCTCTGTTGGAAATCTGAAGGCGGAGAGGAGTGGGGATCAAATGCGGCGCTGCTTGCGGCGGCGACATCCGTTGTGGGCGAGGCGAGTGACGTCCTGGAGCTGGACGATCCGTGACTGGTCGCCATAGCTTGAGCCCTCCTTCCACCCCAAGATTGCCTCCTTCTTCTTCTTGAAGAAGGCGGATCCCTTGACCTTGATCACGGCCGGCCCCAGGTTGACCGCCGTACGGGCCACGTGCTCGGCGGTGGCATCGCAGGCGTAGCGGGAGGACTTTCCCTGGTCCAGGGATCCGGCGGAGGCCCCGAGCTTCTTGTTCCCCTTCGCGTCCGTCACCGTGACGAAGGAGTTGTTGCGCATGATCAGCATGTGGACGATGTCGTGCTTCTGTTCCCCCCTCGTCTGCTCCAGCACATCTGCGGCCATCACCACCCTCAGATCGCGCAGATCGAAACCACGGCCGCGGCAGCAGCAGCAGCAGGAGCCATGGATGGAAGAGGAGGAAGAAGAATATTGGAAGGAAAAGGGGAAGCGGGATCGCAGATCAGATCGAAGAAAATGTCGTTTGATTTTGGCGACGAACCTGCGACGAACTGGTGGTCGCCGCGGCGGAAGGCGGGGTATCGGCCATCGTCGGACGGGGGGAAGCGCGTGCCGGAGGAGGAGCTGTACGAGCGGCCGGTGGCGGAGGGGAGGAGCCTCTGGAGCAGCGCAGCCGCCCTACGGTTAGCGATCGCGGCGGCCATCTCGCCGTGTGTATTTGGGGGTGGGGAAGTGGCGAGAGGAAGGGAGAGATGCCGATTTAGGGTTTCGTGAACAAGTCCACCACGCGGGGCAACACAAGCCGTCCGATCAGATGCGATCAGTCTGATCGGATCTATTTTTCTCAAAAACAAGTAATATAATTAAATCTATTTAATAGGGTTTTAAAATAATTTTATTTTACTAAATGGGCCTTCAGGGCCCATTGAGGTCGTCTAGCAAAGAGGTCGACCGCTAGGCAAAAGTCAACGGGGACATGTTTTTTATTTTAGTAGGAGGAGAGCATTGACTCGAGAAGTCCCGAGAAAATCGGGAATAAATAAGTCAATTTTCCGACTTTTATATAAAGAGGCACGTCCGTTGATGTGCCTAAGTCAACTACCCAGTATCCCCAAGGATACGCACCCACACGTATGGATTATGTTGCGTGTCTGACTTTTGCCTGCTTCTTATCAATTATCTCTAAGTAAGTGAGAGAGAGAGAGAGGGAGGAGAGGGAGAGAGAGAGAGAGAGAGAGAGAGGGAGGCGGGAGGGAGGAGGGAGGAGGGAGGAGAGAGAGAGAGAGAGGAGGGAGGGAGAGAGAGGGAGAGGAGAGAGAGAGAGAGAGAGGAGGGAGAGGGAGGGAGGGAGGGAGAGAGAGAGAGAGAGAGAGAGAGAGAGAGAGAGAGAGAGAGAGAGAGAGAGAGAGAGAGAGAGAGAGAGAGAGAGAGAAGGAGAGCGAGAGAGAGAGTTATCAGACTTCACAAGAGTTCTGACACGAACTCCGTGGGTACCGTGAGAGATAGCATAGTCAACGGACTTCGTGTCGCAGTCACGTGCCTTTCCCTTGATATTGATGGCCGTCCGATCAGTGGACTTCCAAGGACCACTTGTACTGCGCCGCCTTTTAACGTCAGAGAGCTCGATCTGGTCTCCTACGGCGCCACGTCATGAAGCGGCTGTTGACTTCTTGTATAACTTGTTGCGGCGGCCGTGGCACAGCCAAACGCACGGGAGTATTCGCCAGGTGGTCCAGGGAATATTGCGTTTTCTGTACACGCGGCATATTTTCATTTACTCACAGAAAGTCACACGCCGCTACGTACTCAATATCTCGGATGATCCCAGCAGTGGCGTCGAAATCGCCGGTGAGGGTCCGTCCCGACGCCCAACGGAAGCGGTGGCCATCGGCACGTCGAAATCGCCGGGACATCGCACGGCTGATGCAGGTTTAAACTTTATTTACACAAAAAATAATGTTTATGGGATTATGAATAGCGAAAGCTGCGTTTTTTTATTAAAATCGGGGGTATTAAAGTGGAATTTCCGTTGTTAATTAATTAATTAATTTTGAAAACGTGCTGTATTTTTCTCCCAAGTCTCAACGCGTGAAACGTGTTTAAGACGGGGAAGACTGCGTTGGGGAGGGCTACCTTCCCTCCAAGCTGCCGCACCCTCCCCCTCGTCGGAGCCGCAGAGCAACGGCCAGGCACAACCTCCTCGCGCGACTGCGGCGGCTCACCGGCGGCGCAGGTCCCTCCGCTGCCATTTTTTCCCTCCCTCTGGGTGTGTCGAGATTTAGGTTTCCGCCGTGGGGAGGAGCTTCCAGTAATGGCGGTTCGCCGGAGCGGCCGGTCAGTTGGAGGGTCCGCGCCAGAGATGTTGGGGCGGAGCTGGGGGAAAAGGTAGCGGCGGGTTTGCGGGTGGCGGCGCCGGAGATGCTGTGGTGGAAGAGCGGCGGCAATCAGCCGGTCATCCTCCGATCCCCAACCTGCCGGCCTTCGTTGCCCATATGCGAGTCGTCGCTGTCGCCGTCGCCGGCCCCGTCGCCGTCGTCATCGTCGTCTTCCTCCTCCTCGCCGGGGGGGCGCCGGCAGGATGGCAGAGGGGCGTTGAGCGGACGTGACGACGATCTCCCCCGCAGGCCGCCGCAGCTGACGCGGCAGAGGAAGCTGCGGCACCTGAGCGACTTCTACGTGGAGGGCCTTGGCCGAGGGCTCGACGGGGGCGCCACCAATGGCTGCGGCGGCAGCGGCGGTTGGTGCGTGGCGGCGGCGCCGACCTCGTCGGCGTTGATTCCTCAGCCGCTTCCCCTCCCGGCGGCGGACTCTGCGCACAAGGGATCAGCCAGCTCCGGCCACGAGTTCCTCAATCTGCCCTCGTTCCGAGGGGAGCGGGTGGAGGCGATTCTCTCCGCCGAGCCCTCTCCGTCGATCATGGAAACCGCCGGCGAGAGGCTCCCGTCGGCGGCGAGCTTCAAAAGGTTAGCCATTGGAGGATTCGCCTCCCTCACCTGAGCTCCTAGAACCCTAGACCCAAGAACCCGTCTTCTTCGTCTTCTTCTTCTTATTTTTTCTTCTACCGGTCGAATTCGATCAATCGACGGATTCTTCGTTGACCTACGGCCCTCGGGAAGAGACATCTCCCGCAAGCTGAGAAGATCTTCGGGATTGATCCTGTCATCGTATTGTCATCTTAAACGTGCTTTAATGGATATTATTAAAGTGCGTTGTTGGGAATCCCAATTTGGTGCAGGCTGGTCAGCCATACCCTCCCAAGTGGGGTTGACTCTGCCGATCGCAGGAGGCAACATCAACAGAGTCAACTCAAGAACGAGAGGTCGGACTTGAGGCTAAGCGTCCCTTCTACCAGCCCTCCGAGCAGCGGCTTCTCCAGCCCCATGGGCAGCCCTCGGAGATACAAGCCCGGAGATTTCTTCCCCTCCAATCATCTTCCTCCTCCCCATGCTCCGGCGGCCTGGTCAGCGCCGGAGCTCCCCCCTGCGGCCGTGGCGGCGGGATACTCCATTCAAACCTCGCCGGAAAAGGTCCCCTCAAACGGCGGTGGCTCTGTCAATGTCCACCCGCTGCCCCTTCCTCCCGGGGCAGTAGCAGCCGCCAGAAACGACTCGCCGTTCATGGCGGGCTGCTGGCAGAAGGGGAAGCTCATCGGCAGCGGGACCTTTGGGAACGTCTACGTGGCCACCAACAGGTATTCCCATCGCCGCCCCGGCCCTGCACCCTTTGAGCTGCAGGTGGTTGACCCTGTCCCCTCCGACAGGCACACTGGCGCTCTGTGCGCGATGAAGGAGGTCAACGTGATCCCCGACGATCCCAAGTCCGCCGAGTGCATCAGGCAGCTGGAACAGGTTCTCCCCCTAGACCCGTGTATGTTCTCCACGAGCTCATCTCCTGGATTAGCCTGTGATTTTCTCTGCTGCGATTTCAGGAGGTCAAACTTCTCAGCCAGCTGAAGCACCGAAACATCGTGCAGTATTATGGGAGCGAAATCGTGAGACAATCCCCCTGCTGATTTTCAGGTCGATCCCTTTGACCGCCGTAGAACCTTCCGTTGACTCTTTGCCGCCGCAACTGCAGATCGACGACCGATTCTACATATACCTGGAGTACGTTTATCCGGGATCTATAAATAAATATGTTCGGGAGCATTGCGGCGCCATCACGGAGTCGATCGTCCGCAACTTCACGCTGCATATCCTCAGGGGGCTCGCGTATCTGCACAGCAAGAAGACGATCCACAGGTCCAGCTACTTCCAACCCTTCCTTCTTGAGTGGGTCTCATCTGTCTGTGCAATCGGATGCTCATCTGCGCCCCTGTTTCTTGGTTCTTAACAGGGACATCAAAGGGGCAAATCTACTCGTCGATGCAACCGGGGTCGTCAAGCTCGCCGATTTCGGCATGGCGAAACATGTGAGCCCCTCGATATCCCTTGCAAGCATACTGATCGCTTCCACATATGTAGAGAGAGAGAGAGAGAGAGAGAATTGGTTAATTTGCGCATGATTTAACTGATAAATGCACATGGGTGCTGTTCTAACGATGGATGGGCATTCATGGGTGGGTGCCCCCGTGCAATTGGCCGGCAACTGGCGGCATCTGATTGGTCTCGTTTGTCCTCTTGGGCCAGCTGAGCGGCACCGGAGCTGTGAATTCATTGAAAGGATCCCCGCATTGGATGGCCCCAGAGGTACTCCCTCTCCTCCACTGGAACAGAGCCTAGCAGTGCTCTTCACCCCTTTTCTTTTCTTTTTCCGTTTCTTTTCTTCCTCCTCGTGGGGAGACTGTGCTTTCCTCGCGTCCAGGAGGTTCTTCGTTCTGAGAGCAGCTGTTGGTAGTCGCCAGTTTTCTTGGAGATCGATCGCTTCAGACCGCTGTTAGTAGTTTCGTCTGTTTCTGGGGGATCGTTCCTTTTTTCAGCAGTCGCCATTAGAGCTTTCCTATTTTCGTGGAGATGCTTCGCCCAATCCATTCTTCCATCTGTGTGTGTGTGTGTGTGTCTCTCTCTCTCTCTCCTCCCTAGTGGATCCAAGATTCTGAAGCGTATATGTTTGGCTGGCTTCTGGGTGCTTTGATTGCAGGTAGTCCAGGGCACCATGAACAAGGAGATGGGGTATGATCTTTCCGTGGATATATGGAGTCTGGGCTGCACCATCATAGAGATGTTCACCGGAAGGCATCCCTGGGACGGCTTCGAAGGGGTACGTGCTTCTGACCCAATACACAACGAGAAAGAGAGAGAGGGAGAGAGAGAAGATCTTCTCATCAGTCTCTCTTCTTTGATCGATTCTCTGACACTACACTCTTTTATGGCTATTCTTCTCTCTCTCTCTCTCTCTCTATCTCTTGCTTCTGTTTGGACATTGCAGCCGCAGGCGATGTTTCAAGTGCTCCTCAAGTCCCCGGAGATACCTGAAGCGCTGTCGCCGGAGGGCAGGGACTTCCTTCAGTGCTGCTTCCGCCGGAACCCCTCCGACCGGCCGACGGCGAGCCAGCTGCTGGACCACCCCTTCATACGAGGCTCCCACGATCCGGCCGCTCATCCCTTCTCCTGCCTCAGGCAGCCAGTGAGTCCCTTCTTCTTCTTCTTCTTCTTCTTCTTCTTCTTCTTCTTCTTCTTCTTCCCATTCTTATTCCTCGTCCTCTTCTTCCAGGAGGTCACCGCGCATAGCGCGAGAGATGGGAGACCCAAAGCGGACCCGCCGGCGAAGGGGAAGCTCCAGAACGGCTTCAGCCTGCGGACGCCCTTCAGCAACAATATCTGACCATTTCTTCATGGAGGGTTCGATCCAGCGCCATTTTGCCGGGAACAAAACTCGCCTCCTCTCGAGACGAACGAGGAGCTGTCCCCCCGATCTCCTCCCTCCACCGCCGTCCACAGCTGGCCCTCCGCAGCGGTGGGTGCTGCTTTGAATTGTGCATATCCCCCATGCCTTCCTTCACTCTTCCTCTTCTCCGTCTTCTTCTGCTGTACAGAAAAGGTGCAGAAACTTTACGATCGCCACAGTTCCCAAGTTGGGGTCTTTCAAGGTGCCCCATAATGGGGTCTTTTACGGTTCCCTTCATCTGGGTGGAGAGAGATGGGCCCGACCAGCGTTGCCTTTTTATCACGGTCAACGTTAGTTTTGACCCGTTGGTGGGCCCGGTCTCCCCGTAGGCGGACCCATGGGAGCTTTTTTAATTCGGAGAAGGGCGGCTCCGGGCTGGGCCCGATGTTCGATAGGATCCTTCGTCCTCTTCTTCTTTGGGCCCACGAAGGGGAAATCTGTTGGGCCCATTGGGCATATAAACCAATTATGCTCAGGGCCCAATAGAAGGTTCTAGAGCGGCGGAGATGGGAACAGGAATCGAATGTTAAAGCGCGTTTGCCACCCCGGGGGGAGGGGCAGCTGGCTGGCTGTCTCTCAGCGACACAGCTCATCGTGCCCAAGTCGCCTAGGGTTGACTTCTCAAGGAAAACGACAAGGCCAAGAATAGCATATAACCTCTCTCTATAATCATCCATTACAAGCTCCCACCAAAATTCCTCTCTCTCTGTGTCTCCTCTCTATTCAGCCTTGTGATTGCTATAAGCTTTGCCTTCCATATTCCTCTCTCTCTCTCTCTCTCTCTCTCTCTATGGACGGAGAGAGAATGTCGTTGTCACCCCCGAACAAGTAACATACTGAGAACTATCGCACCTTAAAGATAGCACTATTATTGAGGCTCGCCTGTAAACAAACCCCTTTGACTTCGTTATATTCCCGTCACCATCTCTCTACTCTCTCTCTCTCTAGCAGATTGGGAGGGAGCTTCTCTCTAGGCTGGCAACCGCCGACACCGACCAACAAGTTGGCACGTTCTATGCGAGAGCGGCGGCTTTGGAAAGGGGCCCACTTCCATACGTGTAACGAAGGTCTACCCACCTTGGTCCGTCCGATCGGGATCGGACGGTAGTCAAAGTCTCAAATTGCAAGTTAGGAATCCATGCCGCCTCCGCGGTGGATGTGCTCTGACGTGCGAACGTGTCAGAAGCAACCGCGTTGACCCACCGATGGAGGTCTGCCTGTGCCTCGTTACCGCCAGAAAGACCAATTTATCATGGTATTTCACAGTAATTACACTTGCATTCTCCGCCGCTGAATAGTTAAAGCGACGGTGGCTGCCGACATTTATCTTCCATGGCCAATAAGAACTTGACACGTCAAATTATCAGTAAAAACCCACTTCTTCTTCGGTTGCCACGTTGCATGACGCCGAAAAACCATGCAAACGTGATATAGTTGGGCTATCAGCGGCGCCGAGGCTTCCTCCAACGGATAGCTGGCATGGGGCTGTTACCAGCCAAGTCCACGGCTATGGCGGCGGGAAGGTTCTTCCAGCGGCACTCCATCTTTCCTTAAATACCATCGGCATTGGGAAGGGGACCTCTGCCGTTTTGTCACCCTCCGAAGAGCTCCGGCGGAGTTGGGACGGGTAGAGAGAGAAAGCAGGAGGGAGGGGATTTCCTTGGGGGAGGAGATGAGGAGGGACGTTCTCCTGCGGCTGCTCTTCGGAGCTCTGGCTTGCCTGAGCCTCTTCCTCGTCAACGCCGAGGACCCTTACCGTTTCTTCACCTGGACCGTCACCTATGGCACCATCTCCCCTCTCGGCCTTCCCCAGCAGGTTGATCGCCCCTCCTACTCTCTCTCTCTCTCTCTCTCTCTCTCTCTCTGGTTCATCATGGCTGATCGAAGGAGTCGTCGAACTTCGTGAATCTCTCTATAGGGTATTCTGATCAATGGGCAGTTCCCCGGGCCCCAGCTGGACTGCGTAACGAACGACAATGTAGTGGTCAACGTCATCAACAAGCTCGACGAGCCCTTCCTTCTTACATGGTAAGCCACCACTAGTCTTATCCGCGGAGAGAGAGGGGCTCTTCTGAAACCCTACCCTGGGATAGTGACGGGCTGTCTTTGGAGCAACAGGAACGGGATCAAGCAGAGGAAGAACTCCTGGCAGGACGGAGTCCTGGGCACCAACTGCCCCATACTGCCCAACTCCAACTTCACCTTCAAGTGGCAGGCCAAGGATCAGATCGGCTCCTTCTTCTACTTCCCGTCGACGGCGATGCACCGGGCCGCCGGCGGCTTCGGGGGACTCAACGTGAACCAGAGGGGGCCTATTCCTATCCCATATCCGGTTCCCGCCGGAGATTTCACCCTCCTCGTCGGCGACTGGTACAAGGCCGGCCACAAGGTCCGTCCACACCCCTCCCTGTTCAGAAGAGCCTCATTAATTGTATAAAGAAGAAGCATGAGAGGAAGAAACATAAAGATCGTGGGTTGGCATGCAGGCGATTAGGCAGTCCTTGGACGCCGGAGGTGCTCTTCCTCTCCCCGACGGCATCCTCATCAATGGGCTTCCTCAGGGCTCCGTCTTCACCGGAGACCAAGGTAAATATTACGTCCTTGACCTTAGATTCCATCGCCGGTAGGATTCTCCTGAAACCAAAGAGATTGGGATTGAAATGTATAAAGCTGTAATCGGTGATCCACTCCGCAGGGAAAACCTACAAGTTTAGGGTCTCCAACGTGGGCCTGTCCACCGCCTTCAACTTCAGGATCCAAGGGCACAAGATGAAGGCTGTTGAGGTGGAGGGCTCCCATGTAATCCAGGAATTCTACGACTCCATCGACGTCCACGTCGGCCAGTCCATTGCGGTGCTCGTCACCCTCGACCAGCCCGCCGGCGCCTACTACATCGCCGCCTCCACCCGTTTCACAACGTCGGTGCTGACCGCGACGGCGGTCCTTCGCTACTCCAAGTCAACCGCCCCCGTCTCCGGCCAGATACCCCCTCCTCCGGCTTTCCAGCTCGAGGGTTCCATTCTCCAAGCGAGGAGCTTCCGGTGGAACTTGACGGCGAATGCGGCCAGGCCCAATCCCCAGGGTTCTTACAGGTATGGGAGTATCACGCGGACGAGGTCCCTAGTCCTTGCCAACACCGCCTCGGTGGTCAACGGCCGGCAGAGATACGCGGTCAACGGCTTCACCTACGTCAACCCCGACACTCCCCTGAAGCTCGCCGACTACTTCAACATTCCAGGGGTCTTCTCCGTGGACAACATCCCGGCGGCGCCGCCCGCCACCGCCGCCGCCCCCATCTTCTCCACGTCCGTGCTGAGGTTCAATCTCCGCGATTTCGTCGAGGTCGTCTTCCAGAACAACGAGAATGACTTGCAGAGCTGGCACATCGACGGAACCGACTTCTGGGTCGTGGCGTAAGTGGGCCCTAATACAATCATCACAACATAAAGTTCCAACTATATAAAAAATCTAAATATTTCTCGTCGATGAATCAGGTACGGATCCGGGCAGTGGGACCCTAGTCTCAGGGGGCGATACAATCTGGTGGATGCGACCACGAGACACACCGTTCAGGTACTAACCGTGTCAACGGATCGAGTAATCTCTTGGCCCGGTTTGATTGTTTTTCCCTAGGATTGAGTCATAAAGAAAAATTAGCCTGCTAGGTCCCTACCTGTTGTCTATAGTCCGTTACCTGTTGTGACTCTCTCTCTCTCTCTCTCTCTCTCTCCCTCTCCCTCCCTTCCTTTCCCTCTCCCTCTCCTCTCTATCTCTATCTCACACGCACATGCACACGCATAGGGGAGCTATGCTCACTCTATTTAGCTTGTGTCACGGCATAGGATTTGGACCCATAACTCGTTTTCTAGACCTCTCCCTAGACTCAAGTTGGTTCCAAGCCTTGAAAAGGGCTCTTGCTCGGGCTGGACTGGGCCTCACAGTCAAACGAGAGAAAAGAAAAGACGTGAAAGCCTAGGTTATTAGCTTTCTTGAGGAACGATCTTAGATCTCATGATCTTCCCCATGGTTATAATTAATTGTTCCTGCTTTGACAGGTATTTCCAAACGGCTGGAGTGCCATTTTAATGGCCTTGGAAAATCAAGGGATGTGGAACGTGAGGTCGGCCATGTGGGCGAGGCAATACCTCGGGCAGCAGCTCTACATCAGAGTCTGGACTCCAGAGAAGAGCACCAACAATGAGTATGATATCCCCGCCAACGCCTTGCTCTGCGGGAGGGCCCGAAGGTCCTGAACCTCTGCGGCGGCTGGCACCTGCCTTTCGCAGGCTCTGGATTGAGCTGGATGACCTGAGACTTTGGAGAGAGCATCTCGTTTGGCCTGAGGCGGTGGGAAAAAATATATTCTTTGACACCATCTAATCTAGCTATTTATACTTCCCATGGATTGATTCAAGAGGATAACTTTTTTATCTCTTATGAGTGAATTTGTGAGTGTCGATGTATCTTTTTTTTTAAAATACTGATAGAAAAGAAAATTGGGCTTGTCTCTTAAAACTCCTCAATGCCAGGTTGTTACACCATGATGAGGATGTAGTCGTTGAGGTTCCCCTCACTCTCCATCTAACCCTCTTTTCACGAGTTCAGGTCCTTCATAGAGTATGTGAGAGAGGTTGATCAACATTATCCAGCTGGTCAGACTCCTTTATTAATTATGGGGGGCCCTCCCAGCCCTTGATGTAGCAAGGAAGTTGGCTGTTATGCATGAAATCATTGTCAGGTGTTGAGCAATTCAATCCCTAATGTACCCACATATGACCAAAATAGATATTCTTGATAACCAAGGTGTGTCATATATAAGGCCTGGGGTCCCTCATTATAGATGGGTCTTTAGGCATAATTCTTTATAATTTTGGTATGAGATTAAGTGTTCCCACTTTAGATGATATCAAACTGATGATGTCATATGCTCCCCTTCCATATGATGTCATGTTAGTGACATCATCATCTAATTTGGTTTTAGGTGTGATGTCAAGATCATGCACAATGACGTCATGCCTTCTTACACGTGTGTTGTGGTGCCACATGCAGGTGCCATGCCAATGCATGTGGGTGCCATGTTGTCATGTACGGGCACTATGCCAACAAGCGGATGTGGCATGCTGCCATTTGCAAGTGTCATGCCAATGTGCACATGTGCTGTGCAGCTATGTGCAGGTGCTACACCAACATGCATGGGTGTCATATTTCCCGTTTTGTCATGTGGCTGTGTCCTTATGTTGTGCACGTCGTAGTATTGTTGTCAGAGGTGGTTCATATAGAAGGACCCCTTATAACATTCTCCCTTTCTTCTGGTTGTCTTGTCCACTAAATAAGATAAAAAATATTATAGTAGATATGATTTTGTCCACCCTTGTCGACCACATGATGATCTAATATCATTGTTATCAGGGTGGAGTAGTGTGCTTATATCATTAGCAAAGGTTGATGTGGTCGTTTCTTCTATAAGTTTTCTTCATCTTTATGGTAAGCCTTATAGAGACATAGAAGACTAGGTGTATAGAAAGGCATAGAGGGAGCTGAAGTCAATATGTTAATCGAACTGAGTCACTAATAAGTCTTCATTATCATGAGTTAATAATTAGTAAATAATATAGTTTTAACCTTAACTCGATAAATAGACTTATATTTGTGTTAAAATGTGAAAAGTGGTTTTCAATTCATTAATGTGAATTTTTGGATAATTATGTAATTTTATACAAATTTATATGATTTTTACAGTCTTACTTTTGAGATAAATGAAGAAAAAGAAATAAAAATAAAAATAAAACAAATAGGGGGGACCCATTGGCCAACCAAGCCCGCAAGCGGGTTGAAAGTGCAGTTGGGGAGTAGCCGCGAGCAAGGGCTCGACCAACTTGGACCAATAGGGCATGTGTGTGCCACTCTCCTTCCACGTCACCAGTGGCCAGCCGGCTGTGGGGCAAGGAGTGGTCATACATGCGCGAGAAAGATACTTGATCAAAAATGTAATATTACTATATATTTGCCAGAAACTTCGACGCACAAGTGATGTGAGACTAAACCCACGTCACACCTTCCCCAGAAAAGGCGGGCAACTAGTACGGGTTCGAATCCTCCCAAAGCTAAAACTCATATTTTTTATCTAATTATCACGACTTTCTTGCAGATTGCCGATGAAGGATTAAGCAACCAGAATCGCTGGATCATTGGCGAAAATCTCGTCAACATGATTTGTAGAGTATTGTTACTAAAATTATTGAACGATTCACGATAAAAGGATTACGAATCTATCGAGTAAGACATCTTCGATTGATCGATGAACAAGTCGTTGTCGGGAAGAAGACGATATGTTGGGAGACGAGTCGCCACCTCTTGAGAGCGTACCAGATGCGAGGAAGAGCCTCTTCTTGCTGCGCGGACCTGAGGATGAAGCTCCCTAACACACACCTCACCTCCATCTAGCTCTTTTCCATCATGTGACAGTCGTCAGAGAGCCACAAAGTCGCCGTTTTTTTACTCCGTCAGGTGACAGCTGCCGGAGACGATTCGACAACCCATTTCATTGATCTCTAAACTTCGCAATGAGATCTAGAGATTGGCCACATCATCCTTGTCCAAGGAGAGCCTTCAAGGTTGTGGATATTGCACGACGATCCTCCCGAACACTTAGGATTCTAGCGCATCACCGACGCATCGCCGTCATGATGCCTGAACTCTATTTTTCTGCTTTCAACTTAATTTCCGCTTCATTTAGTGATAATTTGTTGATTTTAAATTTACCAAGATATACTTTATTTCATTACGATTCTTTCGACTTTTATAGATCTTAATTTGATTAATTAAATCATCTATAATTGCTTACATAAGAATCGTTGGGTAGAACTCTATTTCCGCACGATTTGTGTTCGTCGGGCATTGACGTCATCTTGATGTTCGCACCCTTATTTCCCTTTTTGGTGAATTTTAAATATATTTTCTTTTCATTTCCTAGTATAAAATTCATAGAAAATAGTATTCTTTAAGGAAAATTCTGAATAATTACCATATATTATATTACATCCTATGATCGACTTAGAAAATTATTACTATTTTTGAAAGTTTTATTGAATTATAATTGATATATTTGTTTAGAAATACTTCTAAATATCTAAAAATTCGTATTTTTTAGTTTTATAAATTTTAAATTTATGTGATTTACTATACAACGACTAAGTCACGTCAGACACCAATCTATTGTAGCATTTTTTCTTTTGGAGTTTATTGTGGGTATAAATAGATATATAATAATACCAAATCACTCAGTATATAAGGTAGTGATGATTAATATTTTTCTTCATCCTTGGGGTTGACCTTGTTAGTGATTGCAGTTCGTAGTAAAGTAGTAAATGGTTGATAAATACCTTAGATCTTGTTACTTAATAAAATTTTGGGGTGTTAGAAGTTGTCAATTAATGATAATTTAAGAAGTGAGTGTCTCATGGACACACATTATTGTATATTATGAGTGAACTGAGAAACATAAAATAGTTCGACCCAATGATCTTATCATGCAATGACATAGAGTTGTAGATAATCTTCCAACATCTCATTCACTCGCTTTGTTTGACCATTTGTTTGTGGATGAAAAGTAATAGAGAAGTTAAGTTTAATACCAAGAAGGGTAAAGAGAGCTAATTAGAATTGTCCTATGAAGCGTGGGCCATGATTTGACATAAGATCTCATGATATATCTTACAACTTGACAATGTGTGTCAAGAAAGACTCAGTCACTTCTTTTGCCTTACACTAAGATTATGTAAGTATAAATGACCTATTTAAAGTACTTGTCAATCATAAGTAAGATGACATCATGGTCGCCCACTCTAAGAGACCTATGATGAAATCCATGAACAAAGATTCTCATAGTCCCTTTAATACTAACAAGGGCTCTAATATTCATGCAACATTCTATCACTTCACTTTGTCTTGTTAATAGATTAGACATAAGTGGACATATGTCTTCACGTTTCACCTTATGTTGGGCCAAAAATAACTACTAACCAACAAAGACTATGTTTACTATTGTGTGAGATGTTCTACAAAAAGTACATTATGTGTGAAATGTTCGCTATGGTTATCCCTTTGTGGCATATAAGGCAACATTTTGCTTAGAGAATATCATTCTCCATCTAGAATTGTCAAAGTTTCTCCTGCCTATTTACTGAATGAATGTTTAATTATTATATGTGTCATATGCTATACATATATCGTCCAATAGGCTAGCAGTGCTTGTTGAGAGGGCAATCACTCTATATGTAGTCTTTTGTCAACTCAAGGCATTGACTACGACATTATTGTCAATAGTGTCTCGACTTATATATGAATGAGAAGTCAAATTTAGCCAAAAAAAATAACTACCGGGCCTGCTTGGTTGATAACTTCTTCTAAGAGTCAAAGTAATTAATGGTAATATTATTAATATAGACAATAAAAAAATTACTTAGGAAGTAGTGTCGCCATATTCGTAGTTAATGTATTGTTGTTGTCATCTCCTTCTTATGCCCCAAGTAATATTATTTTGTGTTGTCTAGTTTATTACCTTCAAATGTAATATGATGTACTTTTTGTATCAAAACCTCTCTAATGGCTATGTCCAATATATCTATATGTATATCTTAAAAGATTTGTTGAAGTAGGAGAGTTGATACACATATTACTTCATAATCATTACACATAGGTTATCAAATACATATTTTTGGATCTTTCATAAGGAGCTATATTTGTAATATAATTATGTGGTAGAAGTTTCATATAAACTTTTGATAATAATTTGCAAGCCTTAAGAATGACCTTAGCTCGGTTACTCATTTGGGTACTAGTCATTCTTCAATTATCACAACTTTCTTTTGATATATTTTTATTTGTTCTTTGCCCACTATGTAATTAAAGAATTCGACCTTCATAATGACGAATGCACACTTTGTTAGATTTAAATATAATTTTTGATGTTTCAAAGTTTCAAGTACCTATCATAAGTGTGACAAATGGTCATACATAATATGACTATACGTCAAGATATCATCTAAGTATATGATGATAAATTTATTCAAAAGGGTCAAAATATGTAATTCATGAGTACACAAAATGTGAGTAAAGTATTTATTAACTTAAAATGTATTACTATAAATTCATATGATTATTATGTGTAACACATGTTGTCTTTTGTTTGTCCCCCTCCTTGATTTGGACTTAATGATAGTCATTCTTCAAGTTTAATTTTAAAAAAATATGTTTCTCTACATTAGGCACTAAATACTTGTTATTACTCTAATCTTTTTAGTACATTATAATCCACACAAAGCCTCAAGGTTTTATCTTTCTTTTATTAGAAAAGAATTAACATATTAAATGATACATGTCAAGGATAGATGTGTTACAAAATGATGCATGTGAGGGACAGATGTGTCTTGCTTCTAATAGTTTTTTTAATTTTTTCATTAGCTCTTTTAGGTATATTTGAGGTATTTTATATGAGGCCTTAGTCAAAGGACATTCTCTTGATAACAACTCAATTGCATGTTCGATATCTCGCCTAAGTGGCAGTGTGGTAGTTAATTTATCAAGCATGATATCATGAAACTTCTTAAGGGTAATACTTCAAGATGGTTCATTAGTTTTTCTTCATCTCTAACTTTTCCTATGGTGATGAGAAATATATTTACATCTCATTGAAGATCATATTTCAATTATATAACTAAGATATGTTGGGGTTTTATCACTTCTTGTGTGGACCCCTACACAAAATAAGATTAATCTCCTTCACCTATTATTAACTCATTACAATGAAGAAATTTTTTGGTCTTTACCTTGATTGCAAAGTATGCACCTAAAATGACATCAAAATTATCTATTCGTATGACTAAACAATCCAACTTATATTTTCATATACATATCTGAATTTCACTTGTCTAACTAACCCACCGAATGCTTGAACTTTATAATTGACAACTTTGATTTTGTTATTGACTTAGACCAACCTTAATCTTAGGTGGTCAACTTTTCCTTCATATAAGAAGTTGTGAGTAGCCTTTGAATTCACTAATGTTATGGCTTCAATGTTATTAGTTCATGCCTCCACAAATATCATTCTCCTCTTAGCCTACACCACATTTAAAAGTTGAATGATGTTTAGATTGAATACATCTTCAATCACCAGTGGTGGCTGCTCTTAGGCCATGATTGGGTTGAGGTATGCCTTAGTCATGTGATGGTTTACTCGATTTAAATAATCAATATTATAATGAAATTTCCCACAAACATGACACTTAGTTCTTTTTGGACATTCGATATGTAAAGTGTCTCTATTATAGTCACTATTACATTGTTCTCAACTCTTTTTTGTTGTGGTTGATTCTATCCATTTGTAATTGTTTTTACAACTTCTATTTTTTTGAGAGACCTCAAACTATTATTTTGTTATTAATGTCAATTGTTCACTAACCCATTTACCACCATCATGGTTCCCTAGATGTCTTAGACACTTTATTTTTGAATCTCATTATGTGCTCATTTATGTAATTTCTCTATAAAGTAGTGAAATTATCATCCTCGTTCATCCTAAATGTTTCTAATATGAGCATTGAGAATTTCTCCACAAATTCATACGTGCTTCAACTATTAAGATGGAGGTAATGTATTATTTTAATTGAACTTCAACTTGTCATAGATTGTTTTCTAAATATTAAGATAATTCTTCTTTCGTCTCTACTTCTCATTAGATTAAAAAGTTCAACAATTAGTGAAGGTTATGGTGACTTCTTATATTATGCTTGATGATCAAGTATTTTGATGATATCTTTTGTAGATACTGTGATGATTATATGTGGTTGTCTCTTAAGTTGGTTCATTTGTTTTTCTATCATGTATTCTTTGTATTATTTGAAAAGCAATATATGAAAGATAAAGTAGATCAATAGATGCGATAAAAGCTCTCATAAAAAAATGTTAACATTTGTTGCATCATGATTTCCTACGAATACTTTTGGGTTTACTTGGGGTGTCTTTCTTTTTAAAATTTCTTGTCACCTCCTTTTCATTTATTATATCTCAGGCTCCAAACTCTTCATGTCTTCTCTTAATTACCCCAACAAGATTTGTATTACTCTACTAAAGTTAGAATTTGTCTCTCTTTGCAACTCTTCCATCTTGACATTTTAGTCAAAGTGTAATAGTGGTGCTCCTCTAGTAAGCTTCAAAACTCTCTCATTTCATCCATAGATGTTAAAACTCCTATTAGATCTGAGTGCGAGTCTTTATGAGGTAGTATTCCATCTATTTTGATTGAGAAATGACTTTTCGTTGGGTTTCTTTTAGTCTAGTGATATTGAGTCCATGTGCTCTCTCTCTTATAATTATGATACCATTATTATATTTTGACTAAGATGTAAGTGTTGAGGTTTTCTTCATCCTTTTTCGCAAGTAAAAATCCTTCATAAAGTATGCGAAAGGATTGATCAATACCATCCAAATGGTCATGTCCCTCTACTTATTATGAGGGTTCCTCTCAACCATTGCTCTTAGGGGGATAACTATTGTCTTTTCTATTAATAGTAATTGGACAACACCCTGTGGCCCCCACCGCCTGTTGAGTTTGTTTTACTAATTGTGCTTGACAATGTGCTTGGAACTACTTTCACCTCACATTTGTGTATATCAACATACTTCATCATTTAACACAACATGAACATCAATGCCTCATGCTTTACCACTAAGCACTTCATATATATTTGTGTAAATTAATATCTAATTAGACAATATGATATATAGGTCTACATTATAAGCTCTGACAAGGTTGACATTTACTATTCTATTGTGAGATGGAATAGTGACTATCATGTCATCTAGCTCTGATTGAGGATATATTAAATTGGGTAGCATCTAAGAAGTCAATCTAATTATTTTAATTTGTATTGATAAAATTATAGATATAATCTTCTAAATGACATGACATATTGATTGAAATTACATATATAAATCATGTATCTCAATCATTGACAATGTCTTATTACAAGTTATAGTATTTCACCACATTAATCATGAAAATGTATGACACCTTTTTGCAATTGTAGATTTATTCATGTTGACATAAATATGATTTAGTTCAAAATTCATTCAAAAATGATGAACATTTACATTTAATGTATTTTTCTTTAGCAACTTAACGATGAGACAAATGAAAATATCTTAACAAGGTTAACTTGAGATAAATAATACATACATAGTGCCTATTGTTTGACCATAATTAAGTTTTGTCCTACTAATAGATGATCACATACTACAATATACACATCATAATATAAGATCAAATGGTTGCATGTTTTAGTATACATGTTACTTCTATACTCACAAACAATGCATACATGATCTCCACTAGTATCATTCTTATAACTATCAAAATTAATATAAAATTCATTTCATATTTGTTAAGACTAAAAACATTCACTACAATGTCGGCAGACTCTCATCAATGGTGTTCTTTTTATGTCTTGTGCATGCATGTCATTCTCATACCTTTCATGTTGGGCATTTTCACTGCATACATCCATCGGTTGTCCACACCAATATATGAGACTGTCATCCATTGGATTGTTCCATACCACTTTCCTCGAGGGCATCAATATATGCTTTGTGAACTTGGACTTTGTTAGCCAACAAAGCCACTCACTCTGCCAACTGAGCGAGTATGACATCGCATCCATTTTCATCAACAATTGCTACCCCTTATTCAGATGAAGTGAGCTTTTTGTAGCTTCAAAACACTTGATCATGTGCAGCTTTAGATGTCTCTTCAATGCCACATATGGAAGGGATATCTACTACTACTTCATAATAAGAGTACTTAAGAAGGAAGAGACTAAGTATATGTTGCTCACTACCTTGGATGCTGCAAGTACCCTCTATTTCTAAGGGAAGATTGGCCGGGCGAAATTTCATGCGACACTTCACCTTCAGACGGTTTTCCCATCCACCTTTCATTGCTTGGGGATGTCCACTTGTTGGTGCTTTGCCTGTCGTTCCCGCTAGTGCTGTTAGGGCACTTTTGCACGCCCACACCCTTTCTCTAGTGATCCTGATTTCTCAACCATGAATCGGAATTCTTCAAGCCTCGTCCTTCTTAATCTAGATTATTGGAGACCGCGAGGAGCCCAGATCTCAAGTGGTTCATGGGATCACTTCATTATCGGGGCAATATGACGATGGCGGGCTGGAGCTGAAGTGGACCAATAGCGTTTGACCCTGTTAACCCATGTTCGACTAGTGAGCTGAGGAGGACCATGTATGACTTCTCTTGGGCTATCTTGGAGGTGTATTCGGCCCATTAGAAGCCCATTAGGAACCTGCCACACTACTTCCTTTGTGCGCAAAGACTCATTGGTTCCATCAAGACTCCTCGGATAAGATCTCAGAGTACTCCCCTCAAGGAACTCCATCACCTAGAGGAGAGTGTCTGAAGTTGAGGAGCTCGAGGTCGCCTTTGGATTCTTTTCCGTTAGCATCCCTTAATATGAGCGCGTGATGTAAGAACAATCCACATCACATGCTCACATGGAACGGAAGCCTTCAGTAAACAGAGCATATCACTCGGTGTGCTCTAAAGCCCTACCCCTTGGTTCTGAGGTGGGTGACCCTGTAAGTTTGGCAAGGTATCTCAGTTACCTTGGCTACTTAGTAAGGCCCAAAATTTTAACTGATGTATAGAGAAGTCTCATAAAAATTGTCATTTTGGTTGTCGATCCAGAGAGAGAGAGAGAGAGAGAGGCTTCATATGGAGTTAATCGGTATCGAGGGAGGGTTATCACGGGGTACGGCTCAAGGTTGTCGAATCCGAGGACGACATTTGCGAAGTTCCCTGGAACAGGACCGTCCCGTGAGGATGCTTACATAGAACGGGAGCCGAGAAAAAATTATGCAGAATCCATTCCAGCCTTCGGAGGGAGGAGCAGGGAGAGAGCTTTTCGATCATCGTGAGAATCCGGCAAGAGAAGGGAGGTGATGGTGGCGGGCCAGTTGCTGACCTTCACGGCGACGCTCCCATTTCTCAGCTCGAACGCCTCCGCAGCGGCTTCAGCCATGTTCCACCCTTCGCTTAAGGCATTGGATCAGAGGTTTGTGATCCAGCGGCTCCAGTCACGTCTTTGCCATCTTCTGTCGAGTTTTATCTTGGCTCAGGTCAGATTATATTAAATCTGGACTTGGGCACATCATTTACTGTCGAGTTTTATCTTGGCTCGAGGTTGCAATCCTGTAGAACATCTTTAATAGTAAAAGGAAAAAAGAGATGATCAAGAGTCGATAACTCCGCGAGTATATATGCTCACTGGGCCAATCATGGGGATATGGGAGCTACTGCACAAGCTACTCACGCACCAGGGCTAGTTGCTGATAGTTCCTTTTCGTGCAGTGACAAAGAATTCAAAATAATCCACTACTCGGCATTTAAAAATTAAAAGGGAAAAATTACGATCAAATCTTATCATTTTTTCTTTTATATAATCATCAGTAGAAAGTATGATCGCTAAGGTCAGGGAACTAAATCTTATTCTTCCGAGAGAAAAATGTCTCACGGCTGCATCTAAATGAGGGTGGAAAGTCGGAATTTTCAAACTTTCAGCAAGCCGGCGGATACTTACCTCTTCTTGAAGAACACACAAAAATAAAATTAAAAAAAAGTTACTGCATAAGTAAATAGATAGTGGTATCTGGTCTAGCAAATATATAATGCATCAAAAGAGCACGAGAATGCACGGTTTAGGTAGTTTTCTTATTCTCTTGGAAGTGGACGGATGCAGAAGATGGCGTTTATATTTTTATGAATATTCGAGGAAGAAGATGAGGAAAAATCGATCAAGGGATGAACATAAGAGCTTACTCAAATGCCTCAATGCTGCAGGTTGGCGTGTTAGTAGCTGTGGAATGAATGCCGTACATGTATGATCTCTCTGATCTAGTTATCCCCCTCGAGAGCACGATGATAAAGTAAGGATGTGCCTTAGACCTTCACAAATATTATACGCGGGAAATCCGTGATCATATGAACGCCGATGGCCATTTCTTGAAAAAAAACTTGTACTTTTGAAGATTTTTTATGAAGTCTAAATCTCAAGTCTTTGCTTTTTACGTCGGGGCATAGATTTATTGATGATTGGGTAATAAATGAAGCTACTTCGAAAGATAGGATGCCAACATGAAAACCTCCATGCCTCTCTCTCTCACTCTCTCTCTCTCTCACTCTCTCTCTCTCGCTGTGGGGGTGTTTCGACGACGAGCAGACGTCAGAGAGTGTTGTAGGATGTGGATTTCAAGAAAAGCATAGAAAGCAGAGGGGTTGCACTCGCACATCAGTTCACAGGAATTCGGGGTATTCTTGTGAGTTGAATGCGTGTTCCTCGATGAGATGATATGACGATGCCTAAGAAGATAAAGACGACAGCCTAGTGGGGATAATATGCTCACGCCGCTGCAAGTCTCGAGGTGAAAGAGGGCCAGTAGTAGTGTCACCTCCCCCCGTCTCTCTCTCTCTCTCTCTCTCCCCCCCTCTCTTTCTCCCCCTCCATCTCTCTCTCTCTTCTCCTCTCACTCTCTACTTCTACATCTACTGCGCCGGCTGTCTGATTCGGCCTTCACCCTACATCGAGGCTCCGGCGCTGCTGTGGCCTAATGGAGATGCGTGCGGGCGGCGTTTGACCGACTCTGAGAGCGAGAGAGAGAGATGGAAGACCTTCCTTCCAATGACGGCTCCGACGCTTTTTGGTTCGCCACGACATGAATGCTATCCGACGAGGAGGAATCTCAAAATATTACGCCTCTCCATCTCGTCTTCGTCGTCTTCCTCGGCATACACCGAACCAGAAGAGGATCGCCGAAGATGACGCCGTCGACCCAGCTCATGGAGTTTTTCCTTTGTAGTTATCCTGAATCCATGGCTCTCCAGAGTGCTGGCAAATTCCGCGAGCAGGAACAAAGAAGGGCCGAGGTTTTGATTCGACAAGAAGAGAACAGTACTCACCTAATTTCAAACACATCGAAACAAATAAAGTATTGAAGTAGAACAGAATAGGGAAACAAATCTAATGAAAAATTCTGCAAATTCAACATCCAAAGAATTAAAGAAAGGGAAGAACGAGACGATGATGGAGAAGGCTACCGTCCCGTCATTTTCTTCCTTATCTTTCCTTCTCCATTAGAACCACATGTAGAAGTGAAGAGGAGTGGCGAAGAAAGAAGAAAGAAAGAGAGATCAGAACTCGTGTTCTCTATAATATCCAATAATCCACGTTTAACACACAAACCACTCTCCTAAGGATTCAATTAGCAATGATCCTAGCGAAGACAAGCCTAAGAGATCTCATTTCCTAAGGAAATGAGCCATTCGTGGTGGACATATCAGCCCAAGCAAAAGGCGAGCTCCAGTACCCAAATTCCCCTCCCACAAGAGTAGCAGTCTCCAAGACGCCAGGGCCAGATGCTGCTGTTGACGCCAACAATGGGGACGATTGTGCGACAGCTGCACCAGGAGAGGAGGAGGAGATCGTCGATGAAGGAGGAGGACCCGCGTTGCCGAAGCTCTTCGCCGGGTGATCCGCGTGATGTTGGCCGTGGGATCTCATCCTCTGGTAGAGCTCTTGGATTCCTGTGGTTGACGTCTCCCCGAACAGGAATCCTCCGTGTTGATGCTGGTTGCTGTTCCAGGGCGAGGAGAGACCCTGGGGGACCTGTGAGAGGTGATCAAACCCTAAATTCCGGGCGTTCAACGCGTTCCTCAGCAATGAGGCATCAGGCACCAAATGTGACAAACTCAATGCGGCCTCCTCCTTGATCCTAACTGAGTTAGGGTTAGGGCTAGGGTTAGGGTTGGATGTGATGGTGCGGCTGTTGGAGCTGGTGTTATTGACTGTCGATCTTAGGAGGGTGAGGAGCTGGGAATTCGGTGGAGATGGCCAGAGGATTTGGCTTGACGGCAGCTCTTGCTCGAATCCGGGGGGGCCTACGCTGAGACCTCCCAAGCTGGACTTGATGAGGGCGGCATCTGAAGAAGAGAGCGTCTTGGCTTTCGTTGACCTCCCGGGGCCGACGGAGACTCCGGTGGTCTTCGCCTTCCGGCAGCCGCCGCCGATGGGCACGTTGCGGAGGGCGCCGCCCTTGGTCCAGTAGCGGCGGCAGGTCTTGCAGAAGTGGCGGGGCTGTGTGAGATTGTAGTTGTTGTAGTAGCAGAACTTGGTGTTGGTGGAGTCGCAGCGGGGGCACCTCAGGTTCTGCTGGTCGGAGTTGGTGGCTGAGGAGAACGGCGGTGGCGCCGCCGCCGCCGCCGCCGGGGAGGGGGGCCCAGAAGACAGCGGCGAGCTGGAAGACGACCCGCCGACTATGGGGATCTTGTTGGCTTCTACTTGGCCACCCCCCAGAAGCTCTTGGATCATCCTTCCCTCAGCCCTGCCGAAACCTGTGGAGGACCGAACCAGGAGGAAAAACCAAGGGGGCAGAAAGATGCGGGTAGGGTTTTGTATCTTAGGCTAGCTGAGGAGGAAGACGAAGAAGGAACGGGGGAGAAGTGTACAGACGCTCCCTTGAGTGGTGATTCTGTTGATTGGGTAAGGACCACAGGACGAGCCTGTCGGGCGACCATTTTAAATAGTGATGGCGGCTAGAGAGAGAGAGATAGAGAGAGTGAGATGTTCTTCCAAGGGTGAGGATTGGATTTCCGGAGATACCCTTTGTAGAGCGTCAATAATCCAAGAAAGATTATTCCTCTGCCATTAGGGGCCCAAGAGCATCATCAACGTCCTCAGACAGCGTGGTTGCGATGGGATCGTAGGCCGGGGCCCATCGATTTCATCGGCCAGTCCAGGTGGATATCTTTCCGCCGTTCAGTCCAAGCTTCCGAGTACCAGCCGACGGTGGATCCCGTCCATGGGAAGAGCTCCCGTTCTGACAGCTACATACAAGAAGGCCCGTCAGAGATAAAACCCCTCGGGCTCCACTCGAACCTCGTCTGGACAAGGAGAGAAATGGCAAGGTAGAGAGAGAGAGAGAGAGTCATGGGTCGAGCTATTCTCGTTCAAAGGCAATGATTACAAGCAGGGGCCCATCGTATGGAGATACGTGTAAAGTCCAATGTTCCCCACGCCTCCCCTTGGCCACTCATAGATAATATTAAACCATCTGTCCGTCTCTTTCTCTCTCTACCTATCATCTTCCCCCCCCCCTCTCTATCTCTCCATCTCCGTCGATCTATCTTCGTCCCCTTCCTCTCTCTTTCTGACTATCTATCTTCCTCCCCGCTCTCTCTCTCTACCAAGCGCCGGATAAAACAGAGAGAAAACGAGATGGGATGGCAGCCCATGCATGGCCCATGCATGGCCCATGCAAGGCCACACGCACGTGCGGATACGCATTAAGGCCCCTCGACGAGCTTCGTACGTGCCAGGAGGAGACGAATTTGGGAAGGTTCCAGGCCCCTCCCTCGACTTATTGCTAAGACTATCCGATTCCTGCGCGTGCTGCTGGGACAGATGCACAGAACGACGGCGGCCGTCGGAATATATAGACTGCTTCTTGAGAGAGGAGAGAGGAGAGAAGAGAGAGAGAAGGGCGAGGTCCGTCAGCCGGTCGCCGTCTGAGGGACCGAGGAGCCCATGATTCCCGGGATTCTCGGCCTTCTCGCTCTACACGGCCTTCTACACTCTCTAGATCTCTCCGACTCTGCCGGGCTCAGAGAGAATAGATTCCTTTCGTCCTCCTTCAAAACGCTGTTGGCTCCTATGTTTCTACAGAACACTTACATGATAGAGAGAGAGAGAGAGAGAGAGAGAGACGATGGAGAAGAGACAGAGGAGTAGATTTTGACGTGACGTGACATGGAACATCTCACGCATCAGCTCGCGTCCTGTCGGCTCTCCGCTCGGCAAGACTTCTTTCTAGGGTTTCCAACCGGGCTAGAAGAGGTTACAGGGGGAGGAGAGAGCTAGCAAAGAGAGAGAGAGGAAGGAAGGAGGGGGATGCGAGTCTTGCTTCGTCGTAGTGGGGGATTGAGCTCGCTTTGTATAAAGCTGAAGGATTCCGGCAGGAGGAAACCAAAACAAGGATTTGTTTCTTCTTCCATCGTCTTTTTTACCCTTTTTCTACGCCGGGGAGGTCGCTTTGGATTCAGCAGCCTAGGTAGAGTGAGAAAAATACCCTTTTCTCGCACAGACCAACGCGCCAATTGAATGGAACTGCAAGCCCGGGGATAATCTCTCTCTCCTCTCTCCAACAGTCTAGGTAGAGCGAGAAAGTAAAGGATATCCGTCATAACTAAGATGCCTTGAAGGGACCATAACCCCGAGGGGCCCTGGGTGTCACCCTTTTACATCTTTCGGAAAGACCGGAGATAGATGAGGGGCAAGTAAGGCTTATTCAATCAACGGGGTAGTCTCTCTCTTCCTTGGCCAGCAAGCAGAAAAAGTCTCCATCTTTTCGACTTAGGTAATGAGCTTGAAGTCCTATAGCCTCCCTCAGCCACCAATTAAAGCCTAATCCTTAACCTCGAAATGATATCAAAGAGCTTCGAACCGCTGCTGGCTCTAGCACCATAGATTCTGGCATTCTGGCCTGGCCGGCTTTCCCCATTCATCGTTAGTACGGGCGAGATGGGAACATGGACGCGAAAAAGCACATCGGTCTCTTCGCTGCTCTGTTCTAATAGGCCCCTCCTCGCTTCTTTTCTTATTCCATTGAAAGCCCACGGATCCCCACCCTCTCCCCTCTCTCTCTCTCTCTCTCTCTCTCCCCCTTTTCCCCCCTCCCTATCCAACAGTCTAGATAGAGTGCGGGAAAGCCATTTCTCAGACATACCCACCTGAAAATTTTATGGAATCCCCCGCCAGCGAACTCTTCTCTCTCCCTCTCTCTCCCTCTCTCTCCCTCTCTCTCCCTCTCTCTCCCTCTCTCTCCCTCTCGCTCCCTCTCTCTCCCTCTCTCTCCCTCTCTCTCTCCCTCTCTCTCTCTCTATTTGTCGGGCCGGGCCCAGGCTTCTGTCACGCCTGAAAGAGGCCCGAGCAACCAAAAAAATTTGAAAACCAACAGGATCGATCACTTTTTGTTGCTCAGATGGGGATTTCTCCGAACATCTTCTTGAAAACCCATCAAATAAAAATCAAAATTTTAAAACCCCCAACCAGGAAAAATACTATTTCTCTCCTCCATTAGGCTTTTCCGCAATGATTTTCATGAAAACCCAGCCAGAAAAAAAAATCAATTATTTAAAGCCCAACCACAAAAATATCTATAACTTTCTTCAGTTGGGGCTTCCTCCAATCATCTTCTCCAAACCAAGCCACAACCCAAATCTGTTAATTTCCTCAATTGGGGTCTTCTCCCAATCATTAACGATTTGATTTTTTAGGAAGTAAGCTAAGAAAACGCTTCTGAGCTACCAGGTTGCAGCAGGATCATCTTCTCCAGCCCACCACGGCCACTTGGATTCGCGAGTCAGCTCTAACTTCTCGCAAGATCCAATTCACGAGTTCATCCCATCTCTCAGAAGATCTCAGCCACATCCCAAATGAGCCAGTGCTGATGCTGAAACTTTCTTTATCGGGTTCCTATCCCATCATGTATTCGATCAGAAGAACAGCCTAGATTTCTGAACCTCAATTGAGAATACCCAGTTGACAAAATCATTGGCCAAAGATAGTTCCTTTTTGTGGAGAAAAGTCAACTTTATGCCGATCCATTCATTCTACTGCCTGATGATGTTTTGCCCACTTTCTAATACATTTGATAGATAGACAAGCAAACATATAAATAAATAAATAGACTGTGGCACAATCCATCTCCCCACTAGAAAGAAAGGGAATTCCATCTTACACCGTTAGACGTGATGAACTATCTCATGATCGCAACCTTCATCTCCCACCTTGCCCAGAAAGATCGAAACTTTTGTTAACCCATTCTCCCTCAGGGATACCAGAATGGGACTAAAGCAGCAGTATATGCAGGAACAATAACAACAATAATCATGGAACAACATGCATTCTCAAGAAGCATCCACCATGTCCCAGGGTTAGAAAATTTGGAACAGAAGGCGTGGAGAAATCGCCATATATATAGCACAGGGTGATGGCGCAAGTCAAAGGCAAAGCATCAACAAGGAAGAGCAACAGATTCAGCAGCGTACTTGGTGGTCATCTTGGAGCACTACCCTGTTCCAACCGAGAGGTGATGGTTCGGAGCGATTTCTCATGTTATAGACAGAAGAAGCCCTCTGGAGCCTCGGCGGTGTTCTTCTCGCTTTCCTCAGAAAGGATAGAGAAATCCGAGCTTCTGATTTACTCCCCCTGAGTTTCAGACGTCTGACTGGTTTTGGAAGGATGCTGAGACCTTCTGAACCAGGAGAAGGCGAACCATATGGAGCTCCAGAGGCCCCCGTTTGCGAAATGGGGGAGAACCAAGCGCCCCCAGTAGGGGTAGTACGGCCCGGGCAACTTCAGCAGCATGAAGAGACCCGCCATGAACACCAGGTGCCAAGGAAACTCCAGATCCTGAGGCAGAAACCAGGGAGGGAGCATAAGCATTCATGATAGATGGAAGTGAATGGGAAGAGGGAGATGCAGAGGATGAGGAGAGAGAGAGAGAGAGAGAGAAACCTTGAAGCTGGGGGACATCTTGAGTGCCGTCTCCTGGAGGACTTTGGCGACGGCGATGCCGCAGAGGAAGGGAGCGGGTATGACGATCATCTTCCTCTCATGGGCGCAGTAGGACATCTCGCTGAGAGATGACACCGCTAGCACTGGAATAGACAGGTACTTGGCCACCGTGAGGACGAGGTCGAAGATGATCCCGAGAAGGTGACCAGAAGCTCTCACCCAGGGGAAGCTCCTGATTGGCTCGGGGCACCTTCCCCAGAGCTCTCTCAGAGACTCCATGGCCATGCCCATGGGGAGCCTCTGGGGGCCGTCGGACTGTCCCGCGGGCATGTCCACTGCCCGGGCCTCAAGCAGCCCCGTCTTGCGAGATTTCGCCGGTCCATGCCGCCGCCTGGTGATCGCCGGCGAGAAGCCGCCATCCAGCCGGCGCGACCACAATCCCTGTTAGGGAAGGTAAGCAGGATGATTATGAATCGAAGGTGAAGGCCTCTGCCTCTGCTCGAATTCGGAGAGATCAGGAGAATCAGCGCTCGAAAACGAGGGATGGGAGAGAAAACAGGAGCAAATCCGGCGAGGAGAATCAAAGATCGAGGGAGATGAATGAGGGGAAATCCCGTCGAGATGACCAGATCGAAGAAGAGGAGAGAAGCAGAGAGACTCGCCTGGCTCCCGCAGAGAACGGGGGAACGGTGCCGCGACAACGACGCGGAGGTTCCGCCGGAAGAGCTGTGAATATGCGCCGCCGTTGCAGCGGCTGCGCTGAGCGGCGGTGCTAGAGAGGCCATCCTCAAGCGGCGGAGCTAGAGGCGCTAGGCGGAGAGCGACGGCGGCCTCAGGCCGAACCCGCCGCCGTGGATTCTCCCGGCAGCGGAAGATAAGACGCAGAAGGGCGGGGGGAGAGAGAGAGAGGGAAGAAGGCGAGGGTTTTAGCTGTGTGGGAGCTACTCCTTATCAAACGGTATCGGAAACATCGATAGAGTAACCGGCTACAAGTTTCCTTCTTTATATACAAATTCATACCTCAACGTAGAATGCCCTCCCTCTCTGTCTCTCACTACTCTCTCTCTCTCTCTCTCTACACCGATCCCTAACTCCCTCTCACCTTCCTTACCCTCTCTCTTACTATCCCCCCCCTCTCTCTCCCTCTCTCTCTACACCGATCTCTAACTCCCTTTCACCTTCGTCACCCTCTCTCTTACCGTTCCTCCCCCTCTCTCTCTCTCTCTCTCTCTCTCTCTCTCTCTCTCTCTCTCTCTCTCTCAGTGATGAAAACAGAGACAGATGGAGCTGAGGCTAACGAAACAGAGGGAGCCCAAGAAGAGACGCCGTTTATTATTGTTTACATACACTAAAGAACGAATGTCAACGGTCACTCGCCGGAGTCAGCCCGGAGCTGACAAGGTACTCCACTATCTCCTTCTCTCCGCCATATTTACACGAGCACCCGGAGGCCGGTCAGCGGGGAGCACCGATCCCTTCAGCCGCTCATGGGGAGGTTCTCCTTCCTCCGCCGGCCCTGCGGCGAAGACCGCCGGAGCTCCGACGGTCGCGTCCTCTCTCCGGAGATTCTACCCTGCAGCAGCGACACCCACCTACCTCGTCAATTGCCATAGTCAGCGGCCCCAGTTGACTTTTACTCCCCAAAAAAAAGGAAAAAGAAAATAATTTTCTCCAAATTATTTCACTCGGTAATGAAATATGGAGGATGGAAGGGTTTGACGACGGCCGCCTACCTGGAGCTGATCCCGCAGCCGCCGCTCCTCGTCGAGGTCAACGTGGGGTGGGGTCTTCCCGCGGGAGACCCGATGGCGGGAGAGCTCCTCCTTCACGCGGGAGAGGGCCTCCTCGGACTTGCTCAATCTGGAAGTCAGCTCCTCGTTCTCGGCCCTCAACACGCCGTTCTCTTCCTGTTTAAAATCAATAAAAACTTTGGGATAATTGTATAAATGATCTACCAGAATAAATAAATAAATAGATAAATGGATATTAGATCATCTGCCTTGATCTTGGCGTGGTGGTGGATGCGGTGCTGGAGGTTCTGCTCCCTCTGAAGCCTTTTGACTTCGTCTTCGAGCTGGGCGACTGCCCTCTTGTGCTTCGTGTTCTTCGCCTGCGCGAGTTGACCGGGGCCCGTGAGGTTCGGGACCGACATTTGCCAAGATTAGGAAAAATGCGGAGAACCAAATCTTTGGTCAACCTTCAGCATCTCGTTATCGGCGGACAGCAGCCGTTCTCGCTCCCGGAGGCTATCCAAGGCGGTTCTTGCGGCCATCATCTCCGAGTGTTTTCTGTTGATCTCTTCGAGCCACCTATGGAAAGAGGTTAAAAGTCGGCGTTAGTCAACGGGTGGTAACCCATCCGTCTCATACGAGGGTCGGATTGGAATTTTACCCCTGCCGTTCTTCCACGAACTCGTCCAGCCGCTCCTTCAGCTTGGCAGTCAGCTGGTCCTGCAAGGTTGACGCGCCGGATAAAAAGTCAACGGATGCAAGAAAGCGGGGTAGATCTCCCAAAGCGAGACTCGATTTCACCTTCTCCTGGGGATCTTCGCGCGGATCGGCGGTCCCTTCGGTCAGCTCATCCGACCGATGTTCGTCGAGCAATGACTGCCATTCGAGAACGCATCCAGTCAAAACAAAACGACGGGCGATAATTATTTGCTTTAAAAAAGTCAACTCACGGCGTAGTTCGTCATGTCGAGTTTGACCCCGAGCAAGTCGCGGATCACGTCATGCGTCATGCTCTCTGCCTTGGCTAATCTGGCGTTGAGCATGAATATCTGCGGGGAGACAGATTCATGAATAAAACGCGACGATTCAAATATTTTTCAGCCTAGCGAGAAAAGGACACCTCTTTCTGTCGGCGGGCCGCCATGGCTTCCAGCTCTTCGATCCGAGACCTCGCCGCGGTCAACTCCTCATCTTTCTCGGAGTTCATTTGCTGGGTCAACCCCAAGCCGATGCACTTAAAGGGCGAGCCAGAACCCCTGGTCTTCGCCGCGGTTTTCTCTTGCTTGCCCGACCCCAGACTCCCAGCGTGGGATGAGGAGGCCTCAGCTTTGACTTGCTGCGCCATGGCTTCCAGCTCCTTGATCTAGACCGTTGGCATTCATCAAACCATGGACATTCAGAGATAAAACCAGCAATTGAACCAGAAATCGATACTCGGGTCAACGCAGGATGACAAAACCGAGGGATTCATCCAGAAATAGAACATCTGGGATTTCCTGAAGAGGTCAAAAGAGAGAGAAAATGAACCATGGGGACGTACCCGCTGCTTGTTCTCTCGTGCTTGAGCATCTGCATGTATGTTCAGCTCAGCGATGTGGGCCTTGCACTGGACGATCTGCAGGGAGGAATGAACTGAGCTCAATGCGCCCATCTAGCTGCAACTGGGAGTTGACTTCGATCGAGGAACGAAGAACACGATTTCATTGAAAAGGATGCGGACCTCTGACTCTTTGTTTGAGACGTCCTTCTGAAGAGCTTCGATCTGCTTTCTAGCCTCCAGAAGCTCACCCAGTTTTTCATCCAGATGCCTGACCAAAAGAGCAACGAATTTCGCTCAGATGATAACTTATCGATGCTCTCATAGGACCATTTTTTTTATTTTTTTTATTTTTTTTTCATCATAGGACCATTTATTACCAAGATAAATAAAAACTTAAGATTAAATAAATTGCCAAATCCTCACCTCAGTGAGCTGGCACTTTCTCTCTCCGCCATCATGAGAGAGTCGCTGGAGGTCTCCAAGCCCACCATCTTGTTCCTCACGACCTCAAGCTCCATTTCTAAATCTTCTCTCTGCAACCGCTGCTTCTCTGCCTCTCCCTTGACGATCTCCAGCTGCCGAGAAGAAAAAAAAAAAAACAGGAAATTAATTTCTTCTTGTCAGAGAAAAAACCAGAAGTTTCGATGTGATCTTACATTGTTTTCCAGCATATTCACCGTACACTCGAGCTCTTCAACGGACCTCTCCAGTAGCCTCACTTCCTCCTCCTTCTCTTCCGCATAGATCTTCTTCGATTCCGCTATCTACGCATGAATAAACAGAAATAATGGAGAAAATTATTAATCTGAATAAAGTATGTATATCCTCCGTTTTTTAAGGAAATTCCCACCTGCTTAGCCTCGACAGAGATAGCTTCATTTTCTTCGGCGAGGGCGCGAGCCATGTCAAGCTGCTCCTCCAGGGTTGTTATCTTGGAGTCGAGACGGTCTCTCTCTTCAGCAAGCTCAAGAACCTCATTCTGTAGCTTCTCAAGGAAATGATCTTTCTGGGCCAATAAGGTTCTTGCTTCCAGAACCTCAGCTTCTAATTCCGCAAGGACGGAGTCCTTTGATGACAGAATGGTCTCCATCTCAGCTTTCAGCTCGACATTCTGAGCGGCAAGCAGTTTCCTTGACTCTCTCTCTCTAGAAAGATTCAGTTCGAGAACCTCCACGATGCCCACTTTCTCCGAGATTTCTGCTGCGAGCATTTGATTATGGCAGACCACTTCGTGGAGTTCATCTGATTTTGATGCGAGTTCATCCCTCAGAGACTGCAGAAAAGCTTCCATATCTTCGGTTTCATCGTTTCGGCTCTTTGCCGCAGACGCAGACTCCTGAAATGACTTGAAATCAGACAGCAAGCTTTTCAGCATTTCGTCCTTTTGATGTAACTCGGACTGAAGAGAGAAGTTTTCGGACAATGTTTCTTCCACTGAAGCTTCCAAGAACTCCAATTTCTCAAGAAGGTTGGATACATTCTCCTCATGCTCACGAAAATCTCGTAGCATTCTATCCATCAGTGTGAAATTATTTCCTTCAAGGGTATGGAACAGTTCATTGAGAATCCTGCCCACTGAGTTCATCCCCTTAGAACACTTCTTCTGACTCGAACTAATCAAGGCCAGAGCTTCCTCCATTTGGGTAGAGTGCATTGTCTCATTGATCAAAGATTCATCGTCAATGTTCAAGGCGGTGCCCCTTTTGGAACAAGTTTCTTGGTCATTATATCCAGAATCAAGCTCTCTGGAGACGACAGACAGGTTGCGTGAGGGAGATAGCAGATTTGTTTCGTTCAAGTTTTCAAGGATTCTATCTTTCTCGTTCTGGAGAAGATATAATTGAGTGGAGAACCTGTCCTCGGTTTCGGCCAGTTGTTCTTTGAGTGTACAATTTTCAGAGGTCATTGCATCCATTTTCTCGTTTAGAATCTGAATCTCCAAGTTCTTTGATGAGAGTTCTTTGAGGATAATCTCATGGGACTGCTCAGAATCAGTAGCTTCGATTATCTTCTCTTCCAGGTTCCTCTGCAGTCTACCAATTTGATCTTTTAAGTCCATCTCCAGAAGGACAGCCTGCTGAAAATCACGTTCCAAAGTCTCTATGGTAACCCGCATGGCTTCTATCATACCATCCCTCTCTCTCAGCTGATTCAAGATGGTGTCCGATTCTTGACTTGCAACCTCGAGCTGACTTCGAGCTACTCTTACTTCCCTTTCTAGGATACCATTGTCAGCTTCAATTTCTAGTAAGAGTCTTCTCCCTATTTCCTCATTAATCACGAGTAAAAGCATTTCTTCCCTCATTCTACCAATAATCTTGATGAGAGAACACCTCTCTCTCTCTAGATTGACAATACGTGCAGATTTAAGCTCGGAGTCTTCAATCCTCTGTTTCAAAACTGACTCAAAGATACACGCCTCAAGGTCCTTGGAATACAGTTCTTCCAGAGACCTGCTTTCGTTTGTGTCAAACTCCTTGATCAGAACAGCAAGTTCATTGCCCATGAAATTAGATCTAGCCAGCATTGATTCTTCTTGGAACTGTACATCCATTAGTTTCCTTTCCAGAGAATTAAGTTTCGTCTTCAACCTTTCTGTATCGCTTTCTTTCCTTGTTATACAAGTAAAACTATTGCTGATGTCCGCAAGGAGCTTTCCCTTGAGGATGCTGCACATTTCAAGTTCCTTATTTGCTCGGACATTGTGTTCTCTCAGATCTGCCATGACCGCATTAGATTCAAGCATGCCACAGTGGAGGAACCCGTTCTCAGCATTCAAGCCAGTTATTACCTCCAGCATGATTCCCAGATGACAAAGATTTAACACAGATACAGCACAGTCTTTTTTAATGATCTCAGACCAAATATCCTCCAAGCATTTTCTTGCTAAATTTGCAAGGAGAAGAAACTGAGACTTGAACCAATGGACATCGTGGATTGTTGATTTTAGCTCGTCGCCAAAGGTGTTCTTCACCTCCTCAATAGCAGCTTCAAGTGCTAGAACCAAATTACTTGATTCAGTCAGATCGGTGATGTATGAGTCTAGTCTCCTCTCCGTGGATGCATGTTCTTCATTTTTCATGTTAAGGGAAGTCTGCAATTCCTGAACCTTTCTTTTCAGACAGTCTCTTTCACAGGTCAACGAGATTTCTACTTTCTGGCACTTTTCCGCCTCAAGTCTTGCCGACTCATTTGCAACAAGCAACGCATTGACCATGATATCTGCTTCTCTCATGGCCTCTTGGGCCTCCTCAAATTTAGAAAGAATGGTTGAAGCCTCGATTGCCTTTTGCGTTGCAATCATGTCTGCATCTCTTACCTCAAGATCAAGCTCCTGGATAACACAAATAGCCCACATTATTCTTCTATCCATTATTCATTGGGATGCTGAAACCAAACGAGAAAAGAGAAATCAATAATGAAGTTGACAACAACATGAAATCGGGCAAGAAAAAAATGGATACTGGTTCTTCACCTGGTTAGTTTCATTCAGCAAGCAGAGAGATTGACTAGCCTTTTCAACCACTGTTTTCATCTTTTCATCCAGTTGTAGCAATGCCCATTCAAGTTCTTTCTCTTTACTAATGATATGCTTCTCCATCCCCATTAATTGCGCCACAACATCTTCCATCATTTTCCTGCTCCGGATCTCGGATCTTTTTGTTTCTTCCTTCTCATCAACCAGTTTAAAGATCTGATCTTGTACTGCCTTTAGTTTATGGAGGGCAGACTCCAATTCCTTTTGAAAAAGAATCATAGTGCTCCCTCTGTCATCACCACCTTCAGTAATCCTACAGCCTGACTGTTCTTGTGACCAGTTACACGGGTCGTAGATGGTGTTGCAAGGTGGTACTTTATTACCATCTGCTATACCTTGGAAATCATGGCATCTAGCTGCAGTGCAGAACGTTCGTTCAACCTTGATCTGCAAGAAAATTCCATATTCACAACAAATTTCAGGCGACATTATAACTACACGAGTTTGTGTACTCAACGTATCAAGAAATAAAAATAAAAAGAGCACTTACATACCTCGTTTCCGGAAACACTGTTAGAATGATCTGCACCAGTGTGTTCTTTGCCAGGTTCTTCCACCAGTTCAATGAACGGGTTCACGAAGGAGTGCAGAGTGCTTATTCCAACAGTAAACTCACTCAACTTCTCCCTTGTCTTCTGAAGGTCATCCACGGATCCTAATATAGAAATCCTGTCCTCATATTCTGCTAGTTGCGACTGAAGAACCTGAATCTCCATTACTAGACTGGCATTCAGAGAAAACTGATCTTGTAGCATAGCATCTTTCAGTAAATGCATTACGTCAGAGTAATTGACCTGAAACTCCTTCTCTTCCAGTGCCTCAAGATAAATAGAATTTATCTCAGATATTCTGCCAACTGTTTTAAAGGCAACAGACGCAAGTATCTCTGACTTCCTCATGTTCTGCTCACCAGACTGAATGATATTCTGCAGCCTGGATATAGTTGATGATTTCTCGGATAGCTCTGACGTCAACTGATGCATTTCTCTTTCTCTATCACTGTTTTCCTGCTGTTGAGCTTCAGTAATTGCGAGTGTTGCACCTCTCAATGACCTAAGCTTCCACTCCATCTCACCTCTTACCTTCTCTGCATCGTCCACACAGTTTTGTAGTTCTTCAATTAGTGCGTCTCTGTCAGATATGGCCTTTTTAATTCTCCCAACCTGCTCCCCCAACCAGGCCCCAGGAGGAAAGGAATCAATCATGGAATAAACGTCATTACAAGCATCGTCGAGGACCGTGTTCCCATCAGAGAGGATTTCTGCAATCTCGCGAATCACTCTCTCCCATTCCTCAGACAGTGTTCTGACTTGATCATCTTTTAATTCAATTAGCTCATTGAGCCGCTCATTATCTTGGGTCACTAGAAGAAACCTTTCTTGGACATCTTTCATTTCCGTTTCCAATTCGGCCAAACACTGCCGAGCAAAAGCTTCGTTTCTGCTGCTATTTTCGACTTCCTCCCTGAGAGAGGCTATTTCATCTTGTAAGCATACGATCACTTCAGCAGTCTCAGCCTCAGCCTGCCGGCAAACTTCATCCATTTCTTGCTCAAACGAGCCTTTCTTTAGGGTTTCTTGCTTCCTTTTATTTTTTTCCCACGACTCATTTCTTGAGCGCTTCAAAGGCTGCAGTAGATTATGAGGCTCTGAAGTCTTTTTCTCATCATATTCATTCCCAGATCCAACTTTTTCTCCAGCATTCAGGATCTCGGGGTGATGTTCCCATTCGACCTCTATGTTTGGCTTGTGGGTTTCTCTCAGTTCATCCAACTCGGTAATTAGTAAAAGCTGTTGAGATTCAAGAGCATCAATGATGGATCTTGCATCCCTCAACTCGTTTTTGGCATTTTCATAATGCCTGCTAATCTCCATAACCCTTTCCTCGTCCATCAAAAGTTTGTTTTTCTCAGAGGAACCTCTCTCTTCCAGCTTAGCACGGGATCCTCTCTCTTCTTCAAAAATTGTTTTCAATATGTCCAACTCCAGCTGCAAATGAACAATTTTTTCAGACTGGTTTGCCGGAATTATATTCACCCCTTCGACCTCCTTTTCATTGACATGGTTTTCCATTGAAGAAAACTCTGAACACAGCTCCTGAAAATCATATCCCATCAACATTATGCACAGGTGACAACTTTCAATTTTGGGATTCATAATGTACAAACACAGACATCCATAACAAAGCAATACGTGGTAACACTAATAAAGCAAATGCACAGAATATGTACTATGTTGGGTTTATCGATATAGTATACCATATCATCAGGTTCAGCATTAGTCTTGCATACAGCGTTGAGGCAGTCTAACTGAGTCTGTAGACTTCCTATCTCCCTGCGGGTGAAACAAAAAAGAACACCTTGCCCACGGTAAGAAGGCTGCATTTCTGTATTAAAACAGCCGGATCTATGTACATGATATTTAACATACATGGTGAGTTTTGCATTTGATTCTAAGCAACATTTTAGCCTATTTCTGCAGTCCTCTAACTCTTGGCAGGTCCTCGTCAGCTGAAAACAAAGGGATAAGCACACGTTATCAACTACTTGAATAAATATATTCTCCGACAAATACAACAAAACCAACTTATAGCTGCAAATCAACCACAAAGATCTGGATAGTGGTAACCGTAAGAAAGTCAGACCTCTGTCCGTAATGCATCATCTTCAGTGGTGGAAACAGTAGATCCAATCTGGACAGGCTACAGTCAGCCAAAAAAGAATATAATTGTAATCAATGATAACACAATTAAATTGAAAATGAATAATGAAATCACAAATCAATAACAGACCTGATTTTCAGCCGCTAAATTTTTACCCTCATCTGCATTAGATCTTTCCTCCAGTAAGCGAACTAGCTGTAAAGATTTAAAGCAGTTTTCGTTGAACAAAAAGTGAGCATTTCTAGGTTCATTTGCTCTTTCAAGCAGTTAAAAAACTCAACCGTAAGAAAAATGAAAACCAAATCGCATATTTCCTCTTGAATTTCCTATTTCCGCGAACCTGGTTCCGCAGCTCAGCTACTTCTCCTAATAATAGCTCTCTTTCTCCTTCTTCATAGAAATCTTGAAACCTGCAAATACATGTCGAAAATAGTAAACTACCAGTCTTCCTCACAGCAATAAACTTCATGTGAATGGGCTCAGGCTACCTCCTTAATTGGTCTAGAAGTCTGATGTTTTCTAATGCAAACCGGGTCACTTCAGGATGCCTGTCAACCCTCGATTGCAGTAGTTGAATCTCCTCAGCAAGCGAACTCTTCTCTTCCGCCAAATATGTTTCAGAAGGCATGAGACCATCTACAAGAGACTCCATTCTGTGAATTTTATCCTCTCGAAATTTAAGCATCATTTTCGTGCATTGGGTGTCCTCTTCTCTCTGGCGAACCTGAAGTTCAAAAACATTGTCACTGATTTCGGGACTCCACGGCATTTAGCAGACAAATGGCTACAATCAAAGATTTTACCAGGCGATTCAGCTGTTCAATTTCAGCTTCAAGTTGTTTTATAGTAGTGTCTGCTACTTTTTCTCTCCTAAGAGCACCAGCCAACAACATTTCTACAGATTTCAGCTGAAAAGAAACGTCAAAATACTTGATCATCAGGTAGTAGGTTGCTGACCTAAAAGACACGGAGAACACACATCGAAGACACTATTACTAGGTCAATCATGTCATTTAACACCAAGATACCTGCTTAGTGGATACTCTAATATTCTTTGAGTCCTCACACACGTGAACATCAGTATCACTTCCACGTGATCCCTCCGTCAATGTTCTCGTTTTAGGAACATCCCATTGTTCGCCAATAGGATCATGGAAAATCGCCGAACGAAATGACAAAGATCTTGAAACATTTTGACGCTTGAGGACTGAAAGCTCCTCCTGATGCAATGTTAGATTTCACATGTTAATAACGCAATTAAATGTTAATTTGCGCAAGTTCGTTCAGAGAGAAATTGATTACCTTTAACAACTGTATCTGATGTTGCAGTGCAATTACATCTCCTGAAGCATCTTCATTTACAACAGCCTAATATTTTTTGAAATAAAAGAAAGGGAAAAAATCAGTTGTCAAGTAGAAAAATCAATAAAAATAACTAGGTTACTATAAGATTCAGGATGATAGCAGTTTTCACGTTGTTCTGGATTAGTTTTGCGCGTTGAGCAAACTTCAAAGTGCTGAGTGTTTCGCTTGCACAGCTGGGAATGGAATGAAATACAAAGCTTTAGACCATCCATCCAGAAAAAACTCTTGACAAAAAAATTCAGAAAAATAAGTGTGATATTAAAAACTTAAGGTGCACACCATACGGAAGGGCTAACGTTAGCAATAACCATCGTTTTTGAATTACCCCCCAATGAATCCTGCAACAGAATTCTCATCAGGGAAATTCACCCATCAGACATATCTGACCGGGACTAAGTCAAATTTAGAATCCAACCTGGAGAAGAAAAGTAAGCCTTGAATCTCGGTAAGGAACATGCCGCTGCTTCCCACGTGCAACATCAACTAAAACCATTATCACGTGACTGCAAAAGGGAGATAAATTGTTTAGACGACAAAATTCGAGTCAGGAATCTGCTGAATTAATCAGTCCGTGATCAAACGCGTCATACCCAAGCGTTGACAATGATTTATTGATACTTGCAGCCTCCTTGAGTCGCTCACCTTCAGCTCCTGATGTCTTTTGTCTGTCCACGAGTCAAAGAATAGGCAAAAATCAAGAAACAGAAAAATTCCTATTAAATGATAATAGTCAAAATCAGCATTGGTGAGGCATCATTCTACCTCTCAGAACCAGCAAGATCTACCAAGTTCAACCTTGCAAATCGCAAGTTTGTCGTTGAATCTTTCTCCCATCTACTTTCAATGACACAAGTGAAAACACTGTGCGAACGGCTACTCTCCCGGTTCATATTTGTAGCTGCAATTTTCCTATTTGCAGAACCCTAAGCAAAAATTTACAATTAAAACTCATATTAAAGAGAAAATTGGCTCAAACTACAGGCAGAATCAAATTATCAAGGTATATGTCCTAAAATTTCGATACACTTGCAGGTTACCTGAATAAGAAGTTTCAGAATATCACTGACTGTTTCAACTTCGAACTCACTGAGATTTTCGACGTATATGCCTTTATTGACGTCCTCTCGCAACTGTACAACAAGGAGGCATTATGGCATAGTACATTAAGAAAAGATGGGAAAACATTAACATGTTTCTGACAATCTCTACAAAAAAAATTGGTTCTAGGAAGTCAAGAGGGTGCTAACTCACTAATAAATTGGTTGACGACGGGTCAAGAAGATCTGTTATTTGTTCATTATAAATCTCCAAGAAGGAACACTTGCAATTGTATCTTAATTTCTCGTCTCTCCGACTTTCCTCTTCCTGCATCCAGAACACAAGTGAACAATATATAGAAATACAGAGGACAAAAAGTATACAGAGTTATGTACTTGCTTACCGCTTTAATCCTTGCAAACAAAAACTCAAAGATTCTAGGAGTCATTCCCCGCTCTGAACTTGGGCTCAAGTCCAGCTCATTGATCTCACCGAGCATTGTATACGTTTTCCCACTTCCAGTCTGCATTCACAAAATAGGATTTACGGGTACGACCCAATATTGTGTCTAATGTAACATGGTAACCAGGCACCCAACGGTGCGTAGAGAAGAAATTTGAAAGAGAACTACCTGGCCGTAGGCAAATATACAGCTATTGTAGCCAGACATACAATTCTCAACCATAGGTAAGCCCACCACCCGGAAGAATGTTTCCTGCGCACGAAGTTCAATCCAAGCCAAGAAATAAATAATAAAGCAGAGAAATGCATCTCCCATTTTGTCGCTGCAAAAGCACAGACCTGGTTTATTTTTTCACAGGCTACATGGTCGAATGTAAATCGGCTGTCTGGTTGCCCAATCCAACCGATACATTGTGAATTATCCTGCTTCAAGCATCTACCGTACCCATGCAACCCCCGTTCCATGCTGTTGAGTGGACGGACCCGAATCACAACCTGCAAATTATGATGCGAAACACCGCTACATTCAGTGAATGAAAATCGTTTGTTTTCCGGCGGAACAGCCTTCGACAATTTAAGCGGTCAAAACCATTCTAATCGCTTTAAGAGACAAGGATTAATCCTTCAACGTTCTCTGCATTCTATCTGAAGTAACTTCATTCACCGATGAGCTAGCTCCCTACAACCAAATGGCATCGAAGACTAGACACGACTTCAATACGTACGTTTGTGTTGCACATAGAGAACCAGAATTGGATAGAAAAAGAATATTACCTGCACATTGTGATCCATCCAGAAAGAGGGATCCTCCTTCAATTCGAAGTGAGGTACTTCAACCGTATTAACCGTAGAAGATGCAAAGGACAACATTGGAGTCTGTTTGGAGCATAAAGCAGAGTTTGCAGCACGATTGCTGACACTCGATGAAGGACGACTTCCTCCCATACCCGGGTTGAGAGGCTTGGTAACACTTTTCGTTGGTGTGCCCTGAGTCGAGCTACACTCGGAATGAAGTGACGATGTCCTGCCCATCGTCTTAAACATTCGAGGTGTCGTGAAACCAGGACCACCTCCAACACCAGTGCTTGTACCACGGTCCGAAGGCGGCAACTGGGACGTCACAGTAAAAGGGTGTCCGGAATCCTCAATAGCCTTGCTAACATTCGTTCCATTATCATTCTTCATAGCCCAGCCGAACCTATTTCTAGCCGTCCCCGCTGGCGTGACCGCCACAGGAGGCTTTTCCGGCGTGCGCAAATAAGAAGCGTCGTGACTCACGACGTGGTTGCCCTTGGAAGCAGGGGCATGACTCCCGATGTTGCAGGCCTTGGATGGCGTCTTCTCGATCTTCCGCTTATGCGTCGTTTCCTGGTCGGGATCCGGCGTATGGTTCGCCAAAGCCTCCTGAATTGCGTTGAAAGGAACTCGGGAGAAGCTCGTTCCAGGATGGACGGTGGAACCATCGGTGGGAGCCACGTTCTCGTCGTTACCGTCTGCCGGCGTGGTCTTGCCGGAATTCCGACGGAAGAATTTCAGATCCCTCAGCATTCTGCATAATAAACCGAAATCATGCAAATGAAACCAAAAAAAAATACTCTGCATTAACAGAACAATGCCGAGGGGGAAATCGCGATTACTAGTGACCATTTGTTCTCACCTGAGTGATGAATTAAAAAACAGGATCCGGAGAGGAAGAATCCTGGACTACTCTTCTGGACGACCTCGGCTAAGTCTCCCAGACTTCTCGTTTCATCTGAGGAGGCGGAGGCGATCCTGTAGCTTCCCCCTTCCAGCCTTCTGCTGCGTCCAGCAGCAGTAAGCGTCGAGGGAGACAGCGAGGGAGAGAGAGAAGAAATGGACTTCTCAGATCTCCATTACTTCTGCTCTCATCTGAGGTGCAGGAGGGGGAGATCGGAAGCCTTGCTCCGAGCTTCAGCTGGTTGCAGCAGTGTGTAGAGAGAGAGAGAGAGAGCGAGCCCTCCTCTCAGGTTTGAATTTTTGGGGGGTAAGTAGACAGCAACCGAGCCGATATTTGAATTGGAGGCGAGGGATTTGAATTGCAGGGGCATTTCGGGAAGACTCAGTCAAATTTAAATTTAAGGGGCATTTCAGGAATAAAGCCAGCCTCGGTTTAAAATACGCTCTCGGATTCTCCTTAACGCGAACGCTCGTCCCCTTCCGACCCGAATGTTTGGCAACGATTCTTCTAGATTCGAGTTTTCAGTACATGTTTTGTAGGAGATCTGAGATCCGTCCTAGCGAGTACTATTTGAGTTGTTATTACAACCGTCGGTTGGGAAGTCAACTGTGTATAAAGTCAACCCCCAATACTTGACCATAAGCTCCTCACAGAAAAGTCAACAATATTTTTGCATCTACCCCATCTCACGTTCTTTCTAAAAATTGTAGTCACTGCTAGTCCCAAAAAGTCAACATTTCTTTCACCTACGTAGTTCAAGTGGTCAACTATATTATTGACTTAGGCGGCTGCCTTTTGCTAAGAGAGAAGTGTTGACTTCTCTTTTGGTGTTCTTGCCCAAGCTAAGTCAAACCGATGAGATCCGAGATCAGTCCTATCAAATATTATTTGAGTTGTTATTATCACAACTGTCAGTTGGGGAGTCAACGTCGTATAAAGTCAACCCCTAAGACTTGAACATAAGCTACTCACATTAGTTTTGCATCTACCTCATCTCGCATAGTTTAAATGGTTGCCGAATTTTAAGAGGAGGTTCGACTCTATTATTGACTTTTAGTGGCTACCTTTTGCTAAGTTACCTCACTAAAGATGGATGCAGGTGTTGACTTCTCTTCTGGTGTTCGTGGCCGAGCTAAGTCAAATCAACCCACTACGCCCGGCCCTATCATCCTCTTGCAAGGTGACAAATGTCTTGTATAAAGCCCTCTTCTTAGAGGGAAAAATAAAAATTCCTTACACTAAAATGTCAACGACATTAACTTCAATGAACTTGAGGGGGAAGAGAGAGAGAGAGAGAGAGAGAGAGAGAGAGAGAGAGAGGGGTCAGCAAATTATAGCAACGATTTTAGATTCTTGGTTTCCAATAAAGGGTTGAAAATGATAAGATAAATCCTTATATCCAACAGAAAAAAATCCTTTTATTTACAATAATACTATCCCATATCATCAAAAGTCAAAATGCCACCAATCCAAAGTTGAACTTTCACGAGGTCAACCAGGGATATTCTTAATGTCTCAATTCAATATAATTTCCTTCTAGGAAACAAATACCTTGATAAAATATGTTCAAACAAAAAACGAGCTAAGCAAAGAGAAGTCAGCGGCCAGTGGAGTCAGAATCAGCGTTGACTATGAAGAAGCACATCAGCGAGGAGAAACTCTTAATTCTTTAGTCAAAACTTGAAAGTGGGCCATCTCCATAAAGTGAATAACACCACCGAACCACCTTGAAGGGACCATCCAGAGAGAGAGAGCGAGAGAGAGAGAGGGAGAGAGAGAGAGAGAGAGAGAGATTAATGGTACATACAGCGGTATAACAATAACTGGTGCTGGAGGAAGGGAGACCTCCAATCCGACCCAGATGGAGGGAATTCTTATCAACGCCTGGATGTTCGAGACTTGGGCTTTGAGGTCTTCTGCATTTTTGTACAATTTCATTCAGAAACAGACGATAACTGGCATCACGAGACAGAAATCATGCTAAAAGCAGGAGCAGAGCAGAGCGATTTCAACTCACCGATGTGCCACCAAAGCTGGCCCCAGATCCCACTGCAGCACCTAAGAACGGGCAGAAAACAAGGCATAAATGTAGATGCACAAATAACTCATTTTAAAGGTGCACTCCATGGACCAATGCACTCCGGAAAAGGAGATCTGCCATTTGCAATGTCACAGGTCTAAACCTAACCTAGAGAGAGAGAGAGAGAGAGAGAGAGAGAGAGAGAGAGAGAGAGAGAGAGAGAGAGAGAGAGAGAGAGGATCCCAAGCTTCTGACCAGACCCATTTTTCACTCTACGTTTATTTTGAGGCCAAGTCCCAGGGAAAACCCTGCTGGGCTGGGCTGCGGGCCTACTGACCTGCAGACACCCCAAATAGGTTGTTCTCTGTCTCTGTCTTTCTCTCTCTAGAAAACATATGAAACTCCATAAATCCACACCATATTGTCCTGGGTTCATCTAAGAGCTTTTGAAGACTGCAAAATCCCATAAATTCAGACACTCAATGTTCCATAGCTGGCTCCCAACTTGAGGTCAACCCCAACCCATCCACCTCTTTCTTTAGTTTCGCCAAATCTTTGTGAAACAGATTTGAGCTTAAAATAATAAAAAGATAAAATAAATCCCATTCCGTTGACCAATAGATCTGCCCAAGTTTTGCACAGATCCTGATAATTTATTTATTTCAAATAATTTAAAAAGCCATTTGCCATCAAGATGTTCAATGTTCTTCTGAGTAAAAGGATTGTGACATGCATACCTGAGGCAAAGGACGGTAGAGAGAAAAGTGGAGAGCTCCCAATGGACGGTGTAGGCATGAAGCTTGGCGTACCAGGTCCGAGCAGAGATGGAGTCTGGGTGGGTGCAAAGGGCGTAGACTGAGGAGAGAAACCAGGTGGGCCGAACAGCCCAGAAGTTGGGACGGATGACGGCGTTGAAAATAGTGAAGACACGGGAGCGGCAGCAGAGGCCACTGCGGACGATGGTGTGCTGAACAACGACTGCCCACTTCCAGAAGAGCCCCCCCCGGGTTGCGGAAACACAGATGGTGCCGGTGTTGAAGAGCCGGGAAATGGAGAGACAGCGGCGGTGGGCGACTGTGAAGGAATCGCTGGTAGATGCAGCGTTGGATGAACCCTCTTGGCAGCAGCTTCTAGCTTGGCAGTCTCCCTCCGGTCGGCCTCAAGAAATGGATCACTGAAATCACCCCGCCGCCTCTGGTCTGCAAGATAAGCCGTCTTCATGGATTCAATATACTGATGGAGGTTCTCCACCTGCAGGAGAAAAATGGGCCATCCTTCTGAGAACTCCAGCATGAACACGATCGCCAAGACATGATTCAGAGATCTAAGCTATTTGTTGGCATCTATTTCTTCGAACATAAATCAGGAGAATGCCCTATTCGAATTTTTAGGGTTCAAAATCAAACGGACATTTTTTTTTTCTCCAACACGATGGCCTGTAAATTGCAGGTTCTTCTCTGTTTAGGGTTTTGGGGTTTACTTCCTAGTACTGGAAGGAACGGTTGTCAGTCTTTTTCTTGGACAACTTACACTTAATAAGAATCCCACCGGGAAGGGGGGGGATGAGGAACTAATGAAGAAGGTGAGAGGGCATCCAATGCTACCCGTTAATAGCATTAAAAAATTGGTGCCATGTCGCATAAAACTGGTTTTGAAAGGTTAAGACAATGGGATCAAGATCAGTGAAGGAAATGACAATAAAGACACAGAGGAAGCGACGATCATACCTTTGCTGCTGTATAGATGAAGTAGTCATAAACATTGGATAAAACTGAAGGTAGACTCTCTAATGAAAAGCTTGGGCTGGAAAAGGCGTTTTTGTTATCTACGTGGAGCAACTGTTCTAACTCCTCGATCCACAGCTGACATTCCGCAAGGTATTTCTCAAATTGAGTCACAGTGCTGATGAAAAATGGAGATGGTCGCTTTGGCACACCACTGTAGAAATCCTGAGCTCCCATGGAGCTGGCCATTTGAGGAGAAATTCCAGTGGCTTGGCCACCAATACCAGCATTAGAAGCTGTAGAGCTTGGATGAAAAAACCTGGGATGAAGGATCATAAATGAGCGAACGGCAAATTCGGTGTTCCTCATCATTTCTTTTGCTGAAGCCATTAATTCTTGAACCACATTTTTCTCTCTGTCCGTAGAGATACTAATTCCTCCAAGTTCCTGCCATAAGAAAAAAATCGACGCTCATTAACCACAGATCAATGCTCTCCAAGCTTCTTCTGCCATCATGGACAACAGGATCAACCATATCTCCATCAAAGAAATTCGATATCCGATCCACGTGAATAAAGTATTTAAGATAAGAAACAACAAAATCTACACTCCATCAAAGAAATTCTAGATGATTTTTTTTAATCCTGGAGAGTATAAATGCTCGGTTATAAACGTTAGGACCGACCAAAAGTTACGTTTTGTATTTTGAATGGAACTGTTTGAGCAGAGTTTTGCAATGGAAAGACATGAAACAAATTAGATGACAGTTGACCCAAAAGTTGACTGGACCTGCTGACTGGCCTCGGCCTTGAAACTCACCTGAAATATTTTAAGAGTGTGCCAGACACTCGACAACAGTCTTCGGATTCCACTAGTCACCAATGACAAGGAAACAAGCAACAAAGAAGAGAGAGTTTGGCGCTCTTGTGGGCAGTTGGCCAAGCACATGGGATATGCACTAGTTTCAGTCTGCTCCCTGAGCATTTTCCCCTAAAAAAGTAGACTAACAAGAAAGGATCCAACAAAAGATGGAAACACTGGAGCATTTAGCAAGAACTACAACGAACCTTAGGACGGATGCCCTCGAAAAGAAGATATAGAAGATCTAAAAAGCTAAGCTAAAAACTTACCTTAATGTGTAAAATACAGGAATTAGCAATGGTGGCAGACGGAGAAGCAAAGCAACAAATGAATATTTCATAATTACAACAAAACAACAGCTAATGGTAGAAACAGATAACTATGGATCAACGAACAATCGTTTATACTATTTTGATTTCGAAAGCTACTGATATTACAGTAATTCTGATATTTCGTTTTCCATTACCACATAGGAATAGAGCATTATGAAACTATTACAATATTTAAAAGGCATTTACTTGTTCACAAAGGTCAGCATATCATGTCAACATCTGAATCAGAATTCTGAAGAGAAACTCGCTGACCTCTGACAGAACATCCTAAGATGAGTAACGTGCATCTCCATGGTTCCAATAAAGAGAAAAATACATAGAAATCATAGCCATAATGACAATATCAGTGATAATATATGGTAAGGTAATTAATGTAGCTTGATATCCTTTTTCGTCAAGGATTTGGATTTGTTAGGTGATTAGTTCTTACATGTCTAGCATGTCTTTGCACAAAATGCCATCAACTAAACAAGGTGATTGTAATCACCATTCCTATGACGGCTTCAGTATGCACTTAAACCTATTGCATAATACAGGCTGATAATGGACGACTATCATGCATTTGGTAACATAGCAGATCATATTTCTGTAGTCTCTAATTAGGCCTACAAAAAGACAATTTCAACAATTTTCAGCGAAAGCTTCGAAGACATTACAGACTGTCTTCGAACATCAACGAATATAAAAATTAGTTTTACTTGTATCAGAACATCACATAAATCTGGTCGTAAAATAGGAATACGAACTGTGCAAAAGAATGGTCTTAGTGTGACATTACAGACTGCCTAAAGCATGTCAGCATTCTAGAAAGAAACTCGTCGTGATTTCTTCTCACATAACCTCAGCCTTGTGAACTTCAAATGCAAACAACACGTTGAGGATTCTTAAATAACAAAAGACAACAGGAAATTCGTTGTAAAATATCGAACAGATCTAAGAGCCAATAAGTTTTTCATCAGACCTGAATGATACGAGTAGCATCAAGTTCAAACCCGTTGTTGGCTATTGATGAATCACATAACCGGCTACATTGATCAAGCCTTTGACTTTCGTTTCTATACTCCAAAATCCTTGTCCTACAAATAAGAATCATTGTCAACAACGCAGTCAAGGGATAAACTTCCTTGAAGTGATACCACACCTATATATCTACGCATATTATATATATATATATATATATATATATATATATATATATATATATTTATAAAATTCAACATCGAGTAACAACATTAGTAAAATGAATCTCAAAGTATCAAAGAAAATAAAAATAATTGAAATGTGAAGAAAACGATTACTCTCCGTCAGAGATGAATCGAAGGTGAAAATTACTCCCGGCGCTCCAAATTATGGCCAATATGTTTCAAATTTGGTCTTTTGTATCGAACAGATTTGATAATGGCACACTTAAAAAAAATTGCTCCTTGACTCGCCAGTTTACATCGTGTTATGAACTCAAGAAAACGGCGGATAAAAAAATGACGAGAAATGAACATTCTTGCGACAAAAAGAAGAAAGGAGATGGGAAACAAGAAACCCACTCGATCTCCAGAAGGTATTTCTGCGAGTCAGGATGGAGCTCCTCCCACTTAGTATTGTAAGTGGCCGGCGACTTGTCACTCTTAAATAGAAACGTAGGCTGTTGTTGTGGGAGTTGCATTTGGAACTGAGACTGCGGCTGTTGCATCTGGAATTGGAACTGGGGCTGTGGCGACGGCTGGGGCTGCTGAGGATTAAACTGAAACTGCGGCTGCTGCTGCGGCGTCTGCGTCTGAAAGGGATTCGGAGTGCTCTGCTGGAGAAGCGGCTGTTGCTGCGGAAACGAGAACGCCATCTCCGTCTCCCCGATTCTTGGACAGGACTGGTCCTGCTGCTGCTGCTGCAACACCCGCCGAACCCTGGGATTCGAAGCCCCCCCGGATCCTGACCCTCTTCCCCCAGCTCCCCCCCTACCGCCCCTGCGACCTTCCGAGACCACCCCGCGGAAGAATTCCGGCGGCGAAGGGGGGCTTAAAACGTTCCGATCGCCACCGCCGCCGACCTTCACCGGCGCCCGGCGCCCTCTACTGCGCCGCCGCTCCTCACCGCCGTCCTCAGCCGCCCCTGCGACGCCAACGGGGGACGAGCCGAAGAGGAGGACCTTCTGTGCCGACGGCGGCAACGGTGCCCTCCCGCCCGTCTTCCCCATGGTTTTAAGCTTCGCTTCCAAAAACCTCTCCGGCGTCACGATGACCAATGGGCCCTTATCAAACACTGTAATCCCCAGAGAGAGATTCTGGTTCTTGAGTTCTCCTCGAGGGTCTTTCCGTCACTCCGTGGACTCTCGGCCGAAAACCAGGGTTTCTTGATTTCTTCAGGGGCAATTTGGTAGTTTCCTCGGAATCAGCTGAGAAAGGCCGGAATATATTATTCCCTGGTAATATAAAAAGCATTATATAGTTCAAATAATGCACCGTTTAATTTATTAAATTATTTTATTTTATTTTAAAATAAAATTTTATTTTGCGGGATTTTTTTTAAAAACCGTGAAATTAACTGCACGATAAGTGCAAGCGAGATGGAGAGGATTTCATGGAACACGAATCCAAACGCCCAATTCTTTGGAGAAAATCGGATTTAATATTATATGGACTAAATATTAATAAGGGTGTTTTAGGTATTTTCTTCTGATAACCCGGTAAGCACGAACGGGTCGGATCTGAACCGGTCGTTCTTCCGGTTCAAACCGGGCCCCGGTCGGCATCACGGTTCAAACCGGGATCGTCCCCCTCCTGCTGTGCCCTATATAAACGCGGTCCGAAAGACGACGAAGACGCAGGAGAAATCCGCGGGTTAGAGGGGGCGAGGTGGGGGGGGGTGGCTGTGAAGAGGGCCGGCGATCAAGGGAGGAGAGGCAAGTGGAGAGCAGGGATGTCGGGTGGAAAGCCGGACGAGCTCCCGCCGTCCAACGGCGACGTCATCCCTGAGCTCGGCCGCCTTCGGGTCGACGAAGCCGACGCTAGTGTGAAGATCTCTCATCATGTATCATCGATTCCACCCCTTATCCTATTTCTTTGTGCAGATAGGAAAGCTGTAGGGTTTTCTGCAATAGGGCTCTCACTTTTTTTATTGAAGATTTTTATTCTGCTAATTACAAAAGAGATGCGGAGATACGTATCGCTGTGCGCTTATCTCTCTGTTAGCGTGCCCCTGGAGCAGAAACTGGGGATAATGGCCTGGGGTGATCATACGAGTCGTCTTCATCCAGTACTTTACGTTAATACATAGCTTTGAAGTGGAATTTTGGTTTGGAGGGCGAAGTGTAATTTGATCACGTGTTGCACCAACTCTCATCACTTGTTAATCGGCGTCAACTGGTTTTGTTTATCACGGATTTCTGACGGGAAGGGCACATGGCTTCATTTAGTATGTCACCTTGGACAAAAAAATTAACCAATTATGTAAGATATTTAAAATTAATTGAGGCTTTGCGTTCCCCGTGGATCCTTTCTTTGGACGCAGTTAAAGGGGACTCATGAGTACTGTATTTCTTACACATGATCATGGATACGTATAAATGAAATTTTCACTCGTGCGTGATTAAATTCGCCTTAGTTGGACCAAGTTTCTTTTTTGGCTGCTCGCTGAAAATAGTTTGCTTCCATATAATATCACTGTAAACCTATGTTGAATGTGCAGGAATCCGTTAAGGTTAACGGAAAGGAAGCACCTGTTGATATTAAGTTGAATGGCAAAGATAAGGATGTTGAGTCTCTCTCGGGGAAAGATGACGAAGAGGATCAACACAATGATCCAGTGGAAAATGGAGGACATGGTCGTTTGTCTACTCTGGCATAACCCATGCAGCATGTGGTTACTTTTAAGTTTATTCGTTTTATTTTACTTTTCCCGGTTCCCTTTGCACGATCTTTGAACCATTAACCTTTATTAGCCTTTAGGTGGTGAAACTTTCTCAATCTTCACCTTCAATGCCATCCATCCTTCATGATGCTGATTTGATTTCAAGGCTTGGTAGTTAGGTTTGATCTTTATTGATGAAAAATATCATTGTGAGGTCGCATATTGTGAATAAAGGATCCGTGCAATTTTGAGGTATTCATCTGTCAGAATAGATGATCTCGCGTAGATTAATTTTTTGCATACTTGGCTAGGTTCTTGCGTATATTTAATATAGTGTTACAGGAGAACTAGTGCCACAGATATGATCAGACACAGAAATGTTAGCATACTTGGCATCACTTACAATAAGATAGTTGAGGATGAGCTACATCGATACTATTAGGGTTGAGAACAAGGGTATAATTGACTTTGTTTGTTCATCGCTCATATACACTCAAGGTTTTCGTTTGTGAAACCTGTCTATACTTTTATTATTACGCAAGAGGATTGGCATACTTCATCTAATTTTTTGAGCTTTTATCATGTCCTGACTCTTTTTTTCCTACCTTGTTTGTCAATTGTGTGTTTTTTGCCACCAGCATCTACAAAGAAGAAAAAGAAGAAAAGTAAAAGCAAGTGAGTATCTTTGTTGGAGTCACTGTATTACGTTTTATGTCTTTTGAGCAACTTGGCACTAGTTTTATGGATAATTCATGCGTTCTACAGGAAGCAAAAAGAACCTGTCCAGCAGACTGATCCCCCAACTATCCCTATTGATATGCTGTTTCCTTCTGGGGAATACCCCGAGGGTGAAATTCAGTCCTACAAAGATGAGTAAGTATTTAGATAGCTGATTTATTAGTTTTCCTACTCATATCATCTTACCTTGATTGTCACCTTTTGCTGGTACTACCGTTGTAAAAACTAAAATAAAAAACAATATTCATTAGCTTTTGTTTGAAACTTTGTAAGAAAAGACGTAAAAAATTCAGTTGAGGGACACCTAAGCTCTGACTAAGCTGGTAAGCTGACATCATGGGTCCCACTAAGCCACCAGGGTCGCTGGATTTACTTTCAGTTTCATTAGCGTTATTAGGAAGCTGTCAAAGAGATTGAATGAGCCTATCGTGAATCAGCTCGTTAGTAACAACTAAATTACTTATGAAATTGTATCAAGAAAAGGTTTATAGGGATATGGAACCTTATGAAAACAATGAATATTATTATCTTGATCAGAAACCCGTTACTTTGTTCTTCGATTTTATATATGTGGGAGAGTTAATGGGCTTCAGCAGCTCAGGAAAACTTAGGCCGGGGGATCTTACTTCAACTCCTATTTCTTGTTTGGAGGGCAATTCCTGGATTTTATATGGAAAAAATGTTTAGCTGGGGGCTTCATTTGGAACAGAGCCTGAGCCTGACTCGATTGTATATTGCTCAAGACTACATTTATCTTTCAAAAACAAAAATGTAAAAACTTGAAAGAAGATATGAACCTGTCTGTCTGTCTAAGGATGTTCTCAAAACTGAGCTGATTCATATATAGTTCAGAAGAGTGAGATTGAAGCTTCTCACTTCAGCTTTGAATTGTTCAACAGTTTTCAAATGTAAAACCTAGGAGTCCCCTATGCAGCACTTTGTTCTACCACTAGCTGATGAAATGGCTATTTTTTCAGATATTTATCTATTTGCATTTTTTTATCCCTTATCTCTATTCGAGAAATGAAACATGTCATTTTGTTAGCACATTTATGATCGAATTGTTCTTAGTTTTATAATTCTTTATGTCATTGAATTATAAATCTTAGTTCATAGCATGTACTGTCAGTACTTGTAGAACAAAATCTATGCAGTTTTGGCTTCTGCTGTTGGTCACTTCTTTTGTGATACAGCTGTTGTTAGTCAATATACCTTGAATTTATCCTCTTAATTTTAAGGGACTTTTATGTTCAACGTTTTCATGATCGCATCTTCAACGTACATAATTTTGTTGTTTGGAAGATCTTTTCATTATAATTTTTCCTCTAGAATCTTGTGGTCAGTAGCACACAATGTCTTAGTACCCAGTGGGCGAGTGTACATGTTTCTTTGCATTTGTTTCCAGTTATGTTTCCCAAACGATTCAACTGAATGTATTCAATTGTCCTTAGCTTGACTCTTAACTTTGTGACTTCCATCTAGCAACCTATGGAGGACAACCTCTGAAGAAAAGAGGGAGCTTGAACGCCTGCAGAAGCCTATCTATAACTCAGTTCGCCGTGCAGCAGAAGTTCATAGACAGGTTTGAGCTTGGTTTTCCTTGGGTTTGATGGGCATTTCTTTTACCTGTTGAGACTAATAAAGAAATCGTGGAATAATGCTGAAACCTGATTTACTTCATCACACCAGGTTCGGAAGTATGTCCGCAGTATATTGAAGCCTGGCATGTTAATGACAGACATTTGTGAAACTTTGGAAAATACGGTTCGGAGATTAATCTCAGAAAATGGTCTTCAAGCTGGCATCGCCTTCCCAACAGGATGCTCTCTAAATTGGTAATGGTCTAAATCGAAGCATTTTCACACTAAGTTTCGTTTTTTCAGTCAGCTCCCTCACAACTCCAGACGATGTTCTGCTCAGGGTTGCTGCCCACTGGACCCCAAATACTGGTGACAAGACTGTTCTCGAATACGATGATGTCATGAAATTGGATTTTGGAACGCATATTGATGGTATTGTCTTGTAAAACACTTTTGTTTATTTTTTTTTATTTTTTTGTGTTTACTCTTATTCATGGTGTTGCTTACTTAGATCTGATTAGGATGCTTCTCTCACTTAATAGAAACTAATTAGTTATACCAACGATATTCTACTGAAATCGTTTGGAGCGTTTGACATTATCCGAGATTACTGATCTTTGTAATGAATAATAGTCTTATTCGTTTTATTTTTATTCCGGTCAATTTTTTTTCTGTTATAAAATTTATTTAAAAACCTGTCAAAACGGGGACAAGAGTTGACCGTACTTTCCCCTGTGAGGGAGATTCCAAAATCTTATCACCAATGAATCGAGAATTGAATCCCAGATTCTTTGTACTGCTGTTGATTGTTCTTCAGCCACCCAACTGTGCTTCACCCAGGATAGGCTGCTCATCATCAAGGAATTACGTCACATATGTTCTAGACTTCATTCCACTTTATGTGATGAACATAATATATCTATAAATAAATATTTTTTTTAATTTTGTTGCAGGATATATAGTTGATTGTGCCTTCACCGTGGCATTCAATCCCATGTATAGTCCATTGCTCGAGGCTTCAAGGGAGGCGACAAACACGGGGGTCAAGGTACAAGTCCCCTTTTTTTTCTACATGATTTCCGAAATAAATGCATTACCTGTTCTTGACTGCAAAAAGAACCACGATCTCCTCTGCTCTCTTTGACTTCGTCTTCCTCCGTTGACCAGGAATCTGGTATAGATGTGAGGCTCTGTGATGTCGGCGCAGCGATCCAAGAGGTGATGGAATCGTATGAGGTTGAGATCAATGGGAAGGTATTCCAGGGTATGCTTCTCGGCCCCCAGCAACCAATCGATTCCATGCTCTCTTGTGTTCTTGAATCTGTCGTGACAAACTATTATTTATTTAGTTATTATTATTCATATTTGCCTGGTTCATGCGACGGCAAACCATGGCTCATTTTAATGCGTACTTTGGTCGATGATCATTTTTTTCCTCCGATATTTTCCGGGGAAATTATAATTGGTTGGTTTTTTTTTCTTCTTCCAGTGATTTCATGCTAGGAAGAGAGAGGTGTCATCGACCTTAAATTATTTTTTTTTGGGTGAATTATATTATTTATTAATCCACCTTAGCTCGGTTTATTTCGATGGGATGATCATTAATGTCACGAAAAATTACCAAATATTGCAGTGAAAAGCGTCAGAAACTTGAACGGCCACAGCATCGGGCCCTACCAGATTCATGCTGGGAAATCTGTTCCTATTGTGAAGGGCGGAGAGCAGACGAAGATGGAGGAAGGCGAGTTCTTTGCCATCGAGACATTCGGCTCCACAGGTACATTACCCCAACGCCACATAGAGAGAGAGAGAGAGAGAGAGAGAGAGAAGAGAGAGAAGTTGATTTCGTATAATTTTGTTCTGGGCAGGGAAGGGATTCGTGAGGGAAGATCTGGAGGTGAGCCACTACATGAAGAACTTTGACGTGGGGCATATTCCGCTGAGGCTGCCGAGGGCGAAGCAGCTCCTCACGACCATCAACAAGAACTTCTCCACCCTCGCCTTCTGCAGGCGGTACCTGGATCGCCTTGGCGAGACCAAGTACCTGATGGCCCTTAGGAACCTCTGCGATGCTGGCGTTGTTCAGGTCACCTCTCTCTCTCTCTCTACCTCTCTCTCTAACTCTCTCTCTCTCTCTCTATCTACGTCTACTGAACTGCTTCTGCTTCTTAACGATCACACAGCCATACCCACCACTGTGCGACATGAAGGGGAGCTACGTGTCACAGTTTGAGCACACAATCTTGCTCCGGCCCACCTGCAAAGAGGTGATATCTAGAGGCGACGACTACTAGGCCATGCCCCAGCAGAGAAACACCCACCCACCCAAGAGCGCCCCCCCCCTCTCTCTCTCTCTCTCTCTATATCTCTCTCTCTCTCTCTCTATCTTCTCTCTCTTGATTGGGCAGGAGGTGTGAATCCGACTAAGTGGGTAAGATACGCTGATCCCAGATGATGTTTCTTTGTGCTTGTCATACTTGTGGAATGTACCATGGGATGCGATCTCCCTCTCTCTCTCTCTCTATCTCAATCAATGGGGGGAATATCGGTCACCTATGTATGAGGATTATTAGAGCTCAAATCCCTCTAAATTACCATAACTTTACCACCTATGGAGCGTTATTATGTTGACCCACATTCCCTTCTTTATCACCTAATTAAATATGCGCATGGCCTTTTTTATTATTTATTTTTCAAAAAAGCCCCCACTCGGGTCTCCCCGGCATGGAATCTTAACGCAATTTTTTCATTTATTGGATGATCCGGTTTATCTCCTCTTATTTCGGCTGATTAACTTGTAAATAATTATTTTAATGGATTTTATTTGTGCCCTTTAATCGATTTTATAGAGGCATGTAAATTGTTTGGCCCATTACGTGTTTTGAGTGGCCCATTAATGGCCAACTAAAATGGTTGGAAGTTTATGGGCCGAGGGGTAGGTCCAACTCTAAGGATCGTCCTCAGGCCGATAAAAGGAAGAACCCTAACCCTTGCAACGGCACACTACTTGATCTTATCTGAGCGGCGGAGGTGGGGCGGTCGTCCGGCGGTGGAGCGGCGCCGGTGCCGGCGACTGAGCAGGGCGCTGCCCCCGTGCGGCGGCTCCGTGTCGCCGCCCGGAGGCTGGCGGCGCCACTGTGGAGCTCCGCCATCGGGCCGTTTCCTGCCGGAGAGGACAGCCTCCCCTCGCTTGCGATGAAGACTGCCCGCTGGCGGAGCCCCTCGTCTGTCGGGCCGTGACGTCCGCGCGGGCTCCTCCCCCATCCTCAACCTAATCGATTGCAGAGTTGTAGATTTTTCGTAAATTTCGATTCGATTCTGCGTTGCGTTACCTGTCATATATCGTTGACTTATTTTTCGTTCCGATTTTCTCTCCTCGTTTCGATCGCTGTATACCAGTTTCGTCCCTGCCTAGCCGGCTATTTCGACATCGCTGGGACGATCTCTTCAATCGCTATTGGCAATCAATGTGCTGAATGTCTGCATAATATCGTCGATCATTCATCCGGTTCTCATTTTGATTCTAATTTCTTGTCGACGATCATGGCTCGTTATCAAGTTAGTCCACGTTGTTCTCGTCTGTTCTTAGTTCGGCCTCCCAAAATACACCGACGACCAAGCCGTTTTCGTGAGAGGAAAGGGGGCCGCTCCATTCTATTACGTTCGTTCTTCCCCTGATTTTCCTCGCGCAGCATGAGTTATGCGAAGAAGATTTCAATGGTGGGTATGATCATCGGCATCGGGCTTTCTCTTGCTAATCCGAATCCTTGACGGCATCTATGAAACTGCAGCTTTCATCTCTTTACCAGATCTCCCCAAGATCGAGGGGGGGGACTTGCAGCCTCGTCGTGAAGCCGACGAGAGGAGCAGATTTACAGCAGATCTCTCCCTCTTCCCGGGATGGAGCCTCCAGAGTCCCTCCCTCTCAAGTTCTCTGATCACGGAGTTCTCTAGATTTCTCGGTGCCATGTTGAATGGAGTACAACTGCAAGAAAAAATACAATGCGAGTATGAGATTCTTTTGTTTCTGCTCCTGTTTTTGGTTTTATTCTTCCATTATCAAGCTATTGAACTCATAAATGATGAGTAATTTTATTGGATTATATGGATCAAAGTCAAAGAAAATGAGAGTTCTCCATTAAGTGGGTTGTTGTTCATATGAACTCGATAATAAAAATCTTATTTTTATGTTTCATGAAGATCATACGTAGCCAACTTTTAGGAAAATAATAAAATGATGGGCATGTAGATTTCTCATTTTTTAGTTTATAAAATAGCCGAAAAAATGAATTAAATCAAACGAATACAGAGAGAGTAATCGAATGAAAAAATAAACCAATTACCCTCCACGAAGTTCTACAGAATTTTTAGCTTTAATCTCCTTAAATCACCTTTTTTAACTAGAAAAAAAACTATTTATCTCGTAGCTAAGTTTCTCAAATTCTGCTAAATATGCAATTAATAGTGATAGTAGGTAATGATAAAATATTTAAGCTGAGTAGGAGTTGACTAACCATTTGGCTACTTTTGGGTCGGTAGAAAGAACAATGCCACTTTAAGATGATACGAGATAATAATTTTCATATTTTCCATAATTAAAATAATATAAGAATATAGCGGTATATATTTATTTTTAATAAATCCAAGTATTTGTGGGAACATCATGCTGTGGGTGCTCATCTAAGCTGGGATATGTTTTCCAATTTTATTTTTCTTGAGGTTTTTACAAAATATCTAATAAGAAGCTGGATTGAAACGGAAAACCCGTTAATGACCCATTACGGTTCAAGTTCGGATTGTCCGCTTAAAAGGAAACTGTACGATCCGACGATGGCAATAACGTTATTATTGAGATGTAAAAGGATGTTTTTGGGAGAGGTGTCCGCTTCTCGGATCTCCATCTCCATTCTCTGTGGGAGAAGGGCAGAGAGGCAGCGAAAGTCTTCCTCCGTCCGGCGACATTTCTCTGAGGAGGGCGAGGAGGCGGCGGCGGAGTGGAGCGAGGAGAAGTGGAGAAAATGACGGTGTTCCACTTCTTAAACTGCGCGATCCTGACCTTCGGGCCGCACGCCGTCTACTACTCTGCCACCCCGCTGTGAGTTCCGGTAATCCTAGCTGTTCTGCATCCAATGTCTCATCAATCCTTCGATTCGCCGGGGTGGGATATCGCTGACGCTTGCCGGGGCGGAGAAGAGTTGGTTGTAATATCGATGGTTCGGAGATCAGGTTTCCCGCTGTCGCTTGCCTCGGAGATTGTTTTTCCAATCTTCAGATGGATCCTCACTTGGAGAGAATATTGGGCCTGGTTACTGTAGTATAATGCTGTTTTACATGGATTAGCTGCATTATTTTCCCAATCTAACGAAAATTTGGCTTTCTGTGTCGTGGGGATTTATACTTGAACATTTTTATATATTTCAACTTCCCCAGTGAACTGGATGAGACCTTCGCGCATAAAAATAATTTGATAATTTTTTGAACGTGGTGTGATCGTTCTTGGTCTCGTAGTGAGGAATGTCCACAATATCACTTGCAACGAAAATTGAGTCCTCGTGAAGTGAGGTCATCTTTAATTTTAGGTTTTGGAGTACGATGAGTCCTATGGGTGGCAACATCCTTTTTGTTAGGCACTTTATCGACTGATGGGGGCCCCCTTGATTCTTCTCAGTACCTTTCGTTGAGATCTGTATGGCTTATAAAAAGATTTGGGTAATTTTTCTGAAATGCGGTACATGAACTTCTTTAGCTCAAGTTCTGGTACATTACATCGAGATATCTACAACTTGACCTCTTTATTTTTCTGATGCACAATTGGACGGGAATGTCTAGTGTAATTCATCTTTAAAAAAATATATTTAGTTGCAAATTAACCTGAAACTTCTGACAGAGACTTGGTGTCGCAAAGCACTGGGACCTAAACCTAATGACGTGATGGGCGTAATGTGTAGGATGCTGAAAGTTGGCAATCAAATTTTCGATTATGAGGTCTCACAAAAAAATTATTCATGTGTCCATAGAATCCGATATACTACACACGAAATTTCACACTGAATTTTGTGGCTTATTCAAAACAAACATTTAATTTTGACTAATGACTCGTTAATGGTTGTTTATTGGATACGATATAATAGAATTTCTAACCTTTTGTGGAATTGGGCAGAGTTATCTTTCGTCAGTTGTCCTTACTATTTCCAAGACAAGTTTGGAATGTTTTTGCAAAAGTAGGTAGGTGAATCAAGACTATAATTTGCAAAGGCCCATACAGTGGGGCCCTCACCGACATAAAGAACTAGAAGAAAAATGCAATTCACTACTACAAGTTCAACGGACATATCGGCTGCTCCACAAGTGATTGGGTGGATGACTACTTTTCCGTTTAATCATACAAACAAAAGCTCGCTATTTTTGGAGTGTACAGTGAATGTTGGACAAAATCTTGATTCTCATCACTTTTGTCTTTCATTCTTATATTTTTAATTACTTCAACTGTTATTCTTTGTATTTTTCTTCAACTTAATGGTGTTCTTTTATGTTCCACCATATTTGTTACATCATGATTTTCCTTGGTTTTCTCATTCACAACATATTGGTGTACAGGTCAGAGTATGATACTATTGGGACGTCTGTTAAAGCGGCTCTTGTTTATCTTGGGACAGCTTTAGTAAAGGTCTGTTGCTTCAACACGATAGTTGGATCTCATCCAATTTATATGTATATCGAGTCCATAGAGATGAAATGGCCTAAGCAGAAATATCTCGTTAAGCACAGCATCAGAGCTTGCGAAAACAAGAAACTAAGATTTGAAATCATTCTATATCAGGTCCAGAAAGCTAGTGTACTATTACAGTCGAATTTTCCAAGAGTAGTAGCAGCTTTCATACCACATTACTCGATTAGAAGAAAACTGCGGTTCTTCCAAGAAACCCAACACTTCTGAGAATATTCATCTTCCATCTCTTCACTACAAAGCTTATTCGAATCAGGTCCATCTAGGACAGCGGTTCATTAATCAGTACAAGATTGTGGCCCTTCCTTTATCTTTTGTATTAGTTGACGCAGCTTCACTTAGTTTGATCCGCCCATTAATTTAGATTATTCACACTTTTCTAATCGTATTTTTGTTTCTATTTCTTCCCACTTCATTGGTAGGACTCGTTTTTAGAAGTTGTTTAATAACTCATGCACCTGTGAGAAGAGACTTGCAAGTAAAGAATGAACAAAGCCAAATAGAAGTATTGGTAACGTTTTCTTTCGCGGTGTTTTGCGATCTACACAAGTTGAGTCATTGACAGACCACACGCCCTATTGAAAGGCTTAACTGATGTGTTTTCGATGTCTTTAATCCTACGTTGTCTCTGAGATTTCAGTTATAACTTATATCATATATGATCTGGCTTTAAAAAATTCAAAGATAAGTGAAACTCTGGTTTTAATATTACAAACTATTGGATTAGTATCAAGATTTTTGTGAGTGCGGTTTTTGTCTGTGGATTTGGCTCGCCTATTAGTTCTCACCGTCATCATTCGTTATATGTATGTTGAACATCACTGGATCTCCAGAAAATAGGATAGGGCATAGCCACATGGTCTAAAAAATAGGATGCCTCAGTCACACTATGATATTGACTACCGAGGAAGGAGCATTATCAGAAAGAAAGTGAGCAACAGCCATAGTATACTACATTATTAGAACCTACTCAAGAGTTTGTAGGAAGAAAGAAAATGATATTTAGCTTCTTTAAGCATCAAAATAATTGAATTTACCTAATATTTGAAAATTTGACGAGTTTGCTGAAGCATCAGCTTTGTTCCTTTGGGTTGTGAATAGTACTGTCACCAGAGGGTCGACGTATTTTGCTGAATTTAAGGAGAAGGCTTTCACTTTAGTGCGTAGATATTCTACCTTAGTGTGCATTAATTAATGATTTTTCTTGTGTTGGCAGCTTATTTGCCTTGCAACTTTCCTCAAGTTGCCTGAAAATGATAGCTTCGATCCGTATCAGGTACGTCTGCGGCATCTGACACACCTTAAATTTTACATGCTACTCTAGTGCATCATGCGAGCACAAATCTTTTTCTATTATTCGTAAGGATATTTTAGCTCAGTTAAATATCAGGTACAAAATCCTTTTTACATATATTATATTGTATTATATTATATTATCAGGTACAATTGTAATTGTTTCTTTGTGACTCGTGTTTCTTTTGGGATTCTGAACGGGCTAACACAGGCTAGAGCAGGCGTTTCTATGTATTGATGAATATTGATGTCGGATTTCGGGTAGTATTCAACAAAAGTGACATTCATTAGCAGCGATCTGGTTCAACAGGGACCTTGGTAGAATGGTTTAATACGTATCTTTTTACTGGTTCAACGGTATATAAATAGATTTATTCATCCATGATTTCAAGTAGCGGTCTGACTATTGTCAACTGATATTAACTTCATGGTTTCCAGCATTGTAGGATGCTAGTCGAAACAGATTAGAAGTATCAACTATTTTCTCGATGTATTTGCGGTCAAAAACAGCTTGCCTAGTAATGATGCGCAAAGTATAGGTTACATTCTTGAAAAAAATTATCTTTCTGGAGGTTGAACTAGTTTGATCCGGCTCTGCAATGATTATCCAAAAATAGTTATTTAATCGTGATTTCTCTGTCATTTTTTTTCTTTTTTCAGGAATCCCTGAAAGCTCTAATTGGATTTGTAGATGTTGCTGGGCTTTATTTCGCATTGACCCAATTAACCCACAGGAATATCTCTCAGAATCATAAATTCCAGGCTGTTGGGCTAGGTGAGTGCAGATAACCTCTTCCTGAGCTGATTCTCCTTCGCTTTCTCACTCTAGATTCTGTGCCGGAATGAAAAAAAGTCCTGACCATCTTGTTTATTCGTATTCGTGATTTTTTTAAATAAAAAATAAAATTCCATAAATTAAAGGGCAATACATATTTTGCGGGTTGCTCTAAATAGGAACTTTCGCTTTCTCTCTCTAGATTGTGTGCAGGAATCAAAAAAATCCTGACCATCTTGTTCATTGGTACTCGTGAATTTTTTCATAGAAAAAAAATAAAATTCCATAAATTAAAGGGCGATACGTATTTTTCAAGTTGCTGTAAATAGTAACTTCCGAGGAATGGATAATGCTCAGTTCTCTCTCTTGCTGCTCGCAGGCTGGGCCTTTGCTGACTCTGTTCTACACAGACTGGCTCCTCTTTGGGTGGGCGCCAGAGGACTGGAGTTCACTTGGGAGTACATCCTGCAAGGCCTTGAAGCGAACGCAAATCTGGTTCGTTTTCTTTTTTATTTTATAGCTCCCCTTTAAATAATCTTTTCGTCTGTTTCTCCCTCTTCGGTAGCTTGATTCTTGTCGTCAACTGCCCACTCTCTGATGGGTTGACCAACTTGATTGGGTTTAATTATTATTTTTTTACTGTTTATGGAAAGCGGTGAATCTCGGACAGGAAATCTACTCTCTCTCTCTCTCTCTCCTTCTCTCTCTAATCCGTTATTCGTTTAAAATGGGCGTTGCCTTTGTCGGCTCGGTGATGGGTTTCTTCGTGCATTGTTAATCTGATCTAGAAAGCTACAACTTTGTAGGTGCTGAATCTCTCGCTGGCTGCACTGGGCTCTCTGATATGGCTTCGGAAGAACAAACCAAGAACCCTCGTCCCCATCATCTATGCCTGCGCCGGGATTCTCGCGACCATGCCTTCCATCACCAGGTTCGTCGGATCCTCCCCCTCTCTCTCTCTCTCTCTCTCTCTCTCTCTCTCTCTCTCTCAGACTTGTTTATTTTGGCAGCTATTTGAGGCACGGTCTGGGGTGGCTCATGCCGAAGGTGATAGCTTTCGAGCTCCTCTCTTCACTCGCCATGGCCTTCGTCAGCTGGCAGCTCTTCTCTGCCTGCCAGAGACCGTCGGCGTAGGTCGACAGAGACACCACTGAGGATTCTCTCTCCTCCTACGGCAGCCTAAACCTTGTGGATTGGTTCATGGCCGTCGGATCTTGGTCCGTTCCCATGGCCCCGCCGTTTAGCCCAATTTAGCAATTTTCGAGACTACGGCTCCTTCCCGTCGTAATTTCAGATTTTCCGTACACTTTCCCTCCCCATTGTTTTTCTAGAGAGAGAGAGAGAGTGGGCTTTACGTACACAGAAAGAGAGTGCGCCTTGTGTGAGTGTGCATAGGGAGAGAAAGAGAAGGTCAGTCAATTGAACAAAGGGAGCAAAGTCAACGAGAGCACGAGCACCCCTTCAGCACAGGTTACAGGCTAGAGAGACGAGCATTCCACCTCTCTTTCTCTCTCCTCCCCTTATTCTCTCTCTTGCCGGGAAACAACGACTGGGTCGGGGTGATCCCCCTGGTCCTCTTTCTTCCTCCCCCTCGAGAAGCCCCTAACTTGTCCCTACTCCCTCTCATCAAGAGAAGCAACTTCTCAAATGGGGAATACACGTTGAAGATCTCCGGACGCGACGCGACTCTCTCTCTCTCTCTCTCTATCGATATCTATCTTCGTCGTTCTCTGTGGCGTCCCGTGGCTCAATGCCGTCACAGCGCCGTTCCCCATGGCGAGAAGGAAGCATGATTCCCTCTCTCTCTCTCTCTCTCATCTCTCTCACTCGCTGTCTCTCTCTGGGGTTGATGTGCTTGAGGGGCCGACCCACGAGCTTTCTGTCTCAGTCATTGACTAGATCTTCAAACCAGGTCGTCGTCATCCTCCGTCCGCGTTCGCCTCTCTCTCTTCTTCCAGACGTCACACGGAACCCGTTCTTTTATAAAAGTGTGGCCTTCGTGAATATCGCCATCACATTACGATATACCTCCCTCTCCGAAGTTGCAAACTCCCACGCATACGTCACTATGCACCAGTCGATGACACGGACACTCTCTCTCTCTAGAGTCGACAGAGAGAGAAGTTCTCTGTCTCTGTCTCTGTTTCTCTTCTCTCTCTCCTCTCTCTCCCTCCTCTCCCTCCTCCGCCTCCTCCCCCTCTCTCCCCCTGACAGATCAAAAGTGCCCAGTCCCTTCGCTTTAAGAGGAATGGGTTTCGACAAAAGATGTTGACCTTTTGGCTTGTCTCTCGATACTTCCACCAAGCTCGCCCATCGCGAATAAGGGAAGAGTCAGACATCTGTCCCCGTGAGTATAATCGGTCCGAGCCCTCTCTCTCTCTCTCTCTCTCTCTCGCTAAGAGGGTAGATAGAAAGGGCGAGAGGCCAGATCCGGACTTCATGCGAATCAGTCTCCATCCCGATTTACCTCGGGCTTTTATGTAATCATGGCGATAATTGCAGCCGATGTCTGATGTATTAATTTTTCAGATGAAAGAGAGGAGAGAGAGTTGGGACGTGAGCAAGGACTTCCATTCATTTAGACGTAAGGAGAGAGGGAGGGGAATGTGGGTTTTCCTTTATTGGCAATCTTTCTTTTCTCTCTCTCTCATGTTCTCTCTCTAGATTTGCTACGGACTGCTTCTATTCCCTCTTACTTGAAACCCCAACACACACTCTCTCTCGCATCGCTAACGGACTACTGTTATTCACCCCTCCGGATCCTCTCTCTATCCTCTCTTTCCTTGGCCTTGCTCACGTACTACTGCAGTTCTCTTCTGAAACTCTCTCTCCTGTTGCTTACGCACCTCTGTTATTCCCTTCTGAACCCTCTCTCTCTCGCATCGCTGGAGAACTACTGTTATTCCCTTCTGAACTCTCTCTCTCTCCCTCGCATTGCTTAGACACCGCTGCCATTCCACTCTGAGTCCTCTCTCTCTCTCTCCCCGCTGTCCGCCTCTACTGCACACAATAAATGATGCCTCCTCGGGCGCCACAGGCAGCGGACGGCGAGCTTCGGAAAGCAGTCAGAGAGAGAGAGAGAGAGAGAGAGGGGCAGATGGGTTTCGATGTGAACGTGCGTTCTATTAATCCTACGCCGTATATCCTTCCTTCGCTCATTCGCTCCGAGGAGGACGAGAATAAGGAAGAAGACAGCGGCGCCAGGAGGGGTCCTGCCGGCAGAGCCTTTAAGCGGCGCTGCTCCGAGGGGAGGTGACCGGACTTGTTCCCTCCTCCTGCCGCCGCTGCCATGGGATGCGAGCCCCAGCAAGCAGCTGAAAAGGGGAGAACTACTGGAAGAAGAGCCGCCCCCCTCTCTCTTCCTTCCTCCTCGCTGCAAAAAAAGCGACGGGCTTTCTGAGGTAAATTATTGAGCGGTGATGGTCGAGGCGGAGGCCTTTGACTGGGGGGCAGCCGCCGGCCCACCCGGCGCAAGTCTCCGTGGTCCTCTTCTCTCCGTCAAAGACGTAGTAAATGTGTGTGGATGAGAGAGAGAGAGAGAGGGGGGTGGGGGTTGTCCCGAGGATCTTAGGCACAGGATGGAGAGATAGAGGGATTGTCTCGAGTAGCTAGCTGAGTGGAGCGACAATAGAGAGAGAGTTGCCTCGAGGAGCACAGCGGAAGGAGAATAGAGAGAGGGAGAGGGGTTCTCTCGAGGATCAGCAGTCGTCTCGATAAGGTGAACGGAAGGACTATTCATATACATCTACCAATATCCATCCGTATTTATTTATATATAGAGAGGCGTTGTCTCGAGGGCCGTTGTAGAATGACTATTACACCCAGCTACTAGAGAGAGAGAGAGAGAGCGTTGTCCGGATGAGTTTAGTGAGAGAAGAGCAGTGTGAGATTTTTAAAGTACGTACGGTCTACTTAAGTCTCCATATAATGATAAGATGTGCCGGTTTTCAAAGTCGCCGATAGAAGATGGATCTTCACTCCATATAATCTTCATATAATCTTCACTCCAGAATGCTTTAACTCGTTCCCTCTACGGCGGTTTCTATAGTCAAACAATGTTAGGATCTCGTGAATGATCTGATCGAAGGACGTACGGCGGATTTAAGTCCCCTCCCCGCTAGCCTCTTCTGTCAGGATTCCTCTGATGCCCCACCTCTCCCTTTCTCTGCTTCGGAAGAGGGGGAAGATGAGGAACAGCTGGTTCGACTGTACTCTCTCACCTGCTACGCCACACGCCCTTCTAAGCGCAGGCCAGAAGGAAAGCTAGCTCGAGCTTCTCTCGAGGATGAATGATCGCCACGTGATGATTAAATCCGTAGATCTCCCTAAGCCGATATCTCCATCCGGTTCAAAAATCATCTCCGAGAGTATCGGATTAGGAGCATAGAGCTGTGATCCATAAAAATACTGGAAGAGAGAGAGAGCGAGAGAGAGAGAGAGAGCTTGTTGTTGTACCCACGCCCATTGTCCTTGCTGTGGGTTTCAATCGATTCGCTGAAAAAAGAAAAGATCAGATGGGAAACCACAAGAGCTGGGTCGAATCCTCGAGGAGGGTGCATATAAAAACCAAACCTTGTTGTGTCGTCGAATATTACAACCACATGAGATGGCGAGTATTAAATAAAGGAAGGGTGAGAGATGGTGACGTAGAAGCGGACACGGGTTTCCAAACTCCCAGGAGAAAGGAACCCACCGCATCAGCCGCTGACCGCGGCCTCGATATCCATTAAACGATCGCCGGACGACTTTGTCGTCTATCCTCCGGGCATCGGCGCCACCGGTGCTTCCGCCACCTTCACTCCCGCTGCAACGGTCGAAAAAGGTTCGTCTTCATTGTGCATGCCCAGAGGGGAGGAGTTCCTCCGCCGGTATGTTGATTGAATCCCGTCCTCCGCCGCCGCCGCGTGAGTTACTGCACGGCTTCCTGCTCTCTGATAGATAGAAGAACAGCAGAGCTCGATAGGCAGGAGGTTACGATAGATAACGACTGGAGGATGGAGAAAGTTGGAGGGTAATCGACTTCCCCCCCCACCAAGAAACCATTTTTGGCCCTACCTACGTTCTCGGGACGTAAGGGGACGGCAAGCGGCGGCGGCGGCGAGTGCGGCGGCGTCAGTGGTAGCTCGGGGAAACCCTGTGGCACGTGTAAGCAACGGCAGAGCAGGCGCCACGTGGAAACAAGGGGATATTCAGACTGGGAGAGGGAATATTGAAGGTGGGACAAGATGGAAATGGGTGGGCAGCCCCTTCGGCACGGGCCGTCAAGACGTGGAAGGCGGAGCCGCCGCCAGTCCGCCACCGCCCACGTGGCCGGACGGCAGCCCGGCTTCTCCGGCCAACGAACCGAACCGAACCGACGCCCGCCACACAGACGAGGAATGCTATCAGCGGGATATAATCTCACCCCACGACTTTACCCATTGGGATAGTCCATAATACATATTGAACATAATTGCATGTAGAGAGAGAGAGAGAGAGATGGGGTCGCCGTCAGTTTGACGTAAGGCAGAGGGAGTTATTTTCCCAAAATCCAAGCCTCAGAGACTGTCACCCATTAAAGACCTCTGAGGTCACCTCCTTCCGACCTAGCTCTTCGTCTTCCAAGTCCCAGCCTTTCATGGAAAAGGTAAGAATAACTGAGCTACATACTGCTCCTAGGCGTTGTCATAATACGCTTATTCTATCTATCTCTCTCTCTCTCTCCTGCATTGTTGTCCTCTTCTTTCTCCTGTCTGCCTGGGGAAGCTGTAATTTGCTCCAAGAATGGCACTATGACTACAGTATACATACTCATTCCTCATATCCTTTGTGGGTTAATGGCAATATCTAACCTCTGCACAGACGATGCCTTCCCCCCGCCGCTCCTCCAATAGTAGTAGTATTCTTAGTGTGGAAGAAGACAGCTTTCGCTCACCGCAGCCTGCCCTTTCTTGCACCAGTCTTCCTCTCTTTCTAAAGCATAACGCACCCATGGAAATGATAAGCCACTCATGACCAAATCACTATTCCCCACTATTTAATCCCCTCTCTACCCGCACCTCAACATCCCTTCCCTCAACTCCCCCCTTTTCCCCATTAGCCTACGTTCCTCTCTCCGCTCCCATCTTTCTCTCCCCCGCCCCCACCCCGGATCTCTCTCCCTCTCTCTCTCTCTCTCTCTCTCTCTCTCTCTCTCTGCGTCCGATCTCTTCTTCTCGACTTCAATCCAGATCCACCTCGGTCGTCTCCTAGGAGTCTTCGCAGATCAGATGACAAGAGCTGCGGGGGGAGGTATCCCATTCGTTTCTGGTCAACCTGATCTCTCCCTGTGGATCAGCCCGCCGATGATCTCTTCGCGGGGAACTGAGAAACCCAGAGGGAGCGAGGACTCGGCCTTGACGATGCTCGCCGGAGATGGAAATTGCACGGCCGTCGATCTCGATCATCACAACCCCCATCTTCAGATCCTTTCAAAAGGTTTCAAGAGGTATCCGAGGTCCACCGCCGGAGGGAGGAGAAGTATTCGGGCTCCGAGGATGAGGTGGACGACCTCTCTCCATGCCCACTTCGTCCACGCAGTGGAGCTCCTCGGCGGGCATGAAAGTAAGGCTATTCCCATACTCTCTTTCTCTCTCTCTCTCTCGGTACGACCAGGAAAGAAAAAATGTAAATACATATCCGTATATGCAGTTTTTTTCTTTCTAATCTCCTGTATTGTTAGGGGCGACACCCAAATCGGTACTGGAGCTGATGAATGTGAAGGACCTAACCCTAGCTCACGTGAAGAGTCACTTGCAGGTGAGTGTCCTTCTGTTATTCTGATGAAGCCACCTTTTGTTTCGTTGCTAGTTTCCACGTCCAGAGAGGGTTAGGGTTTCCAGTTGGGAGGAGGAGCAGCTGACGGATCCAAGGGCTAAGAGACAAAATGGCATCTTGGAAGTAATCCGAGCGGGGTGGAACTCCCCCCCTCCAAAGCCCCGTCCTCTATTCTTCTTACAAGTCTTCATCTCATCGTTTCTTTTGCAGATGTATCGAACAGTGAAGAGCACCGACAGGAGAACTGGTGAGCATCTCCATTTCCCTTCCCTTTCTTCATGGAAGATCTGAATATTTCTGAGGGACGGGTTTGGAGGTTGCAGATTTAGACAGCCGTTTTCTTTCTCGCGGTGGCCCCCCTCCTCCCCCCACCCTCCCCCCCCCCCGCCATGAGCCTATGAATCTTAGTCTTTGATCTCGTGGGTTCTCCAGGACACGTTCAGCCTGACACAAGCTTAAACCAGACGACAGTAATGGAGGGGAGCTTTCCTTGCCGGAGAGATCAGATCACGGGCCCTTACACGCCAAGCCCTTCAACCCCGCCGGCCCCGCGGTGTGTCAATCTCTCTCTCTCTCTCTCTCTCTCTCTCTCTCAAACACACGCACGGACACACACTGAGGATGATTGGGTAGAAGAACAGCGAGTAAGAGAGGTATTCGGAGCGCCCGTCCACCGACGTTTCCTTCCCGCTACTGTCAACAGTGGCAACTACAGTGAAAGGAGATGGCTTCTCGCGACGATAATGGGTTTAGTCTTTAATAAGGCAACCTCGGAAGATTTTCTGATACCGTAGTTCAAAGGGGGAACTGGTTTCGGAGACGAGATATCTCACCGGACTACTCCATCGACCGGTCTGGTTCTCTCCCATCTCCCTTCCACCAGGCTGTTGTCTCCTAACCCACGGGAGTCTCTCATTCTTCGCGCAGAGTTCATCTTCTATCAATGGAGGAAAATGGATGGAGCCCCGCCGTCCCGAAACACGATCCAGAACAAGCCTCTCATCTGAGATACAAGGGCGGCTTCCCAGACGACGACGAGAAGGTAAAGCTTCTCTGAAAACCTTCTACTCGTCCCTTCTCTCACTAGAGAGACCAGTGATCCTCGATTCATTTCCAGAGAGTCTGGAGCTCGCTAGTGTCTATTCCCCTTTTGATGCAGGAGGACCGGCAGCATTCTCCTCCGAATGCGTGGGGATGTAGGGGCTCCTCGCCTTCCTCTGAGGGGGAGGAACCCTCGAGTGTTTTGCAGAGGCTCCCAAACCTGGAGTTCACTCTGGGGAGGCCGAGCTGGCAGATGGATTGTGTCGAGCCCATGAAGGAATTCGCTCTCCTCAGATGCTAGGATAGGAAGCCGCTGCAATGGCGCTTTTAGAATACCAGAAAATTAGATCCGTCGTCTCTCTGTCAGCAGGATGATGATCTGCTACCACAGGGTTTTTGAGTGAAGGTTTGCCCCGCTCTATACTGTTGTTACCACAGAGGCCTTTACGAGTTGACGGAAAGAAAGAGAGAGAGAGAGAGAATCACAGTGAAGTCTCAGATAGTATCACAATCCTTAAGACCTCAGCTGCGTGTGCAGGAGTCTGAGTTCCAACGCTCTCGTAGCATCAATTGCTCTGAAGAGAGGGAGAGAGTTTAGTTTCACTAAAATCTCTCAAGAGACGCTGGGAGGAGAGAGACGTACTTAAACGCTTTCAGAGTGAGAGAGAGAGAGAGAGGGAGAGAGAGAGAGAGAGAGACGGAAAGAGGGAGAGATGGAAGGGGAGAGAGAGAGATAGATGGAGAGAAAGAGAGAGAGAGAGATAGAGGGAGAAAGGAGAGATACAGAGGCGAAATTTTTCAGCCAGAAAAAAAGGTGTGCACAGTAAAGTAGGTCCCTCGGGCAGCCGCATCATATAGGCGTCATCCCGGACGGGCCCAACCATGTGGACTAGACACGGGCCCACTGGTTTCCTAAGCAGACCCTCAGCGTATGGGCCGATCCCAAGTATCGGCCCATCAACCCAACTTAAAACTCCGTAACGACAAAAAGGTCGTCGAGGATGGGATCTGGACTGCCAACAAAAGTGGGCCCATTACATCATCTCCGGCCCAAAATATTAATGGCCCACAGTTGTCGTCGGAGAGCCAGGATCTGCATCTCCGTCGGTCAGGCCTCGCCGGAGGACGCCGCCGGAGCTCATGTCGGCCGTTAGGATGTGCCCACTGGGTGACATGGACAACACCCATATTTCCGTCGCCACGTGCTAGGATGACGTGGGGGAGGGGGCCATCTCCACCGTCCACGTCAGTGACGTCGAGAACACCCCTCCTCCACCGTCCGATCCCCCGGCCCTCTCTCCCCTGGACAGATGCTCGGTCAGACGGCGACCTTTAGACTTTCCTAGAAAAGTCAGACCCGCTCCTTTCGCGAGTAAATACCTTGTCCACGGGGGAAGGGGTGCATACTGGTCCGGCCCGAAAAAAGCCCGATTTATAGGCCCGGAATCATGGACATTTAAGTTATATTTGGGCTTCGGGCTGCGGCGGCACGCGTCCGTCGGGTCGGCTTGCACTGTTGACCACACACGTGTCACGGCATCTCCACTCCGTTTTTTAGAGAGGGTTTCAGGGCCTCATAAACGTGGAGAGAGAGAGAGAGAGGGGGCTCTCCGAGCGTCCTCTTCTACCTCCCCCTGGAAACCTCCGTCCCAATCTATTTATACCGCCATCGCCTCCCAGAGCTTCGGACCGGACGTTCTTACAGATTTCCACTCCTCGTCTTGCTCTGGGATCTGGTGAGGGCGATGAGAGAAGGGGGTAGGGGCGGCAACGCCGTCGGTGTGGGGAGCACGATGTTCGTGGAGACCAGCAGCCTGCCGCGGGGCACCAAGCTCTCGGCGCTTCTCCACTCCGACCCCAATATTCCTTCCACGGCGGCGGTCGGCGGCGGACCGGAGGACGACTACTCCACTCGCAACAGCAGCGCCTCCGCCGCCAGCCCCGGCTACTACTTCGACCGCAACCCGATGAGCGTGGAGAGCTCCCCTTACCGCATGTCCCCGTGGAACCAGGGCTCGCCGTTCGCCAAATCTCCGTGGTCGAGCGTGGCGCCGCCGTTCTGCGACGACAGCGCCACCTTTGCGCCGGCGACGGGCCTCATTGGGTCGCTGGTGAGGGAGGAGGGGCACATCTACTCGCTGGCGGCGGCGGGGGATCTGCTGTACACGGGCTCCGACAGCAAGAACATCCGCGTGTGGAAGAGCCAGAAGGAGTTCTCGGGGTTCAAGTCGAACAGCGGGCTGGTGAAGGCCATCGTCCTCGCCGGAGACCGCATCTTCACCGGCCACCAGGACGGGAAGATCCGGGTGTGGAGGGTCTCCAGCAAGAACCCCACCGTGCACAAGAGGATCGGGTCCATGCCCACCTTCAAGCACCTGCTGAAGAGCTCCATCAATCCAAGCAACTACGTGGAGGTGCGCCGCCACCGGAACTCCCTGTGGATCCGGCACGGCGACGCCGTGTCCTCCTTGAGCTTGAACGAGGACCAGGGGCTCTTATACTCGGGGTCATGGGACAAGACATTCAAGGTGTGGCGGATCGTGGACTCCAAGTGCATCGAGTCGGTGAGGGCGCACGACGATGCGGTCAACGCGGTGGTGGCGGGGTTCGACGGGCTGGTCTTCACGGGCTCCGCCGATGGCACCGTGAAGGTCTGGCGGCGGGAGTTGCACGGGAAGGGGACCAAGCACTCCGCCGTGCAGACCCTCCTGAAGCAGGAGTCCGCCGTCACGGCGCTAGCGGTTAACCCCACCGCCTCCGTCGTCTACTGCGGCTCCTCCGACGGGCTGGTCAACTTCTGGGAGCGGGAGAAGCACCTCTCCCACGGCGGAGTCCTCCGGGGGCACAAGATGGCCGTCCTCTGCCTCGCCGCCGCCGGCAGCCTCGTGCTCAGTGGCTCTGCCGACAAGACCATCTGCGTGTGGCGGCGAGACAGAGACGCCCTCCATAGCTGCCTCTCGGTGCTCAACGGCCATGCCGGCCCCGTCAAGTGCCTCGCCGTAGAGAGAGACAGAGACTCGCTCCCCGCTGATCCTCGCTGGGTCGTCTACAGCGGCAGCCTCGACAAGTCCGTCAAGGTCTGGCGCGTCTCCGAGCTCCCCGCCGGCGACTTCCTCTACCAGCATACTCCGCAGCTGCAGCTCTTCGCAGCCCCAGACTTCCCGCCGGAGGAGTCTCCGTCCGGGTCCTCCTCCGCCCGCGGCAGAGGCCACCGCAAGTCAAGATTCTGAAACCCGCATGAGAGCGAACGACGAACAGCGACGTTTTTTCTCACGTAAAGGACCGGACAAGCGGCGGTGCCCCTGCGAAAAGGGAACCGCCGGCTTCCACGCGCTTCGGCAACGGTTGCGCCGCCCCCCACCGCCCCTGGTAGATGATCATAAGAGGAAAGCGCGGCGGAGATTGTGGCGAGTAAGGGATGACGATGGATGGACCAGACGGCCACGTATGGATCACCTACCGCCAGAGTCCCCACCATAAGCGAACCGAACCGAAGCTTCACGTTCATACCTGTCTGAAAGAGGACCGGAGCTCGTCTATTCAGTCGTTTTCGACATTAAAGGAGCCAGACGAGAAGATTTTCCAACCCATCTTTTCAATAATTTCCTCCTTTGTATTCTTCTTTACCTGAAAATATTCTTCCCACGGCCACCCTCAGAAACTCTTCCAAAAAAGCCAATTGTTTTGATGTATATTCAATTTCGTATATTCTAATCCTTTGATTTTCTCAATAAAAAATATATTTTTATTGAATTATTTGAAAATAACGAGAAGAGAAGAAGCGGAAGAGAAAGAGAGAGAGAGAGAGAGAGAGAGAGAGAGAGAGAGAGATCATTATCAACGAACTGAGCTCAATAAAGGCAGGAAACGGCCTCGGGGCTGAACACACAGAAGCGGAGGGCCGTCGAGATAGCCTGCCCCAGGGGAGGGCGAGAGACAATCCATCCACATGAACGAAGAGAAATAGTTCTCAGATAGTTCGAGGGGTCAACTTGTTCGGCTGAGAAGAAATATCTGATAAAAAGACGCAGTTTTCGAACGAATTTAGGTTTAGTATTTTAAATGAATCCCGTATATATGTATTATCCCGGGGGCAGTGTGAAGGTTTGACGTTACGTAGGCACCCGCTCCACTGTTTCCAACGCCATTCAGAGCTGCATGGCCATGGAGTGTAAAGGCTGGCGCAACCACATTGGCGGCGGGGGGAGGCGGTTCAGGGATTGCGTGGACGCGGAGAGGCCGGCGGCACCGCACGTTGCGTCCGCCGGGAATGGGCTGGAAAGGGAAAAGTCTCGTGCAACTTGCGGCGATCCCCGCGCTGACAAGCCGCGTCGAGTCGAGCTGGGGAGGGGGACCGTCAGCGGCCGCCGGCAGAATTTGACATTGTTGGTGGGGGCTTCCCGCCCGTTACGGTGGCTTGTCCTTGAATGGGGGATAGTATTCGCGGGAATTTCGTCGGATTGTAGGGTCGTCAAACAAAGTGGAAAAACCCTTGTGAGGTTGACCAGTGTATGATAATTACTCGGAAATAGGCCCCAGAAAAACCCCATCTCCTTCCAGCGGCCGCCACGACCGGGAATGTCGTCGTTTTGACCTTCCAGGTCTCTCTGATTGATTAAGCAGAGCGGTTCATGTCGATGTCTTTGGACCGGGCTTGGCTCTAGGAAGCTCGATCTCGACGGGTCTGTCTTGAGAATGTTTTGAAAGGCGGGAAGGCCTGGCAGGGTAGGTCGAGGCGGGAGTTGACCTTGACTACGCTCCGGGTAACAATCTAAGGGAGGGGAAGTTTGACCGATGGTTTGAAGTGGACGTTGACTGAGCTCGAATTCTTTGCCCTCAAGGAACTAGAGATTCACTGGAAGAACCGGCGAACCGATACGGACGGCATCCTGGCGACACCCCGACCCCGGGAAAACGACGTTGAAGGGTCCCCGCACAGCGGGTCTACCACGGGGTCCCCGCACAGCGGGTCGTCGAAGGGTCGGCCGAGACCAAGACTTCGTTGCTATTACATTGAAGTCCGAATTAGATCAGACAGACAGGGATGAAGAGATGAAGATAGATAGAGATCGATGGGTACACAGATAGGCTCTCTCTCTCTCTCTCTCTCTCTCTCTCTCTCTCTCTCTCTCTCTCTCTCTCTCTCTCTCCATATATCTCTTCCATTCATTGGATTGGAAAGGCCGGTAAACTGACGAATGAAGATATCGTGGCGCAACAAGGGCGCCGGGTACGAATGGGGGGCTTCAGAGAAATCGGGGGAGACCGTGAGGATGAAGATAATGTGATAATAATGTCGCGGGAAGACAGGAGGGGGAGAGAAAGAGCCAGAGAACGTCTCTCTCTGTCTCTTGTCTCTGTCTCTTGTCTCTATCTCTCTCTCTCTCTCTCTCTCTCTCTCTCTCTCTCAATCTGTCTTCCATTCATTGGATTGGAAAGGTCGGTAAAGTGACGAAGTACGATGATGTGGCTCAACATGGGCGTCGGGTTCAGCGAAATCGGAGGAGACCGTCATAATGAAGATAATATGATAATAATGTAGCGGGGAGATGGAGAGGGAGGGAGACGGAGAGATAAGAGCAGAAGATGTCACCTGTCACTGAGAAATTGCCCACAGTAGGGGAAAATAGTAGTTGCGGTGTGGTTACAGCAATAGTAGAGACGTAATTACATGTGATCCCCTTCAATAGTCTGATGTAGTTGCCTGCCTGCTTTGAAAAATTGGAGAGGATGCACCACTTACATGAGATTTGAACGCCCATGTAGCATCTAGGGTTCCTCAGGGACATCACGTACTCTTTATGCGTGGAACAAAAAATAGGGTTCATCAGAGATCCCTCCTCTCTCGGGAGATAACCCAGGTTTTCTATATCATATACTCCTCTTCAACATGATTTTGGGTTTCATCGGAGATTTGAAATCATTCATACGTATGATTCTAGAGTTCATCATAGATTCCATTCCATAAATGGCTGTTCAACACCAGATATTATCTCCTTGAGAAATAGTCTTTTCTATCACAGATGGCACATCCCTATTGGGCATGCTCCAAGGGCTCACATGATATTTCACGTCTTATGTGAGTATGAATTAGGGTTCTTCGAAAATTCCGTTTCCTGTGTGGGGTATAAAAATCGGAGTTTCTAAAGATAGTATATCCTTCTACTGGATTGTTTTAGGGTTCATCGTACATTGAAAGAAGCGCCCATTTGAAAATATGTATTGGAGGAGTCGCTGGATAGACGGTCTTCTTCCCGGGCATAATATTTGTGTTCATCAGAGCTTTTGTGTCAAGCTTGGCTAAGAATTTAGGGTATGATATTATGGGGATCTGAGAATGCACATCCTACCCAGATTTAAATTTACAGTCCATCTGAGACACCATTTCATGCTTCGGCAAGAATTTAATGTTCATCACCATTTGACCAAAGCACCCTACCTACCGCGAAGATATAGATATATATATAAGTAGCGAGAGAGAGAGAGAGAGACAGACAGACAGACAGAGAGCGCGTTGCGGATCAGGGTTCTGGATATGACTACCGAAATTAAGTATCAACGCTTTCAAGAATTAGGTGAAGTCAAAGTGAGTCTGTTGGAATATCTCAATAAGCCATTCATAATTGCGACATAATTCAAGACTGATTGGACTGAAATCTTGTAGAATCTACTGAGAAGTCTGTCTTCATCGATAAGATACATAGTTTATGATAGAAAGAAGCAGGGATTTTCAGTAAAATAATACAACACTTCTCTCCGTTTGAAACTCGAAGAAGCAGTCATTATTTCAGGAACGGAACCTTATAACAGTGGGAGCTTTTCTATGAGAAACCAGAGGTGAAGAGTGATCCATGTTAGTAGTAGAACTGTTGCTATGTATGTAGTCATGATCTAGTCGCCGGAAAAGACGATCCACGGCAGAGCTTTCAGCTTCTCCCAGGGTTCCGAGGATCGTGGCGGTCGTTTGCTCCCGACCCAGGATAGTCCTCGACTTCCATGGTCGTCCGCCGCAACACGGATCCTTCCCCCAATGCCTGGTTTCTCAATAAGCCCTGAAGAACTCCGAATGAAGTCATTGCTCTAGCGAGAGAGAGAGAGAGAGAGAGAGAGAGAGAGAGAGAGAGAGAGAACCTGGCCTGCGACTTGAAACTCTTGCGGGACATCTTCCTGGTAACCTGCGGAGGCGGAGCCCAGAAGGACCAAGATCACGAAGAGGCGGAGGAGGAGGAGGAGCCTGTGCTGCGGCGCCATCCCTGAGCAGGCGGGTTTCACGAAGAGATACCTCGCCGATCTGGCAGAGGTGATCAGGTTGGTGGGGGATGGCGGTGGGCGGTGGCGCTTTTATATAACTAAATGGAGAGAGGCGGAGGCCCATCCGGCCGGAGAAATCCGAAGTCAACTTTGCCTTTTCCATGGTGGGGGCAGTGCGCTTCCCCGCCACCATCTTTTTCCTCCGGCACCTGGCCCTTTTCCTTCCCTCCTTTCTCATCTTGTTCTCTATCGGCAGGGCGCTGACTAACTATAGCGAGCCTTGCTCAAACCAGGAAGATCCGCGAGGCTCCGTCCCTCAGCGTGAGCATCAGATAGCCGCTACTCAAGAAGATTAACCTGGTGCGACTGAAAATCTGTGTTCGCGAATGCCGCGGCAAACCCTATCAATCTGCGATTAAATTATATATATAGATCAATCGAAACTAGTTGTGTCTTCCGGAGGATCCGCTCCCCCATTGCTGCGCGGAGAGAGCCCTGGTTTCCCGTCCCCTTGGTGATCAGAAGCGAAATGTGGAGGGTGGGACGCCAGTGGGTGATGAGACGGAACTGATGGCGGTCGTCGAAAAGTGGAGGCTTCGCCGGTGTGCTGAAAAGCAAGAGCACTACGATCGCCCGTCGTCAAAAGGGGAGGCCCAGCAAAGGAAGGCGGTCGGCCGGTTGCTCACGGAATGTGCGAGAATGGCGAAGAGGAGGGGGGGAAGGGGCCTCTGCCCCCGTCGCTAGGTAGAGGATGCAACAAAACGAGGGAGAGAGAGAGAGAGAGAGAGAGAGAGAGAGGGGGGGGACTGGGGGGGGGGGGCTCTTCTGTCTCTCACGGAGGGGGTTTACTATCATCATCTACCGAGGGAGGCTCGTCTTCTCTTCGGATGCGTGGAGGGCGCACTCGCGAGATCTACCGGCGGTAGAAGACGGCACGCGGCAGCGGGCGGTGCCTGCAAGTTGCAGTCTTGCCGATTCCACTCTACAGAGCTCGTCTAGAACAAGGCCTTCTCACACACAAGCCGCCAAATGGAGCTCGTCTACGGAGATCTGCCCCAGTTTGACCTCTCTCTCTCTCTACTTTTTGCAGCTTTTATCTGGAACATAAGGACCCCGAGGGTGGGCCAAGAGAGAGGAACGAAAAACCCCAGGCGGCGTGGCCTCGTGGGGAGTCGCGTGGCATAATCGGGGCCCTTGACTTTTCCCCGTATTGATGACGTCAAAATGTATTTAGACATATTTAATTTAATTGTGTTTCGACATGAGAATATCGTAAATGGGCCATTCGGTCAGGAGCACGTGGTCCACAAGTGACGATTTGGACTGGGCCCATGGTTTCTCAGGCTATCTATTGGGCTGCGATCTGATAAGGACTGCCAAGAGGGCCTACCTGCCGTCGGCTCGGCCTGGCCCATCATCATTTTAGTACATGGCACTTCACGCCCGAAGCCCCCCTCTAGAGGGAAAAAGTTAGGTGCCCCACGATCAAGATGCCTGACCTCGCGCTCGGCACCGATCGCGTGAGAGTCCGGTATTCGCACCTCCGAATCTCCTCACCTCCCTTCGAGAGGTTACCCATCGTGGAGGGGGCGGCTCCACTTTCTCGCCACGGGGTGAGATCAGAGGATGCCACATGAGAGAGAAACCCTAATAAACTCGGATCTCTCTCCTCTTTAGTGCATGTTGGAGGTAGATAGAGACAGACAGAGAGGGGAGAGGGAGGGGGAGAGGGAGTGGGTTGCAGACGGCGGCGATGGGCGGCGCCGCTGTAAGGCCGCTGCCGTGGATCGGGCGCTTCCTCAACGCCGCTTTCTACGCCCCCTGCGTTCCACGGGGACCACCGGAAATGGTGCAACCTCTACTGCACCGACTGTCTGAGCCCGCTCTGCACCCAATGCCGTGACGACGACGAAGGCCATTGCCATCGCCTGAGCCACGTCATCCTCCAGGTCAGCCTCCCCACGCCATCTTCTCTCCGCCGTGAAGGGAACAGACTGAGCCGGCGCCGCCGCCGCCGCCGCAGGTGGTCCGATCTTCCTACCGCGCCGCCGTCCAGATCGACGGCGTCAACGGCATCGGGAAACTGCTCGACGGAGAGGACGATATCCAGGTCTACTGGCCCAACCGGCTGAGGATCTTCTACCTCCACAGCAGGGTTGACTCCAGAAGGTCCGGCCCTAATCACTGTGAGGCCTGCGGCTGGCCGCTGCTCGACCACGATAAGCGCTTCTGCTCTATCGGCTGCAAGGTGAGAGAGAGAGAGAAACGAGATAGCTGAGAGGGAAGTCCCTGCCATGGGAGGAACCGGATAACGTGAAAACCCTGTCGCAGGTTCAACCGGAGGAGCAGCTAGGACGGCGGCGCCGCCAAGCCCACGGCGGCGAGGTCTTCCTGGAGAGGGGTGACGGGTCAACGGAGGCACTCCCGGAGGAGCCGAGCAGGGGAGACAAGAGGTCAAAGTGGCCCCGGAGGTCCCCCATGCACTGATAATATCCGCCGCAGGCATCCGTGCAAATTCCCAGGATGAGGTCGGTTGGGGGGGGGGGTCTTTAAGAGCCTCCTATTCTACTGTTTGTAGCTGACATGTTGACTTTATTGGGTCAACGGAGGAGTCGGAGCGGTGTGAGACCAAGGTGCTCGGTACGGGCGATTGGGATTAGATGAGACTACTTCCACCCAATCCCATTGTGATCTAAGGTGACTTATCACGGTAAAAAAGTCAAATCATGTTATACTATAAGAGTTTTATGTCGCTATGACTCAATCAATCGGATGAGTTTCATCTAAATTGATGTCATGGGCGGTCAATGCCCAATGACGATCCGTCCAGAGTCAACGTAACCGTTACAGATAAGATCTACATCGACCAACATGTTTGTTATATATTATGAAAAAATTCAAATTAAATACTCCAAATAAAAAATTGCATCAGCATTTGAAGCGATTTTAATAAGAAAAATGAAAGGGATCTAGATGACAACTAGCCGTTGGGCACCACCACGTGGCCCGCCATGGGAGAAGTTGGGCCTCGGGCCCTGGAGTCCACATGGGCCTGGCTGGCCGCTATTTAATATCGTCAACTGCCCGCCTCCAATACCACGTGGCAGCCCAGAATTGAGCAGACAGGCCGGGCCCGGTCCACATGATCGGAGAAGCGGTGGGTGGGCCATGGGCCGGCCCGTGGGCCTACCTACTGGACTAGCTACCGTCTACCCCCCCCCCGCCCCACTCCCCCCTGGTCCAGCTGGCGACTAGGTGGGCCCGAGTTTTGGCACGGGATTCTAAAGCCCACTGGGCTGTGGAGCCCATTAAATTATACTCTCTCTGGGTTAAGGCGGCCGGCCCCCTTCATCTCTCTCTCTCTCTTTCTCTCTCTACGCCTCCGCCTTTCTCCTCCCGCCGTCGCTCCGGCCGCTGCCGCCTCCCTCGCCATCCCGCCGCCGGCGACTCTCCGGCGAACCGATCCGGCGGACTCTGTTCTCTGGTACGAGCCTTGAATCCCTCTCATCTCCCTCTACCTCCTCTTTCCTCTCTGCTTCTCTCTCTGCCTCTTCTTCTTCTTCTTCTTCTTCTTCTGCTCTCTCTCTCTCTCTCTCTCTCTCTCTCTGCAAATCGAAGAAGGGGGTGATTCATGTCAGGCAGCAGATCTGGAGCCCTAGCTCCGCCGCCGGCGTGGAGGAGGGGCGGCGGCGCCGAGGGGTTTGAAAGAAGCGCGGCTTTCCGGCCCGATTCCGGCGAGAGGAGGCGGAAGGGAGGGGGAGAGAGACAGATAGAGAGAGAGAAGCAGGCCCATTAGATGCAGTGGATCTATATATATCTATCTATCTATCTATCCATGTGGATTTCCTCGGCCTTCTTCTTTCTCCTCCTGCTCTCCCCATTACTGGTACTCCATTGATGGGCTTCTGCAGATCTTCTCTTCGTGGGTTAGATCGTCCCTCTCTTCGTGGGTTAGATCCCCCCCGGGGGGTGGTGGAGAGGAGGAAGGGACGGATTAGGGTTCCGGGTAATGGGCCTCGATCGGCCCAAGTGGGTAGTCAGCCCAGGCCCATATCATGTTCCCCAGATGAGATCCCTCGCAGCAGATCCTCGTGTGCATGTTTCTTGTTCATTCATTCACCCATGACCGAGGTTCTTCCTCGCGACGGCAGGATCTCTGTCTGGCTGATCGAACTGTGGAAGAAGGAGATGCCATGGCTGTGGGTCTGTGATCGCCTGCGGGGGAAACTGGTCATCGGAGAATGAGAAAAATTACTCTTTTTTGGCCCATTTCATCTGTTCGTCTGAGATGAAGAAGCGGGTTGTGAATTATTGGTTACTTCCATGGCTGCAGGAGGGAGGTATCTGTTCTTCGTACGGAATGCTCCTAGCCATCGGCAGTCGAGGTAGATGGCCCTTTTCTTCTTTCTATTTTTTTTTTTTTCTGGGGGTGTTTTTCTTGATTGATTTCTTGCTTCGTTTTCTTCTTCTTCTTCTTCTTCTGGACGATGGTGCGGCAGGGATTCGTCGATCTCGGCATGGTAGGGATCTTCGACGGTGACTACCAGCCACTCGCCATTGAAGCGCCGCCGAGCTCGAAGAGGAGGGGGAGGAAGAAGTCGGAGGTGTGGGAGCACTTCACCGTCGAGTCCGTCGCCAGTGGATCGACGAGGGCCCGCTGCAAGCGCTGCGACCAGACCTTCGCATACAGCTCCGGCACCAAGATCGCCGGCACCAGCCACCTCAAGCGCCACATCGCCATGGGCTCCTGCCCCAGAATCCGCGAGGAGAAGAAGCACCAGCATCAGCAGCTCGCTCTCACCCCTGGCTCCGGCGGCGGCGGGGGATCGTCGGAGCCGCCGGCGAAGCGGCGCTACCGGTCGAGCGGTGGCGGCGGCGGCGGCGGGCAGGTGGGCTTCGACCAGGAGCACTGCTGTGAGGAGCTGGCGAAGATGATCGCCATGGAGGAGTACCCTCTTCACATGGTGGAGCACCCGGCCTTCACGGCCTTCGTGCAGGGCCTGCAACCGCGTTTCAGGGTGCCGAGCTTCTCGGCCATGGAGAGCGAGATCATCGCCATCTACCGGAGGGAGAAGCAGAGCCTCCGGGAGATTGTTGGCGGCATCTCCGGCAGGGTGAGCCTCACCGTGGGGCTGTGGACGACGGCGCAGACGCTGGGCTACGTCTGCCTGACCGGCCACTTCATCGACGGCGACTGGAAGCTCCGCCGGTGGATGCTGAGCTTCACCATGGTGAGCTCTCCGCACTCGGAGAACGCCCTCAGCGAGGTCATCGGCTTCAGCCTCTCCGACTGGAGCTTGACGACGAAGCTCTTCACCATCACCCTCGACAACTACTGCTCCTCCCACGACATCTACAGCGCCAATCTCAGAGATCACCTCTCCAGCAAGAACACGCTCGTCCTCAAGGGCCAGCTCTTCGTCGTCCGCTGCTACGCCCACATCCTCAGCGTCATTGCGCAGGATCTCCTCGCTTCCATCCACGGCGTCGTCTACAGCGTCAGGGAGAGCCTCAAGTACGTGAAGGCCACGCCAGAGAGGGAGCAGCGCTTCGCGGAGGTCCACCGGCGGCTCGGCGGCGCCTCCGCCGCCGCGGAGCTGAGGCTGGACGTGCAGTCGCGGTGGGACACGACGTACCTGATGCTCGCCGGCGCGCTGGAGCTGCGCCACGTGTTCGCTTTCCTGGAGTCGTCGGACGCTGACTATAACGACGCGCCGTCGCCGGAGGACTGGAAGAAGGTGGAGGCGGTCTGCGGGTACATCAAGCTCCTGTACGACTCGGCCATGGCGATCACGGCTGCGCCAGAGCCGACGGCGAATCTTTACTTCCACGAGGTGTGGAAGATCCAGCTGGAGCTGGCCCGGGCAGCCGCCGGCGGCGGCGCCGGCGATGACGGCGGCGCTGCCAAGGAGATGCACGAGAAGTTCGACAAGTACTGGAAGGACTGCAGCCTGGTGATGGCCATCGCCGTGGTCATGGACCCGAGGTTCAAGATGAAGCTCGTCGAGTTCAGCTTCACCAAGATCTACGACGACGACGCCGAGAGGTACATCAAGGTGGTCAACGACGGCATCCACGACCTGTTCCTCGACTACGTCGCCCAGCCCCTCCCGTTGACCCCGGCCTACACGGACCAGCACAGCCACTATGCCGCCGGCGCCAGAAACAGCCCAGAAGCCGGCTCCGTCGACGACGGCACCGCCGGCGCCGGGGCCAATGGCGGCGCCGCGGCGGCTCTGTCGAGCGGGGACGGGCTGTTGGACTTCGACATGTACATATCGGCGACGGCGGTGGGCCATCAGGGGAAGTCGGAGCTGGACCAGTACCTGGAGGAAGCTCTGGTTCCGCGGGTGGAGGGGTTCGAGATCTTGGAGTGGTGGAAGCTGAATGAGCTCAAGTACCCGACGCTGGCGAAGATGGCACGGGACGTGCTGGCCATCCCCATGTCCATCGTGCCGATGGGCTCCGTCTTCGGCGCCGGCGGCGGCAGCCGGCTGCTAGACGACTACAGGAGCTCGCTGCGGCCGGAGACGGTGGAGGCGCTCTTCTGCGCCAGGGACTGGCTGCAGCATATGCCCACCAGGACGGAGCCCCCCCCGCCGCCGCTGCCCTCCACCGCCATCGTCAAGACGGAGTTCTAGGCGACTCCGAGCTCTGTAAACCCTCTCTCTCTCTCTGTCTCTCTCGGCCTACCTAATTGTAGTAGTATTAGCTGCTCCCAATGAGATTCCCTTGGCTTCTAGACGATGGATCTGTTGCTGTTTCTTTAGTGTGGATGGATGCTCTTGGCTGGTTGACTCACCAAAGAACCCTAATAGCTCTCTCTCTCTCTCTCTCTCTCTCTCTCTCTCTCTACTGTGAGTGGCCATGAGGAGGTGTCAACAGCGGGTGTGGAAAATCCAAAGAGGAAGAGGGTATGTGTCTGTCTGGGGGCATTCTTTCAAACAAAAAACGAGGAAATAATGGAGAGGTTGCCGATGATGTGACGAAGCTTTCCAACATGATAGAAAGTCAACCGTCTGAAGCAGCCCGGCCAGGGCCGGGAGATCCATGAAGATACCCAGCGCGTTGAGAGCAGCCGCCTGAAAGAAAAATGAGATCAACATAATTGCAGTAAAGTCCTCCGATATAGATAATAATTTATCACCTATATTTCTTTAAATTAGGCACAAACCACGTAAGGAGGGGCATATTTACCTCAACGTTTTGAGAACTGCGGGGCCTTCCTGGCCTTCTTCAGGCCGATCTTCTTCCTCTCCACGATGCGGGAATCCCTCGTCAGGAGGCCCTCCTTTCTCAATGGGGACCGGTGGTTCTCGCTCACCTTCAGCAGGGCCCGGGCGATGCCCAGAGAGATGGCTTGAGCCTGGCCGGCCAGCCCGCCGCCATGAGCTTTGACGAAGACATCGTAGCTGCCCTCGTACCCTAAAGTCAACAGGGGGGTCTTTACGTACTGCAGCCACAATGGGTTCCCTTGGAGGTATTCCTGCACCAGTCAACGGCATCATCATGAAAGACAAGTCTTGTGCATGTAGAGACTTTTATTCAGGCTAATAATTTGTGGCATCTTTGCATCATACTCAATGAAAAGCCATACTTTCTGCATTCATTAGCTCACTGTGAGGAGGACAATGCCATGGAATGGATAGACACGAGCATGAACATGGAGATGATCTCAGCAGAAGGTTGAATAGCAAACGTAATTTGGTTTCTGAGCAGGCTAAATACCAGTGGAAAATTGAGTTCTTAGCCTGGATCGCCGCTCTGGATCCAGACCCTTATGATCATCACCACCATCGTGATCTTCCCGATTTAACCAGTATGATTTAGTCCCATGCCATTATATAATGCAGATCCAAAGACTGATGTTACCAAGATGGTGGGACATCGTTTTTCTGCTGAATTCAGGCGAAGACAGCTCACCCTAAGATATTCCAACCTACTTGTGTTCAAACTTTCTCCAAAACTAGCGTTTTTTCGGTTTTATATTGCTCGATTCCGACCATCCCATGTAGAACACGGCAGATACAGATGAGTTATTGATCGTGTTTGAGGTCATAACATTTCACTAAAGCATAAGGATTGAATCTGAAGCAGTTCCGAGTGAAAAGAAAACCTAGTTTGCACAATTGGATACGAGGTCCACTTGGGAAATGTTCTTCACCACAAATCCACTTGGGAAGAACCGGCGGCCGTTTTCAGGATACTGGGTTCAGACAGAATGCAAGTGACGAAGTAAAATAGCTTATAAATGACACTGGGCACAGTCCCAAAGGTCTATTCTTCTGTTTCCCAAAGTCAGCGGGTGAAAAAGGGGGAGGAATTCAACTGAACAGTAAGTCTAGAGTTCAAAAATTATCATCGTGCGGTGCCTTGGGAAAGCAGTCAACATGGGATAGATTGACAACTAAAGATCTATTTGGGAAATGTTCCTCATCACAAATCCACTTGGGAAGAACTAGCGGCCGTTTTCAGAATACCAGATTCAGACAGAATGCAAGTAACGAAGAAAAATAGCTTCTAAATGACACTGGGCACAGTCCCAACGGTATACTCTTCTGTTTTCCAAAGTCAACGGGTGAAAAAGGGGGAGGAATTGAACGTGACCAGCAGTCTAGAGTTAAAAAATTCTCATCCTGCGGTGCCTTGGGAAAGCAGTCAACACGAGATAGATTGATAACTAAAGGTTTAATTTCATACAGAAGATATTTCAATTCAAATTTTATGCTCATGAACCGCACTTAATTGAGATTAGATCCTTTGAAGATAATAGAATCCCGCACCGATTATGCCACCTGATAAGAGAAGAAATGTCTCTTCTCATAACATAAATTCCATGGCATTGTATCATGTTTTCATCACGCTTATAGGTTAAAAGGAACAATGAGGTTTAAGGGGAAAGAATTAATCAGTATTATATCGGAGTACAGAGATAAAATGCTAGCGCCGAAGGCAAAGAGAACAATCGACACGGGGACAGAAGAGTAACGATAGATGGATCGCACACCTTCGCGTCTCGGCAATTGATGATGATATTTCCGGTCCCTTCCTGGAGCACAACCCTGGCGATGGCGCATTTCCTCCTGCCGGTTCCCCATATTTTCTGCGCGGCGAACCCTCCGGGGAGCCTAGACTTCACGTAGCTCTCCAGGCTCGACCGGTCCAGATCCGACGTCGACGCCAGCACATCGCCGGCAGCGGCGGCCGCGGCGACCGAGGCGGCGGCGGCGACGGTGGTCGGATACGAACACTTCCTCAGGGAGAGCGGTCTCACTCTCGGAGGAGACCTAATCCGGCCAAGAGACAGGGCATGGGACTTCTGAGAGACCTGGGAGGAGAAGGAGAGAGAGGAGAAAGAGGCCGAGAGAGAGGAGAGAGAGGCCGCCGCCGCCGCCGCCATTTTTGCTCTTCAGCGTCACTCTCCGGCAGGGGAGAACGCCCTGGGGGAAGATAAGAGAGAGAGCTCTTGCTGGTGAGAGACGGATGAGGAGGTGACCGTAACCGACTGACCACTCAAACCACCCGTCGTCCTCCGGGCCGAGAGTCACCGTATCCTGGCAGAGAGGTAACCTCACCGCCTCCCAAATTCACGGATGGGCCGCTCTCGGCCCATTATTCTAGTAACGGGCCCATAATTGCAATAGGGCCCAATTATTTAAGCCCCGCTTAAAAATAATAATCTGCGGCCCGGAGCCGTTCCGTGGCTGTCGCTTTCCCGCCACGCCAGCGACCCTCGATTATAAAACTTGGAGAACTTAGGGACTGGAACATAAGATTCCTCCCCTTCTCGTTAACAAAACAAAATACAATAATCTGCTACCATATAAAAGGGAAATATAAATATAAATGAAGCCCGCATAATCACTTCCACCTTCCATATATTAATAAAATAAGAATACTTATTGATAAAAGGAAATCATTTCCCTCGGAGGAAATTATTATTTATTTTTTTATAAAACTAAATGGAAATATACATTGAATTCACATAAAGCATACTCATAAGTTTTTTTAATGAGAAAATATATTTTTTATACTAAATTAGTTTTTTTGAGAAAAAACCTATTAACTTATAAAAACACTGAAAATAAATATTTATCACGGCCGATAATGAAAATATAGGTAATAAATAATAATTTAGGAAAAAAACATTATTAAATTAATAAACACAGATTATACGACAAAAATAATTTAAAATGGCAAAAATTATATGATGTGGGCCCCACCAATCGCCACGTGGACAGCGCACATGGTGTTGGTCTACTATACCCGTTATCCTCTGCTATCCGTTATCTTTCCTCGTATATTTAATACGCTGAGGCTTCGTCTGAAAGCCTAGACTACCGTTGGCCACCACGGGCCAGTAGAGAGAGAAAGGGAGAGAGGAGAGACAGAGAGAGAGAGTGGTTGGTCTGTCCACGCAAGTTACTGCACCGCCACCTGCGGCCGGGGGGCGGGGTGGTCGGCGGGTTGTTCTTCTTTCTATTCTTCCATCTTTCATGGTGGATTGATTGATTACCTCCGGCTGCAGCTCCCCTTTAGAGGACGGCGATCGTTTCTCTCTCCCCCCCCCCACACCCTTTCTCTCTCTTCCCTGGGGACCGGGGGAGAGAGCAGAGGAGAACGTCGGCTCCTCCCAGAGGGGTGGGTCTTCGTCGTCTCCTTCCTCTTCTTCTTTCCCTCCACTGGCTCATCCCCTCGTGTAGGACAGATCGAGCGGAAGATAGAAACACCATTGCTGATAGAAACAGAGTGGAAACTTGGACAGAAATCGCCAGTCTTCGTCATCATCATCATCATCACCATCTTCTTCTTCTTCTTCTGATTCTCCGGTGATTCCCCAGCGAAAAGACCGAGGGCCCACACGGAGGATTGCTCCAAATAACAAAAAAGTATTAAAACGATTGGCTACCACTCCGACCAATTCTTTTGCCGGTTCCGTGTGGAGTGGGTGACCGCGGGAGAATATAAGAGTCAAGGAATCTCAGAGGCGTCTCCTCCGCCAATCTTCCGCTCGACTTCATCCTTTTGGCGAGGATTATGATCACAGCCGATATATAAACTCTTTCTTCTTTTCCCCGGATTCGTTTCGTTATTTTTTTGATCTGGTCCGATCCTCAGCATATCTCGGAGGGTTGGGGGTCGGGGGTCCGTCGCGCGGCCTGGTTCCTGCATCTTTCGCGGGATTCCTCCCCGAATTGCGAAACGGAAAGCCGAAGGCCGGTTGAAGAATTTGCGAGGGGAAATTGCTCCCGGATGCGATTTCTTCTATTGAGGACGCCGTGAATTCTGGTGAATTGGAGAGCTCAAGCAATCAGCGTCGTCTGTTCTGAGGATCGTCTGGCGGTATCTCTCACGTGGTAATGTGCTTGTTGTCAGATTTTGTTGTTCTGAAGAGCATCTGTTTGTTTATTTTTCAATTCACCTGGTAATCGTTCAATCGGTTCTGTGTAAATCTCTCTCTCTCTCTCTCTCGCTCTCGCTCTCGCTCTCTCTCTCTCTCTCTCTCTCTCTTCCCCCCTTCCTCTCTGCGCGTTTGCGCGCCCATCCTCCCACCAGTAGTTTCTCCTCTTTTCTTTCCTTCCTTATCAAGGGCCATTATGGAGATCTCAGAAGATATTCTTCTCTTGTTACCGGTTTCTCTCTTGATCATTACCGAAGGAGATATATAGCCATTCATTTCCTTTGCAATGATAGATTTGGGGGAATTGTTTCTCTAGTCCACATGACAACCAGGAGAAGATCAAAATCCCGCTGGAAAATGTCTCTTCTTTCTTCTTCTTCCTGGATTTTGAACCTAGATGAGCGTTTGATCTTCACCCACAGGCTCATGAACATAATTCTGTGAGAGTAAGAGGGTATCTTGCCACCATTTTGAGGAATGACGTCTGGTAGGATCCTCTGGAAAATGTCGACCAGTTTCATTCTTTTGACCACAAGTACACGCCAGATTGATTGGACAACGCTTGTTTTGATGATGTCGGTGATGACTTTCCAAAGTCTTTCTGATCCAGTTTAGGGTTCTGATTTTCATCGATCAGGCATTTCCTGGTGTCTTAGATGGAATTGAGGAAAAATCGGGGTTTAAGCGATAAGATCTGAGATGGTGGATTGAAACTTTTTTTTTTTTTTTCTCTTCTTGAAATTCATTGTCATTAAAGATTTAGCAGAACGTAAGTGGGTCTGAAGTTGAAGGAATTAACTTTCCAATTGAGAACGGTGATAAGACCCTGGCAGATGTAGCGCTCTGGTTAAACTTTCATGGACATCGTAACTTGGTAAGGTAGTTCTTATGATTATTTCCAGGAGCTGAGGTAAAATGGCAATCACAAAGCTTACTTGAAATCTATCAGAAACATTTGAAAGGAGATAACGAAAAGATTCTTTCAAATTTAAGCTGGGGAATAAGATGTGTTGACCTCTGTGATAGCGTTGATTGAAATTTGGGCCGTCTCTTGTGACCTGGAACGCTGGGAGAATCCCATGATGATTCAGAAAATGAGAGTAGGCGGCTGCCCTTTTCTGTTTCTGCTGTTTTTGATGTAGCCTCTCGCCATATATGGATTTGGTGTCGTGTAAATCGTGCCAAAGTTGAGAGGTTTAGTGGTAGATTTTTATGTAAAAAAAACAATATTTAATGCGCTTATTTATCTTCTAAATGGCAGTAGCTCAATATTACGCGTATTTCTAATATTTTAAACAAAGTAGAACACGAATCTTTACACATTTGATGTGAAGAAAATGGGGCATTGTTTCCTTGTAAATATGCTAGGATTCACCGTTTTCATGTTCAATGGATGATTGAAGTCTGGCCAATGGGATCTTGCATTGTCGTCAAATAGAATTATATATATATATATATATATATATATATATTTATTTATTTTTGACTAAGGTTGCATCTCTTTTGCTTACTGATGACGAACTGAGAGTACCATCTAAGTTTGATTCTATTTTTTTTCTTAGGATACGCTTGGATAAGATATAACATCATGGGCTGGCTCAACAAAATCTTTAAGAGTTCAAGCCACAAAATTTCGGAAGGACAATATCAGGGAAAATACAGGGAAGAAGAAATATGGGACGATCATTCCACACCTCCGGTAATTATGTCTGGTTTGCTTTACGTTTTCACACACTATAACTAGCGTGTTTGATCAGTGACTAAGGGTCTTTCTCTTTCAAAGAGAGCTTTTTTCAAGTGATGTGATACACGGTCCAAATCAATATTTCGCGCCAGAAAATACTTTTCTGTTGAAAATATATCGCTACAGTCAGACACAAAACTGTTTTAGAACTGGTAGAATCAAGCATCGAGATGTTTTACGATTCAGGGGATTAAAAATTTAAAAATATCATTTTTATTATCTTTTATTATTTTCACATATTGGGGTGTACATCAGATCCAACCTCACTTGGAAGTGATGGGATAAATCTGTATCCTATATCCTACCTTCCTATTTTCACGTTGGAATTTCCTAGCGAGCAGATTTATATCCGCTAATCATAATGATTCATTGACTGCTCGTTTATGTCTTTTTTTTATTTTTTCTCAATTTTTAGGATTTTCTCATTGACATCAATTAACCTACAAAAGTTTAAGCACATGCTTAGGGATTACTGCTGTTTAAAATATTTTATCTTGGCATAACTATGAAACCGATGAGGCAAATATCTGAATGCCACTTTTTTCAATATAAAAATGCATAGACGTGGCACACATTTGCATGTATACATATATAGATGTACATCCTATAATATTTGGGCAAGCAGCTCTTAGTTATTTTGTTGCAATATTGTGCAAAAAATCCTTGAAGTTCTGAACGTTGATGCGCAGATTCGACATGGACGTGTGGAATTAACTGATTCAGAAGTGCTCCTGAATCCTAGGAACTAATAATGAATTATTTTTTACTCAACATGATCTTAAAGAATATTTTTGGCCTCTTCTCAATGCTGGGCAACCAAACTCCCTATAATAAAAACACCGAGTATCATTTTTGGAATGCTAAAATCTTGTGAGTCAATTTATTTTATGTGTTAGGTGATGAGAGTTTGTTCCTATGCAATGGCTGCCTTATTATCTAGACCTTTTAGAAATTCATTCAGCCATGCCATTTATTGTTTTGCCTCGTTTCTTCTTTTTTTATCCAGACGATCTTCTGGTTACAGATGTTATCCTTTTTTACTGTTTAACCTCCGTTTCTAATGAGCCAAGCTTCTGGTTTTACTACAGGCGTCCAAGTCATACTATGATAATGATGATATAGACCATGCTATTGCGCTTTCCCTTTCAGAGGAAGAGCAACGGAAGGCAAAAGCTGTTGGTAAGTGTAGAGTTTATCTCTTAATTTTGTGATCCTACCATCGGTAAGAAGTCAAAAGCTATTGTGTATTTCTGTATATTTTTTAATTTTTTTCCCGGATTATTTTCTCCCTCATTTATTATTGTAAAATGAACATTTTAATTCCTATTTAGGGTAAATACTCGATATTTATAACATTATTTCCTCGGTGTACTCTCTTGTATAGATACTGGATCCCTTTTGGAGGATGACGAACAACTCGCAAGAGCTTTGCAAGAAAGTTTAAATGTCGAATCTCCTCCACGCGAGAATGGACATAATTATCAGCTTATACCTTTTATTTTCTCCTCTGGTACCAGGTAAATTTTTTTTCTTCTGAGATTATGTATTTCTGTGGGATGATTTGAATGAATCATGTGTTGCTCATCCGATCTAGCTAGCTGTATATTCAGCTATGGGGCACTGTTCTTGGCGATTAAAGTTTCTTTCTTTCTTTAAGAGCATAAGTTAAACGATAGCGAACACACCCAGGGTTTGTGGATGGCATTAATAACTGTGGTTAGTCTTCGGTGCTGCATTTTTCAGTGTGCCTAGATTGTTTGCGAATATCTGCTGTCACATTCACTTTGAGTTCTTGTGCGAATACAACTAAATGTATTCATATAGAAAATACGTACTATTTCGGGGGTGGAGACTCACTACAAATGCTTTAGATTGCGATATTGGATGAATATTGGGTAGAAATTTGAAGGCAAGAAGAGATGTTGTCTCATGTGATGGGAGAGACTGGTGCTTCTTCGATGCCAGTTCATGACTTGCCCTCATTGAACACTTGGGAGATTATGTAAATGAGATACTTTTTTCCATATGTGTGATGCGTGGAGGAGGTTCGCATGACATCAATCGGCGATGAACAGGCTTAGACCAAAAGACCAGGTACTTCAACTTGGCATGTTTGGGTTGACCTTTGTGAAAAATGGAGAACATGGGTTGGGGGATTGGTGATTGGACGTGGAACACCAAGACTATGGGATATAAGATCATCTTCTTTAGTAATGTATCCAGGATGTGGAGAGAGATGATACAATCTGCTCCACGTTTAGCTGCCAAAGCTGATGCCATATGTTCAGAAGAAAGATATTAAACAGGTGGGAGTACCTACCGACTATTTCTGGTGGGTTGTTGTCAATGATAGATCCGGGTCAATGGGTATGGATGTGAGAGAAACAGTAGATTTTTGTAATCAATAAGAAGGAATCCTTCATATGGTGCGGTTTCTTGATTCAAGTTAGTAACAGACGATAATCAACCTTGAATTTTGCAGGGTATGTGCCGGGTGCAATGCGGGGATTGGCCATGGGCGTTTCCTCAGCTGCATGGGCGCTGTTTGGCACCCAGAGTGTTTCTGCTGCCACTCATGTGGTCGCGCCATATCTGATTACGAGGTGAGGGAGTCGTTGCCCTGGTGATCTTCTTCCTCCTCGGAGGATCATTTCATCTGAAACTGAAAATAATTGGCATCATCTCTGTCTCAGTTTTCAATGTCTGGGGATTACCCATATCACAAGTCCTGCTACAAGGAGCGCTATCACCCTAAATGCGATGTCTGCAAGGAATTTGTATGTATTTTATTCCTCAACTCCATTGTACTAGTCATCAAGAAGAACAAGTTTTCAATGTCTCTGTGCCTTCTTTTATTACTATTACTATTACTATTATTATTATTATTATTATCATTATTATTATTATATTTTAATTATACTGTAATTTTTATTTCATTGTATCTTTGTTTCAGATCCCGACGAATGCAGCAGGTCTGATCGAGTACAAGGGACACCGATTTTGGCTGCAGAAGTACTGCCCTTTTCACGAGCACGACGGCATTCCTCGATGCTGCAGCTGCGAGAGAATGGAGGTTGGGTTCTATGATGCATTCATGGATCTGATCTGTTCATGGGTATTCTGGAATATTGTCTGATCATATCAGGGACCCCATCTGTGTCCCCAGCCAAGAGACACAACCTACGTCTCCCTTGATGACGGGAGGAAGCTCTGCCTCGAGTGCCTGGACTCTGCGATCATGGACAACAGCGAGTGCCATCCCCTCTTCATCGACATCCAGGAATTCTTCGAGGGCCTGAACATGAAGGTCACCCAGCAGATCCCCCTGCTCCTGGTCGAGAGACAGGCCCTCAACGAGGCCATGGAAGGAGAGAAGAACGTGAGCCTTTTCCCCCTTTTTAAACCTTCCCATAAGCAAACCATATGCATCTTTAATCTTTACATATACACCAATCTATATGCATATAAATAAATAATAAATAATAAATAATAAATAATAAAAATAAATGTTATGTTCAATGTTGTTCATGAAATCTCTAGTGATTCCTGTGTGGCTGGATGAGCAGGGAGGGCAGCATCACCACCTACCGGAGACCCGAGGGCTGTGCCTCTCCGAGGAGCAGACTGTCAGCACTGTAAGGGCTGTTTTTTAATGCTATTTGGGATTACCAGTGGGTTGGGGTTGTTTCTCCTCATCAGCTATGAGGCGGCTGCTGCCCCGTGCGGGTGATGGATGGGCCTCATTTGGCTCTCCTGTTCCTCAATTTGGCTTCAGATTCTGAGGAGACCGAGGATCGGCGCGGGGAATCGCGTCATGGATATGATCAGGGAGCCCTACAGGCTCACCCGGGTCTGCGAAGTGACTGCCATTCTTATCCTCTACGGCCTCCCCAGGTACCCATATCATCATCATCATCATCATCATCCTCATCATCATCATTATTTATCAGCTTCTTTATTTTCTTAGCTTCGCTTCTAGGCCCCACCCTAGAACCCACCATTCTTTTTATTTATTTTTCAGTCCCTAAGTTAATTACTATCAAGATAAGCAAAAAATCTCCTTCTCTCTCTCTCTAGCTTGACGAGGTTATATGATTAGTGAGAAATTATGGGTTTTGGGGACCCAAAAAACCCAGTTGAAAAAATGGAAAAGGGTGAGTCAACGTTTCATCCCAGTTCGTAGGGAGCTTCATTATTTATGAGTTTTTTTATTGTTTTAGTAAGAAAATTATGGTTTCTGGGGATCCAAGAAGATCCAGTTGACAAAAAAGGAAAAGGGCGAGTCAACGTTTCATCCCAGTTCGTAGGGGACTCTGAACCCAGTTGAAAAAAAGCAAAGGGGTGATAAAGATTGTGGTGACGAAGCGAACTCTGCCAATGCAGGCTGCTGACTGGATCGATTCTGGCTCATGAGATGATGCACGCGTGGCTCTGGCTGAATGGTAATTGCCAACTCATCACCCGGTCCACGTCATCAACGCGAATAATTATTTATGTGCTGCGGGCTCGTGAATACCTTCCCCCTACTCTCATTCTCTTACCCCTCAGGATACCGAACACTCAGCCAGGAGGTGGAAGAAGGCATATGCCAGGTCCTCGCCCACATGTGGCTCGAGTCGGAGATCGTGTCGGGCTCCGGAGCCCCCGTGGTGGCCACCTCAGCATCACCTTCACCGTCGTTGGCTTCTTCTTCTTCCTCCTCGGGGCTTCCGAAGAAGGCGGCGTGGTCCCAGTTCGAGAAGAAGTTCGGGGAGTTCCTCAAGCACCAGATCGAAACGGACCCCTCGCCGGCGTATGGGGACGGCTTCAGAGCCGGCTACCAGGCCGTCGACAAGTACGGCCTCAGGTCCACCCTTGACCACATCAAGTTGACCGGCAGCTTCCCTTGCTGAAAATATCCGTGGAAAAAAAAATGAAAATTACATAAAATCTTATATTGACAAATATAGATTATTGTGCCTTATTTTTTATTTTCTTCAGGTTCTTGTGTTTATTTTTGGGCCGATATTTATGGGAAAACCAAGGGGAATTTGTTGTCCCGGACCTTGGTCGATGACAATAAAGCTGAAATATATAATTATTTATTATTTTTTTGACAAATAGAATGCTCAGTGTCGTCCTCGGGATCACCCTTGACCACATCCAGTTGACCGGGAGCTTCCCTGCTGAAAAAAAGGAAAACTACGTAGAAACCTGAAATATATAATACTATATTTTCAATGGATTTTCTGGCCGAGCCGCCGCCCAAGTCAACGACTCAGTCAAGATGACGGAGAGAACGCGTGCCACTTTCCCCATGTCGGGCCGACGTGCTGGGTCGTCCTCTAAGCAAGTGTTGACCAGCCGGGCCATGGCCAGGACCTGAGCTGGCGGGTGCTCCCCTTCCAGCGAGGGATCCACGAAGCTCCTCATCTCCTCAGGTGGGTCTCCTCCTCCTCCTCCGAGGAAGGAGGTCAGCGCCGCCGCGAAGCTCTCCTCTCCTCCTGGCGCCGCCGTCGCTGCGTCCCTTCCGGTGACCAGCTCCATCATCACCACCCCAAAGGAGTAAACGTCGATCGAAGGGGAGATGAACCCGTGCTCGGCGTACTCCGGCGCCATGTAGCCGACGGTGCCGACGATGTGCCTCGTCGGCGGGAACTCGCCGCCGCCGGCCGCAGGCCTGAAGTGCCCCAAGTTGGCCACCTTGGCCCGGAAGTCTCCGTCCAAGAGGATGTTGCTGCTCTTCACGTCCTTGTGGACGCATGGCGGCTCTGTGTAGCCGTGGAGATGCTCGAGCCCAATGGCCACGTCGAGAGCTATCTTGATCCTCTGAATCCATGGCAGGACCTTGGAACGGTCCTTGTGGATGATCCAGTCCCTTAGAGACCCGTTCTCCATGTACTCGTAGACGAGGTAGCAGGTGCCCAGGTGGGAGCAGAAGCCGGAGAGGGAGATGATGTTGAAGTGGTTGATTTTCATGAGGATGTTGATCTCCCCGGAGACATCTCTGTTCATTCTCTTCACGGCGGCGGGGGAGCCGCTCAGCTCCGCCCGGTAGACGGAGGAGCCCTCGATCCGGCGTTCGGTGGAGAAGCCCTTCGTTGCCTGGTTCAGTTGGTGGAACTCGTAGACTTTCAGGGAAATGTTAGGGATCAAGGAGAGGATCACCGATGGTGGATTCGCAGTTGAGTCCTCGGTGACGATGCTTCCCTTTTTGTTGTTGTTCTTCTCCTTCCTCTTGTGGATCAGAAAGAAGGCGCCAAGTGAGAGGATTATGACCGTGCCGATGGAAACTCCAACCCCCACGTAAACTTTCGTGCGGTTGGAGCCGCTCCCGCCGGCGGCGGAGGGCTCCGGCGGCGGCGGCGGGGGCGGCGGGATGGTCTCCTGAGAGATGCGGGGCTCGTTCTTCAGAGGGAGGAGAAGAGTGGTGAAGGGGTAGATGGTGTCCCGGAAGGAGAGCCCATTGGCGGCGAGGGCCTCCTCCCTGGTCACTCCGTACGCAATGCTTATGTTCACCTCGTCCCCCTCCTTCAACAGGTAACTTAGGAGATACCTGACGCCATTAGAGACCTGGTTCGGAGTCGGGCAGGCGCACCTCAGGGGGACGGGGATGCTGCTTCCGGCGATGAGGTACCCCTGGGAGGAGCTCCTGTTCTGGTTTATCAGCGCCTGGCAGGTAGAGAGGCCCTGGAAGATGTTGTTGGCGATGGTTAAATAGGTGTCTCCCGTACTGACCACGTAGGAGGCTTCGGCCTGGTAATACCTGTGCAAAATCAGTTTTCCTTTGAGATTAGATGATTCCTACGAGCAGTAATGGTGGCATCAACTGCCGATGGCTTAATAATACTGTGAATTGAAGTGATCATCATTAGTTATGGTTGTAAGACAATTTTCTGCAGCTGCCTAAACTCATTAATTTGCTTCCGTATTTTCTCCCTCTGTTGAAGGTTGGGATGCGGGATCCACCAAGGCGAAGCAGTGCTACCGGTCAAGCACTGGCGGCGGCGGTGGCGGCGGCGGGCAGGTAGGCTTTGACCAGGAGCACTGCTGTGAGGAGCTGAAGATACCATGTGTTAAATGTTGCCATATCATCATGAGAAACTATCATTCTTACGCATTTTTGTAATGATCAAACAATGGATTTGATGTACCAGGAAATAAAATACATGACAGAGAAATAGAAGAGAAACCTTCCCGACGACGCCGGTGAAATACACAGAGAAGGTAAAGAATCCAAATAACATCTACCAATCTCGGCCAGCTACGCAATGGAAGTAATATTCTTGGAAGCATCAGTCTTCGGGAAACCTGTCAGGAAAAGTGATCTTTTATTTAGATTCAAAAAAATAGAGTTCCGACATCGCGACGGTGATGCGTCGGCGATGCACCGAAATCCTAAGCATTTAGGAGGATCGTCATATAGTGTCCACGGCCTCGAAGGCTCTCCTTAGATCAAGGACGACGTGGGCAATCTTTAGATCTCCTTACGAAGTCTAGAGATCAATGAAATGGGTCGTCGAATCATCTCCGGCGGCTGTCACCCGGCAGAGTAGAGAAACAGTGACTTTGCGGCTGTCTGGCGGCTGTCACCCGACGGAGAGGAGTTGGATGGAGGTGGGGCGCGTGTCAGGGAGCTTCATCCTCAAGTCCGCACAACAAGAGGAGGCTCTTCATCGCATCCGGTACACTCTTAAGAGGTGACGACTCGTCTCCCGATAGATCACTCTTCTCAACGACGGCTTATTCGTCGATCAATCAGAGATGCTTTACTCGATAGATTTGTGATCCTTTTATTGCAAATCATTTAACAATTTTAGTAATAATGCTCCACAAATAGTGTTGACGAAATTTTTGACGATGATCCAACAACTTTTGTGACTTAATCCTTCACCAGTGATCTAGAGGAAAGTCGCGATAATCAGATAAAAAATATGAGTTTTGGCTCTAGGAGGATTCGAACCCACACCGGTTGCCTGCCTGTATGTGAGAGATTAACATAAGTACTATAATGCCCTTATTTAATGACATCATCATGGTATATCTCTATTATAAATAAGGGGTATTTTAGGTATTAAAATCATCAAAGCCTTTATGAGGAAGGTGTGATGCAGGTTTAGTCTCACATCGCTTGTGCGTCCGAAGTTTCAGATGAATATATAGTAATATTACATTTGCAAGCAAGTCCCTTTCTCACACGTTTACGACCACTCTTTGTTGCACAGCTGACTGGCCACCGGTGACGTGGAAGGGGAGTGGCGTACACGTGTCCCTATCAGTCCTAGCCACTCGAGCCCCTACTCACGGCGACTCCCCAACTATGCTTCTAACCTGCTTGCAGGCCCGACTGGTCGGCGGGTCCTCCCCATTTTGTTATATTTTTATTTTTATTTATTTTTCTTTATTTATTTCAAAAGTAAGACTATAAAAATCATATAAATTTGTATAAAATCACATAATTACCCAAAACTTCACGTTAATCAACTGAAAACCACTTTCATATTTTAACGTAAATATAAGTCTATTTATTATGAGTTAAGGTGAAAACTATATTATTTACTAATTATTAACTCATGATAATGAAGACTTATGAAGAGTGACACGACTAATTCTCAGAACTGTCACCAGTTTGAAGTAAACACTGATCCACCACAGTCAGCTTCAGCAAGTAAAGTCTTCCTTCGGATCTGTGCACCTCAACAAAGAGATGACCATTTTAATCAAAAATAGTCAAGTTACCCCCTTGCATCATCATGTGACAACCTTCTTCATCAAATCAGCGGCGACTAAGAATGTTGGCCACTATTTAAGGTACAAATAGCACATTGGAAAGTCAGAGAAGTCTACCATCTTTCTCATTAATTAGAATATTGCCGCGTCCTTCAATTTGGACCCTCAAATTATCTCCCAATTTGACAATTCAGATGCAATCTTATCTAGATCTGCGAAGAAATTTTGACGATTAGACATATGATTCATCACTCTAGTATCAAGATACCAGAGATTGGGATCAGAGAGCTCACCCTCGGATCTTTGAAGTAGCAAACTATCATGTTCCTCCACAACGGCTATAAGAAGAGAAGATTCCACAATCAGAGTAGAAGAATCAGCCATATATGCTCGTTCCTCCTTCCCCTTCTTCGTGCTTCGGCACTCATAAGCAAAATACCCATATTTTTCATAATTGTAGCATTAAATTTGTGATTTGTCATAATATGTCTTTGTATTTTCAGGAGGTGGTTGTCAACCACGGCCACGGCCTCTACCGCTTCTACTTTGGCCACAATGTCTGCCTCATCTGCGAGATGAGGGCTCCTCTTCACTTGAGAACTTGGCTTTGCTTAGCGCGCGGGCTAGCAATGCTTGCTCCTCCTCCCGTGACTCCCAGTCCTTGAGCCGCAGCTCATGGACACTCAAAGAGCCAATGACTTCGTCTAGCATTGTATTTGCAAGATCAACGTATTGCTCCAAAGATAAGGGGAGTGCGTTAAACTTTGATGGCGTCGCCCTCAAGAATCAGCACACAACATCTTTCTCCTCTAGTGTCTCACCCAAATTGCGAAGCTCGGAAACAATCTTCGTGAATTTCATCACGAAATCCACCACTTATTTATCTTTTCCACATCGTGAGAATTTCATACTCACGTTTTAAACCTTGAATTCTTGACTAGATCACCCTATCCACACCAAGATTTTGAGACTTGAGGATGTCCCAGTTTGCTTTTGCCGTCTTCTTGGCGTCAAGAAACGCAGCATCTCCTCTGGTAATGCTCCAAAGATTGCCGAAAGAGCAAGACTTTCTTTCTTCTTAGGGGCATTATCTCCTTTGATTGCCTGTAGTAAATCATGTGAGTCCAAAAATACCTTCATCCGCATTACCCATACACAGTAGTTCATCTTCGTGAGCATCAAAGACAGCGACGACAATGTAATCTCCGCTCTGTGCTCACTCGTATCATCTCCCTTATTTGGCACCATCTTCTTGATCCTGTGAACTGAAAGGCTTTGATACCACTTGTTGGTTTCACAAAGTCAAGAACAACCTCAAGTACTTCAAAATAAGAAAGGAAATAAGAAATTGGAAGTAGAATCAAGAATGCTCAATTGAATACAAGAACTGAAAAATACAACACACATTTCATCGAACACATAGTCTCTTATTTATAGAGACCCAATAGGAAGAGGAGAGAGGGTGAGTCTAAGAGCTATTGGATGAGTTGGTACCGTTTCTCACGTGGCCACTTATCCGCCGTTATAACTCCTGATGATGTGTGGCCGAGATTAAGCTTGCAAAAGAAAAATAACAATAAAGATATAGAAAAAAAAACTCCCAAATCATTGCTGCCAGAGAGTTCATCAGACATAACAATTTCCCGCGGAGTTGGAGCAATTCCTTCAGATGAATGATGTGTTCTTCATAATAGAACAAAACATTGGTTCAAAATCTGATTTCTCTGACTTGGAACTATGAATGTAGAATGATTATTTGCGTGCTAATCCATATTGCAAACTAAATGTTTTAAATCTTGAAGAGAGTTTCAAGGTGAGTCACTTAATTTGCCTTAAGATTTTAAATATGTGGTCAATGTGGACTGGGTTTTGTTGAACAAATGAAAATAAGTTTATCAAAAGTATTGAGGAAATACATTTCGTAAAATCACTTTGTTCATGAAAAGACCAATTCACTTCTGCTCTTGATTCCTCATGATGCCGTGGTATAGTTAACATATCATCCCCCTTTCTACAAAAACCTTTGCTATGCTTCATGATATCTTTGGTTGAACTTTTTTCATAATTTATCACTCTCAGTTAATTTATTACTAATCATCCCACCTTTATCTTAAAAGACAATTATTTTTCTACAACTTCAAGATCAATGCCAATCAGGTAAACCCCTAGCGAGTGTCTAGGAAGCTACTAAAGGATGAGCACAAAGAGGATACGTAGTTTTAAGATATCATACATTTCATATGCCAATATTATATTTTGTTTTGCTGATATAGATATATTCTTTGAAAAATTTAAACAGCATGACCCAAGTTTAAAGGAGTGAAAACCATCATCAATGAAGACAATAGCTCGATCTGGCGACAGGTCGCTCACAGCTATCTCCAAGGCGTCATCCTCACTCTCGAGATGAAGGGCCTCCTCTCTCCCTCTCTCTAACTCCTCCAACATGTGCAAGATGCTCACATCGACAAAATTATACATTGTGCCCATATAAGATTTCAGACACTATGTCCTTCTTCCACTGCTCATTACCCAAGATGATCTTAGACTAGTAGACTATTACCAGCGCCTTGTTCTTGAATATTGACTTTATGCTTTGGAAGAGCGCCATCTACTATGCAATGCTGTAAGCACAGAAGTTCGACACACAGCTCTCCAGTGTTATCCCCGAGTGCAAAGGATAACTTGTAGACTATGCCCACCTGCTTCTCCACTACACAGAAGGGCATGACACAGACCTCCGTACTCTCCACTACATCGCCTACGGTGATCTTTCTCAATTTCAGCAAGCTGGTCAGCTGCATCCCTGCCCAATTATCGGAGTAGAGAAAATATTGGAATTAATCTTGCCACTGTCACAAAGGAGGAAGGCCTTCATGGGAGTTTCGCCTTATCTTATGTTTTTCCTTGTATTTCTTTCTTTTGAATGTTTCAATCTCAGCCATTATAACTCCATAACAGATGGCTGAGATTGTGCCAGGATAATAGCGCTTGTAGTAATTGCCATAACGGCATTACTGCATAAGGTGTTTGACTTGGTTCTATAAGAGGATCTGTTCGGGGTTTGATTGCATAGGCCGATTGATTTCTCCAACTTCTAGTTTTATTGATTTGAGGGTTTTATTTTTTCTTCATTCTTCTTGAGTGCTTGTGTTGTTATGAAGAGTCATAAAGTTAGATTTTTCAGTTGGCATCGGAGCACTTGTGATCCAACATCGTCTCAACAGCAAATGGCACCGCGGAAGGGAGACTAGTCGTAGGATCTCATGGCACGGAGCAACCTATGTAGATAGGTACCTTTCCAATCCTCACGAGGCTCAACTATCAAGTGTGGGCATCTAGGATGCGTCTACACCTTGAAGGTCTTGAACTTTGGGATGTCGTTGAGGTGGAGACTCCAGTGAAGAAGAAAGATAGACATGTGATGTCCATCCTCTTCAGCACTCTCTCAGATGAAATCTTGTAAGAGTTGGATCTAGAGAAAACTGCTAAGCAGACATGGAAACTATTGAAGGCGAAGAACGGAGGTGTTCCATGCCTACAGACATGTATTCAATCACTACAGAACAATTAGGAGAATCTTTCTATGGAAGACAACGAGTCAATTCTCAATTATTTCGGAAAACTTTTTCAAAATGTCGTTGAATTAAAGAGTCTCGGAGAGAAGATTTCTGACGCGGATCTCTCCACCAAACTTCTGAGGTCAGTCTCAGGTAAGTTTGACTCGATTACAACATCAATTGAGCAATTTCAAGATCTTGATGTAATCTTAGTGGAGGAGGTTCTTGGAACTCTTTAGATTCGTGAAGACAAGCTTCGAGATCTCTCAGTCAAGAGGGAAGAGAAAGCCTTATCGGCTCATGCTCTCGGCAAAAACAAGAAAAAAGATTTTTTCAATGGTTCTCAGGCAAGAGGCAAAGGCCGTGGCAGGGGCAGAGGCCATGGCAGAGGAAGAGCAGAGGAACAATGAAGATAGAAGACTTTTATGATGATGAAAGACCAAGAGATGAATCATTTGTCACTTGTTACAATTGTCAAAAGAAGGGTCATTATGCAAATGAATGTCGATTTCTAAAGAAGGAAAAACCGAAGGTAGATAAAGGAGGTGTCCGTTTTGGTGATGACTCATGCATTCCCATTGAAGGTCAAGTAAGATACTCTTAAACACTAAAAGTGGGAGCAAAGTTACCTTGATCAATCTCCTCTATACTCCTCATATTAGAGCCAATATTTTAAGCCTCGGGACACTTGATGAATAGGGGTGCAAAATGAATTTACAAAATAGAATTCTTACAATTCATGATCAAAGAGGCATACTTTTGATAGAGGTAAAGAGAAATGGGAGAAGACTTTACCTATTGAAGCTTGACATTGTTGAAAAATGTCTTCATGCTAAGTATAATCAGAATTGGCTTTGGCATAAGAGGTATGGCCATTTAAATTTCACCTCTCTTTGTGCTTTGTCTTCACATGGTATGGTTAAAGGACTACCAAAGTTTGGAAGGGAAGAAGAACTTTGCATTGACTGTGTGAGTCCAAACAAACAAAAGCTTCATTTCCCTTAGCTTCATCATTTCGAACCACAAGACCACTTGAACTCATTCATGGAGATTTTTGTGGACCAATTGAACTAGAGACTCTCGGTGGAAGATGGTTTAAAGTGGTTTTGTCAACTCCCTTTCTACAGCCAGAACTTGCCTCAAAACAATGGATTTTGGGCCGATCTCCCAAGATCTTTGACACAAGCTGGTCTTTTAGTAAAGTTGCATGTAGAAGTTTGATAGCCTTTTCAATGTTACTTAATTGGTAAATTTCCGGTTCTTAATAGCTTCCCCAAACAGAGGAAAAACAGCTATAGACATGCTTGTTATTTATATTCTTCATGAAATATATGACATTCTTTCTCACTAAAATCAGATAAAAACTTTTCTCCAGTATAGTGACTTTTAATTTTTTCGTTTATTGAAATTATTAAATCCTTGATTATTATTATTATTATTATTATTATTATTATTATTATTATTTAGGGATGTACTTCAGAGAATTTTACAAATCTAGAATAAGGGCAGTACTTCTAACAGTACGATAAGTTGCTCACTTGGAGAGTCTACACAAGCACGCATTAGGAGTAATCAGTCTAACCTAGCCTTGTATTCGCTATTTTTTGAATATATAGTCAATATTTTCAATGCATAGTATTTTCAATACGTAGTGTTGTGTCGCTTAAGCAAAGAAGAAGACAAATAAATTTTTCTTTTGCACACGATGCATCTACTATAGTCTTTATATCTCATGGGGCTGCCATTCTCATCTGACGGATCAAAAGGAATTGTGCATTGGGTTCCAAGTCGTAGGGTCTATTTGTTAATCTGTCTCTAAGGCACTAATTTGTTCACCTTATATTTGTCACTTTGTTTTTGCCCAGAAGAAGAAAAGAGGAAGAGATTGGAGGATATTTTATTAATGTATGTAAAATGCTGGCTCAAACTGCCTGGCCCTCATGGAGTTTTAGGCCTTGAAAGAAACTTTTGGAGTTCAGCTGTGCTTTAAAGGGTTCATGGCTGATCATGACATCTACGCATGAACACATGCCACACTGTTGTCCGTGAAAGTTGATGTTTTATGCCATTGTAATCAGGATTTGTATATTTCTTAGCTGTAGTTGACTGGAACATCAGTATACCAAAAAAATCAACTCGGATTGATAGGTTGAGAACAGGGTGAGCGACAATTAATAGAGGATATTTCTATTGAAAATTTTGGAAATCAATGCGTGACAGAAAGTCAAATCCAACAGCACATAATCCGATTTAAGTATGGCATATAAATTCAAATGAAAAAGTAAGGCTCACTTGGCTCCCGAGGTCTATCTAACATAGGTTCCAAGATCCATCCTATTTGCTTCTCTAATTTGACTTCAGTGATCCAGCCAATCATTAATCTCATTTTGCTGCTCTTCCAAGAAAAAATGGTCCTTGATTTGGCTCCTTGTTCTTCTAAGAAAATCAATCTTGTCTTTCAAATACCACCGTGAACAGCCTTGACTCCAGCTGGTCTCTTTCGTCCTTTATGCAAGAAGAGCAAACCAGATATTGCCTTCGCACGAGAGCGCATGGGGGACAGCCAGTAAGAACAGATGGGCACATGGAAAGAGGAAAAGCAAGAAATCAGGCTAAATTCGAAACCCCTTAAACCGGGATTGAAAAAAACTGGTTTTTATATCTTCCTTTCGCTCCAAGAGAATTATAATGGTAGCCTTTTAAATTACCAGAAGACACTAAATTTGGAGACTTTCGCTCCCTTTTTGGGGCCGATGCGCAGCGTAGCAAGGTTCTGGACAGTCAGCTTTGTTGAGCCCAGTTGAATCTCTCAAGAATTTTTGTATTATCTCATGTAAAGGAATGTGCTTCAGTTGTGGGTGGTGTTAATGAAGATTTCAATCGAGGATAGGAGGCGGACCGATGAGCGAGCTTACGCCAGGTCTCATAATTATTTTTTACTTGTATATATTAGAAATGTAGATTTTTTATTCTTCAAGGAATGAGAACACCAAACATTTATCAATGAATTTACGCTGCAAGAGACCTCAAGAGCGAAGTTGTGGGTCATTACACTGTAATGACCATCCTGGCTCCGTTGATTTATCCAAATTTCATATACAACATGGTTCCCAAAGGGGATTGGCTGGAGTAGCTCAATGAGGTCGTCTAGGAGGTGTGCTAAGCCTCGCCTTTCAAACTTCTGATGTTACGAGAAAAAAACTATACGTAGATTTCAAAACTATGCATTTTTTAGTATCATTTCGAAATGACTATGATAGTCGGACGAATAGGGCAACATTTGCGGTCGTCTTCAAACATGTTAACGTGACCTCATATCCCATCCATGCGCCGAAGGGCTGTCATTCTTGAGGAACGATCAACCTTTTATGGCGTGCAAGTAACTGCCACAGATGCCGTGCCAAAGTCAGGGTCAACTTTGCGGCGTAGATGCGAAAGGTGAGTCTGAGGCTCAGGCTGTTCAGTGGCTTCACCTTCGAATTTTCACTGAGACCTGATCTGAAGCCGAAGCTTCCCACTTACCCGTATGCCCGACCTTGTCTAATCCTGTTTCCGTTTACATCTCTTCAATTTGACTCTCTATTACAGCTACCATTTGGAGTACCATACGCAGAAGGGCTATCAATCGCCCTGCGAGGTTGGACTCTCCCACAAGGTCCCGACCCGGGCAAGGCTCTGGTTCGGGCCACTCCGAAGCTCCGGCTCAGATCTAATGGCGTAATCCAGGCCTGTACGAAAGTGACAGTGATCCAGTTGAGTGGAACAAGACACAAATATACCGGCCATGTCAAAGGCCCCGATTGGCGTTGACCTGGTTCATTAAATGGAGATAGAGAGCCAACATGAGGGTCTCACTCCCTAGGAATGAATTCCCGGGAGATGAAGCCGACGTCAAAATCAACCATTTTTTTTTTCCTATAGAAATCTATACTTTCGTCCCGGAAGCGGAGGAACGAGATGATTATTATATGGGGAGTTGTGCCGTATGCCGGGACATAACTAAGACGTCGACGTTTACTGAGCTAGACGTCGACGACCTTCCATGTCTGCAACTATGAACTAGAGACGGTAGAGGACGCGGTACCTGACAAAGTCAGGGTCGACTATCAAGTCGTCAATGGGAAACGTTAAGTCTGAAGCTTCGCCTGTTCTGTTGTAGGCTTCACCCTCGAATTCTCACTGAGACCTGATCTGAAGCTCGAGCTTCCGACTTGCTCGTTTGCCCGACCTTGTCTAATCCTCTTTCCGTTTACATCACTTCTGTTTGATTCTCTCTTACAGCCACCATTTGGAGTACCATACGCCGAAAGTCTATCAGTCAGCCGGCCTGGTAGGACTCATCCATAAGGGCCTAACCCAGCCGAGGCTCTGGTTCGGGCCACTCCGAAGCTCCTGCTTAGCTCTAAGAGCGTAATCCAAGCCTATACGAAAGTGACAATGGGAGACGACTCCAGGAATGCTGACCCTGTCAAAGGCCCCGGATTGACGTTGACCTGGTTCAATAAATGGAGATAGAGAGGGAACATGAGAGTCGCGCTCCTGATGAATGATCTACCGGCCATGAAGCCGACGTCAAAACCAACCTTCATTTTCTTTTCCAAACCTATACTTCCGTCCCGCAAAACTGAGGAACGTGATTATTATTATATGAGTTGTGCCGTATGCCAGGACGTAACTTGACGTTTACTGAGCTGGACGTCGGAGATCTTCCCTGTCTGCAACTGTGACATAGAGACGGTGGAGAACGCAGCACCTTCCACCCCCCCGGCCCCCTTCTCCCTCGTCTCTGCGTGTCGAGCCTGCTAAGTTTCACCGTCGCATGGGATGAAAGGAAAAATGAGCTTCCCTCATTTCAAGCCGTGGAAGGGTTGTTTACAGCCACCTTCGCCACTCTTCTTGTTTCTCTTCTTCTGCGTCTTCTCATCATTTGTGACCCGGGTGGTTCAAGCCCAGACTCAGAAAGGTAACATAGCTCCCTACTCTTCTGCTTCATCCTGCTTCCCTCCCTTGTGGTTCCTCAGACTGGACCCTCACTTTTGTAAAACAATGGCACTCTAAAGAGTTGATATGTTGAAGGCGTTGCAGGCTTCATAAGCGTCGATTGCGGCTTCGCAGATGGCTCGGAATATCAAGACGACGAAACAAGAGTAACATACATTGGCGACTCGCAATTCATCGACACAGGGGAGAACCATATCGTCCCAGTCAACTCATCTTCGCGTCCATATCGAACCCTCCGCAGCTTCCCCAACGGGACTCGGAACTGTTATACGCTGTCCCCGGTGCAATCCGGCGACAGGTACCTTATTCGAGCCGGATTCCTCTATGGCAACTACGATGGCCGGGGTTCTCCCCCCATCTTCGATCTCCACATCGGGGTCGATTTCTGGACCACCGTCGAACTGGAATCCGACAGCCCTAGTACTTCAGAGATCATCATGGTGGCACCCGCGGATCTTATACGGGTGTGTCCTGTCAACACGGGCAAAGGCACACCCTTTATATCCACGCTCGAGTTGAGGCCTCTCCTTCATTTCATGTATCCTCTCGCAAACGCATCTCAATCTTTGGTCAACCGTCTGCGCTGGAACTATGGAATGGCGAACAGACTAACGTGGCTATACTTTAAAACAATCTATCTCCACTATTTGCTGATCATTTCTTTTTCCCACTCCGCTTCTTTGCCAGAGATTGCTTTGATTATTGAATCACCAAATATTATGAAACCAAGTCAAGGCATTATACTCTCTTTCCGGAGGGCGATGCCAGCTGGAAACTCAGAACAGGTCAATGGGGCACCAACGATGAGAGAAGGGCTGTGTAGTAGGCTTTTAAGCTGGGTATGGTAAATGCCGGATGGGGCAAGCCCATTGGTACTGTATCTAGGTTGAGTATAAACCACGGGTACTTAAAATAAATGGGACATCTTTCTTGCAACGTTCTACTGCAAACACAGGCGATAACAAATAGAGATGACGATGCATTTTTTTTCTCTTGAAGGTTTCCGGATGACCCTTACGACCGCTTCTGGGACGGTGTCGCCACAAATTTCTTTACATTGAACACCTCCAACGAAGTTGTGGCAACAGAAGGAGATGCTTTTCAAGTTCCCTCTCCTGTTTTAAGATCGGCCATCTCTGGATCACGCAACAAATTTCATCTAGATAGCTGGCAAGACATTGGAACCTTCGGCGACAAGATATTTATTGTCATGCACTTTGCAGAGCTACAGAAGCTCAACACAGCCAACGAGTCAAGAAGATTGAATATCTATGTGGTAGATGGTACCGTTTTGTTGTTCCCCGATTACAGGCCCCCTTACTTAAGGGTAGATCATAAAGAGATCGTCGATGATCAGCTTTCGATATCAAGAGTTTACAACATCTCTATCCGTCCCACAAGCTCGTCCACTCTATCTTACATCATCAATGCGCTTGAGAGTTTTGTAGTGAGGAAAATGAACGAGTCACAAACTGACGGTCGTGATGGTAAGACATCGTCTGGTTGCCCTTTGCCCTCTCCTATTTCACATTCACGACATAGCTGTTGCTATGCTCACTACTATTTTATCAACTTCTACTGCATCGTCGTACACCGACCTAGAATTCATCAACATTAGGGGTTCCATGCGCTGAAAATTTGTCAAGTGCTGCTGTCTCGTTGCCCTTTATTATATTTCGTTCTGAGTGTGTTGCTCATTTATATCAAAACATCTGAGATGGTATGTACTTTGTGTATCAGTTGCTGCCATTGACGAAATCAAAAGAGTATTAAGGCTTGTGAGAAATTGGGAGGTCGACCCATGTTCTCCAAGAGAATATATTTGGGATGGAGTCAATTGTACCTACTCTGAAGACTCTAGATCCCTGAGGATTACTTCTCTGTGAGTGCAGTTCATAAAAAACCAAACGTGTGGAGGAAAAAAATTAGAAGGGAAATGGTAGAAGCTTATTCATAGATGCATGATTGCTCACATGGTTCATAATTTGAATTGTGCAGGAACTTATCATCAAGCGGTTTGGACGGCCAAATTCCTAGTTCGATTGGTAACCTGACAGCTCTTACAACGTTGTAAGCTATGGTTTCCATGATTATTAGTGCTTGAGAACAAATAATAAAATGCTTTCTTCATATTTATCCATCATACTTGACATATAAATCATAATAAAGATGCTACAAAAAGTTTTATTCAAGTTTCCTTTCTTCGGTCACCAGCAATATATGGTAAATTGTAACAACTATTAAAACCTACCCACTTTCAGAGATTTTTCAGATAACAATTTGACAGGGCCAGTACCGGATATTTTGGGAGAGTTACCGTCTCTTCGATTCATGTAAGTTTCCTTTCTACCTTTATCCAATACTAGTTAACCACTCTGATGCTTGAGATTCTCTTAAGGTAAAGTTTATGTGATCGTGTAGAAACTTGTCTGGAAACAAAGCCATCGGGGTCATTCCTCAAAATCTTTGTGAGAAGATGTCCAAAGGTTCTCTTTCCTTCAGGTTAGTAAACCCACCAACAATGAAAATGGTGTTCATTATGAGTAAATTCTGGCATCAGAATATACAAAAAAACTGAATAATGAGGTATAATTACAGTCTTATTTTTTTTCAGCGTATGAATACAATGATTGAACAGCTCCTGTAAAATGAAGATGATGACTGGAGATCTTAATGACACGAAAGCTAAAATATTAGAATAATTTATAACACATCTAGTAAAAAAACTTTAATAGATTGTGTCTTTTTTTAGGTTTCACACAAGTACATTTAGTGGCTAAAATTTATTATGAATATAATTTCTTTGAGATGTATTCTTCAGTGATAATCCTTTCTTGCTGACAGTATGAATGGTGAGCTGAAGCAATGCAAGAATTCTAACACCAACAATAAGAAGGCTGTCATTCCTGTGACAATAACAGCCTCGATAATCATTACAATTTTATTTGTTGTATCCTTTTGGATAATCCGAAGGAAGCTAAAATCTCATTCTTCTGCAGGTACATTGCATATACTTTTCTTTTTGTATATAAATGTTCACAACACTAAACCTGTCCAAATAATGAAGAAACGTTTTCATTGTTTATGATATTTAAATTTTTTAGGTGTCTTGAATAAAAACAACTACAGTAGAAGTACTGCAATGGATGGCAATGGCTGGAAAAGGGAAAGTGTGCAATATACATATGAAGAAATTAGACAAATTACGCAAAACTTCCAACAGCAGATTGGTAAGGGGGGATTTGGGATTGTTTATCTTGGTCACTTGAGAGATGGAACTATGGTTGCAGTAAAAGTTCTTTCTTCATCATCTTCACAAGGATCTAAAGAATTTGAAGCAGAGGTACAATTAAGTATTCAATATATCAATATTAAAAAATATTTTTTTGTCTAGTTACATGATGTAGAGTCCATCATTATATTAAACTCACATTTTAAGTGACAAGATGCTCATATTTCAGGTTCAATTATTGGCGAGGGTTCACCACAAAAACTTGGTATGCTTATTGGGGTATTGTGATGATGTAGAACATTTATCTCTTGTTTATGAATATATGGATAATAAAACCCTCCGAGATCATCTATCAGGTTTGGCTATACAAAATTACCTAATTCTCAAATTTTGATGAAATAAATAGATGTTCTTTCATAACATGAGTATTTCTCATATATACTTTCAATGCATCATCAACATAGGAAAGCACTAAAATAGCTGCCATTGCTCTTTTAGGTGAAATTTACAATGGTGTTCTGTTAAATTGGAACCAAAGTGTGAATATAGCACCTCAAGCTGCACAAGGTACTTTTGTCCTTAAAAAATTGACAAAACTATTCACCTAAGCCACAAGATAAAGTTTGATATAACCAAAAGTTTTAAAAAAAATGCAGGGCTAGATTATCTACATAATGGATGTAGACCACCTATTGTGCATAGAGATATAAAGAGTAGTAACATTCTCTTAAATTGTGAGCTTGTTGCAAAGATAGCTGACTTTGGACTATCAAGAGCATTCAATAATGATAGTGCTACACACATAACAACTAGGTTAGCTGGTACTCCAGGGTATCTTGATCCTGAGTAAGTATACCTCTTTATTGTTATTCTTCCTACTTTTCTCAATTAAATACACATTTATTTTATAAATTAATGGATAAAATAATAAGAAACAATTATCAAGACTAATGTTCTCTTTATTGTTGCAGGTATTATCAAGAGAATAGGCTAAATGAGAAAAGTGATGTATATAGTTTTGGAATTGTTCTTTTGGAGATTATAACTGGTCAACTACCATATCAAAAGTCCATAGAGAGGACACATATTGTCAGATGGGTTCATTCAAAAGTTGAGAGAGGTGATATCATGAGTATTATTGACCCTAAGTTACAAGGAGAGTTCAACATCAATATGGCATGGAAAATAGTAGAAATAGCAATGTCATGTGTGACAACAACTTCAGAAGAAAGGATAACAATGAGTAATGTTGTAACACAGTTGACGGAATGTGTGGAGGTGAATGAATCACACAGTGTGCTTGGAAGTGTTAATTCCTCAATGCAAAGGATGAATGACACATTACATTCTATATCAACTACTCCACTAACTTCATTGGCTAGGTAGCTTCTTATGGGTGTAGGTGAGTAATGATTTAGATTAATGAGATTATATGAAGATTGGAATTTTAAACCAACAGTTTGAAGTTTTTCTATAACTTTAAATTTAGCTTAGACTGGTTAGAGTTATCAAAAGAAGTGCTTGTTCAAAACTATGTTGTTAGACCTCAATGATTTATGAGCATTTGAAGAATGAATGTTTTAAGAACATATTAAATTTACCTTTTTGTCATCATTGCTTCTCTATAAATATATGATAGAATATTGGTCTTCTAGAGAGTTCCATACTTGTTTAGTTTGTCATAATGATACTCATCATTAATGCAATTCCTCCTTACACCAGTTAATGCTGTTGTTTTACCCTTTTTTTAATAAGTGCATATTATTCATCCCTTTTTTTAATAAGTGCATATTATACATCAATTAATGCTGTTCTTACATCAAAGATAAGAAATGACTTAAGGTTCCTTATTTCCTATATAATAATGTTATTGAAATGAGTATTCAAAAAACTTCTATGATTTTTTTTTTCAAAAGGTCAATTATTGGTGTCGAGTTTTTGTAAAGAGCAAGAGCATTTGAAAAAACTTGATGGGACACATGTATGCCACAACATATTTTTTAGATCTATGGGTTAATGAGAACTCTTGCAACAACTTGCCAAGCCTTTGGACTCCCATGTATAGAATTCGAAATTGAAAATTTGATTGTGACCAAAGTCATATTCAGTCTCTATGTCAATGTAGAAAACAGAGATATGGGCTATATTTAGCTTAACTAGGTAAGATAGACATGCTGATGTTTTCATCGAGACTTTACCCTCTTCATTTAAATCTCTACTTTCCCTTGCCGATAGATCTATGAAACATTTCACATGGGAGATGTCAGAGTGCTGAATATGGCCACATTAAGTGGGACTATGTAACTCAACAGTGAGGACAGCATCCTCTGAGGCCCAAGGGTACATACTTGATTCTTGAGATGTCGAATGAGGAAGCCTACATCGTCATGCACTTTACAAATGTCAAGAGAGGTTCAATGTAAATGATACAAAGATAATCAACATCTATGATAAGAAACACCCAGCTTCTAGACAAGGATTACAGGCCTCCATACACGGAAGCAGTTCATGCATAGTATCGCCACTATGCTCTCTTGGTGGGAACCCTAGAGAGAAATTCTATGTCTACTGATCGGTGTGCCCTGCATGCCTGGGATTATCCATGGCATGGAGAGCTTTCATTTCAAGCAGATGGACAGCTTGAAAATGATTGAACCTTGGACAGAAATCCCAGTCTTCGTCATCATCATCATCACCATCTTCTTCTTCTTCTTCTTCTGATTCTCCGGTGATTCCCCAGCGAAAAGACCGAGGGCCCACACGGAGGATTGCTCCAAATAACAAAAAAGTATTAAAACGATTGGCTACCACTCCGACCAATTCTTTTGCCGGTTCCGTGTGGAGTGGGTGACCGCGGGAGAATAGAAGAGTCAAGGAATCTCAGAGGCGTCTCCTCCGCCAATCTTCCGCTCGACTTCATCCTTTTGGTGAGGATTATGATCACAGCCGATATATAAACTCTTTCTTCTTTTCCCCGGATTCGTTTCGTTATTTTTTTGATCTGGTACGATCCTCAGCATATCTCGGAGGGTTGGGGGTCGGGGGTCCGTCGCGCGGCCTGGTTCCTGCATCTTTCGCGGGATTCCTCTCCGAATTGCGGAACGGAAAGCCGAAGGCCGGTTGAAGAATTTGCGAGGGGAAATTGCTCCCGGATGCGATTTCTTCTATTGAGGACGCCGTGAATTCTGGTGAATTGGAGAGCTCAAGCAATCAGCGTCGTCTGTTCTGAGGATCGTCTGGCGGTATCTCTCACGTGGTAATGTGCTTGTTGTCAGATTTTGTTGTTCTGAAGAGCATCTGTTTGTTTATTTTTCAATTCACCTGGTAATCGTTCAATCGGTTCTGTGTAAATCTCTCTCTCTCTCTCTCTCGCTCTCGCTCTCGCTCTCTCTCTCTCTCTCTCTCTCTCTTCCCCCCTTCCTCTCTGCGCGTTTGCGCGCCCATCCTCCCACCAGTAGTTTCTCCTCTTTTCTTTCCTTCCTTATCAAGGGCCATTATGGAGATCTCAGAAGATATTCTTCTCTTGTTACCGGTTTCTCTCTTGATCATTACCGAAGGAGATATATAGCCATTCATTTCCTTTGCAATGATAGATTTGGGGGAATTGTTTCTCTAGTCCACATGACAACCAGGAGAAGATCAAAATCCCGCTGGAAAATGTCTCTTCTTTCTTCTTCTTCCTGGATTTTGAACCTAGATGAGCGTTTGATCTTCACCCACAGGCTCATGAACATAATTCTGTGAGAGTAAGAGGGTATCTTGCCACCATTTTGAGGAATGACGTCTGGTAGGATCCTCTGGAAAATGTCGACCAGTTTCATTCTTTTGACCACAAGTACACGCCAGATTGATTGGACAACGCTTGTTTTGATGATGTCGGTGATGACTTTCCAAAGTCTTTCTGATCCAGTTTAGGGTTCTGATTTTCATCGATCAGGCATTTCCTGGTGTCTTAGATGGAATTGAGGAAAAATCGGGGTTTAAGCGATAAGATCTGAGATGGTGGATTGAAACTTTTTTTTTTTTTTTTCTCTTCTTGAAATTCATTGTCATTAAAGATTTAGCAGAACGTAAGTGGGTCTGAAGTTGAAGGAATTAACTTTCCAATTGAGAACGGTGATAAGACCCTGGCAGATGTAGCGCTCTGGTTAAACTTTCATGGACATCGTAACTTGGTAAGGTAGTTCTTATGATTATTTCCAGGAGCTGAAGTAAAATGGCAATCACAAAGCTTACTTGAAATCTATCAGAAACATTTGAAAGGAGATAACGAAAAGATTCTTTCAAATTTAAGCTGGGGAATAAGATGTGTTGACCTCTGTGATAGCGTTGATTGAAATTTGGGCCGTCTCTTGTGACCTGGAACGCTGGGAGAATCCCATGATGATTCAGAAAATGAGAGTAGGCGGCTGCCCTTTTCTGTTTCTGCTGTTTTTGATGTAGCCTCTCGCCATATATGGATTTGGTGTCGTGTAAATCGTGCCAAAGTTGAGAGGTTTAGTGGTAGATTTTTATGTAAAAAAAACAATATTTAATGCGCTTATTTATCTTCTAAATGGCAGTAGCTCAATATTACGCGTATTTCTAATATTTTAAACAAAGTAGAACACGAATCTTTACACATTTGATGTGAAGAAAATGGGGCATTGTTTCCTTGTAAATATGCTAGGATTCACCGTTTTCATGTTCAATGGATGATTGAAGTCTGGCCAATGGGATCTTGCATTGTCGTCAAATAGAATTATATATATATATATATATATATATATATTTATTTTTTACTAAGGTTGCATCTCTTTTGCTTACCATCTAAGTTTGATTCTATTTTTTTTCTTAGGATACGCTTGGATAAGATATAACATCATGGGCTGGCTCAACAAAATCTTTAAGAGTTCAAGCCACAAAATTTCGGAAGGACAATATCAGGGAAAATACAGGGAAGAAGAAATATGGGACGATCATTCCACACCTCCGGTAATTATGTCTGGTTTGCTTTACGTTTTCACACACTATTAACTAGCGTGTTTGATCAGTGACTAAGGGTCTTTCTCTTTCAAAGAGAATCAAGAGCTTTTTTCAAGTGATGTGATACACGGTCCAAATCAATATTTCGCGCCAGAAAATACTTTTCTGTTGAAAATATATCGCTACAGTCAGACACAAAACTGTTTAGAACTGGTAGAATCAAGCATCGAGATGTTTTACGATTCAGGGGATTAAAAACTTTAAAATATCATTTTTATTATCTTTTATTATTTTCACATATTGGGGTGTACATCAGATCCAACCTCACTTGGAAGTGATGGGATAAATCTGTATCCTATATCCTATCTTCCTATTTTCACGTTGGAATTTCCTAGCGAGCAGATTTATATCCGCTAATCATAATGATTCATTGACTGCTCGTTTATGTCTTTTTTTTATTTTTTCTCAATTTTTAGGATTTTCTCATTGACATCAATTAACCTACAAAAGTTTAAGCACATGCTTAGGGATTACTGCTGTTTAAAATATTTTATCTTGGCATAACTATGAAACCGATGAGGCAAATATCTGAATGCCACTTTTTTCAATATAAAAATGCATAGACGTGGCACACATTTGCATGTATACATATATAGATGTACATCCTATAATATTTGGGCAAGCAGCTCTTAGTTATTTTGTTGCAATATTGTGCAAAAAATCCTTGAAGTTCTGAACGTTGATGCGCATATTCGACATGGACGTGTGGAATTAACTGATTCAGAAGTGCTCCTGAATCCTAGGAACTAATAATGAATTATTTTTTACTCAACATGATCTTAAAGAATATTTTTGGCCTCTTCTCAATGCTGGGCAACCAAACTCCCTATAATAAAAACACCGAGTATCATTTTTGGAATGCTAAAATCTTGTGAGTCAATTTATTTTATGTGTTAGGTGATGAGAGTTTGTTCCTATGCAATGGCTGCCTTATTATCTAGACCTTTTAGAAATTCATTCAGCCATGCCATTTATTGTTTTGCCTCGTTTCTTCTTTTTTTATCCAGACGATCTTCTGGTTACAGATGTTATCCTTTTTTACTGTTTAACCTCCGTTTCTAATGAGCCAAGCTTCTGGTTTTACTACAGGCGTCCAAGTCATACTATGATAATGATGATATAGACCATGCTATTGCGCTTTCCCTTTCAGAGGAAGAGCAACGGAAGGCAAAAGCTGTTGGTAAGTGTAGAGTTTATCTCTTAATTTTGTGATCCTACCATCGGTAAGAAGTCAAAAGCTATTGTGTATTTCTGTATATTTTTTAATTTTTTTCCCGGATTATTTTCTCCCTCATTTATTATTGTAAAATGAACATTTTAATTCCTATTTAGGGTAAATACTCGATATTTATAACATTATTTCCTCGGTGTACTCTCTTGTATAGATACTGGATCCCTTTTGGAGGATGACGAACAACTCGCAAGAGCTTTGCAAGAAAGTTTAAATGTCGAATCTCCTCCACGCGAGAATGGACATAATTATCAGCTTATACCTTTTATTTTCTCCTCTGGTACCAGGTAAATTTTTTTTCTTCTGAGATTATGTATTTCTGTGGGATGATTTGAATGAATCATGTGTTGCTCATCCGATCTAGCTAGCTGTATATTCAGCTATGGGGCACTGTTCTTGGCGATTAAAGTTTCTTTCTTTCTTTAAGAGCATAAGTTAAACGATAGCGAACACACCCAGGGTTTGTGGATGGCATTAATAACTGTGGTTAGTCTTCGGTGCTGCATTTTTCAGTGTGCCTAGATTGTTTGCGAATATCTGCTGTCACATTCACTTTGAGTTCTTGTGCGAATACAACTAAATGTATTCATATAGAAAATACGTACTATTTCGGGGGTGGAGACTCACTACAAATGCTTTAGATTGCGATATTGGATGAATATTGGGTAGAAATTTGAAGGCAAGAAGAGATGTTGTCTCATGTGATGGGAGAGACTGGTGCTTCTTCGATGCCAGTTCATGACTTGCCCTCATTGAACACTTGGGAGATTATGTAAATGAGATACTTTTTTCCATATGTGTGATGCGTGGAGGAGGTTCGCATGACATCAATCGGCGATGAACAGGCTTAGACCAAAAGACCAGGTACTTCAACTTGGCATGTTTGGGTTGACCTTTGTGAAAAATGGAGAACATGGGTCGGGGGATTGGTGATTGGACGTGGAACACCAAGACTATGGGATATAAGATCATCTTCTTTAGTAATCTATCCAGGATGTGGAGAGAGATGATACAATCTGCTCCACGTTTAGCTGCCAAAGCTGATGCCATATGTTCAGAAGAAAGATATTAAACAGGTGGGAGTACCTACCGACTATTTCTGGTGGGTTGTTGTCAATGATAGATCCGGGTCAATGGGTATGGATGTGAGAGAAACAGTAGATTTTTGTAATCAATAAGAAGGAATCCTTCATATGGTGCGGTTTCTTGATTCAAGTTAGTAACAGACGATAATCAACCTTGAATTTTTCAGGGTATGTGCCGGGTGCAATGCGGGGATTGGCCATGGGCGTTTCCTCAGCTGCATGGGCGCTGTTTGGCACCCAGAGTGTTTCTGCTGCCACTCATGTGGTCGCCCCATATCTGATTACGAGGTGAGGGAGTCGTTGCCCTGGTGATCTTCTTCCTCCTCGGAGGATCATTTCATCTGAAACTGAAAATAATTGGCATCATCTCTGTCTCAGTTTTCAATGTCTGGGGATTACCCATATCACAAGTCCTGCTACAAGGAGCGCTATCACCCTAAATGCGATGTCTGCAAGGAATTTGTATGTATTTTATTCCTCAACTCCATTGTACTAGTCATCAAGAAGAACAAGTTTTCAATGTCTCTGTGCCTTCTTTTATTACTATTACTATTACTATTATTATTATTATTATTATCATTATTATTATTATATTTTAATTATACTGTAATTTTTATTTCATTGTATCTTTGTTTCAGATCCCGACGAATGCAGCAGGTCTGATCGAGTACAGGGCACACCGATTTTGGCTGCAGAAGTACTGCCCTTTCCACGAGCACGACGGCACTCCTCGATGCTGCAGCTGCGAGAGAATGGAGGTTGGGTTCTATGATGCATTCATGGATCTGACCTGTTCATGGGTATTCTGGAATATTGTCTGATCATATCAGGGACCCCATCTGTGTCCCCAGCCAAGAGACACAACCTACGTCTCCCTGGATGAGGGGAGGAAGCTCTGCCTCGAGTGCGTGGACTCTGCGATCATGGACAACAGCGAGTGCCATCTCCTCTTCATTGACATCCAGGAATTCTTCGAGGGCCTGAACATGAAGGTCACCCAGCAGATCCCCCTGCTCCTGGTCGAGAGACAGGCCCTCAACGAGGCCATGGAAGGAGAGAAGAACGTGAGCCTTTTCCCCCTTTTTAAACCTTCCCATAAGCAAACCATATGCATCTTTAATCTTTACATATACACCAATCTATATGCATATAAATAAATAATAAATAATAAATAATAAATAATAAAAATAAATGTTATGTTCAATGTTGTTCATGAAATCTCTAGTGATTCCTGTGTGGCTGGATGAGCAGGGAGGGCAGCATCACCACCTACCGGAGACCCGAGGGCTGTGCCTCTCCGAGGAGCAGACTGTCAGCACTGTAAGGGCTGTTTTTTAATGCTATTTGGGATTACCAGTGGGTTGGGGTTGTTTCTCCTCATCAGCTATGAGGCGGCTGCTGCCCCGTGCGGGTGATGGATGGGCCTCATTTGGCTCTCCTGTTCCTCAATTTGGCTTCAGATTCTGAGGAGACCGAGGATCGGCGCGGGGAATCGCGTCATGGATATGATCAGGGAGCCCTACAGGCTCACCCGGGTCTGCGAAGTGACTGCCATTCTTATCCTCTACGGCCTCCCCAGGTACCCATATCATCATCATCATCATCATCATCATCATCATCATCATTATTTATCAGCTTCTTTATTTTCTTAGCTTCGCTTCTAGGCCCCACCCTAGAACCCACCATTCTTTTTATTTATTTTTCAGTCCCTAAGTTAATTACTATCAAGATAAGCAAAAAATCTCCTTCTCTCTCTCTCTAGCTTGACGAGGTTATATGATTAGTGAGAAATTATGGGTTTTGGGGACCCAAAAAACCCAGTTGAAAAAATGGAAAAGGGTGAGTCAACGTTTCATCCCAGTTCGTAGGGAGCTTCATTATTTATGAGTTTTTTTATTGTTTTAGTAAGAAAATTATGGTTTCTGGGGATCCAAGAAGATCCAGTTGACAAAAAAGGAAAAGGGCGAGTCAACGTTTCATCCCAGTTCGTAGGGGACTCTGAACCCAGTTGAAAAAAAGCAAAGGGGTGATAAAGATTGTGGTGACGAAGCGAACTCTGCCAATGCAGGCTGCTGACTGGATCGATTCTGGCTCATGAGATGATGCACGCGTGGCTCCGGCTGAATGGTAATTGCCAACTCATCACCCGGTCCACGTCATCAACGCGAATAATTATTTATGTGCTGCGGGCTCGTGAATACCTTCCCCCTACTCTCATTCTCTTACCCCTCAGGATACCGAACACTCAGCCAGGAGGTGGAAGAAGGCATATGCCAGGTCCTCGCCCACATGTGGCTCGAGTCGGAGATCGTGTCGGGCTCCGGAGCCCACGTGGTGGCCACCTCAGCATCACCTTCACCGTCGTTGGCTTCTTCTTCTTCCTCCTCGGGGCTTCCGAAGAAGGCGGCGCGGTCCCAGTTCGAGAAGAAGTTCGGGGAGTTCTTCAAGCACCAGATCGAAACGGACCCCTCGCCGGCGTATGGGGACGGCTTCAGAGCCGGCTACCAGGCCGTCCTCAAGTACGGCCCCAGGTCCACCCTTGACCACATCAAGTTGACCGGCAGCTTCCCTTGCTGAAAATATCCGTGGAAAAAAAATTGAAAATTACATAAAATCTTATATTGACAAATATAGATTATTGTGCCTTATTTTTTATTTTCTTCAGGCTCTTGTGTTTATTTTTGGGCCGATATTTATGGGAAAACCAAGGGGAATTTGTTGTCCCGGACCTTGGTCGATGACAATAAAGCTGAAATATATAATTATTTATTATTTTTTTGACAAATAGAATGCTCAGTGTCGTCCTCGGGATCACCCTTGACCACATCCAGTTGACCGGGAGCTTCCCTTGCTGAAAAAAAAGGAAAACTACGTAGAACCTGAAATATATATATATATATATATATATAATACTATATTTTCAATGGATTTTCTGGCCGAGCCGCCGCCCAAGTCAACGACTCAGTCAAGATGACGGAGAGAACGCGTGCCACTTTCCCCATGTCGGGCCGACGTGCTGGGTCGTCCTCTAAGCAAGTGTTGACCAGCCGGGCCATGGCCAGGACCTGAGCTGGCGGGTGCTCCCCTTCCAGCGAGGGATCCACGAAGCTCCTCATCTCCTCAGGTGTTTCTCCTCCTCCTCCTCCGAGGAAGGAGGTCAGCGCCGCCGCGAAGCTCTCCTCTCCTCCTGGCGCCGCCGCCGCTGCGTCCCTTCCGGTGACCAGCTCCATCATCACCACCCCAAAGGAGTAAACGTCGATCGAAGGGGAGATGACCCCGTGCTCGGCGTACTCCGGCGCCATGTAGCCGACGGTGCCGACGATGTGCCTCGTCGGCGGGAACTCGCCGCCGCCGGCCGCAGGCCTGAAGAGCCCGAAGTTGGCCACCTTGGCCCGGAAGTCTCCGTCCAAGAGGATGTTGCTGCTCTTCACGTCCTTGTGGACGCATGGCGGCTCTGTGTAGCCGTGGAGATGGTCGAGCCCAATGGCCACGTCGAGAGCTATCTTGATCCTCTGAATCCATGACAGGACCTTGGAACGGTCCTTGTGGATGATCCAGTCCCTTAGAGACCCGTTCTCCATGTACTCGTAGACGAGGTAGCAGGTGCCCAAGTGGGAGCAGAAGCCGGAGAGGGAGATGATGTTGAAGTGGTTGATTTTCATGAGGATGTTGATCTCCCCGGAGACATCTCTGTTCATTCTCTTCACGGCGGCGGGGGAGCCGCTCAGCTCCGCCCGGTAGACGGAGGAGCCCTCGATCCGGCGTTCGGTGGAGAAGCCCTTCGTTGCCTGGTTCAGTTGGTGGAACTCGTAGACTTTCAGGGAAATGTTGGGGATCAAGGAGAGGATCACCGATGGTGGATTCGCAGTTGAGTCCTCGGTGACGATGCTTCCCTTTTTGTTGTTGTTCTTCTCCTTCCTCTTGTGGATCAGAAAGAAGGCGCCAAGTGAGAGGATTATGACTGTGCCGATGGAAACTCCAACCCCCACGTAAACTTTCGTGCGGTTGGAGCCGCTCCCGCCGGCGGCGGCGGAGGGTTCCGGCGGCGGCGGGGGCGGCGGGATGGTCTCCTGAGAGATGCGGGGCTCGTTCTTCAGAGGGAGGAGAAGAGTGGTGAAGGGGTAGATGGTGTCCCGGAAGGAGAGCCCATTGGCGGCGAGGGCCTCCTCCCTGGTCACTCCGTACGCAATGCTTATGTTCACCTCGTCCCCCTCCTTCAACAGGTAACTTAGGAGATACCTGACGCCATTAGAGGCCTGGTTCGGAGTCGGGCAGGCGCACCTCAGGGGGACGGGGATGCTGCTTCCGGCGATGAGGTACCCCTGGGAGGAGCTCCTGTTCTGGTTTATCAGCGCCTGGCAGGTAGAGAGGCCCTGGAAGATGTTGTTGGCGATGGTTAAATAGGTGTCTCCCGTACTGACCACGTAGGAGGCTTCGGCCTGGTAATACCTGTGGAAAACCAGTTTTCCTTTGAGATTAGATGATTCCTACGAGCAGTAATGGTGGCAATAACTGCGATGAAGGTGGCAGTACCCGCCAGAGCAGGAGCAGTTCACTGGGACGACCGCCACCGAACCCGATGGGAAAGTCGCTGCAAGGGAGATGGAGTTGGCCTGTGCGAGGAGAGAGGGATCGACGCCCAGAAGGGCCGCGACGGCGGCGAGGGACTGGTTCGCGGGCCGGAAGGTGAGGAAGGCGGGGCAGGCGGCGGCGGCGCCGTTGCAGAAGTACCCTAATCCGGAGGAGGCGTTGTGGGGGTTGTAGCAGTCGTTGGTGCGGAGGCCGATGTATGGCTGCTGGCCGAGCAGGGAGGAAGGGAAGAAGATGACGATGGAAAGGAAGAGGAAGGAGACGGTGGGAAATCGGCGGCTACCCATCTGGCCCGCATTGGGTTGGAACGAAGAGGAGGGAGGGGTTTATGTACAGAGAGAGAGAGAGAGAGAGAGAGAGGACTGACTCGACGGGCCACAACTGCCCAGCTGTCTCTCTGTCGCGCTCTCTCTCTAGACTAGGAAATCTTCCTATCGAGCCCCCACTGCTCCGGGGTTTAACCAGAAGGATATAATCACGTCAGACCCTAGCTTCGGGGAAGATTCTGATGGAGAGACGTGGCCTGGTCCGTTTACTTCAAGCTTTTGAAGCGATCCGAACATCGGGCCAACAGATAAGAGCCCAAGTACGAGACCCATTGACTGCTGACCACAGGAAGCCTGGTCAACGTCGGCGACTTTCTAGAAGCAGACGTGTAACGAAGCGACCATCTGAGACTCATCCTCCCTTCTCCAAAAAATAAATATCCAACACGTCTCTCCTTCGAGTTTACGTCGTCGTCTTCCTCCTCTCAGCCAACCAGTCAGCCACGTACCTGTTCATCGCCCGGAAGAGATGAGCAGGGGTGGCGCGATAGAGTACTGGATGACGGGGCACCCGGCAATCGTAGGGTTCCGGTGGAGCCCGGCGGAGTCTTGGGGCAGCACCTGGTGGTTCCTCGTCGCCTCCATCGTCTCCTATCTCACGGCGGCGCTCGCGCTGCACCTCCTCCTCCACCTCGCCGGCCGCCGCCGGCCACTCCCCCTGGGGCCCCTCCCCGCCGCCCACTCCCTCTCCATGTTCCTCGTCTCCTCCATCATTTTCGCCGGCACGCTCCTCTCCTCCGCCGCCGAGATCCGCGAGACCCGCTGGTTCTGGCTCAACCGGCGGAGCTCGAAGCTCACCCACCCGTTGCAGTGGCTCCTCTGCTTCCCCCCCGGCACCCGCTCCGCCGGCCGCGTCTTCTTTTGGTCTTACCTCTTCTACCTCTCCCGCTTCCTCCACCTCCTCCGCACCTTCTTCCTCATCGCCCGCCGCCACCGCCGCCGCCAGTCCCTCGCCGCTCTGCTCCTCACCCACTGCGCCCTGGTCTGCACCTCCTTCGTCTGGCTCGAGTTCTCCCAGTCGGTGCAGGTGGCAGCGATCCTCGCCACCACGCTCGCCTACGCCGTCGTCTACGGCTACCGCTTCTGGGTCGCCGTCGGCCTGCCACCGGCGGCCTTTCCCGGCGTGGCGGCCGGCTGCCGGCGCCTGCTCATGGCCTGCAACCTCGCCTCCCACGCCGGCGTCCTCCTGCTCCACCTCTGTAAGGGCGACTGCAACGGCATCGGCGCCTGGGCATTCAACTCCGTCCTCAACGCCGCTCTGCTGCTCCTCTTCTTCCTCAACTGCCGCCGGAGCTGGGAGGGCATAGAGGACGACGACTCCTCCACCCACCACGGCCGGCAACTGGCCGGCGCCGACGACGGCGACTCGGTTCAGAAGGACAGGTAGCAGGAGACGCCGGCGGCCGTAATCCTCGTCTTGGAAATTAACAGATATTTTTATATCTTGAAAATGTACATTAAATATAATGGAAAAAACAACCAACACGTGACCAATCGGAACGCGATTTTATGAAACGTGGTTTCACGTGATCGAACGGGCGGCTTTTGCAGAGAAGTCAACTCCTTAAGTCAGCTTTTTGTCGCCACGCGACAGATGCAACCTCATTCATTATTATTTTTCATTAATGCCCTTTTTTCAGAAAAGTTTCTCACGATGGTGTCAATATTTGATCCTACGGGTCCCGTGCGCCTGCTCCCAGCGTTCGACACGCGTCTTGGCCGTCTTTTATCTGGACCTACAAATCTTATCAAGAGGAGAGGAAAGACATCAACGCCACGAATATATTTACTTCTGTCACTCTCTCTCTCCCGTGTATGCATAGCGATACGTAGAGAAACGCCCTGTTTGGGAAAATTCACCGAGAGAGAGAGAGAGAAATAAGACAGAGGGAGAGAGAGACATTCTCGGACTGATGCGCATCTTGAGTTGGGAATCGGTTGTTCCTCTCCGTCCCTCTCCTTCCCTCCCGAGGAAGGGGGGAATCCTGCTCTCCATTGGCGCGAAGGATTCGCTCCTCCTTTTCCTCCCTTCCTCCTCTCTTCCTTCCCTTGCCGGCTCTGTATTTGGCGGAGTGTGGTGGAGGAAGACCTCCGTTCTGGCTTCCGCTCCTTGTCTGCTTTCTTTCACTGCGGACGCTCCGGAAATTCACGGTAAGAAGTTTCTTCTCGCGTTTCTCTTCTGCTCGCGGCTTCTGCGATGTTTCCGGCCATTCGGTTGATCTTCCGATTTCTGAGTGGCCTCGATGGCGGAATTTATCCGGTCGGTCAGGGGAGTGAGAGTTCTTGTCGCACTGTATTTCGCCGTCGGCGAATGGGAGGCGGTTTCAGATCGTCCTGACGGATACTGGATGTGAGTAAATGGATTATTGATGACTGGTCTTCCGGTTGGTTCGCATCCTCCGGGATATTCCGGTGGGATGTGGGAACCGGCTGACAATTTGCACGGCGGACAGCCGCATTTATGGCCTAGATTTGTTTTAAGCTTTACGGTCTCCTCTTGATACCTTTGATTTTGAATTCGGTTCTTACTTCCTCAGATTGGATTCGGCGGACGCCATTTGTCTTTGACTGCGTGATTATCTGGTACCGTGGGAATTCGTCTCACCTTTTCCCTTGTTTTGTCTGTTCCTCACGAGCAAAGTTGAATTGACCGACTAAAAATTCTGCGTGTTTTCTTGCCGTAGGGTGTGACGTCTTCTCTCATTGCTAATACCCTCTCCCTTCTGCATCATGCTCCATCAACCTGGAGTTAGATCGTCGTGTGATATTCTTCCATCAAAAGCTTTTTGGTGGAAATTATTTTGACCAGGACAATGGCAGTAAAAACTGTAAAATAATCAGTTTTTAGCCATTATAATTTCTGTTACCATTCTTCTCCCCTCGGGAAGTCAAGCTCCTGAAACCGCTTGAGGTCAAATTTTGTATTGGATCATTATCTTCCTCTCAGCAACCCCAGATTATTTCTTCATAAGATCGCCACCTAACGTGGATGGTCAGCATGCGACTGACACCGAGTTGAAGCATCAGGGGTGTATCGAAGCAAATGGAACCTCGGGAGCCTCTAAACTCGGGTGACAAGCCCAGACATCGTCCGTTAACCCCATTCCGTATACTGAGGGGTGTTCTAATGCTGGTTATATTCGTTTCTACTGCATTTATGGCCCTAGCTTACTTTGCACCTGTAGCTGCTGTCTTGATACGCCTTTTTAGCATACGCCACAGCAGGAGAGCAGTATCTTTCTTGTTTGGGACGTGGTTAAGTATGTGGCCATTTATGTTTGAAAAGATAAACGGTACAAAGGTAATTTTCTCTGGAGAAACTGTGCCCAACAAGGAGAGAGCTCTGATTCTTGCGAACCACAGGACTGAGGTTGATTGGATGTACTTGTGGAACTTTGCGGCAAGGAAAGGCTGCTTGGGTTGCCTTAAATATGTCCTCAAGAGCAGTTTGATGAAGGTGCCATTGCTTGGTTGGGGATTCCAAATTCTTGAGTACATTCCTGTGGAAAGAAAATGGGAGATTGATGAAGCAAGTATGCGGCATATGCTCTCATCTTACAAGAGCCCGGATGATCCTCTGTGGCTGGCGGTTTTCCCTGAAGGCACTGATTTTACGTAATAAATCTGCGACCTCTCTGTGATGCTTCTGTCACCAAATTTCATGTTCTACTTACGATTTCAAAAATATTTCCATCTGCATCGTTGCAACTCATATTTATCTTTCTGTCTGCTGATTTCGCCACTAATGATGTGGAAAATACTCATCTTCATCTCAGCGAACAGAAGTGTATTAGTAGCCAGAAGTTTGCTGCTGAAAATGGCTTGCCGATCCTCAAAAATGTTCTTCTTCCTAAGACAAGGGGCTTCTACGCTTGCTTTGAGACTCTTAGATCATCATTAGATGCAGGTGTGCTTCTCTTCTCCACCAAACTGCTGTATTTTTTTCTTCTGCAATAACGTTTCTTTGAAAAAGGGTTGAATATTTGCAATCCTGGGATTGGATTCCAAATTCTTTGATAAACGGATAATTTCTTTTCTTGAGGATTGACGTGCTTTTACATCCACTTTTTATTTCAATCTAGAAGAAAAAAAAAAGAAAAAACAGGAGTAATATACATCTTTTTGCCTCAATTATTTTGACTGAAGTCCACCCACTTACCCACCCAAAAAGGGAAAACCGAAGCTATCAATCTCATTCCTGAGGAGACTAAGCTCGCCTTATTCAAATCAGGATGCATATGAGTATTAGATGATGAGGCCGTGCCTTCTTCCATCTCTTCATCAGGTTGTGATGAAAATTTTGACTCATGCTTCAAGGAAAAGATCAGAGAAGATAAATCAACAAAAGAAGCAGGTTCAGTAACAATTCACAAATAATTAAAAAATCGTGTGAAAAAGAAGAAAGAATTTATGTTGTGCATATATATAGTTCTATTTTCAATTATAAAAAAAGCCATGTTTTTTTTTTCTGAAAGTCAGAGTTTGGATGTCAAACCCTCTACAGTATATGACGTGACGATTGGCTACAAGCACCGATGCCCACTGTTCATAGACAATGTGTTTGGGGTTGACCCCGCCGAAGTCCACATCCACGTCAGCCGCATCTCGGTCGCAGAGATCCCAACTTCTCCAGATGATGCAGCTTCTTGGTTGATCGAACGGTTCAGGATCAAAGACCAGCTGCTCTCTGATTTTGCTGAATGCGGCCGGTTCCCTGGCCCAGAGACCGAAGGGGACCTGCCTATGAGGAGTTTCCTGCTGACTTACGCCATCGTCATCAGCTTGACCTGCCTTTACGTTTACCTCACGGTCTTCTCCTCCGTCTGGTTCAAGGTCTATGTGTGGTTGAGTTGCTCTTATCTTACGGCGGCGTCCCTCTTCAACATCCGACCCTCGCCCATCTTGAGCTCTGTGAAGAGGGCCCTCTGTTTCTCTCTCCCAAAATCTTCATAACCGCATTAGACTCTCTCTCTCTCTCTCTCTCCCCTCCCCCTCTCTCTCTGCTTTTTTCCTTGTTCTGATCCAATTTGGGGAGCTCTGTGAAGTGGGCCGAATGTTGCCCCACCAAAAATCTGCATAAATATTCTGGTGTTCAGATTCTCTCTCTCTCTCTCTCTCTCTCTCTCTCTCTCTCTCTCTCTCACACACACACACACACAGAGCTATTTTTCTTGTAACATCGTTGACGAGGGAGAGGATCAGCTCCAGGATCTCCACGCTCCCGTAGGTGGCGGCGACCATGAGCGGCGTCCAGTAATCCAGGACCATCTGATCGGAGCCCTTCTTGCGGCCGTACCAGAGGCCGATCTCGTCCACAGAGGACGAGCTCGATGCAGAGCTTGAAGGCCTCCACGTCGTTGTTGGCCGCCAGCTCCAGGAGGAGCAACAGCACGCTGCCGTCGAGAGCAAAGGAAACCGGAGCCCGCTCGCTGGCTGGATAGAATAGGCCCATTAGGCCCATACGGCCCCTCGCAAATGAATAACCATACTCTCATAAATATTAAAATCCTATATTTAAAATAAATAAAAATTTATAAATTATATTTAATTCATGTTAGAGTCTTGTATGTATGATTTTTTATCAGCAAAAAAGAAAATATAGTTGGAACACTAAATTCATGATGCTTTAATGACAAAATATATGTTTATAAAATCAATTAAAAGATCAAATTATGCCTAATCTCGAATATACTTGACGTGATACTAATACTTTATATACTTTGATAATATTTTAAAATATTCATATATGAAAACATATTTCCATCGAGTCGTGCTAAATTTCTATATTCAATTGATTCCATCATTTGAAATTAGCATATTATATATTGTTGTGGAAAATATTAATATGTATAAAATCTGTCTCATTGCGAAGGTAATGATTAAAATATCTGAATCAACAAGATTTTTTAAAATAATCCAATTTGAGGGGGGGACTATCCATCATGGACCCCTTACTTGGGTAGCAAAGGCCCATCTTTTAAGCCCATCACTGTAGTACGCGCCGTGGGCCGTTCACGTGGAAGAGGCCCGGTCGCAGCCCAATCCTCTCTCTGGAGAGCGATCTGAAGAGTTACTTGTTTACGATGAGTTTTATCCATATATATCGTATGTTCTCTAAGTTCTTACTGGGCCTCGGAAAATAAATATTTTTGACAATATAATTTAATATTATGTTTAAATTCTGGATATGCGGTGGCGGGCCGTCGAGTGGGCCCTCCCCGGCGGCGGCGCGGTGGAGCACGGCCTCAATGCGTCCACGTGGCACCCTTCCAGTGAGCATCTAGGATCATCTGAAGCATCTTCGAAATGTCAATTTTTTTAATAAATTTTTTCCCGCTCGTAAATGTCAAATTTAATATTTTAAAATATCAGCTTACGGGACGGTGAATGTAGACGCCTTGAGATATTTTGAGACGCCTAAAAACCATTTTTTCCCGTACGTATCGGCGTGCACCGGATACTGCGTACCACAGAGACGGCACGCTTTTGACGGACTCATCCCTAAATTTTAGTGTCAATTTATGTCGATATGCGCCCTCCGATTCGGTCTTTCTCTCTCCGGAATGGGTCAGCCCGGTTTAGACGTAGGCCCCACCTTCTGAGATTTTCTCATGCGTACAAACACGTGGCGGGCGTACCAAACCGCCTCTGATAATTTCTGACCGCTTCCCTTCCAAACCGGCGACACGATTTTTGCATTGTAAACCTCTCTCTCTGTGGGAGTACAGAAGCAAGGCGACGTTCTCCTTCCAGGTTGGGAGGTCGGCGTCTCGGGAACGCGATGGACGGAGGGGGCGCCGCGGTGGCGGCGCAGTCGCAGGTGGGCGGCGATTGCTGCGGCGGGGAGACGGAGAAGGAGGGGAGAGGGGAGAGAGGGGGGCGGCTATGGAAGAAGGTGAGGTACCAGCTGGTGGAATACCACTCTCTTCCGGGGTATCTCAAGGACAATGAGTACATTCTGGGCTACTACCGCTCCGAGTGGCCCCTCAAGCAGATCCTCCTCAGCATCTTCACCATCCACAACGAAACCCTCAACGTCTGGACGTAAGCACCGCCGCCGCCGCCGCCGCCGCTAATCTAATCTCTCTCGGCCGATGTCTGATTTCCTCTGAGATCGGGTTGTTCGTCCCCGGGGCTTCTTCTGGGTACTTTTCTAGGGATCTCTCTCGCGCATGCAGACTGCCGGTCCGTTTGTTCTCGGTTTCTTCTCTGTTCTATCAATCAATGATGATTTGAGGTCGTCTGACCTAACCCGAAACCGGATGGAATTCACAAGAAAAAGAAGAAAAAAAAAGTATTGCAGGTGGGACTGTTCATGAGATCATTATTATCGGATGATGGGGCGTCTCGATCGAAGCTCAAGCTCTTTCAATCGCATTCCGGGGGACCCACTTCGTCGTCGTCCTCCTCCTCCTCTTTCATCCTTGCGTGTGCCTTGTTTTATGTAGACGTTAGCTTCCTGATCAGAGATTTCTCATCTACATGGGGTCTTCGATTCATATCAGAACTCCTTGACTTTTTCCTGCATCGGGAGGGATGGATTATGTCTATGAAACTGTAGAATTTATGTTGCGTTGACCTCTGCAGCAATTGATGGAGCCCTTCAGGGGGGTGAAATCTCAGAAACAGAGGTTTTTTTTATACAAAATATTGCTAGATTAGTACTCGAGATTGTTCCTGAACAGATGTGCAGATAGATCCTATCTCAGCAAGGTTGACTTGGATGTACGGCTTAGTTCATCCGGGGCTCGGGTTTTTCCATTCAGGTCAAACACCTGCTGGTGAAGATTTAATGATCGACGGAGCTAACCCTCTGCTCTTGATGTTCTAGGCATCTGATCGGGTTCTTCATCTTTCTTGCGTTGACGATATACACTGCGAGGAAGATCCCGAGGGTCGTTGACTTCCACTCTCTGCAACACCTGCCGGATTTGCTCAAGATCCAGTCGGAGGAGCTCCTGAGCTGCCTCCCTTCCTTGCCCCACATATCCGATCTCCATCGGCTGCGTGATGAGCTGAAGACCGCCATCCCATCGATGGACGCCCTTTCGTCGTCTGGGCGGCATTTTCTGGAGCTCATAACCAGCTGCCTGCCCCACGAATTCCCCCATACCAACACTACTGACATCTCTTTCATGGTGAACCCTCTTGCTCCTCGCCTATTTTTCTTTCATTTTCTCTGGAGATTTTCTATTTTTCCAAGTTGGGTTGCGTTCTTGATCGGAAAGGTCGATTCTTGCTATGAGCCCAGCATTTGATCCTCACTTGGGTTTCATATGTGATGCTCGATCGTATGAACAACGAAAGAAAAAAAATAAATTTAGTACTAATACTGATCCTGGGTTTGTTCCTGGCGGGAACGTGCAGAGGATTCTGAAGGAGGACCTGCTGTCCGTGGCAGCGGCGGCGGCGCCCATCTCGCGGTGGCCCTTCTTCGCCTTCCTGGGGGGGGCCATGTTCTGCCTCCTCGCCAGCAGCACCTGCCACCTCTTCTCCTGCCATTCCCCCCGCTTCGCCTACGTGATGCTCCGCCTGGACTACGCCGGCATCGCCGCCCTCATCGCCACCTCCTTCTACCCTCCGGTCTACTACTCCTTCCTCTGCGACCCGCTCTTCTGCGGAATCTACCTCTGCGCCATCACCCTCCTCGGCGGCGCCGCCGTGGCCGTCTCCCTCCTCCCCGTCTTCCAGAGCCCCCGCTTCCGCCCTGTGCGGGCGGCGCTCTTCTTCGGGATGGGCGTCTCCGGCGTCGTCCCCGTCGTCCACAAGCTCCTCGTTTTCCGCCACCGGCCGGAGGCCCTCCACACCGCCACCTATGAGGCCCTCATGGGCCTCCTGTACGGCCTCGGCGCTCTGCTCTACGCCACCAGAGTGCCGGAGCGGTGGCGCCCGGGGAAGTTCGACGTCGCCGGCCACAGCCACCAGCTTTTCCACGTCCTCGTCGTCGCCGGCGCCTACACCCACTACCGCGCCGGCCTGATTTATCTCCGGTGGAGGGACCTTGAAGGTTGCTGAAGACCGACCGACCGACCGAGCGCGCCTCTGAGGATTATTTCACCATGCTTACTCATCTTCCTCCTGCAACTGTGATATCGTCTAAGGTGAGAGGATGGTGAACTGGAAAAAGAATATTAGCTTTTACTAGGAGGGCGAATGGAATAAGGAAGATTTTGCATGATTGTTTTCTACCGGGGCTCCTTCCAGGAAATTGGGAGGGAGGGAGGTCAACCCTGTTGACTATTGTACAACATATATCTTGATGCCGATGAGCTTCTGACGATTCATCAACCGCATCCAAAGTTATTTCATCATACTTACTGACAAAATAATATTAGCTTAACTAAAAGGGCGATTGGAATAAGGAAGATCTTACCTAATTGTTTTTCTACCGGGGCTTCTTCCAGGAAATTGGGGGAAGGGGGAGGGGAGGTCAACCCTGTTGACTTTTGTAGAGCATATATCTTGATGCTGATGAGCTACTGGGGATTCATTCCCTTGTTGCTCATCTTCCTCACGTAAATGATGATCAAAGGCGAGGATGGTGAACTGAAAAAGAATATTAGCCACTAGAAAGGTGATTGGAATAAGGAACATTTTACAAAATTGCTCTCGGGGCCTCTGCCAGGAAATTGGGGAGGGGAAGTCAACCCTTTTGACTATTATAGAACAGATTTCTCGATGATGAGGATCATGTTCCGAACATGTGTCTGTGGACCGGCGCGTCGAAGGTCCGCGCCACCTGCATCCAGGGCTTCTCCACCACCAAGAGGGAGTGCTCCGACAGGTGGCCGACGAACAGGACGGGGTCCTTGAACGCAGACAGGACGAAGTTCCTGATCTCCGACAGCTTCACTTTTGTTCCCTGGTCGGCGGCGGCGGCGTCCCTCAGCTTCCTCTTGACCTTGCCGCTTTCGGAAGGATAGGGGGACTTCTTCCCCGCAGGAGCAAACCCATTGGCCAGGTCAACGCTCACCGGCATTCCAAAGTCAACCAAGCACATCGCCCTACAATAAATAAGTAAACGACCAAACAACCACGAGGTCAACGAACGACCGAAGAGTTGAAGACACCCAGAAAGGAAGAGAGATGAACCTGGAGCTGTAGATGATGACAGAGGTTGAAGACAGGGATGGGGCGAACGAGAGGCCCATGACCTCGCCAGGGAAGTCCTGGAATCTTCTGGGCAGCGAATGAGAGTGGCACCTCGACCACTCCCCGAGCTGCTTCGCCTCCACATCAAACACGAACACGTGGTTCGAGGACGTCGTGACCACGAGGATGTTGGAGTTGCCGGGGGAGAAGCCCCCCGCCGTCACCGACGCGCCGTTCAGTCTCGATATGAACCAGTGCTGCCTGAGAGAACCAGAGCAAGAACATAAAACGGCCGAAGAACAAGGAAGACCACGCTCTGGTGACTTACTGGTTGATCTCGAGGTTGAAGACGTAGATATCTCCGAAGCAGTTGATGGCGGCCAGCCACTGGCCGTCGGGGCTGGTGAGCATTCTGGTTACAGGAGGCTCGCTGAGACGGCGGTCGGCGGCATCGTCGTCTCGGCGCGGCACGAAGACGTGCATCAGCTCCGGTTTGTCTGCGTGAATCATCTACACAAACACGAACCAGAACCAGAGTCAACTCGGGATTCCGGAACTCCAAGAACATGTGGAGATTTGACCCAGAAAAGTGGGAACTCACGTAGATCTTTCTGTCGTGGCCGGAGAGCATCAAGCGGGAGGAATCGGCACTGAAAACGATGGCGTGAGCAAATGGCAGCCCGGGAGGTAGCTTCCTCTTGGAAACAGAGCAGCCGCCATTGCCGGCCTTGTTCCTCCTCAATTCAAACAGACTGGGCTTCGTAAGATCCGAGTAAGCAAACAACACCCCAGAGCTGGAAAATCCGCTGGAGATAATCTTCTGGGATCCCTTGCTCTTAACACGGGCCAGCAGCTGTGTTCCGGCGTTCTTCCCGTAGTCCTTTCCAGAGGCAGCACTGCCCTGTAGTTGCACCCGCGAGACATCCAACCAGCCCGAGTACTGGGCGAGGACCAGTGGAGCTCCGTCCATGAAGGAGTTCAGAGCCAGCTTGAGTGGGGGCTGCTGAGGTGTGGGGCAGATGTCGTGGGGAGAGAACTTTGAGAACTCTCTCACAGAATAGGCAAAGAGCTTGGTGTCGTCGCCCGCAGAGATCAGCATGGGAACCCCCGCATGAGCCCACTTGGAGTAGCTGAACTCAATGGGCTTCCTCTGGCGGCGGATCTTAGTCTTCTTCTCTGGCGGGATATCTGCACATGGGAATGACACGATTTATTTAAGTCAAGCTAGATGGTAATGAAGCATCTAACGATTGCATCACATAAATCAAGGGACCAAGGGCTTTGCCGGCACATGCCTTCGCCACAGATGGGTGACGCCACAGTCAACGCCCTGATGTCGTGGGTATGGACTCTCACATATCGAGCATACACCCATTTGCTTATCATCTCAATGGAGGAGTCGTCCTTGGAAGAAACTGAAGCTTCAGTGAAGAGCTTGTACATGATAACCTGCAGAGGAGATGTAATATAAAATTTCAGCTCATCACAACGAAGATGGACGGCATAATCAACAAAAGATAGTCTAGAAATTCCCCGTCCATTATATGGACTGGATCTCTGCATTCCCTTTACATGGCATAATTTTATTTCATTATGGAAGAAAAAAAAAAGGATCCCCACATCTCAAGATGTAGGGGACCAATCCTTGAGATTTCATCAATTTAACCCACATAAGAAAAACTCCATGAATGACTCCTTGATATTCACAAATGCACGGAATGCAGCTCACATATCATAAGAGCGATATGCCATCAAGCATTTTGTTCAGATGTCAAGATCATGCATACCTGCCCATCCGAACCAGCAGAAAACACTCTGTTGTAACTAGGGGAAGCTGCTAGAACATTGACGTCACCCTTATGGTGAGAGTGTGCCTGTAAAAATGTTCCAAGTCTGCTGTCCCAGAATTGTACACCACCGGCACTATCCCCACTGACAAGGGTTCCACACCTAATGAAAAGATCGAAGAAATATGTCAATCTAGGGACCAGCTTCAGAAATAGTCTTGATAATAAAACTTAACGCGCACTCCAGCTATTAAAGAGTAACTATGACGGTATATTGTCTTACCTGAGGTAAAGTAATGACCACACACAGATTTCCTGTCCAGTACCTAAGCTCCCAACAGTGATTCTGTAGACCTCATGGGCATATGAAGCATCCCAGCATCTAACAAAACTGCAAACGTCGAACAAGAATGGTGACAGGGTGAATAAACATATGCCATTCAGTGTATCGATGAAAAATTGGCCATGCCAGATGATTATTCCATATGCACAAACAGGAATCGCTACATAGGGGAATCACAAGCAACGAACAAGTATTTAAGCATAATGTAAATCATAGGTGCAATGTTACAATTTCAAGAATACAGAGAAATTATGGAAACATAACAGAAAAGTCAACAATTCACAGTGAGGAGTTACCCGTCACTACTCCCAGAAAATATGAGCTTCCCATCAAGGCTCCACGTAACACTTAACATGCGCCCTGTCAATTAAAAAATTGATGAAAAAAATTAAATGAGTAAAAAATCTTAAAGATGCATTATATTGACAATAGAAAACAATTTAAAATGGCATCAGTAAATGTCTCACCACTAACTCTGGGAAATGTTCTCTTATAAGTTAAGGTATCTGAATCAGAAGAAAAGTATAAACGTACACAGCCATCATCACAAGCAAAAGCTAATTGTCTGTTTTCACTTTCATTAGATTCCCCATGAGTTTCGTAAGAGTCCTCATCACTATCACTGGATTCAGAGCTACTCTCAGAAAAGACATTAGCAGATCCATTCATTGTAGACCGCAATTCTGTTTTTGAAGGTTGCGCCAAGTAATTAGATGGTCCTGCAGCCATCTGCCAGATAGCGGCACCAACATAATCTACAATAACCTGCATGCAAAAAGAAACTCCTGGTGTGACTCAATAACATAACATGGAAAAATTTGAAATTTACTAAAAAGGAGTTTCGTACAACCATATCAGGTAATTATTCATAAATGTAATTCAGACCCACGTTGCATTTTCAAGACATGCCCTTAAAAGCATAATTAATTTTAGAACCAGACCACTGACACCAGTCATAAACATATACCAACTGTAAAACTTAAAAACTTGTCACCTCCCAAATACCTCGCATCTCTCACCCAGGACAAAAACTAATTCATCACCAACAAAAGGTATCCTAAAGAAACACTGTTGGCACTCCATGAAGGTTTTAAATGAGGATAGACTGAAGCCACCATTCAATCAAAGAGAAAATAGAACATTGATTTTCTCGGAAGAGCAAAAAAGGTAGAAGAGAGTGAGGAACCACCTTCAATCTGAATTTTTTTTCAGCAATACAGTGCCTTCAAAGCATAAAAAATTGACCATAATTTCTCTGTATAACGGTAAATTGCTGAGTGTTCTTTCAGATGCTCATAGTTTTATTGACTCAAGATTGGTACGCAGGGGATCATATACAGGCAACCTTGATACCAATAGTCGAAACTCTCTCATCCACAAAAAAAGTTGTAGCACAGTGGCTGCGATATCGTCGTAATGATCCATACATTGCTTCCTAAGAATCCTCAGCGCAAGCGTACCTGTAAAATCCATTAACTTCGTAGAGTCGCCCCCCTTCCCCCCACCAGATTCTATAGGTTTCCCGCAAATGTGTAATAAATCTGACGGCAAATCAACCTCTGCGCACCCCAGTTCCAAACAACTAGCTCGGCTCAACTAGGTCCTTGCATATAACCCCATGTCTACGGAAGAACAGGTCGATGTTTTACCATTAATATCAAGAAATAGAAAACTCTAACAAACATTCAATTTGGCATCTCAAACTTCATCTCCAATTAAAATCACCCAAAACTGCGAACGTAAATTTCCTTGGAAAGTAAGCTAATAAAACCATTATAGGCTTTCAGGATTTTTTTTAATATTATCTTTTTTCTACGTCTCCACAAATGGATAGTAAGCTCTACATCAGCCATAAGCCAAAACTGAAATCAAGGGCAAGAAAACCAAACATCAGAAAAAGAGCAAACCTTTTGTTGCAAGGAAAAAATATCCCATTCTGACAGTGAGCCATCGAGGCTTGAAGAAATCAAACGACCAGGACCCGAACTTCGTGAGCTCGGATGGAACCAAAGCAACGAAGACACTCTGGAGTTAGGGTCGCCTTGGATCCTCTACATCAGAGGAAATTAACAACAGAACAAACCATAGTCTCAGTAGAAGAGGCGCTCAATTGTAACGGTAACCAATGAGAGCAAAGACCCATACCAGCTGACAATGCCATCCCACGGAGCCCGGGGAGACGAGCCAAATCTCCATGGAGCCGTCCTCCCTGGCGGCCGCAACACGAGATCCATCCGCGCTGGTGGCAAGCGCCAAGACCGCCGAGGGCTTCCATTCCAACGAATTGTTCCTATACACCCAGAGCTTCTCCATCCGCGGCGAGTGGCGATAAAGATAGAGACCTGGACCCCGAAGAAGGGGGGGAGGACGACCGACTCGGAAACCTAGCCTGCTGAACTACTATTTCACTTCTCCGGGATGATAACAACGGCGACGGAGTTGACCAAGGAAGGAGGCCCAAAAATCCCTGACCTCCCCCCACGCGACACCGGCGACCGCGGTCCGGCTGGTGGGGGGCGGATATACGGTGGAGGCACTGGCCGGCGGCAGGCGATGGATGGCCAGCCTCGCTATGGCGGAGCAGATTCGAGAGCTTCCCTGGTTCTCGGAGGACGCAAGCGGGGAAGACTGGAGGAGGCGGCGGCGGGTGTCTCCACGCTTCGCCAAGCGCATCAGGTTTTGAAAGGTTTTAGGGTGAACTCTCTCTCTCTCTCTCTCTGCAGGTCGAGTTTCTGTGCGGTAATCTCACCGAAAAGTAATAAAACCCTTACAAATACTTCATTTATTATTCTGCTCTAAATACTAAATATTTTTGTTCATGTCCTCATTGTAGGTAACCTACATGGACTGTGGGCCCGCTCTTCACCACGGCCCGATTTGACTAGGCCTCTGACTTTCGAGATGGTTCTTCTACGATTGCCCTCGTTAGCTTCTGTATCAGCGTCTCTCCAGTCTCTGTGAGACAACGAGAGGAGGAGCGGCGTTGACGATGGGTCAACGGCTGAGACGACGAGCGCCGCCTTGGCCGAGGATTCAACGTAGAAGGCTGAGTTATCCGAATTATGTAGAGGAGTTACAGGTGGGAGATGAGCTCCACGGAGATCCTCTCCGTTGACGATGCCTCTAGAAAGCTTGATTTATTGGCAAGAGAAGGTGGAGGGGGGGTTGCAAGATCACGCGGTGGCGCCGCCGGGCATGGCACCGCCGTTGCAGCCGTCCATCAGTTTGAGGAAGAACCGGAGCTCCTCAGGTTCCTGGTCGTAGAGCTCATGGAAGCACCGCCTGAGCTTGGCCTCGTCGGGGCGGATATCGGCGCAACAGTCACCAGTGAGGGGCCGGCCGTCGGACTCCATCAGGCAGGGATGCGTCCGGTAGAGGAGCTTCATGCAGCCGTCGCTCGCCGGGTTTATCGCCGGCGCCGGCGTGAAAGCCTTCGAACCTTGGGCGCCGTCGCCAGCGGCGGCGGACAGAACCAGAGAGGAGGCCGCCACGACGGCGAGGAAGAGGACGCTACCGGCGCCGGCGCGGGAGCACTTCGCCATCTGCCGCAATGGGATCTTCTTCTTCTTCTTCCTCCTCTCGCTTACTGGCCAAGTCGATATGCAGAGGCATTTGTATGATCCTGAGGGTGGAGGGACGTTACTGAGTTCAGATGGCATTCAATGGGTGGGTAAATGGGAGGAGAGAGCTCTCGCGATATGGCGTAAATAACGGATTTCTCCTCATTGATATAGGAGGCGTCTCTCTCTCTCTCTCTCTCTCTTTCTCTCTCTCGTTATGTGAGAAGCTCATTAAAACTATTTTTTCATAATCATCCCGGAGGAGAGAGAGAGGGGAGAGAGAGAGAGAGAGGAAAGAGAGGGAGAGATGGCCCATTCGACTCGGTCTGATGGATCGGACTCGGTCGATTCATCCGACTCTAGAAGCATTGACACCTCATCAATTTGGGATCGGGTAACTCGGTAAACCCGGTCCACAGACTCGTTTCTCGGTCGTCACTCCCACCATTACTACCTCAAGGCCGCAGGGAAGAACGCGGCCGGGTCGGCGAACTGGGGACTCGGGGCTCGGGTTTCAGATCTCGGGGAGCCTAGAAGCTACGACCGTTATGCCATCAGTCGTGAGGCAGTGGTAATTACTTGAATGGATTTAGTAACTTTTACAATCTCTCGAAGATCCATTCGATAAGAAGGCTGTAAGAAGAGCGAACTCGGTCTGCTGACGGGACTGGCATCCCGCTGCTGCGATCTCCCTCCCGGCCAAGGCAGACGAGGCGGCTGCCCCATGGATGACGCCTACAGTAGATCAGTCTCTGAGGTGAGCTGCGTCCGCCACGCCGTCGGTGCTCGCCAATGCAGTGTCGGCGGCGTCGGAGGGTCGTGCCTCCGGGCCCTGGCTCCCGATCCATCTGCGGCGTGCCGTTTCACGACGAGGCGCTGTTGGTTTGACTTAGTGTGATTTGGTCCTGCGTGCTTTGTTTCGTCAGGTGCTGGAAGCTTTCGGAGTGGATCAGGGGAAAGGGCTGACAGACGCCCAGGTACAGATGTAATTCACGCATGGTTAGGCCGGTGTGGAGGCTCCTGACAAATGTTACGTCACTTACTATCTTGCAGGTTGCTGAAAATGCTCGGATTTATGGCAGGAACGGTATGGTTGCTACTGCCTGACGTGTGACTATAGATTTTTTGTGGACATGTAAATTATTTTGAGTCGTACTGAAATTCTGTTTCAGTTACTCCAATGAACATGGGAATCCGGTTTAGCTTAGGATGCAACTCTAACTAGAAAGTACATCAAGGTAGTCCACTGCTAATAACCAATCCCTCAAATGCGACACCCACAATGTCTTCTTCTTCAGTGTGAGCAGTCTTCCTTGATATGCTGCACTGCAGGGAGCTTCTTATGGAAATATGACTTTAAAGGCGGAGATCCAAGCCTAGGAAGGACACTACCAGTACCAACTTGTCAAACATTTTGTATGAAATTGTCATCAGAGTGATGCACAGTGTAATGAAGGATGCCGCGAAATTCCATATTTTGATGCTAAAAGGAACCGTACATTATGTGCAAAGAAGTTTTCCACATGACAAAAATTCTAGCTTTTCATCATTTCCAACCTGTTAATAGTTGTATTTCAGCGGAGGCTCTGAATTGATTGAGCCACCAAAGCTGCCAAATGAAAACTATTGAAAGACATTCTCTGAAAAAATTTGGTTTTGGGGTTGACTGTGGTGGTGGAGAGTTCGTAGAAGTAATCATGAAAGAAGAGATATCATGCAGTTATTTATGTTCAGACGTAGATCATGTTGTGTAACAAGTAAAAGAAGATATTAAAGAGGAATTGGCACACAAATTTAGAGTGTATTTCTTTATGAAGGCCATAGAAAACCTAATAATATGTGGTGCTCTAAAAGGAATGCATTTTAAATGTTAAGGGTACAAAAAAAATGATATAAAGCAACAATCTAGTTCAAATAGAGTGCAAATTAGGATGGCTTTTCCTTTCTTACTGATAAAATCCTCGGTGGAATTTTGAAGGCAATTCCAATTCTTTTGATATTCGGAGTACCTGTAGTAGTTTGTCATGATACAAAACAGATTAATTATACTTTATGATGAATGAATCATTTGAGATGTTAAGACTGTCCAACAGCCTATCTCCACGTCCTTTTCACAACTTTTATCCATTGACTGGAATAGTAGTCCTTTGTCTAAATGATCACTGATGTGGAAACTGATTATCTCGTTCTTTTTTCTTTTTTTTTCTGAATGTTGGTGTCTCCATTGCAGTTCTGCCTCAAGAAGGAAGTAAGTTCAATTTTTTTTCTTCTAATCAGATTACTTTATAGCATCTAGTTATGTTATGCTTCTGATCTTTCACCTCTAAGTTAAGTTGGTTTGGAAATATCCCTGTTCTTGTATATAGTTTGTTCTGTTGTATTTTTTCTTAATGAGTTGAATGAACTTCTTCCCTTTAATATTTTCTTGGGTTATTTGTGATTTGTTAAAACGTTCTTGATGTCTAACCTCCTATTAGTGGACTCCTGTAGATAAGATAAATGGGACATATGTTTTCATCAGATTGAAGTCAACAAAATTTTGGGATTCTCCCTGAAATTATCCTCCTGTTTGTATTTCTGACATATACTTGTAGAACCCTTGTGATCACGCTCGACCATGAATATGCATAAGTGAAAAAGGGGGGCTACTTGCTCTCCCTGTGATGAGAAGGCTAGCAAAGGCCCAAGAAAGAAAGAAAGAAAGAAAAAAGGGAAGGTTTCTACAAGCATACAGATGAGGCTGATGTGACATATAGATCCGCCAGCTTTCTATCATATCACAGTAGTGCTGACGAACCCTTAAAACAATAAGTTGTAGGGAAAAAGTTACAAACTGTGGTGGAGATTTTTTTTTTTGAGAAACTGTTATTGCTTGTGCTGTACTGCATTAACCACTGCACTAGCTTTATTAAATAATATCATGATTGACGGCTTGGGCTTAGCCTTAGTAATATTTTTTAGATATGAAAAGAAGAATTCAGTGCACTTCACGCTGTTGTCTTTTCAAATGTGTAGAAAGAAAAATAAAGTGTGGCAACAGTACAGGAACAGTGATTGGAGGAAGGGAACTGTAATTTGGTAAGATAAAGCGCTCAGAATGAGACAAATTTTATGGAATATACTGCATTCCAATGAGAACATCACCTGACATCAATTGCCTTGGACTTGGGAACTGATTAAAGAATTATAAAAATGCTGTTGACTGTGCACAATCCATTGTTGTGGAGAACTGGATAAACTGTAAATAGAAAACAAGGGAGGAAATCATGTAAGTAGAAACCTCTCAGACTTTATCATTTACAAAGGAAATGTTATTTTTAGATAATTTCACTGATACATAGCACTCATTTTCATAAGTTACATATTGAATAATGCTACATATTGAATAATTTCATTGTATGCTTGGAGCAATGTTACATGTTTAATAATTTCATTGTACGATCGGAGTAATGGTACATATTGAATAGTACCAATTATAAGTTGCGAGAACTATTCATCTGGACGAGTGGCCCGACCAAGAACGTGGTCCTGGGTCTAGTAGTGAACTGATTATCCATCTTCACGATTTCCAAAACAGTGAGAAAAACAGAGGCAAGGGTGCCTTATTCTGTGTTACAGAGAAATATTTTCATCTAACCAGATGATGGAAATATGTAGCGGGTGCCAATCAGACTGGCTGGGCGAAGTAAAGTCTGGATCTACCCAATAAATCTTTTGTAAAGTTGATACCTTCGCATGGAATGGGGAAAAGTTCAAAAAAATGTGCTCCAAATGAAACTTGGGCTTCATCTATCCTGCCACATGGAGCTGCCAGTGAGAAGGGTGAATGCAATGCCATTAGTGTTGGGGCGGAACTGCAGATAGGTGGACCTCTAGTAAGAGGGTGCTTGGGCCTCCAGTGGAGGGAGGGGGAGGGGTCTGACGCTGGGGTTGTGAACACGTGGTGGTGAGTGGGTGGCCAGATGAGGACGTGGTGTCTTTCTTCTCAGCTGGATGGGGAGAGGGATTGTTTCCCACCAGGCAAGGTTGCTAACTGTTCTCTGTTTCCCATTAAACTGGTAACTGGCTCATCTGCATCATTTCCGTTATGCACATTTTTTCGTGGGTTTGCATACGATTTAGCTTCATTTATTGTTATATTGACATCATCCCTGGCTGTAGAATCGATATGCACATTAATTTTTGATGTTTCCCCTCCTTTAGATCGATGTTTCTAATCCACGAAATAGTACAATAATGCATTGGAAAATCATTGCAGGAGATAGTATGTTTTTGAGGTAGATCAAGTTCTGGCTTCCTGTGAGCCTGTTAGGCGTTCTTAAATGACTGTTCAACTCGGGCTCTTTGGTCTATATATTTAACTGCATGGCCCTATCTGATTGGTTGTTCTCATTTGATGTGATAGCCTGGTTGTTTGCATGGTATTTTAAATATTTCTTATTTCCCTTAAATGATACTGTGCTTATGCATTGTTCTTTTATTGACTAATAATCAAAATGATTTCCTCCATCACCTTCGTGGTCAATTTTCGATGCAGGCACTCCCTTCTGGAAATTAATTCTGAAACAATTTGATGACTTGCTTGTCAAGATATTGATTGCTGCTGCCATTATTTCGTTTCTTTTGGCTTTGTTTGATGGGGAGACAGGCTTGACAGCATTCCTAGAACCATCTGTAAGAACTCATTGATGCTATCATGCATGCTTTAAGATATCACTGTTGACTCGTTTGCTTGATTTCTTTTAGAGTAACTGTGGGATATGCGCCGCGCGCAGTTTTTTTATTAATAAATATTTACTTCATAGTTCTAATGTGCCTCTAATACAAATCAAGCAAACATGTTTCATCATAACGACTTTGCAACATGAAATTGTAATATTTTGATCAGTCATCGACCTTTCCTCTGAATTATAATGGAATAAGTTGCTAAATATCACACTTTATTTACAGTTTGAATTTATCAAAGAAATATGCATGCCTAGACATATTCCTGACTTGTTCCTCAGCCTTATATTAATTTCCCATTTGCTTATATTTTGATTACATCGACCAATCATTCCCAGAATGGTCGAAAAGGAAAATCGGATGGTTTTTTTGTATGGTTTTATTTTTTTATTTATATATTTCCGTTAACTCATTTTACTCGAGTATTATTCCAATTTATTATTTTCTATTAATTTTTTTAAAAAACATTTCTGGAAAATCCCTAAATGAGCTTATATGGTGATTTTATTTCAAATGCACGACAATATGCTTTCATGCTGGGGCCATGTATTTTTTTTCTTTCCTTGGCTACGTTTTAAAATTTGGTCTTGCTCTTATTCTAGGAGTTGTCTTAAAATTGCATTCATAGCTGCTAACTATGCTTCGTTGGAATTAGATATCTGCTTATTTCCTTTTAAAATGCATTCGTTAATCATGGTACTTATTTTCCTGAATGACAGATTTTATTTTTATTTTTTCTTACAATCCTTCAACAACCATTTATTCAATCATCCCCTAAAACTTTCAGAATTCCTATAGGTTATCTTGATGATATTGGCCGCAAATGCTGCTGTAGGTGTTATTACGGAGACAAATGCGGAAAAAGCTATTGAGGTAGCTCCTTTCTTATAGGAAACCCCTTTTTCCCTTTCATAATGCTATTGAGGTCGTCCTTTCTTCATTTTATTTTGGTTATTGTCCATAACTTGTAGCTGAAGATGGCATTGCATGAACCAGTTCTGATATCCAGGGAACTCTTACCATTGTCGTTGCGGCAGCTGCGCTCATTGCCTATTGTTGTATTGAAATTTTGTTCGTAGTGTACATTTGGAAGGATTTCATTTGCTTGAATCCAAATTGAGACTAAAGAGGATGAGTAATTAGGATTCTTTTTCTGTTTCGGTGGTTCAGTAAAGTTGTATAGTTTTGTTGGGATGGAAAAAGTTCTGGATGCTTGTGGGCAAAGGATCTTGTTTCTTAGGTTAAGCTTGTCCTTCCCCACCAATGGGATATTCACGCTGGCAGCTGATAATTTTTCTTATATGGAAATTTCTATGACGGGTTTTCATACTTCATTTATTAAAATTCATCTTTGGTTTGTGCGTTTTGATAAAATTATATCTTAAACCTTAATTCGCTATAGTTTACTAGTTTGATCAGTACCATGTGGGAAGGGTCAATACAATACAAAACTCTTGATTCTTTCTTTCCATGCATCATGAGTTTAACGGATAAAGTGATAGATCTAATTCTTTTTGCAGTGTTGTAGGAGCCTATGTGTTCAGTCATTTTCTTTTAGACATTATTTTTTAAAGTTACTTCATATCTTTGAAAAAGTCCTCTTCCTCGTATTGCATTGCTTTATAAGTCTTAATATTCTTACCTTTTCCATTCTGAAATGTAATCATATAGGAGTTGCGGGCATATCAAGCTGATGTTGCTACTGTGCTTCGAAATGGTAAAAGAAAATCCCATCAATTGTCTTTTCTGGTTTCCATATACCTATATTTGCATTCTTTTACATTCTTATTTATTTCTGTGATAGATGATGATTTCCTTCATCATAATTGATGTGGACTGCCGAATGACAGTTAACATGTAAACATGGATTAGTTGGAATCGGAGGAGCTGAAAATCTGATAGAACCAGACAGCTGCAAAATAACTCGGTCATTAATTTTAAAGCCTTCAGTTTTGTGTGTGCCTTCAGTTTAATATGCTTTGATTCTTAGCTTGGACCAAGGAGATGCTGATCAACCGAAAAATTCATTTATATCAAGGGATTTTTCATGAATTATGTTGGGATCCATGTAGTATTTTGCAGAAGTATGAGATTGTGTCAGATTTGCCTATTATAAAATAATTCGTTTTCTGAATTATGTGAGGATCTGCCTTAAATCACCTCCTTTTTACCCCTTATGTGAATGAAGGTGGTGTCCGCAATACAGATGCCTATTTCTGTTTCATAAAATGAATGATGCTCTCAACTTCTCTGACATCTTGAGAGTGTAAAAGGACAAAGAAGAAAGAGCACAAACTATTCTTCTGGAAGTTGTTGCTTCAGCCTAATACTCCTCTCACATGAACCCCTATATCATTTTATTGATACATTTCTGCCTCTGCTGAATCCTAATATGGCAGGATTAAGCATATACGTTGTCATAGACTGACAGTAGTAAGCTTTTAATCCATATGGTTACCTCAGCCAGCGTCAGAGAAAAATGTACTCACTCATCATGGTTTATACCTGTTTTCTTTGACATTTCTTTTTTCAGTAGTTCTGCATCAAGGTTGTGCTCTGAATAACTTTTGGTCTGCTTACTAGAAACTTTTCCCTAGTGAAGAAATATTCGCTTTTTATTTCCTCAGAATTTTCTTTTGTTCACCATTGATTTTAGTTGCTAGGGTGGAAAACTTTGCCTTTTTTTCCTATTACACACCGCATTATTTTGCATGTATTCCCCTGCCAATTATTATTTCTGTCTATTGCTTAGTTAACCAAATCTTGTGAACAGTTTGTAGCCCATATAAAGCGGTACTATTGTTCAAGAGGTCATTTCATCTATTCCAGCTAGAAATGGAAATTTGCTGACATGAAACGTTGATTGGCAAGTTTCACCTGGAAAAATCTTCTTCAGAGTGATAATCTTATGACAATGTTACAGGTTGCTTTTCAATTTTACCAGCTACAACACTTGTCCCTGGCGATATTGTGGAAGTTGGAGGTACACCAGTTGTGTTGCATATTACAGCTATGCTTTAAATTAAGGTTATCCACTTTGTCACTGTAAAATTACCATCTTGCCAACTTCACAGTTGGGGACAAGATTCCTGCTGATATGAGAATGGTCGAGATGCTGAGTAGTCATCTACGTGTTGACCAGGCAATCCTTACTGGTACATATTATACTTTTTTTCTTGGGAGCAATTTCACTTTAATGTCACGGTTAATTTATTCTTTGTTACAAAAGAACTCTAGTGTTGAAGTGTTTGCATATATGATGTAATGTCTGACTAAAACTGGAGATTTCGAAGTCTTTTGTGTCCATAAACCCTGAGAATGAAAAATTTGCCCTTTTGACCTGCCCAGAACATTTTATATGTTTGTTCTCTGCTATTTATAATCAGCTTGGGTTTAACATTCATCTGCCTTCCTGTTCCTTTGCCTTGGGTTTAACATTCGAAGTCTGCTATTTTGTGTCCTGAAGCTTGGTCTCACTCCACAAAGTTCTTAGGCTACAAATGAACTAAGTTTATTGGAAATTGAGATGAGATAAGTTAGTTATACGTTTTGCCGTACTACCCATGGAGTGCTAGTTTATTGTTATTTTTTACTCAATTATAGTCATATGTTATGAAATTGACAGTTGCAGAGAAAATGGGCAAGTGGGCGTGGGTGGATGACAGTCTCTTAAGGAGTGTAATTTTTCCGCTAATGACCCTGTTAGCTTATGCAATGAGTTGAAAACATAACCGAATTCTCCTCGAGAAAACTATTGTGATATATGTCCAAATTTTCTTATATACTCTGTTAAAGTGAGTTTCGAATTTGATCATTTCCATGAGTCGAAGATCCATTTTATCTTTTAGAATTCTTGGAAATTGTTTTCCGTCTTATACATGATTATGTTTGTTTAAACAGGTGAAAGCTGTTCTGTTGCAAAAGAACTTGACCGTACTCTGGCAACAAATGCTGTCTACCAAGACAAGACAAACATTCTTTTCTCAGTAAGATACAGTCTTCCCTTTTTAGTTGGAGTTTCTGATCTCATAATTTCCTTTACAGAGTTTGCAAAAAAAAAAAATGTATTCTGTGAAGTTTTTTTAGTTGGAGTCTTGATTATTCTGCTCGTTTTTAATTATTATTTTGAGGATAATGAAGGTTGTATCCTGTCAATCTGGGGTTGGTTTCAGACCTGAATGACGAAATATCAAAGACTCTCGTGCTTAAGTCCGAGGTTGTGGGTATTAAAGACAGAATTAGATGAGTGATGATATATTTCAATAAAGAGGAAGCTGGTCAATCTCAGTCTCCTCTATTGGACACAATTGGAGGTTTCCAATCTGATTTAGCCAGGGAATTCCAATCCCTACCTGATCTTCCTCCTTGGCACTGTCTCCACTGTCACCAATGTATTTAGACTTGGCCCAGAGTTCTCTGATCTGATCTTGGAGGGGGAGGAGGATTCCGATTCCTACCAAACACCCCACCATGCTTTTATCACTCTTTTCTTCCTCATTGCCTCAATCATCTCTCCACCAAATCATCACCTTCAAATTGACACCATCTGGCCATGGAGGCTGATGGATGAAGAATAGAACACTTACGATCCCCCCACCTCAATCCTCTATCAGCAACAACTGCCGACTGCTATTGCTTGCGACCAGTATTATTGTTGGCGTTGGGTGGCAGTAAATGGAGATGGTATTGAAGACGGGTGCCCAGGATAATATCCTCACAGAAATGGGAAGAGAGTTTCTTAAAGAAAGATGATAAAAGCCCTGACTTATTTTATTGTAAATTATATTTCTTCATTAAGTCATACTGTTTACTATTTACAATTTTTTATCCTTTTTCTATGTTGTTAACCGGATTTGGGTTTCCATATGGGTTGGCCAATCTTGATCTAATAGCCGTTCTGGCTGTCTAGTCTGATCCTTCATTTCCTGCTGTCCTCTACTCTTCTTCTTTTGGTTTTTCGTCTTGTTCTTCTACTTCTCTGCCCCTTTTTTCTCTCCCTCCTTTTTCTTTAAGGTGCAAACATAGCTGTAGCTGTCCGACTTGTCTTGGTTGTTTGGATTTGGAGCTCACGTATTCTCTCCTAGTCTCATATGACATGATGGTATTGCACAACCTCTCTTTCTCACATGAGTTTGGAAGAGGCTGTGTAAGTAGTAGAATTTGAACTAATTCTACTGTTTTTGGCCTAGCTGACCCTAGCTTGGTTTATCCTGGGTAGATAAAAATTCTTTATTTTTTGAATTACCTTGTGAAGATTTTTCCCCTCTCGAACTCAGATTGAACTTTTACCTCTTATGAAATGGCATTGATGATTCATTCGATCAAGAGGAGGCTTTGACCTTTAGCTCGAAACAGTGATTTGTGGCCAATATTAACTGGTTGCTTTCAGGGAACTACAGTGGTCGCTGGTCGTGCAAGAGCTGTTGTCGTGGGCATTGGGTCCAATACTGCAATGGGTAGCATTCGTGACGCAATGCTGAGAACTGAAGATGTGAGTCCCTTGAGATGATATATCTCCCCTCTATGATTGAGTCTGTTCCCCCTACTTTATAGTCTCTAGACTATGTAATATCATCCAAGATATCAAGCTCTAATTAAATTCATATTTCATATCATCAATTTCATGATTTTATATTAATATTTTAAAATTATCAAATTAATATTGAGTTAACTCAAGTCAACAATTGAGTCCTGCGCTTAAAATATTTTTTCTCTATAAAAGAAGTTTAAATTGTTATGCTCATCTCGTCTATTTGTGTAGCATGAGCGTCTTGCAGCAGTTCTTCTTTGTTAGATTGTTGTTACTTATTTTATTTAGAATCTTATTGTTTTTCTTGTTCAACATCTGCAATTACGTTGAACCTTACACCATAAATTCAAATTGTAGACAAGATCTATGATATGTTTTCTCATGTCAGTTCTCTATTTTGTTTCTGTGGTATCACAGGAAATGACGCCATTAAAGAAGAAGCTTGATGAGTTTGGTACTTTTCTGGCAAAGGTGATTCTCTCTTCTAGTTTATAAAAGTTAGTTGAGGTAAATTGTCCAACTTGTTTTGAGTGAAGAATATTTCCATGAGAGTGGGTACCAAATATTGCCTTTAAATCTCTTTCTTCCTTTGTAACTAAAAAATATTTCCACGAGCTTGAAAATACTAACCAGCTATAATTTGTTTTTATCCAGTCTTGACTTTGGTTCATTTGTAAGATAATTTATCTTGTTTTCTCCTAACCTATGGAAGCTATAATGTTCTCTAGATTGACCTTTCTATGCAGATTCAAACCTGAGATTGATCGACTGCAACATCAATAGCGGAATGGCTTTCATGAGCATGATGTTTTTTTAGGAGTGTTTCATTAGGTCTCTTCAGATATTCTGGACGACACGATAGACATGCTCACCAAGTGTTATAAGGGTCATTTCCTGACTGCTTTTGGCAGCAGTTTGATAGCGTCATTAGATGTATCAAAATGGATGGCCGTTGGATGGAAAACTGGATACTATTATCCTTCTAGTTTGATCACTGTACATATTTTGTGGAATGACAAATAGTTGCTGCACCCATGTCATAAAAGAAAAGTAGTCAGATCTGTTAAGCAATACAGGCAGTAAATTTAGAGGGGTTTTAAATATTAAGGCAAACTTCACATTCAGTCATTGGCGGAAAAGATATATTTCATCTCATTAGATAAGGTATTTCCTGGACCAGTTGATGGACTTAGATCAAAAGCCCATTCCTTTGTGGACTGTTTCAAAGGTTCCATTATTTGTTGACTTAAATGAGGAACCTCTGATCATAGCTACCATATTTTTTCTCTCTGGGTTCTGACCAAACATGAAATGGAGAGTAAATTTCTGTATGCTCACGACTTTGTAAGACTCCTTCGTTCAAGCATCAAAGCTGAAAAATACCTCAATATCTCCAATGATTCTTGTGTGATTCTCAAGTCAGAAACAATGAGCACCTGCATTCTCGTACGAGCATTCTTCTAAAACTGGAGTCTCAAGACCATCTTTCTTTGGGGATGTCATAAATCGTAGGAGAAAATAAGTTTCGCTTCTACCTCATCACTAAGTATTTTTTGAGTATTTCAAAGTGTCAGGATAAGGTTCATTCCTTTTCTTTAGGTACCATAAAAGGGCACTACATGAAAACATGCTAATGCGAGATACAGCGGATGAAGAAGATAATCTCCTAGTGGTTGCATCAAACTACGAAACATCTGTCTGGTGTGTGGATTATATGATTGACCCCATATTAGTACTCAGGTTCACCAAAACTCTGCTTGTAAAATGCATGATTTGAAACACAGCATTGCAGCTTATTCATATTTTAAATATATTTCAAATAAAGTGGAAAGTCATTTAGATAATATGTTAAAATTTGCACCTAAGTCAGCTTAATGGGACCAAGGTGACCAAACCAATCTTTATCAAGATGAAACTGAAGACAAAATCAAATGATTGCCCATTCAAAGCCATGCAGATTGATCATACCTCCTTGCTGGTTACCAACCATTGTTCGTTCCAATTCAGATGCGTGGTTATCTGGAAACGGTTAAAATCTGGTATCAGCGATGCTTGCTTTTATTTCTGGAGTTGGCCCTTGATTTAGGATATCGATACTACTCCCTATGGACGAGTACGTGCCTTAGTAGTTGAACTGAAGTCAATACTTCAGCTCTCAAATCCTAGAAAGAAAAATTAGGGGATCATAGTGAGGGTCTACTTGCTTCTCTTCGAAGATGAAGCTAATACCCTTTAGTTACGCATCTGCCATTGTGGTTAGAGACCCTTCAAAACCATCTCATGACTCTAGGGAAGAGCCTCCCCACCAGTGATTATTGAGCTACTCTAGAAAACTTCTGAGATGTGTCTCGTGAGCAGATTCTTTATGAGCTTAAACCGGCGCGTACTCTGGGTGGGTCCTCTCTTTATATGGGTGGACATCAAAACTTGTATATTTTTGGCTTAGGATTGAGTCAGTATTCCCTTATTATTGACAGTGCTTTAAGATTATGACACTATGCCATCATCTTCGTGAGAACATATGCATGTAGACGGCTCTACACAGAAAAGGCAACTTTATGTCTTCAGACAATACCATTTCCTGGAGCTCATAGTTTGACTTGGAAACATTCAGTGATTATTGATTAAAAGCTATGCTGATTGGATGGATTAAAATCATCACATTCATAAAACGGTGGCATCCAGGTTTTACTAATTTGGATTCCAATTGTCTGATCTCTGGAATCATATCAGATTTGATTTTTAAAGTTAGCAAGCGGTTGTTTGATGCTGCCATATAAATAAATGATGTGATTCAAACATAATGCTTATAAATCTGCCTTATGATGGTTTGACAATCAGTTGTCAATTCATGTTTGTAAACAGAAAAGACTGTATCCTTGGTATCTTTTGTATAAAACAAGATAATGTTAATAATATTCGTTGATATAACAAAGAGTTCAAGGTATATATTGGCTCATATTTGCGCTATTTCCCGCCTCACTAGTATCATGCCAAACTCGAATTATCTTACTGCTTCTATTTCCAGCTTTTCGTTTTGATCTTGGTGATGATATTAGCTTATAATAGTATATTAGTTTGTTAGGTGATTATGAAGTTGGTCTAATTTCGTGGAATTAGTGCTCTTAGACTTTTTCTTGTCATAGCTCATTTTTATTCTCTTTAGGTCATTGCAGGGATCTGTATACTCGTATGGGTTGTGAACATTGGTCATTTCCGTGATCCATCTCATGGTGGTATTTTGAGGGGTGCTATCCATTACTTCAAGGTATCTCTTTTAGATAGCTCTAGTTTTTGCAATTTACATTGTTTATAGTTTATTTTTTTATGTCGAAATTACTTTTATTTTTTCCACTGCATAGAAATGATCCATTTTTGTCATTGTGATGATACTCAATGGCCCAAAGCTAGTAAATTAAGTGAATTTTTAAAAAAAATACTAAATATCATTATAGTCAACCAGCCGTTCTTAAGCCCTCATAAAGATGACCATAAGTTGCATGTTATCTTTATAATTTTATAGATAAATGCATATGTGAAACAGTTATACATTTTCTAATAATTTTCTTTACATATTTTGATGATTTATTTTTTATATAAAATTTATTTTCAAATTTCATCATTTATTTTTAAATCAGTTTAAATATGTTTTGAAAGGCATTTTGCATGCACCTTTCAATGTTGTTAGAGATTATAACGGTGAATTGAATCTTTATTGTTTTGTTACATTAAAAACTTTGGTTATACTTTGTCATGCATTGTGTTTTATGAACTTTATTTCAGTGCGGACCTAGTTATTGATTATATCATGGAAACAAGAGAGTACAATAGGTGATTGGGACAATGAATAGTAAGAACATTGAGCCTCTAAAAAAGTTTAGTAATCTAGCAAAATTTCACATAAATACGAGAAGGCGTCATAACCAAATTTTCTTTCTATCTTTGGACCTCCCCAATGGGGTAGCGTTGATATTTTCTCATATTTCTATTTCTTTGAACTACTGATTTGGGAAATGAGATTGCTTTGTTGACGGTATTCTATAGATCATTGAATTCAAGTTGAAATCTTCTGTTGCTTCTTTGCCTCCAACTAGCCTACAGTGCTAGCTTTAGCACCTTCCAATCAATTTATGGTTGGGTGGAAAATGATATTCTATGGTTGGGTGGAAATTTATATGTCATCCCTCTGAGCCATCAAACTTTTATGGTTTATATAATCATTAGGATGAGTTTGAATTGATCCAAATATCATTGTCCACATATGATTAATTCTCACATCCAAGGTATTGACAGAAAATCTCTTGAAAGGCACCACGGAACAATTTCTTGTGATCTGGCTTGAATATATGAATTCTATGAAATAAGGTGTCATCCACCGACCAATATTCATGGAAAAAGTATTATATGTGAGGAATCTTGTACGCACTTCAAACTCTTCCAATTTCTTTATTATCTTTTATGATTCTGTTTTTTCCTTATTTGCAGATTGCAGTTGCTTTAGCAGTTGCAGCAATTCCAGAAGGACTTCCTGCTGTTGTGACAACGTCGGTATTCTAAATGAACTTTTTAACTGTCAATTCTAAATGAACTTTCAAGATGGAGACCTGCTCCCCGCATTACAATTGGTTTTGAGTAGGATGGCCCAATAAGTACGACAGTTTTTTAATTTTTCAAATGTAAATATCACGTTGGCAGGAAATAAGTGCGCTCATCTAGCTTGATAAGTAAATTAACTTTTTTCTTATTCAAAATTAAAAGTGGTGCTATTCACTTTTGGAAACAAGAACCAAACAGAGGGTGGAATGACAGGAAATTCACCTTCTTGGCAACATACTTGAAGACATTATTAACTATAAGTTTGTATGCATACTCCTATGCATTTCTGAATTCCTTATTGGAAAGTTCGGATAGCAATTTTGTTCATCTTATTTGGACAAATCAACATCTCTACGAGCATCAGTGCTATATGTCCGATCATCAAACCTAGATGTATTGATAAATTTTGGGATGGTTCTGTTTCACTAGTTGAAGATAAATTAGGCATAAATTAAAAGCTATAACGAAATATGTCATGTTCATGTGGACTTAATTTCAGACATTTTTTTGTTTTTCTGCTGAACCTTATAGTGTTCCTTGTTCTTGTTATCTAGCTGCTTAGCTCTTGGAACTAAGAGAATGGCTCGACTAAATGCTATTGTACGGTCATTACCATCAGTGGAGACCTTAGGTTGCACAACGGTAATTTGCAGTGACAAGACTGGCACTCTCACAACGAACATGATGTCCGTTTCAAAGGTGATTGTGTGGATCCTTGAATGTATGAACTGCTTTGTTTATAACATCTTTCTGTCAAGTGTCTGTTCCACTTTGTTCATTCTTTGCCCGAAACATTTAATCTGCTTCAGATATAGGAGGGATGGGGCCTGTGTCTTGTTGGCTCTATGGTATCCACTTCATATATTAGGTGTAGAAAACCAAAATTCAGATTCCGAATTTATTGTAGAGAAAGATTTGTGATAGCCCACTTGTGTCTTAGTTTGTGCCCAAGTGTGCTGAATAACAGCCAGTGTCTCCTCAGGTTTATGTTGACCTTGCCTAAGATTGCATGTATAACTTGGGTGTAATGCTGTTATTTATCATTGGTTAATAAACTTAGGTGCAATATGAAAAACTTGGGTGCAAGCTGCTCTAATTTTGCTTGGGAAATCCTGAACTGACAATAATTCTTAGTGTTCCATTACATAGGATACTGTTCCTTTTTATTTTACAGCAGATTTTTTTGTACTCTTATCAGAAGATTCTAGTGTGTTTCCATAAACATATTCTGCTGTTTTTTTGGTTGTTTTATAGATTTGTGTAGTTCATTCTGTGCACCATCGTTCTATCACTTCAGAGTATACCGTCAGTGGAACCACTTATTCCCCAGAAGGCCTTATTTTTGATGCTGCGGGAGTGCAGGTAACACAATTTTCTAAATATTGATCTTGCTGTTCTCTATGGAATTCAGAGTTTCGTGACATGTTCTTTCTCAATGCCATGCCTAATTTTGTAGTACCTTGACTGGTATTTATTTGTTTCCTCCTAGCTTGAATTCCCTGCACAGTTTCCCTGTCTTCTTCACATAGCGATGTGTTCAGCACTTTGCAATGAATCTATCTTACAATACAACCCGGATAAAAAAAACTATGAAAAGATTGGTGAGTCAACAGAAGTTGCACTCCGTGTTCTCGCAGAAAAGGTCAGTTCAATCGTAACCGATATTGTTTTCTTTGCCAGCTCCTTTTTTTTAAGTTTGATGACTTCATAGATCACGTGTATGCATATCAGGTGGGTCTTCCCGGTTTTGATTCAATGCCGTCAGCTTTGGATATGCTCTCCAAACATGAGAGAGCATCATATTGTAATCATTATTGGGAACACCAGTTTAAAAAGGTTTGCGTTTAACTCTGAAAGCATGGGTCCTAAAATTGTGGCTAATTGAACTGGATTTAGGTTGATTCAGTTTCATATTACTCGTCTAGTTTGTTCCACATTCTCTTGTTTGTATATCAGCTACAGCACTGCACATTTACACCAGTATACATTTATCACGCGGAAGATATGTTTCTAATATTTTGATCACGTGGCCACCTTCCTTCCTATGGCCAAATATCTTGTGCCTTACGTGTCTATGCGGAACATTAACACAAATATCATACACCAGTGATACTGCCTTGTTTTCTTATAACATTAACACTTCTTGTTTTCTATGCGGAATTCAAGGGAAGACATGTATATCTTGTTCCTTGGTGTTATTTCATGCAATAGATTTGTGAAATGATCCTCATCATGATAGATATAAGGAGCTGCATTCCTGCTGGTGATCTGCTCAGTGAATGGACTGTCTTCTGTCTTTCTTGATATGCAAACGTTACTTGTAATGTGAGGTGCAATGTCATTTTCTGGTATATGTTTCTTTCCTTTTGTTAGCTGAATGTATACTTGTGTGTAATTCTTCTTTCCAATGGAAATAATCACATGGTAATATCCACTTTGAAAAAAAATTCATGTCTGTGTGTGAACGATTTTACTTAATATTGCGAGCTGCCTAATGTTTTCTATGTGGAGGTTAAAAATCGCTCCTTTCTTTGGGAGCTCCGATGTGAAATTGGTCTTTGATAATTTTTCATCGGGTTTCATATAAGTTGATTAATCCATCATACTTGCTCGCATTTTTATATACAGAATTGCCTTCTATTACCCCGTCCTTTATCAATTTTCTCGATGTTTGGTTTTGCATAATAATCACCGTCCAGAATGTCACTATTCTATCTGCTTGTTCATATTCTGATGAGTTGGGCGCTTACACAGGTCTCCGTTTTGGAATTTTCTCGTGACCGCAAAATGATGAGCGTACTTTGTAGCCGGAAACAGCAAGAGATAATGTTTTCAAAAGGTGCCCCTGAGAGCATACTATCAAGATGCACACATATTTTATGCAACGAGGATGGCTCTTCTGTTCCGTTAACTGCTGATATTCGCTCAGAGTTGGAGACTAGATTTCATAGGTACATCCGTTTTCTCCCTTTTCCCATACAACAGTAAGCTAAATCTCATAAACGGCAAGTTGAGAGTTGGTCTCACTCAACTTGCTTTGAGTAGAGACAAAATTGGGCATTGTCATCCTTTTTGTAATAATATCAGGAACCTAATGCTTTGAGCCTTCATGTGGTGAACACAGTCCCCTGAATCTAACCTTTCTACGATGAAATTGCTGTCAATCCCTTGGGTTTTTCCATGCAACGGTAGATTATTTGGGATGCTTATTGTTGTCTTGTCATACACAGCGATAGATATACTCCAGTAGAAAATATCCTATGGGAAATTTATACCCGAACAACTGAGCTACCGTTTAATCAGTCTCCTAGATTCAGCTTCTACTCTTATAGTCTTATTTTGTTTCTTTGTAATTTCTTCAGGATATTTTTGTATTTAAAGCTTCTGTTTAAACAAATGGGCTTATTTCAGGGAGCTAGTATCTAATGACTGATACATTGTGACATTTAACAATTCGATCAAGGAAACCAATCATAATCCTGTTCGTGATGTTCTATTTTACTTTTATCGTGATAAGTAGCTCCCACAGCAAGTTTCATGATTTTTCATCGACCTAAGAAACTTTTCTAGTATTTAATCTGGTACTAAGGCTGATTTATCTTGAGAAAATTATCTTGATTTCTGACAAGGCAGTGCCTGGAGTATCATTTCTCCGAAAGGTGAATAAAGTTGGATTTGTTCGGTGCTATGTCGACTAATATCTCTGAAAGATTGAAATACTTTGAACAAACATTTCTAAATGAAATTTTTTAACATCAGAGGAGTCATCGTGCTCTTGTATAGATTCTTGAAACGCAGATTCTTTTTTGGGCTGAAGTCTCCGCTTAGTACAATGTTTCCACCGACGAAAGGAGGTTTGAAATTAGTAAATTCAAGCTTCTGAACCTTGTTTTGAATTTAGTGGTCTGGAAATACTTTCAATGATGTTTTCAGCATATTGTAGCTTTTGGATGATTTTAATATTTTTTCTTGATCATGTTGTTTGTAAATAGCATTCTTTTATATGTTTGTCTTCTGAAATCAGTCTTTTATTTGACTAGCTTTACGACTTAGATGTCTTTAATACTCAATTAGATTATATATGATGTATTTATTAACGTTAAGAAACTATTCTGATGTAATCGTTTTTTACTGTTAACATTGGTAATATTAGAGAGATTCCAATTATCATATTTTCACTTTCCAAAAAATTCTTTTTAAATGTGCTTACATTTTTCACGTTCCATCAAACCAGTTTGGCAGGGAAGGATACCCTGAGATGTTTGGCGTTTGCATTAAAACGAATGCCATTGGGACAACAAACTCTTTACCCTGAAGATGAGGCAGACCTCACGTTTATTGGCCTGGTACATCCTTTTCTTATGTATCTTTTTGGTTAATTCCTCCCTTTGATGCGAATGATATTTATGCCATCATCACATAAAATTCCTTCTATGTTTATAATCTTTTGTCTCTTAGTGAAAAAACCCATAAGCCTGTGTCATGTGCTAGGAAAGTTTCAAAGCAACTTTGAGCCTGTGCCTGGATATTCTATATCTGTTGTTACTTCTGTAGAAGATGGTTTCTCTGCTTCTTTATTCACTCTCTTGAAGATTTATTGTAACTTGGTAACTTGTATTTGTTAGCTCTGTGTTCTGAGGTTATGATTGGCTGAGTTGGTGATCTCGTGGTCTGATTAACTTGACATGGTATGGAGGATCGGCTGCTCTAACCCAATTCATGTTGTTTCTGAATTACGTCTAAGGGGTGGATTCGACAAATCTGATCGATATCTTGGTTGGCTGTGAATGAAATTAACCTTGTCAATCCTGATACCGTGCATATTAGAAAGGGTCAAAATGCGGGTGAATTGGGAGAACTCAGCCAAAGTCAGCACAGTTTACATAAGGCATGCTGTATTGCTCGAGTGTGATGAAATAACTTGTTGATTTAGTCAAAAGAGTACAAAAGGATATATGTTTTTGTTAGAGATACTTGTTTTATATGTTTCTAGTTGGGATTCAAATAAAAAGAGTGAGCTTTTCAAAGCTATTCCCACTTTGAAGTCCATTTGCGAAAGAAGATGAATATGCAGCCGAAGACACAGGTAAAGCCTGCAATCGGTGACTGGGGAAGAAAAACCAATAAGCTAATTTTAGTAAGGACGGCTGGGATTAGATATGTTGAAAACATTGGATGGGTCAGGTTCTTCTTCTTTTCATCATTTCTTTTCCTCTTCCTCTGTGATTCCATCCATGCTAAAATTTCAGCAAAAATAACAGGAGACACTTAGAAATGTCTTGAACCATTAAAAATCCTAAAAAGGCATGAGTAATAAACTCGTATCAGTTGAGATTTACAGAAATCCGACTAATACCTCTGAGAACACTTGATTTTATGGGTTTTCATGTAAGATTTCAAGCATGAGTCGACCAACCTGATTGCACTGTAACTTTGATACAATTGCGTGTCAATAATTTTTCTGTTACATATTCTCACTATTTTATTTCTGTCCAATGCACGATTTTTAAATTTCAGGTTCTGTCAGTACCTTGAAAATGTGTTAACAGTACCTTGAAAGTTTTGTCCTCCAGGCCACCTATTTCCTATTAAGATAGTTGTCTTTCGTCCATGTCATCGGCTTAATAATATTGTGAATTGAAGTGATCATCATTAGTTATGGTTGTAAGACAATTTTCTGCAGCTGCCTTAACTCATTAATTTGCTTCCGTATTTTCTTCTTCTGTTGAAGGTTGGGATGCGGGATCCACCAAGAGTTGAAGTAAAAAATGCCATACTATCTTGTATGTCGGCTGGGATACGTGTTATAGTTGTTACTGGGGACAACAAAGTAAGGCTAAGGCAAAATATCTTATTGGTTTTTAATGCTTCTTTTGAAGAATTAACTAACTATATTGGTACATATTATGTGTCAGTCCACAGCAGAATCTCTTTGCCGTCAAATTGGAGCTTTTGAGCACTTGGATGATCTCAGTGGATACTCATATACTGCTTCTGAGTTTGAGGAACTTCCACCATTGGAGCGAGCTGCAGCTTTGCAACGTATCATACTACTTACGAGGTAGAATGTCATTTATTGTCTGCTAGTAAATATGATGTAATCGTGATAATTTATGACTTTTAGTTAAATAACGTCATAATTCTGTTTATTGTCCTAGTCTTAGCTTTACTCGTTGATCATTACAATTAATTGGTTACAATTTGGAATGTTAATGTCTTACCAAATACTCTATATGATATGCTATCACCGGGGTCCTAACATTTTGCGTGCCATATTCCCCATTGGTAGCCAATGCTTTCTTTGAGATTGAGTTTGTTTTATGCATCCATCAGTCATATGTTAGACAGGTGTAAAACTAGTGACTTCTATTTAGAAAGTATCTCCTCACGTGCTCCTAGGTTGCCGTAAATGTAGGTATCATCAGGAGAGATATCCTTGAAAGACCTTATCTAACGTCTGTATTAATCCAAGAAAAAAGTTTCCATATATAATCGATTCAATATCTTGGAAATGATTTCGTTTCCATCCTCCGAAAATGATTTCGGACTCTTGAGATACCTGATAAATTTCATCTCTTTGTAAGCTAAAACGTTATATTAATTCATTAGTAGATCCTAGGTTTATCATGCAAATAATGGCATGCTTCTTACACAGTATAAATGTGCGAATTTCTAAAGCACTGGCCTCTTAATTATTGAAAAAGCAACTGAGTAGAAATAAATTGACACAAGCACCAATATAATTTTTTTCATAACTGATTCAGTTTCGAAGGTTCAAAATAAATGATAAATACCAATTTAAAGTGCTAAGTCAACAGGGACTTCATGAAGATGCTAGGGAATAGCTAGGGAATAAGTAGGGTATGCGATTTTCAGTCATAAGACAACTCCACTTCTCATGGCATCGCAAAAGTAGCGGAAAATAGTCAACTATGCTCCTTTTGTGTTATGATAAATGAAGTGCTGGGGTCCTCTGACATCACCTTACAAATGAGTGGGACCACAGAATTTTTTTTGATGATATGCAAATCCTATGTGTGTTGAAAAGTCGACATCAGTACATATATTCTCAAAATGAATGAATCTATGAATGAAATCAATCTTGGCTTCCGAAATCGTGTTACCTACTTGGGAAGACTTTCCAATGGAAACAAGGCATGCTATGATATTTTCCCATACCTTCATAACAAGTTAGAGAAGCGAGTTATGAACACTGACCATGCCACTCAATTGCATCTCAATACAACTCTTTTGAAATATATCATCAACTCATTTGTAATATCTTGGTACCCTACAATGTGTAAAGAGGGTATGTAAACGGTATAAATCTTCCAACAAAGTCGACTACCATTTTTTCATGCAACATGAAAAGAGAATGAATATAGGGCCAAGCCTTTGATTGAAACAGACAATCATCGTGTTTTAGATGTAACGAAAATGGGTAAGTGGCAAAGCTCTTCCAACGAATCAGACTATCCTTGTGACTGTTGGAACAAAGAAGCTGTTTCGCACTTCTGAGAACTATGATAAACTTAAAGGCTAGATGCTTGGAACAGGAGGTGTGCCATCGGCCATCATTTTCCATCTGAACGTGCTAGTTGCTGTTATTTTAGGGTTTAATTGATCTATTTAAACATATGAGGTAGTTCAAGGAGTTTTACTGATTGCACATGTGAAGGACCACACTGGTCCTATCTGATTTTTTTCGTTTCGGGCTACAGTCCGAGTGATTTTCCTTTTCACATAGAAAGTATTGTTGTATCATCTATGCGTCTACATTTTTCTTATCACAAACGGAATTTTACTATTGGATATCTGTTCACGCAGTAATAACAGTCGTCATCCTAACTTACGTTAGAAGCCTCATCCGTAGAGAATTCGTCCAATCTCCCCCATATACTTTAGTTTTAATTGAAAAAAAAATCTATTGCACTTGCCTATGGAGCATATATTAATTAATTCTTATTAAAATTTCAAAAGGTTCCTCTCTGTATTTTTCTCAAAGAAGATGTCGTTGGTCAGACTTTGGAACATATTATGCAAGGATTGGGTGCATATAATTTTTTTATAACACCATCTATTTAAGAGGTTAAGCGTATCTTTTTGCATGTATGTGCTAGGAGGGTTAGCATTTGTCTCTATGCATGTATCCTCTGAGAGGGGTTGAGTGTGGACTTTTCATTTGCTTAGGACAAGTTTACTCAAAAGATGACTGGGCACCTGGATTTTAGTCGGTTGACTTACGTAGTGCATGATGCTCTTGGCAACTTTGTGTACAAGTTAATTTACAAGACTGAAGGAAAACTTTGCTCTTTACTACCTACTGCAATTTTATTTGATTTTTCCCCCGGTAGGTTTTCCTTGTGTATAACGTATTCCCATTTCATGTTATAGAGTTGAACCATCTCATAAAAGGATGCTCGTTGAAGCGCTCCAAAATCAAAATGAAGTCGTAAGATTCTGATCCATGTCGTCTCTTTCTTAGATAGGCACACAATCGGGCAAATTATCAATGATATTCTCGAAAGTGGAGTGCCCTAAACTACCGGTGTTGGTGTCTTACTTTTTCTCTTTTCTATTTGGCTTACACTTTGGTGTTTTCTTTCTTTTTATTCTTCAGGTTGCAATGACAGGTGATGGAGTCAATGATGCACCTGCACTCAAGAAAGCTGACATCGGAATTGCGATGGGTTCAGGAACAGCGGTTGCTAAGGTATTCTGTCCAGTCACTGGCAACCCATCATTCTCCCGGAAAGGCTGCCAATTAATGCTGGCCAAATCAAATGACTGAATTAATCGTTGAAAGATCATTGGTTTTAGCGTACGAGGACCACAGTTCATGAGAATATTTTTGTCTATGTTGATGACCTGAATTGATCTTGTCTTTCTGTCGAATAATGCAAGCAACTATATTATTTTTTCAGAGTGCTTCTGATATGGTGTTGGCTGATGACAATTTTGCTTCAATTGTCTCAGTAAGTTGTTTACCAGTGTAAAATTGTCAATTAGTTCTATGATTCTTAGGTTCTCCTATCCTTATTTGTAAAGTGTACCTCTCCGTATGAAATCCGCAGTAGTTTTCTTTTTTTAATAGTTTACTATGCTCTTACCAGGCTGTTGCAGAAGGAAGAGCTATATATAACAATACCAAGCAATTTATCAGATATATGATCTCTTCAAATATTGGAGAAGTGGTTTGTATATTTGTTGCAGCAATACTTGGGATGCCAGAAACTCTTATACCTGTAAGTTAACAAATCACTAACATTTCTCCATCTAGTATGTTTTGTGCTTGATTGCTTCATCAATTTTTTTGACGAAATTCGTCTTATACAGTTCGCCATCTCTAAAATAATAATTGACTTTTGGATACGTACATATGTATCCTGCGTTTGCCAAATCGAACTCGGGATCATTGGAAATGCCAAAAGTGAAGTGACAACCATAACAATATGGCCTCGGTTCCCAACGTTGGAGTGGAAAAGGAAAAAGGAGTAGGGAGATCTACGACAGAGGGGACATTGGATTTGCGGGGGCCATCGCTGCTAGCACTTCCACCTTCAGCCACTGATATCTGTTTCTTTCCTCTCTTTTGAATTGGGTTGGACTTGCTTCCATCTACTGTCATATACTCTTTTTCATCAGTCACAAACGTGCTTCCACAGTTTGTTATAAGGTGATGTCTCCAGTGGGTAGTACAGTCTACTCTATCCACTGCAAAAGGAGTAGAGATCATTGGGTGATGCGGGAGGGGTTATTAATGATTTAATGTTCTCAATACCAACTTGACTTGAATCTTCATATGCATGTCAGGATGGGAAAGTTCAAAACTTGAGTTGACTAGTATGGATCCATAGTTCCAATTCACATTATCGGTTAGGACAGCTAAAGGTGACATAGTTGTATGAGTTGGAAAAAATTTCAAGATTCACACGTAGTTTTATGACTTAGAGCCAAGTTATTGGGAGAGTCACATCGGTACAATCCAACCTAATTTATGGTCTGTTTTGGTCTAAATATGATATGAAGCCAGCCATTTTGCTTTGTTTATCATTGAATAATCATTTCAATCTTATCTCTTTCTTTTCTTCTAGTAAGCATGTTATGCTACATATGTGATGTATGTGGAATGCTCTTGTCAGATGGTTTTGAGATAGATGTTTTGGATTCCTGAGAGTAATATTTGCTATGCAGTACTTGTTTCCTTATGTTTCTGCTATTTGCTGAAATTCTAATATCTAATGTAACGTCAATAGAGACATTTCTTCCTGGTTCTATTGAATGAGAAAGAGAAATACTTTCTCTTCTGTCTTGCGTTTTCTCTAATGTATTCTAGAATATTGTTCCTTAGAGTTAACTTTTGACCAATTTTTTTTTTCAGGTTCAATTACTTTGGGTGAATTTGGTCACTGATGGATTGCCTGCAACAGCAATAGGTTTTAACAAACAAGATTCGAATGTTATGATGGCTAAACCTCGCAAGGTACTTTTTTGGTTTTTGAATGCTGAACTTCTGATAACTTTACGTGTGTGTTATGTGCATGTTTAACTTCAACACAGGCTTCACCATACCGCTTACTGTTATCAGATTACAGCAGTCTTGACCTTATGACTCATCCAAATTGTCATGTGTAAATAGTATTATCTGGGATCTAATACTTTTAGATTAGTGAATGTGGGAATTTGTGATATTAAATCGCGTGGATTATATGCATGAAGATTGTGATTGAAATTTTTCCAGCTCTTCTTTTGTGAGACAGATTAGGTTAAAGCATCTTTGAACTGGCCGAAATGGTCGTTTGTTTTTTTGGTATTAAGGCTCAGAATCCTAAGGTCCAGAAGTTTTAGGATTCACGAAAGAGAGATTTATCAGAATTTCTTCTTTATTTCTTACTAGCAATACCGCTCTGCTGTTGTTCTAATGCAAGTCCAAAGAAATAATGAATTCGTCTTCTGTGGCATCTTGGAAACCAAGCGCCATCACATAATGATGCAAGTGAAACCTGTAAACCTACAGACTTGTGTTCACATGATAGAAAGGAAAGATAAACGTAAACAGATTTATTATCTCCAAAGAGTAATGGAACTACCTTCGGGGCATGGAAAGAAACTTTAGGGCTGTTGGATGACAGAACATGTCTGACATTCTTCATGATGTCTGGACGCTCAATGATTGTTTGTTGCATACAATCAGTAGTCGCCTTGTCAGACTGCCTGTTAGATGCTTGATACTTTGTTGTGACTTGTTTCTTTATTTCATCATCAGATAAGTGAAGCAGTAGTCAGCGGCTGGCTATTTTTCCGTTATTTGATAATTGGAGGTAAACGTGCGACCAAACTACATATTTCTTTTCCTGCTTGCTTTTTTTAATTTTATATCACTGACTTCAGCTCAAGGTTTTATGATGTCTTCTTTTAAAATCCTTCTCAATAACAAAACTTAGTCCTGCTTTGTAATTCCGTGGTGTCTAGCCTGCAATGATGCATTCATGCACATGTGCAAAAACTCATTGATTAGAAAGCGTTCTTCAAATGCTCATGTGGTATCAGAGAATGTAAAAACGAATTAGATACTGAAATCAGGCATCACCTAACCGATTTAAACCATGCATTTATGCAATGGTAGAGCCATGACAACGCAATAAGGCATCATGTCGAATATTGAGGACATAGGTACAACCACGAATAATTATTGTTAAAGTGAATAACAGTGACCCATATTTGTTTTAAGTCAATTATAGAGGTAAGTACTAATCATTTGTAACTTTAGATCTAAAGGTCAGTGCAACTTCAGAAGTATATTAAAAGCGAATCTGTTTTCCTCCATTAATAGATTTGGAGATAGTCTTACGTGTGATCGGAATTATATATGATCAGCACAGAATGATAGTACTTTACTACTCAGACTTCGTCTATGTCATGCATAAACTACAACATAGGGAGATTTCCATTACACATTCACTCCTATGGACTGTGATCGTGAGACTATGGTCATACAGATGAAGATTTGATGAAAATCAAGCTCGCCTGACCGTGCTGAATTTACCCCACTGTCTAGGGGCTCAACAAACTTTTCGGAATGCCACTGCATGCAAGGGTCTATTCAAGCCCTGCTATGACAAGGTCATTAATCGAATTCATACCTCAGAAACCCTATTAGACCTGGAAGTTCATCTTGTATCATTCCTCACTTAGAGTGTAATAATTGGATACAACATGCAGACAGATTTGAGGTCAGAAAGTGAAAGTGGCAGTGGCTGCGATTGGCAGAAAATCCATACAAGGTCAATACCTACTATTCAGGCAGACTAGACAATAGATTGACCTTCTGTGTACAGTGCTTGGGGAAATACTTTACCTGCCTTTCAGGAACATTGACATGCTAGATTAGCACCTATTATCCATACCTCCCACACAGTGGCTGGTGACCCGTTGTTTGATAAGGGTGGTCCAGATAGAGCCTCTTCTACCGTTCAGACAAAAAGAAAACAGTTTGATTAGGGTGGTCCAGTAATCTTGGCGATACTTTCTGAAGCATCTGCAAACCGTCTGGGCATCTAATTCAAGGTGAAAATTAGGTTTTTAAAAAGAGAAAGACATGGATATATATCCATATAGAGTTTACTCAGCATGTCATGGAACTCAATGACTTAAACCATATTCATGCCTCTTGGAATATTACTACCATGGTTTGAATACCCTCACCATAGAACCTCGATTATAAACCCAAAACTAGAAGTTTGTCACGAAAATTTCGAATTTGAGAACCGCCTCTAAAGAAAACAACTGAAGTTTCTTTTTTGTAGGGCACGCAATTTGTGTAATGAGATATCGTCTATTATATAGAGTTCAATGTTCCCCCCTTATTTATTTTGTTGGCTACGAATGAAAAAAACGTCTTTCATGTAATGTTCCACATGGATATATTATTTATATCTGCTTGGAATTAAAATATGAAATATTATGTGATCATGCAACTCATAATCTTTCTCTCTTCTAATGTTGGGCCAACTTTACTTAAGAGCCAATTGCTATAATTTCACTTTGGCTATGGAATTAAATCTTAGAATATCATATGCTCCGAAATTTGCATGTATACAATGTGAAACTACAGTTCCTTCATTATGTCTTCCTTCATAGCACTATTTTTTATCATGTTCCTTTGTAATTTTTTAGCCTGGTTGTGTTTTCTTGCAGCTTATGTTGGTCTTGCAACTATTGCTGGCTATTTATGGTGGTTTATTTACGCTGATGGTGGTCCAAAGATACCCTATTATGAATTGGTGAGATGCAGGTTTCATAGCTTTTTCCAATATTATTTGGGGTTCATAGTTTGGATATGGTTCCTGTTGAATTATGTTGTGCAGTAGTGAATGCTAGCGTCACTATCACAGTCGGATTGAACCTTTCGGAGATGGTATACACATCCTCTATAAGACAGGGAATCCTTTTTTTTGCCATTTTACTGAGACATAGTGCATACTTAACATCGTTCATGTATTGTTCTCGGAAAATAAAAATTTCCTCGTTCTGGCATGGTAATTCGGTATCTAGTTTTCGAAATGTGACCTTTATTCGAGTTGAATTTTTTATAGATTAATTTTTTCGCAATTATTTTATTTTATTGGTACCCAGTCTGGGCTGTTTGCGCTGCAGACTACATGCTGGTCTACTCCAGTTCATCCCATATGCTGTACCATATTTAACCAGACTTCAACGGGACAATCTGAGAATCTATGAACTCCACCATGAAAGATAGCAAATCCTTTTGCTAGATGCTTTTTTAGATAGGAGACTTCAACTCATCTGTGCGGTTCATAGAACGTTTATGCTACGATGCTTTTTAAAAGATGACAAAACTTAAATTATAATATTTTATAATGTCAAAACTTAGATAATATCTCGTATGAGATTATTTTTCTTTTGATTTAAAATTTTATCATTTTCTGGTATTTTAATATTTATCATATCCTTTTAGTACTATGCCATACGTGTAATGATCGATCGTTCACATATGGTCAATGAAACTTTCATTTTTGTAACTTTTTCGTCAAGTTTCTTTTTCATTGAGATCTCATAATCTTCCACAAATAGCTAGATTTGTTATTCTATTCAGTAGGAAAAAAATTGGAATCATGTCACAATCTGTTTCATCCTGTAGAAAATCATAGGAGCAGGGAGAATAACCTCTGTTACAGAGGACAGAGGGGACAACGGCAGGCAACCGCCTCACTCTTCATTCACCTCTAACAACCCTTATTTATGGAGGAACCCTAGACAACCGTCCCAAAATACCCTCAGTCTTTTACAGTATTTCCTTACGAGCTAGAACTTCCAACACATACTCAGCAAGAAAAACAATAAAAGTACCTGCGTTTGCATTTTCCTTTGAAGTACATGTATGTTTTATGATCTTCAGTTATTTAATTTGGACATCACATTTGCGAGAATCTAACGCTGACATTTTTATTGGTCAACAATCCTGTCTGTGATTTATGTGAGGCTGTATCATTTGTATTGTTTCGCGACGATAGGAAAGAACAGATTCCGATTTTGGCATGTAGTCCATTTTTTTTTTTTTCAGAAATACATTTTTCTCTAGCCTAACACCAAAGAAATGTCAGTTGCTTCCGTCACTGCACCTAATACACATCACAAGGAACCAAGAATTTGGATGTTGTTGTATCTTAGGTCTTGTATCTCGTATTTTATTTACCTTGTTCATGATCTTAACTGCCTCGGTCATATTTCTTCTCCTTTTTACAGATTTTTTAATTACTCCTCTTCATGACCTGCAGGTTAATTTTGATTCTTGTTCAACAAGGCAAACACAATACCCTTGCAGCATATTTGATGACCGTCATCCATCTACCTTGTCAATGACGGTTCTCGTTGTTGTCGAAATGTTCAATGCTCTAAACAACTTGAGTGAAAACCAGTCTTTACTGTAAGTCTTACTCTTCACTTATAACCATATGCCTCAGTTTTAATGAGACTCGCCGCTGCACCAGCTTCAGTTGAAGAATGCAGCGTCTGTCCAGTATATACCCCACCTGTCCGCCAGAAATGTCTTGTTGTCGAATTTCTGGTTGCACTTATCGGTGATTGATAGAGTTTGCACATTCTTCTTCTGGTATCACCCATTTCATTATCTTTTTTAGGAAACATTCATAAAATAAAAGGTTCCTTCCTCTTCTTAGTTACCCTCATAATTCATGGCTTCAACTGAGACGATCATGAAAATCCTTCGATTTTATAATTTGAAAAGCTACTGATTTAGAGAGTGTGGTTGAAGGGAAAAAGTATATTCAGAGGTTTAAGGCTGCAGTATATGAGACATCAAAAAATTCGATTTAGATATTGAAGGGGAGATCTCAGAGTGTACATAAGATGCAGAGGCTTGTTCTTCTTGGTGGCCTAAAGAAAAAAAGAAAATGTCTGAAAAATAGATACATTTTCCGGGAAAAGGTAGCTCACTGAAATAGGCCAGCGTAGAAAACGTAAAGGTGGGCATGGTGCGTCTCCAGATCCTTGACTTGAACCTCCTTCACCCCCATCCTGCATATTACCTTTAATCTGAAGGCGTAGATTTGATTGGGCTGGTTAGTTCTTCAACTGTCAGCGACTACGAACTCTTTGCTGTCCCTAGAAGTCAATTTTTGTTATGATTTGAATTTTATTTCAACATCTTAGTTGCAGTAACAAACTAGAGCTCTTAGAAAAAAACTGACAGCATTGGTCACTGGTTATTAACTCAATTTGAGCCTTTGGCATCCATGCGAAGGAAAAAGAAAAGGGGGATTAGCTGACCGAATTATCTCGGTTTTAATTCTGATTTGTGCTGCGATTCGCTCATCATCAACCATGCTCATATGGAATTCCCCAAATCCTAGCTGTCATTCAAATTGGCTTCTAAAATAGAAGAACAGCTGCAATTGTCAATTGGAAGTAAAAGCAAGAGATGGAGAATGAAAAATTTAATGCTATGAAAAGGAAAAAATTATAGATAGAGAGCCGATTTCCAGTTTTCTAGCATGTTCGGAACTTGAACTTGAAGTAAGATCATATTTTTCTCGGCAAAAAGTAGTAGACTGACACGAGGACTGGCATTTCTTTAATCCCATGCAGCTAAGCTGCGTTGTATCTAGGTAGGTAAACTTGGGAGGTTCCGGCAAGTGCATTGCAGTGGCTCAACCGTTAAAGAACCGAAATACTCCTAGATAGTTCACTAGCATGCCAATAATGGTTGTATCAGTCGTTTTCGAAACGTGCTAATGTAATTTATATGGCCTTTTTCAGAGTAATACCACCGTGGAGTAACCCTTGGCTTGTCGGATCAATTATCCTCACTATGGTCCTCCATATATTCATATTATATGTCAAACCTCTGTCCATTCTCTTCTCGGTAAGTCTTCATTCCCCTGCTCCCTCTCCCTCAGAAGACCTTCATTCATTGATATGAGTTTTCAGGAAGGCATTCATCTATCGTTCTGAGCTCTGTCATTCCTTATCTTGCAGGTGGCTCCACTCTCGTTGGCTGATTGGGCTGTTGTTCTGTATCTTTCTTTCCCTGTGAGTAATATTATTATCATTACTACTAATTGGCCTAGGTTCAGATTTTATCCTCAATTTCTTTATTATAATAAATGAAAAGCGAATGCCCTTCTATCGTCAGATAGTCTTGTTAGCAGGGCCACAATCCTCCATCCTACGTTGTCTTCTTCTTTCATCAAGTGCCTATTTTGAGCTTCTTCTAATCTTCCTTTTGCGCCATGCCTGATCGCCATTAACTGCCAGTGACGTAGAAAGTTGTCCATATTAATATGTCAAGTGGGAAATTCGTGCTGGAATTGCGCTTCATTTTCCACAAGAAGTACGCCGTGAACTGCTATTTCGTTTGCCATGCGACTGAATGACGTTCCTCGCGCAGGTGGTAATAATCGACGAGATACTGAAGTTCTTCTCAAGAAATAATAGAGGTAATAAATAGGGGGTTGATATCACTCCGAACATTTCTTCAAATTGCCATTTTGATAAATATCTTATAAATCATCTGATGTTCTGCCAACTTTGGTTGATTGATATCTCATTGCATTGGCCGATCAAAGTGAGATTGTAGGTGTCACCTTCATTGATTGATATTTTATCAAAAAATTGTCATTTGGGTAGCATATCTCGTCATATCAGCTGTCGATCTTGGTGAATTATCTTATCCCATTTTTTCTGATTTTCCAGTGGCTTCTGCGATCATTAAGCAGATAAATAAATCAGAATTAAAAAGGGTCTCAGAAATTCTTTTTAATTTTGTTTGCGTCAAACGAAACGGGTTATAGTTAACTCTCCATGTCATGCATCATCAGTGGCTTCATATTCCAAACAGAGTCATCATCATACTGCATGATATTGCAGCGCTCTCTTTCAGTTTCCTTTCGAATTAATTCGCTTATTATTATTATTATTATTATTATTATTTCTTCCCGTATTTTTCTCTCCATAGTTTCAGTTTCAGTTTCCCCCGGGAATTAATCACTCTTCCGACCTCACCCACCAGCTGACCGTTTCCTTCCTCCTCTGTGCGCAGGTAGAAGGTTCAACTTCAGATTCGGAAGGCACGATCTCCTCCCTAAGAGAGAAGCCCGCGACAAATGAGGCGTATATTTTACACTTTTTTCAATATATTTATTGCCCCTAGAGATCCCCTTTTATTTTATTATAAAAAAAGAAGACCTGGAGGCCAGCTGAGAAACTGTCGTCAGTGGGGAAACCCGTCTTCAGTTCTTTATTCCCACTGAGAAAAGGGATCGCTGCACTCGCAGGTTGATGCGCACCCCAGAGCGTCTCTCTCTCTCTCTCTCTCTCTCTCTATCTCTTTTTCCCTTTTTTTCTTTCTTTTTTTTTATTGGAGCAGTTGCCCACATCGAAATCTGAGACCTTCGTCCACTTCTGGGCTGCAACCTGTTTCTTTCTAGTGCAGCTGCATCGGTGTAAAGGAAGGGAGAGGGTGATGTGAAAAGGGCCCTCCTACCTAGTCTCGTGGTTCTTTCTACATTTCCCCATGTTGACCAAGTGAAATAAGCAAAAAATCGTTGTTGACCGAATCTGCAGGTGTCTTCTAGGCAGCAAGTTGCTTACTATTAAACAATTATTTTATTGGATCAGTGCCCAGTCAACATCATCATCCTCATCAGCAACGATGGAGACTTTTTTCTGGTGCTCGATAAAGAGCCGCAGGCAAATATCAGATGGGGCCCACTCGAATGTTCGACTGGAGGCAGTCAAATGCACGTTGGGTAGGTGAAGAAATCACGCGGGAGCCGCCGCCCCCACCGCCGCCACCGCCCGCCGGGCCGTAGACCAGATAAGTCTTCGGATAGGAGGAGGGTCTCGCTAGAGCTTCTCCTTTCACCATTGGAGCCCGGGAAGAAATCATCATACCCAAGGTTACAACAATACATCCACAAGCTCCTGTTGCAGGGTAAAAATGGGCGAAGAAGACGAGGAAAAAAGGAAGAGAAGAGGATCAGCCAATCACGGCGATTCGCCGGGTGGGCACGGCGTAGCTGCGGCTCCTGGGATAGAAGGGGCCGGCCATGGCTTCTGCCCCGAACTCGCAGGGCTTGTCCTCGTCGATCCTGCCGATGCCCACGCTCTGGCTCCTCGGCACAATTCCAGGGCCTCCCCGGTTGAGCGACCCTTTGGCACCCTGGGAGGCAACGCGCATGAGCTCCCTCAGATCGTCCTCGCTGCTGCAGCTGCTCCTCCCCTGCTGGAAGCTGAAGCTCCTCGGTATGCCGGCGGGGCCGCCCGAGTACGCCATGGCACCGTAGTTGACTCTCCCGGCGCACCCCGTCATGCTGCTCACGTACAGATCCCTCGCTTGGCAGAGCACCCACAGTGGCGCCTTCACGATCCTGATGAACACGCTCCTCTTCTGGCCCTGGCCCTTACCCTCCCTCGCTCTCTTCATGCCTAATTCCCAAGAAGAAGAAGAAGAAGAAGAAGAAGAAGAAGCAGAGTTTGCAAAGAAGAAGAAGCAGCAGAAATTGCCTTTGGATGAGATGCCCCCTGCACTTACATATATCCCCTGCACCGACCGGGAATAGGCCGTGTTGAGGGGAGAGAGAGAGAGAGAGAGGAGTTAAGGGCTGTCCTCTTCTGGGAAGCAGGCAAAATTTGGATGATAAGAACGCGGAGGAGACGTGTTCTCGAGGGCTGTTTTACTATGATTGTTTTCAGAGGGCGGCGGGGTGACGGCGCGGCAGTACCCCAACGGCGCGAGAACGGAGACGGGAGGGAGACGGAGTCAACCCGTCGGGCAGGCGGTAGATGGGCGATCTCCACGTTTTCCCCGTTTGACTGGACCACGTTGACCAAGCCTTCAACGTTTTGAAGATTTCCACTTTCACCGAGCCATGATGATGGGCCCCACCTTCTTGGGCCGTTAATGCTCAGGCCGTTAATGACCAGGCCTTCGCTGCCGTGGCCGGCATTCTCCACCGGCGGCCCATTGGTTCCGGCGTCCATCCATCGCCCTCAGATGACGCCGCCACCCCCCGTCACGCCTCCTAGCTTACCGCCGGTTCAACTAAAATCTGCGGCTGGTGGAAACAAGGGATGATCCTGAGAGACCGCACCGCCTTCCTCATCCACCCTCAGAAGTCAACGGTGGTGGAGGTCTCCACGTAGTCGGAACTGGGCTCTCTCTCTCTCTCTCTTGCGGTAAAGATGGGTTCTTTGTCCTGTCCTGAGGGAGGAGAGAGAGGAAGGATGAACACAGCGGAGAGGGCTGGGGGAGGAAGCCTCCTCGTCCTCACGATGGCCCTGTTTCTGCAAGCCTGCGGCGGCGCCGCCATCGCCGCCGGCAATCTCCACCCCCTGGTTCTCATCCCCGGCGACGGCGGAAACCAGCTGGAGGCCCGTATTACCAAGGACTACAAACCCTCCAGCCTCGTCTGCAAGTGGTGGACCCGCCAGCCGGCGGCTGAAGGCGGCGGCGGGTGGTACCGTCTCTGGTTCGACCCCCTCATCATTCTCAGCCCCTTCACCCGCTGCTTCGCCGAGCGGATAGCCCTCCGCTACCACCCAGAGCTCGACGACTACCGCAACGCCCCCGGCGTAGAGACCCGGGTCCCCGGTTTCGGCTCCACCGAAGCCCTCCGCTATCTCGACCCCAGTCTCAGGTATAATTATTTTCTATAATCTCATAAAGACTGATCTGATTAATTTCAGAGGCGGGGAAATTGGGTTTTAATTTTTAACCTAAAAGATTTGACTTTTTTTGTTCTTTCTTTCAGGCATTTGACCGACTACATGGGAACCCTTGTGAAGTCCCTAGAGGAGGAGATAGGCTACGAAGAAGGCAAGAGCCTCTTTGGGGCCCCCTACGACTTCCGCTACGGGCTGGCCGCCGAGGGCCGCCCCTGCAAGGTGGGCGAGGGCTACCTCCGCGACCTGAAAGAGCTCATCGAGAACGCCACAGTCGCCAACACCGGCAGGCCCGCCGTTCTCGTTGCCCACAGTCTGGGAACCCTCTTCATGCTCCAGCTCCTCGCTCGGAACTCCCCCGAGTGGCGCCGCCAGTACATCAAGCACCTGGTGGCTGTCGCGCCGCCGTGGGGCGGCGCCGTCGTCCAGATGCTCACCTTCGCCTCCGGATCCACTCTGGGCATCCCCATCGTCGACCCCTTGCTGGTGCGCGCCGAGCAGAGGACCTCCGAGAGCAACATGTGGCTCCTCCCCGCGCCGAGGGTCTTCAAGAACCAGCCGCTGGTGGTGACCCCCGAGAGGAACTACTCCGCCATGGACATGGCGGAGTTCCTCCAGGACATTGGCTACGGCGAAGGCGTCCTCCCCTACCAGACCCGGATCCTGCCGCTGGTGGGGGAGCTGCCGGCGATGGAGGTTCCGGTGACCTGCGTACTGGGCACGGGGGTGAAGACGCCGGAGACGCTGGTGTACGGCGAAGGAGGGTTCGATGCTCAACCGGAGGTGGTGTATGGGGACGGCGATGGGACGGTGAACTTGGCGAGCTTGGTGGCGCTCGAAGCAGAGTGGTCGGGGAAGACGAGCCAGCCAGTGAAACTCCTCACAGTGCCCGGCGCCTCCCACAGCGACGTGCTCAAGGACCGCGCCGCCGTCGGCGAGATCATCCGCGAGATCGCGGCCATCAACTCTCTCTCTCTAAATGGGTCGGCCAAAAGATCAAATATTTGACCTCTGTTCGCCGGCCCATTAGCATCGACAGTCCGTTGCAGTTGCAGAGTGACTGCGGAGGTGGCGGCGCATCAAACATTCGATGAAATGCCTCAAAAAAGCAGACTTGCCGTCCTTTTCTCTGCTACTTACCCTGGCGGCGCCGGCGGCGGAACTAGGGTTTCCGAAGATCTCCATCTCTTGCATGCATCGCGACCCACCGATCTCGAGAGATTCCACTGGTTGGTCAATCCAGACGCTATTGGACGGTCAAAGCTCCCAGCCCAGATGCCCTTCTGTCCCTCTCTCTCTCTCTCTAGCCCTTCTCATTGGGAGACTCAGAGGATCAGACGGTGGCCGGAATGATGACGGCGTACGGTGGGGGGCGCTCATAAGAATATGATATCCGCGACTGCGGGGGCGGGAGAAGTGAAGAAAAAGGCGCCGAGAGGCCACATCCCCGTGCGGTCGTCGCCCCCGTTCAAACCGGCACTGCGACGAACACGCCACGTGCGTTTAAAATAATCCATTGGGAATGGGCCCCTTTTCTCGGGACCCGAACACCAATATAAATCTTTCCAGGGCCAAATTGCTGCCCCACAGCCATAACATCTTTTTTCGAACCCTGCTAGGCTTTGACAAAGTCACGTGCCTCCCACGTGATTTGTCTCTCTCCTCCGTGGGGGCGGGAGGTGACGACAGCCGGTGGCCAGGTCACGTGCAGCGGGAGGTTTTTCTTATTTTATATTTATTATTTTATATTCACGTGTGGGCTCTTTATTTTTTCTCGGTAGAAAAAAAAAAAAAAAAGATCAAACGGATGGCCACGCATTGAAGAGACCGCGGGTTGGTGGCCGAAGTGCCGGTTTAGAAGTCCGTGAAGTATTTGGATACCGTGACTGGATGGCGCGGTTTCCGAGACCTTTACCGGCTGCAGCCGGTTGTCGCCCCCATCCACCCCAAATAGGGTCGTAGTCGTCGTCTTCTTCCTCCAGCCACACGAGCGCTCTCCTGCCGTCTGTTCACAGGGAGCGTCGTCTCCCTGCCAGTCGCCGGAGGAGCTGCTTCCTCGCAGTGGGCCAATCTGTCCTCCTCCGTTTCCGGCCACCGCTGTTGGAAGGAGTGTCGTCCTTTTTCGTCGTCTCTTCTTACCCCCTTCTGTGTTGCATCTGGGGTAGATGTACCAGATCGGCTCCGCTCTGGTCTAGGGTTTCTGGGTGTCCCTTCTTCCTGGTGTCTTGTTTGCAGAGTTTAAAGCTTCCGAGGTCTTGAATTGGTGGTACATTTCCGGCTGTTTCTTGGCGATGAGTCCCAATTTTTTTCCCTTGGCTCTTCCATTGTGGGGAGATTGTACTAGTATATGGTGGTGACGATGATGATGATGCCGGCCCTGCGAGCGCCGCCATTCTCATGGTTCTTCTCTATTTCGGCGGTCAAATTCTTCTGTATTTCTTCCTTCTAGCCGTGGAAATGCCTCAGCTCCAGCGCCGCCGAGAGACCTGGCAACTGGAAGGCGGCGCCGCCGCCCATGTCATGGACCTGGAGACCGCCGTCAAGGACGGCATCCTGGGGGGCTGCGCCGCCGGCGGCGCTCCCGCCGCCGCCGTCGCCGAGAAGCTCGACCTGAAGACGATGATCGAGGAGCTCGAATCCACCGACGACGTCCCCAGAGTCTTCATCTGCCCGATCTCCCTAGAACCCATGGTGGATCCGGTGACCCTCTCCACGGGGCAGACCTACGAGCGCTCGAACATCCTCCGCTGGTTCTCCATGGGCCACCTCACCTGCCCCACCACAATGCAGGAGCTCTGGGACGACGGAGGCGTCACCCCGAACCAGACCCTCCGCCGCCTGATCTTCGCCTGGTTCTCGCAGCGCCGCCTCCTGCTCAAGAAGCGCTCCGAGGACGTCCATGGCCGCGCGGAGGAGCTCCTCGCCGCCCTCCGCAGGGCCAAGGGCCAGTCCTCCCGTTCCCAGGTTCTCTCCGAGCTCCTGCAGCTGGTCAGCTCCCACGCCTCCGCGAAGAAGACGGTGGCGAACTCCGGCGGCATCGCCCTCATCTCCGAGCTCCTCGGGCCTTTCACCTCCCACGCCGTGGGTTCCCACGCCATCGCCATTCTCGTCCTCCTTCCCCTGGATTCACAGGCCTTGCAGAGCTTGATGGAGCCGGCGAAGATCTCCCTGGTAGTAGATATCCTCAACGAGGGCTTTCTCGAAACGAAGATGGACTGCGTCAAGCTCATCGGGCTGTTGATGGAGGAGGAGGGCTTCCGGCCGGAGATTGTCTCCAGCTTAAGTCTTCTGGTGGGTCTGCTGAGGCTGGTCAAGGACAGGAGGCATCTCGCCGGCGTCAATGCCGGGCTGATCCTGCTGAAGGCGATGAGCTGCCACCAGCAACTGAGGAGCTCCATGGTGACCGTTGGGGCGGTGCCCCTCCTGGTCGAGCTGCTGCTGCTCCCAAGTTCGAATGTCAACTGCTTGGAGGCGACGCTCCAGATCTTGACCCTTCTGTCCGCCATGGCTGAGGGAGCTGCGAGTATCAAGGATTGCCCCGCCGCCATTCCCAATCTGGTGAGGCTTCTGATGAGGGTGACCGAGACCTGCACCGAGTCAGCGCTCTCCATACTCTGGAACATCTGCAGGAGCGCCCCAGAGGAGTGTGCTCCCAGATCGGTGGAGGCGGGTTTGGCGGCAAAGCTGCTGCTGGTGATCCAGAGCGGCTGCAGTCCGGCGGTGAAGCAGAGGTCGGCGGAGCTGTTGAAGCTCTGCAGCCTCAATTACACGACGGCCCACTTCATCTCCAAGTGCAAGTTGACCAGAACAATCCAATGAGCCGCCTTCAAGAAGTGAAAAAGACATCTGGGTAATTCCCAGCTCCATTAATATCGGGAATACCGGATTGAATCAGCTCAGGTGGACCGAATTACCCGCCGACGGATCGAGAGGCCGAACCCAGCGGCGGCGAAGAGATCCTCTCTCTGGTTATTTTTTCCCCAGATGCGGGAAGAAGCACCAAATCATCTGTAAATCTTCTGATACTGCGATTGGGAAATCGATCGCCGACCCTCCTGGAGCAGCATGTACATCTGAGGATCCACGGTAAAAATTCTCTTCTTCTTCTTGTCTGAGCAGATCTTAGCGCCACCGGCTCCCCAATTGTTCTTGATTTGCATGCTAAGCTCCCCTATGCTGCGTCCTGTTCATCTGGATTGAAGAAACCCAGAATCTCCGAATCCGTCGCCGGGTGTTTTCTTCGAGCTGCTATCAATGTAGCTACGCCTTTCTTGACCAGTGATTTGGATTCTGATGCTTCCTTTTCATGAACAAATGGTTTTCCCTGCCGCTGGATTCCTGCCTTCTCGACGAATCAGCTCGATCAACAGCCATTTGTGGCATGTTTTCTACCGTTGACCGGTCATTTGGAGATGTGCTTCATTCACTAATCTCACTCCACACGACCCCGTTCCCCGTCGATTTGAAATTATCCAGTCGCCTCCCCGGTTTTGGCACTTCCTGACGGGACCGTTGACGGCGATTGGTGGGACCTGTCAGATGCGATGACTGCAAGAGATCAAATCATACGGTTAGAACTCGGACGCCGTTTGTCGCCACACGCCCCATGTCGGAGATTCTCTGGCGGGTGAAGTCAGTGGGTCGCCAATGACGTGTCGTTCCTTCGGCGCTGGAGAGGGTCGCCAACAGTGGGGGGAGGGGAATTTCAACAAACACATGTTGGGCGATCTACTGTTTTCCAAAATATTGGATCGGAAGGTCAGATCTTACAGAAATATGGCGCAGATCGCACCTCAGAAATCTGCACCACCCGCTGGTACACCACCGGGCAAAAGCGCGATCCAGAAAGACCAGAGGAGAGAGGATATAAGCAAGCGGGAGAAAGCAAAACGTCAAAACGAGAGAGAGAGAGCTCTCTCGATACCCGCCAGTCTTCTTCATCTCCTAGATCTAGGATGCCTCTACGCCTTTTCCTGGTTCTCCGCGTCCTCTTCCTCTCGTTCATCGCCGAAGCCCCCTCCCATCTCACAGAGCTTCTCCCATATCTTCTCCGGCACGGGGACGACGGACAGCCTGGGCTGCCTGACCAGCGCGAAGTCGGCCATCGACGGATCCTCCTTGACCTCCTTCAGCCACACGGTTCGCCGCATCTCTCCTCTCGACCGGACGTCCACAGCTCCATCGCCGCCATCTCCACCGATTTCGTACCAGGGCTTGATGACCTCCACAACTCCGACAATCCGGCGCTCGGCAGGGCGGGATCCCGAGTGGTAGAAGAAGCAGAGATCGCCTCCCCTCATGGCCTTCATGTTCTTCTGCGCCTGCCTGTTCTTCACCCCATCCCACTGCGACACTCCGCCATTCGACCTCTGGTCCTCCCACGACCACTCCCCCGGCTCCGTCTTCAGCAGCCAGTACCCCACCCCCTTCCCCATCTCTCTCTCTCTCTCTCTCTCTCTCTCTCTCTCTCTCTCTCTCTTGCTGCTCCCTTCTCCTGAGAACCAAGTGCGTGTTTTGGGCGGGAAACGTGTTTTGGCGGGAAAAGTGGGGATGCCTAGGTCAACCGGCTAACGCTATCATTAATGACACTTGCTTTGCGAAAGAAAGCCCTATAAAATCATTCGTTAGGGTGACAAATCAACATTAAAACTTTTTTGCAATCAATCGTGAGACAAATTAGTATCAGAGTCAACTTACATCATCCTAATTACGTCATTATTCTTTTAATACGGACTAATTATTGAGATAAATTATTTAATCTCTTAAACATTTATGCCACTTATGCACATTAATCGTTGTAAGGTAAGGTGTCGAATTAAGTTTTTTATGCGTTAAATTCCTTACTAATTAATCTTTAATATGAGTGGTTTTAAGGTAGATCCACAAGGATGGAGACAACGAAATCATCAAGTGACTATTGACGATGAACATCATCAATTAACTCTTTGTTTGCAGGTTGAGCAATGTTTACTCAACGATCCAAACTATTGAAAGCATTGTTTGATTCAAAATCTAGAGAATTGGATCATCATGGGACTGTCAAACATAAACCTCATGTAATTATTTGTTCCTTGGTTGAGTAGTATTTTATTCAATGATCCAAACTATTGAAAATGTTGTTTGTTTGATTCAAAGTTTTGGACATTCAAACTATAATCTAATATCTTGTGATCCATAATAACTAAGAAACATATAGCAAATCATTTTCAAAAAAAAAAAAAAGATTCAATCCAAAGAAAGTAAAAATATCAATCGAAATGATCATTATGTCGATGGGAGAATGAATAGTCTTGATACTTTAATTGAAACATTCCAAAAATAGAATGAAAATCTTATGAAAATGGTGTTCAAGGATTCATAAATGAGTTAGCTATCAGAAATAAATAAACTAGAAGGAGAATGATTAGGAAATGAGAGTGTGGTTTGTGAAATACTCTTCAAGTGTCACCCAAAAGTCGAATGCCGAATGTGGGAGAAAAAATATGCATGAAATAAATCAAAAGAAAATAGTAGATTATATGCTTTGAATGAACAAATCCCATCATTGTATGACTATCACTCACATGAGGGCATCGATCATGCATCAAAAAAATGAAAGAGAAAGCATCAAACATGTTGAAAAGTCAAACAAACACACTTAAACTCTCTCTTCTCCATTCTATCACCCAGAAGATCTTGAAAGCATCAAAGAAAAATGATGGAATAAAAACTTAAATATCAAAAGGCAAGGAATGAGGCATCTTTAAATCCTTGATTATCACCCAATGACTTCAAGAATCACAAAAAAACAAAAAATCTAACTAAAACATGCAACAAATAGAAAGAAAAATGAAGACTACATAGAACAAAACTCTTAGTTGATAAAGTAAAGAGTAAGTGTGAGTATTGTCTCTCTTATCCTCCCCCCTCTTCATAACATGTTTAGGCATATATATAGACCCCAACTAGTACAAAAATTGAAGTTAAAAGTAGGTTAAAGACTAATCTTGATGGCTTTTCAATGCTAAGATGATGCAGTAGAGCTTCCATCAATGAGTTTTTAACCCCATCTTAACCATGGTGGTTAGTGCTTTGGTTGAGCTTCTAGAAAACTTTGTGAGATGTCTTGGTGCTTTCTCAGCTCTTGGTAAGTTGGTTTGATCAATTTATTTGCATACTCTTTAATAGTTCATCATCAATGCTTCAATCATCTTCAATTTCTCTCTCTTCTATTCAAATCTCATTGTCATTTGCTAATAATTTATGTAATGGATCTTCTTCCATGACTCTAATTGATGATTTGATACGTTTAAGGCAATTTAATTGACTAGAATATGTGACATATTTTCTTCCTCTTACCGTTGATTGAAATTTTTCGTATTTTTCTTATGAGTTAAAAATATTAAAAATAATTATTATAATCAATATGCTTTTTTAGAGGACCATAGTATTTTTGTTATTATTTGTACTAGTTTCAATCATCTTTCTAATTATTTTAAAAATAAATAAATATTTAAAAATGCTGATTAAGTTTCTACCTACTCAGACTTCTTGCTTGCCTTTTACAAAAATATTAAAAAGAAAAAAAGTGCTGTTGAGATAAGAGTAGCATATCAACTTTCTTACCCTTTTAAGGTATACAATTCTAGAATGTTTCATGATTTGAACAGTTTTTTCTCAACTTTTATCAAATTGCTTATTTTTGAAGCGATTAAAAATAGAAATATTGAATAAATAAATTAATAATTTATTGCTTGCCATTTACAAAAATACTAAAAAAATCACTAAAGAACGAAAAAAGTGGTTATGGGATAAGACTAGCGTACCAACTTTCTTACCCTTTTAAGGTATACGATTCTAGAAGGTTTCCTGATTTGGCCGGCTTTTTCTCAACTTTTATTAAATTGCTTATTTTGAAGCGGTCAAAAATAAATAAATATTGAGTATTTATAAATGTTCCCGAGGTCTATGCCTCGAAGATCCTCCGGGCATGGACTAATAGGTTTAAATTGTCAAAGTAAAAATGGTCCCTCCCCAAACGGGATCCGAACTCTCCGATAGAAAGTCCGTTCCACCGCCACGTCGACTTACTTGGCAATGATAGGTCCCAACCCTCCACCGTGGCAACCCACCCTCTCGTCCCGTCAGCTCCAGTCCCCCCCCCTCCTCCCCGTCATAGGTCCACGTCAGAGACCACTGAGCCGGACCGGCCCACTAAAATTCCGCCGGATTAATAACGCCATTATTTTATTTCTCTTCTCATATCCGACGTGTAACCCCCCGACCATCAGGGGGGCGGATTGGAATTTCAAAATCCCGCCAGTCGGAGGAGGACCTTCTGTTCCTCTCTCCGCCTCCGATCATGGAGAAAATCTCCGTGGCCGTCCGGTTCCGCCCGTCCGCCGGCGAGGATGCCTCCGGCGGGAGGCACTGGAAGGTCGAGGACAATCGCATCTCTCTGCACAGGCCCCTCGGCACGCCGATCTCTGGGGTTTCGTTTGCCTTCGGTTTGTTGCTGCCCTCACCTTGTCGTCAATTTCCCCATTCCGGGTCCTGAAACTCTCATTCGCTCTCGTATCTTGTTGTAGATCGTGTCTTCGAACAGAGCTGCAAGAATGTCACCGTCTACAGCGTCCTCACCAAGTCCATTATCGAAGCCGCCGTCAATGGATTCAACGGTACTGTTGTTTCCTTTGCTCGCTTTTATTTTATCGTACGCAGCATTTTTTGTCCCTCCTAATCAACTCCTTAACACCCAGGGACTGCCTTCGCGTACGGGCAGACGAGCAGCGGGAAGACTTACACCATGAACGGTTCTGAAGATGATCCCGGGATCATCCAGCTGGCTGTCAACGACGTCTTCAGCAGCATAGAAGAGGTCATTTATGCTCGTCTACCAGAAAAATGTTCGGAATTGTCAGTCTCCCTAACGGGAGTTATCTTGAGATTTTCCTAAATGATTGTTCCCTTGACAAACTGTCAGATCAAAGAGCGAGAGTTCTTGATTAGAGTCTCTTACATGGAGATATATAATGAGGAGATCAATGATTTGTTAGCTGTGGAAAACCAGAAACTCCAAATCCATGAGAGCTTGGATGTGAGTCTCTTGCTTAGGATGCCGATAGTGTTTTCATTTTTCGTCTCTGACATGTCTGACACTTCTAAATTGTAGCGTGGAATTTTCGTTGCGGGTCTCAGGGAGGAGATTGTTAACAGTGCGGATCAAGTGTCTAAGCTCCTTACGCTTGGGGAGGGTATGCTCTCCCATACAAAGTTTTTGCTGTTGAAATTGGTTTTTTAAAATTAATTGCGTCGCCATTTATCTCCTTGTAGCGAATCGACATTTTGGGGAAACGAACATGAATGTTCGGAGTAGCAGGTCACATACTATTTTCAGGATGGTAGATGGCTCTTATACTTTCATGTCCTTTCATATTATCTTCATCTTCCATACCCATATCCGTATTGACTGACTGACCAATCGTAATTAGGTCATTGAAAGCAGTGCCAACGATACACTGTCGTGCTGTGATTTTCCCAACGCTGATGCCATCCGTGTTTCTGTATTGGTCTGTACCTCATCCACTTCTTACGACAGTTTTGAGTTTAGATGATTCAAGATATTCGTGGATTTAGTCATTGTTATATCATACTTATGATGCGCTTGATTTTTTTTAACTATCAGAATCTTGTGGATTTGGCTGGGTCAGAGAGAATTGCTAAGACAGGAGCTGATGGTGTACGTTTGAAAGAGGGGAAACACATAAATAAAAGTTTGATGGCACTCGGCAACGTGATAAATAAACTAAGTGATAGTGGGAAGCAAAGGTATTCTAGCTCTGAAAACATGGTAATGCCGTCTGATTTATAGAGAGTTTTAAAGTATCTTTTTATAAAATATTCCTCTGTATTTCTCTCATATGCATTTTTTGAGGTCTACCAGCCTTTATTACACATTGAAGGGCATCTGTATTGAATTTGGTATATAATATTTGATTGATTTTAAACCTAACCGGTTTGATCTAGGATTCTGTATTTTACTGTTGGATTATTGATGATTTCATCTCTGCTCTTCTAAAATAAGAGGACTTCCAATGCAGGGGTCATATTCCATATCGTGATAGCAAACTTACTCGTATTCTTCAACCTGCTCTCGGGGGTAATGCCAAGACCTCAATTATCTGTACCGTAGCCCCAGAAGAGGTAGACTTCAGTCGCATTTTCTTTGTGTGTTCTGTGATCAGTTTAGGGTTATAAATGCGATTATTCTAATTTCATATATGGGTGTAGATTCACATAGAAGAAACAAGAGGAACTCTCCAATTTGCAAGCAGGGCTAAACGAATCACCAATTGTGCTCAAGTGAATGAGGTATCCCATTCGTCTTTTATTTTATTGTCCTCCCTGGCATTCATCAAAGCTTGGTAGATAATGTAAGTAAGTAGATCTAGATCAGTGTATGTCTAACAGAGCAGGAATTTCTTAACTTGTAAAATTTCATGGACAAGCAGCGAAAATTGGGAACATGAACTATTTTTGAGGAACTGTTTACCTTTCTCCATTTGAGGAAGGAGGCGTGAAATTCTCACATCGTCAGATAATGTTTTTTGTCAAATTTCTATTCACGTCATCATTGGATGGCTAATTGTTATTCTTTTGTCATAGATCTTAACTGATGCTGCGCTATTGAAGAGGCAGAAGCTGGAGATTGAAGAATTACGTCGAAAGCTTCAGGTGATGACCCATGTAGCCTTAATCATCAAACCATCATTGCTTAATACGGAACTAGGTTTTTCTCAGGGTTCTCATTCTGAGGTGCTGGAGCAAGTGATTCTAAAACAAAGAAATGATATGCTCAAGGTACGATAAAAAATATGCTTTTATTGTTCGTTTGTAACACTCGCCGAAAGCATGTTGCTCAAGTGAGACGATATTTTATCCCACCTTTCCTTTCTGTCAACATCAGTCTGAACTGGAATGTGAGAAGCTTGCCATGCAACTTGAAGAAGAAAGGAAATCTCGTGAAGCATTAGAGAATTGTATAAGAGAGCAGCAGATGAAGATAGATGCTCTTAACAGCTTCGCTTCCTCTTCTGAGCTCTCCAGAAATTTGGCTCAGGTGAAGAAATTTCTACTGTCGATGTGCTGTTGTTTCATTTTTTTGTTTCTTTTCTGAATGAAATTTTGTTGGATATCTTTCAGGAAGGTATCCCTGCAAGACAAAGTTCTATTGATGGCGATGATGAGGGTGAGGATGATGCTGATTGTACGCTAGAAAGCCATAACTCAATAACTCCAAATCTTCGAGCTATACCGAACGAATTCGTTGCAAGACGGTCAAATTATTCAATGGTCTCTGATTGTAGCCCCCTACCTGAAACATTCGGCAATAAAGCGGACGAAGACATGTGGCTACAGATGAATAAAGGTTGCTCTACTGACCTCAATATGCTCCAGATGACTCCTAGCCAGGACTCCCAACCCACGCCTTTCAAGGAAATGCCTCCTGTAAGTTCATCTCTTCTACAGTTGCTGTCATCTTTGGAAAGTGCTGGCCGTATTTGGAAAGTATGATCAGAAAAAAAGGAAATATCCTCTTTGCTGTCATCCTCTTTCCCCTACTAAAATAAATGCCTTTTTTTTTTTTTTTTGGTTTGAAGTTACCGTCCCCAGGTGAAAGAAGATCAAGTGGCACTGAAAGACGCGCAGTTTTGGAAAAATGTGCACTTTTGGAAAGGGAATGCGGGCTCTTGAGAGAGGAAAACTCAGCATTATCCCGGGCTCTGGCGACTTCTGACGAAGGCGCCAAGCTCCTGAGCTCCCAGAAGGAGGAGCTGTGGACGGAGCTGAACGAGGAGAGACGGAGGATGGAGGACCTGAGAGAGGAGATGAGATCGTTCGGCCTGGCGCTCGCCCAGCGGGACGGCATGCTTCGGTCTCTCTACACCCGATCCAAGGGCATTGCTGGGAATCTCGGTGCCCGGCAAGTCGTCTTGCCTTGAACAAGTCTCCGACGAATTGCCCGCCCTCCTGTAAAGGTTTATCTATCTGTTCTTCCTCTGCTCATCATATTTCCCCATTTGGGGAAGATGGGGATCCTTCGCTCTGTGGAGATCAATCCCATGAATGAGATGCTGATTTCAGTTGCAGCTGGGCATCATTGAATTGGCTTTTCGTTGTGCGAGAGGTACGAGGACAACCTCTCTCTCTCTCTCTCTCTCTCTCTCTTCTCTTGTGGGAGCTCATAAAACAGCCCATTTGAAAACTCTTCTGGGTGCCAGTGGAATTGCCTCCCTTCTTCTCCCTCTCTCTCTCTCTCTCTCTCTCTGGTGGGTGAGACCATAAAGAGCCCATTCGATTCGGCCCATTACCGTTTACCTACTCAAGGGAAAAGGACACCGCGGTCATTTTTTCTCGTCGGAGGAGGTACAAGGGCTAGGGTTTGGGGTGCGTCTTGGTACTCCTATAAATTAAAAGAGGAAGATGAGACTAGGCGCAACTCGCCAACGCATTTCCTCGCCGTTTTTTTGCGTAGTAAACTGCTTCTCGGTGTTCTTCAGCGTCGTCCCGCAGTGGGGATCGGTGCGGGTCTGTTTCTTCCTCCGTGTTTCAGGTTGATTTCCTTTTACGTCCTTTGATGGGGGGCGGAATGAGGACTCATCGCGCCGCAGGGATCTTCATCCCCTGTGCTGACGACGATCTTGCTTCCTACTCCCCGAGATGAATCTCTGGGGCGTCTCAAAGCCCTACGCTGATCTCCACAGTGGAAGGGTTACGCCCGCCCCTACATCGGCGTTCGGGAACCCCTCCTTCCGTTTCATCTCCTCGTCTTACCATCCTTCCTACTTCCCCCACCTCGGGAGATCCATCCGTGGCTGTGATGATGACTAACATTTCTCGATTCTGATGGAATTTATTTTCCTCATCAAGACCATTAAGATGCTCCTCTGTGATGACCTTATTTGTGCGTGTCTGAGCCTCTGGATACTCTCCCATGAGGCATCCGGCCGCCTTCACGCCTCTCTCTCTGTCTCTCTCTCTCCCTCTCTTCTCATCGATCTGTGGTTTCTGCTCCGTAGATTCTTGGAATGTTTAGTTGGTCGATGTGGTGCAATGATTGGAAAGTAATTCCTCGTACTGACTGCCGTCATTGGCATGACAGACCTCATATACACCCATAGAATATGAGCGCCATGCCACATCTCTCCTCCATTCTTCATTCGCTTGATGTTCTCTTCCATTTGACCTGATTTCAGTATTTTTTTGGTTCGTTGGCGGATAATGCCGTTTCATTGCTGATTCGTCCTGGCTGTGCATCGATGTTCTTACGATGTTTCTGATTTAAGTTTGAATGATTTTCCATTAATTTTTGAGCGAATTAAGTTCAGGGGGCGTGGTTCTCGCCATACAGTTTGATTAGGGCGTCTCCCACGGAGTCCAAGCATTTCCTTTCGGAAATTTACTTCCTCTGATAGTCTCAAGGTGTGCTTAACGCCGGTTGATGTCTCTGATTGGTGGACGACTCTGATTTTCTTAGAATTGGACTTCTTATGCTGAGTAAAAGTACACGTTTTTTCTCACTGAAATAAGATTCTCATCAGTGAGCCCTTAGATAATCTTAATGAATGAACACATCTTGTTCCAAGTCCTTACAAAGGATGGAATACAGCCACAACCCCCTCAAGTTAGATGTTTACACAAAAAATATTGTTTTATCGGCTCTATCTAGAGGGAATATTAACCTATTTGTGCCCCTTACAATGTGTTATTTATATCTTCCCTTTGTAAGCATTAATTGGGGCACTTGTTTTATTTAAACAAAATAAACATATTAACCCATATGATAGAGCATGTTCATTAATAAACTTAATCTCATGACTTATTTTAATTAATTTCTGATTATCTACATATATTTAATACCTATTTAAATTTGCTAAATGAGTATGTAGGATTGTTACAATTACACAAAATGTGAGTTCAGAATAAAGTAGATTTGAGTTCTTCAGCCACATAGTAGACCAGATTTAGATGATAATGAACCTTAAGAAGTTGAAAGTTATAAATGAGCAATCAGGAGGTTGTAAGAGATATTCAACAAGTTCATCAGTAAGTTTTCACAAAAGTTTATCAAGAAAGATCACCAGTGGAGTTGGATAGATAAGCTATTATTTATGAGTTGGCTTTCATGATTTGAGAATTTATTATTTAAGGACAATAATTATGTTTTATAGTCAACATGTGATATGTAATATGTTGCACTGGTTAAGTCTTTATGTAAGAACGACAATTATTAACCTTTGAAAGTTAAAAGTTAAATGAGGTTGAATAAAAGTATTCAATGCACAAGAAATAGCTTACAAAAGTAACTCATTACTGAATAGGTTAAAATATATTATTTTAAAAATACACTATTTACAAATTTATTAAGAGATTAATGACAAACATTTAGTATTATTAACAAATATCGGCAACCTAATGTACAAAATTTAGTCAACAAAAACACCTCATACAGTAGTTAGAAATGGGTGAGATATGGTGTTTCTCAATGTTTGTATCATCTATTAGGTAATTGTCACTTTTTACCTCATATAAAAAAGTATGTAGAGACTTATGTTATCTCGTGTTCAATACGTCAATAGAATAAGATTAGGTGAAGGAAATTAATCAAGATATTAAGACCAAAGTGATTTTAAGAATCCTATCAGTAAACTTCATCATGAAACTTTCGAAGATAGATAATTAATATGTAATCTTTGTTGTGGTGGACTACTTCTCAATATATGTAACATTTATCATCACTTAGTTGAATTGTAAGGGGTAGTCAAACTTTTCTTGACACACTTGTCAAAATGTGAGACATTTATACATCATCATCTCTAATTAGGACCTTTGATTCATCAAATATTTTTGGTGAACCATCTTCACCTTACCTGAAATTACATTAGGCGTGCTCAAAAATTACAAGTAGATTAAGTAAATAATATGCTTAGAGAATATTTACATCAGCCATGTAAACAATTAGACAAAGATATTTGATATTGTCTAAATTTTCTATAACATACAATAAAACTTAACATAACACTTGCCATTAGAGTTGTCAATAGTCCTTAAAACACCTTTAGAGTTAGTAAAACAATAAGATATGAGGTACTTATCATGACATTGATTTGCAAAGCAATAACAATAACTTCCATCTAGCCTAAAGGGTCATTGACACAAAATATGTCACACGAAGAAAAATGTTGTCCATCATTAAAGAAAGTGAAATATGTTCCATACACACAAGAGTTTATAACAATAAATACATCACAATAAGCTGGCCACTCAAAATATTGACAAAAGTGAGAAGATTAATCTACAATCTCCAACTACCTTGAAGGCTTTGACTACATCTTGTTTTCATATTTTATCATTAAAATTCTATTATATAAATAAGGAAGATTAAAAAATAAATAAATTGAGACTCTCATTACCTATAATTCAAACCCATCAAATGAATACTTTCTACTTAATCAAGTGGTGGGGCCACCTAAAAGAAGTAACCACATGACAGAAAAATAGTAACTTATAGTTCAAATACCAAATTAACCAATACTAAATATACCAACATTTGATTAGGTCATCAGAATTTGAAAGAAGGAAACAATGTCACAAATTTTCTCAAGTGGGGAATGATTATAACATTAGAACCTCACAACAAGCAAATATCACTAATGATGTGTGTGTTAGGCATGAGTAGCACAACAATATAAGTGACATGACAAACCTTTGCAATGCAACAATTGTGTACAACATGGTTAACTCGTTGTATATAATGGTGTTGAAGAAGTGTGCAACCTATGGAGCTAACTTCATGAGTGTAACATCATCATGTGATTGGACAATTAATTTTATAATTGTGTTAAGTTGTGGATCTATATTTAGGGATTCTCCCTTCCCCTCACTTTTGAGGTTAGTATTATGAATCTCTCAATTCCAAAATTTGACTAGTTTGGGCCACAAGTATGTTTGATACCAATGCAAGGGATGACATAAAATTGGTTGTCAACCTTATGTCACCTTAATAATGGTGAACTTTGATCATATTATGGTAAAAAATTCAACTTCTACAATTATTTTCATTACATTATATTATTCTTTTAAATTTTAGATGCCTCTTAATCCTTTTGTCAACTCATGTTATGATATTAACTTTTTCTCAAGCTTAGATTACAAAAGTATTATGACATGTATTTATTCAAAAGAAGAGAATATGTCAAGGCAAGTTTATACTTAATCACATTATATTATTTACTCTCATATTTATAGTTGAGGGCCTTTCTCTTTAAGAGGGGTGGAATATGTGCTTAAATCTCTTAGATGATTTTACAATCCACTATTGTCCTATGTATGGTGTCCTATTGAAGTTTATAGTAAGTGGCATATTAAATCTTGACTTTCACATATAATAAGAGTATAATAGATGACTTTCTATATAAGTTAGGTGAGAATAATTTTATTATATATCTATTATAAAGCATGACTTTCATTAGGTGACTTAGTTGTGTCATATGAATAACATTATTAGAGTTTTAAATCATGATTAAACTATGAGAGAATATTATAAAATCTTGAGTAATTTTGAAAAAATCATGTTAAGAATTACTATTTATTTAAGGAATTAAAAAGGCCACTTAAAAGTAAAATAGTTTTCACAATTCTTCCCCTTTGTTGTCTATGATAAGGGAAACTTTTCTCCATTCAACTCATCTTACTCTTTTATTAATCTTAGTTTTCAACATGATATCATAGACTTATTATGAAGACTAATTGTCATGCAGATCGTCACCTCTTCATAATTGTCTACTATTTTCTCTATCATATCTTAACAATTTTGTTAGTTCTTAATAGTCTTCATGTCACATTCAGATTTTTGTCGTGTTAAGAATTTTCCTTACTAACGTGTCACTAACTCTCATCTTTGTCTTGTTCTCTTCTCTATCAGTTCTAGATTCCTTCACCT